TTATAGTAGCAGCGGCAGCGAGGAAAACAAATGCAAAGAAGACAGATGGGAGGATCACTGTGTGAGGAAGTCCTCAATCTCAAAGCTCACTCTTTTCATGATCTTCTCCTCCATTTCCCGCGAAGAAGATGCGGCACGGCGCACCACGATCGTCCGCGCGTCCTGCAGACGAACCTCAACGGGGTTGCCCCCGTAGCGGTCCAGCTCCTCCTTCTCGCACTCGCGGATGTAGACCGTGATGTCCGGCCCCACGCATGCGCGCCACAGGGACGCCATCCACTGCCAATGGTCCAGCGGGGCGTACGAGTCGCCGATCTGCACGGAGCATGCAAATGCATCCGCTGTGGTCAGTTGATACCGCGGGATAAGCGCGACGGGCACCCGGTCGGTGTTGGGCTCGGCTGAGGGTGCCGACGGGGATGCGTCCTCCCGCTGCTGTTGTTCCGGCGAGTTGATCTGCATCTCGGCGGTCTTGGGTATGATTGTCCGAGGTGAGACGCCGGTGAGGTGCTCCTCGTCGACGGCTTTGGGCTCGGACGTCTCCCGCGTGGGTTTGACGAAGTCGATGATCCGGTCGGAGATGCGGTGCCATTCGGAGATAATGTTGAGGTAGTCGACCGTGGCATCCCCCATCTGCCCCGAATCCGAGTAGCTCTTGCGCGGGTCGACCTCCGGTCCTGTGAAGGTGCTGGTTCGATATCGCCCTTCCTTCTGCAGGCTGTTGTTGAGGTGCTCCACCATGGCCTTGACCAGAGCCGGATCCTGGCCATCTATCGCGATCACGGGCCCCCGTCGTGGCGCAGTGTTGCCGTGGTAGGGCGGTGCGAGAGGCGGCGATATCTTGGCGAGGACCTTGATCTTGTTGAGAAATGGGATCGTCATCACCGTAGCCTCGAGGGTGGACCCGTCCCGAGCGAAGGGGGTCATCGGGGTCATGGCTCCTGCTTGCGGAGGGACGGCGGTGGTTTGCAGGGGCGGGAGCTTGAGGCTCGGATCCGGTGGAGTAAACTCCTTGACATTTCGAATGGGTCTCTGCGGTGGGGCCAACGGAAGAAAGCCCCTGGTGTCTGCGACAGTCGAGTGAGGTGTATACGGGGAGACGGGGTACGGGGAGTCAGGGCTCCGGTCGCGCTGGATGTTGTTCTTGAATGGGATCTGCGGATTGTAGCGGCGACGCTTGTTGTCGGGAGACCGACTGCCACTCTCCTCGAAATGACGCTGCCGAGGCGACTGTGATTCCCCGGTTGGCGCAATGCGAATCACCCCTGGGGCTCGATCCATGTCCTTTGACCGACCCTGGCTGCTGCGCACGGTGACGGTCTCAATCTGGGAGGTGATGCCATTGAAACCCGACGTGCTGGGCGTGAAAGGCGGCGCGTCCGGTGATACGGGCGGGTTCATAACTCGGCCACCGCATCGGCTGCAGACTGTGGAGCCGGGCGGGTTATGGCTGATGCCAGAGCTGGCGTTACGGGAACTCCCATCCCGGCCGTAGCGACGAGGCTGATATCTGTACTCCGGATATTGCTGCTGATGGCGGGCTTTCTCTTCCTACAGGGTCGACGAGGTCAACAAGGAGTGCTCAATCAACCGGGATCGTTGATAAACCCACCTCTGCTAGAGCCTTCCATGTGTCTTTCGTCTCCTGAGGCAGTTTTCTCCACTGCTCTCCAATGATCTTGGAGATCTCAGGGTTGGCAAGCCCCGGGTGTTGGGCCACGACTGATGCTTGCCAGTGCTGACGGTACAGGATGAAAGCTGCAGTTCCTCTGGTCAGCAGGTTGAAAACGTTGTGATAGACAGGTACTGCTGCTATCTCTGGGCTTATAGTTACACACCGTTTCTGGGCCGGGGGATCTTTGGGTCCGGTTGGCAGAGACAGAAATTAGCTGCTGATTCCCTTGGGGTCGGCGCCACTGATTTGACCGGACTGGACGAGGACGAGCGTTCTGACAGGGAAGACCGTTCCCGAAGAGGAATGGGCTTGGAGGTCAAGAGTGCCGTTGGCTTTGAAGCGTCGATCGAAGCCACTCCGGGGACAGCCTTATTCATGGCCATCTTGTACCGGTTGAAGGCCATATGAGCATTGGGTAAGCTATCGGCATACCGACGATGGCCCCCGAACGAAGCGGCGTCGCGATGATGGTGGTCCATCATGGACATTTTCGAGTAACCGTCATTCATGATTTTATGATCGAGGAGACTACCCGTGGATAGAGGCAGCGTGGCTGGGGGAGGATCATATCGTAACGCAGGGGGCTTGGGAAGAACTCGATCAAAAGACATTTAAGAAGATACTACTGTGAGAGGGGAGGGGGTTTGTCGACGAAGTATCTTAGGTGAGCAAAGAAAGGCGCGTGAAGATGATGATTGTGGTCCGGGTGAAGTGAAAGGACGGAACGACCGATGAAAGAGAGAAGAAGGGGGGGTGGGAAAGAATTATAGAGGCAAGAATCTGGATTAGGGACGAAAGAAAGGAATAGAGGCGAAGTTAAAGCTGATGAAAGAAAGACATGCGGATTGCGGATATCAAGCAGAATGGGCTGAGCAGACAGGCAAAAACGAACGACGTGCCTCGTGCTTGGGAAAGTAGCTGGATTGGCAATGTTGGGTCTTTTCACGAATAATAGTAGAAATAAAAATCGTGATGGAAATAATAATAATGACGACAATAATAATGATGACAATAATAATAATAATAATAATCCCAATAAACGAAGGGTAAGGGATTTGTGTTTTCTCTTTTGTTTTCCCTTGGGGCGTCAAGGGTAGGGTTGGGTTGGTTTGCCTTTGCTTTTCTTTATCGGGGATACTTCTTAGTCTTTTTCTTTCTCTCATTCGATTTTCATATTTTCTAGGGCGTAGGAGGAGGAGGGAGGGAGGGAGAGGGGGGAGGAAGGACTCTGACAATGAACGATAGGATGTTTCTATTGAAACCAAACCTACCAAGAGGGAGGGCGCCGGGGAATAAAGCCGGAGGGGATTTTGGCTTTCTGAAGTGCTTTGTTATAAAGACCTACTATCTTTGGACCCCGTGCCTTAACTTTTTTCTACCTACTTTTCCCCCTACTACGTCTTAGTCTACATGAAATCACCTAATCCTGGAACCGGGGTTTCTTTGTCTGTGTTTGCCAGGATGAGCCGAAGACCAGCAGCGTTAGTCGGGGACCCGCACCGCGAGACCGATTAGTTCTTCTCGAGGACTAGATGGAACCTCAAACCTCTACTGGTGGGATACAGACTGCCATGCTGCATACTACAATCGAAGGGAACCGCAATGGGTAGTCCGTAGCTGCCGAGCAGTTGACATCATAAACTCGACTATAATGGGGGAATGGGGGAAGGAAACCATCTCAGGTAACAAAGGAGATGGGATAATGACGGGGTTGATTGTCGCCAGGGAAGGGAAGAAGAAGGGTGAGTCATCAACAGCCCACAAACAAACAGGATAAGTGAGGTGACAAGAGGAGACCCAGTGATGACCTACTTACCAATTTCCTAATCATCTATGATGATGATGGTGATGATGGATGATGATGATGAGAGTGAAGAAGGAGGAAAGAGGAAGATGGCGGATGGATGGATGGACTTACAGGATGGAAGGGTATTGTTTTCAATGTTTCCTTTGTTCTGGCCGAACGTCCGCATGCGGTGGACGGCTGGCATCCGAGGCCAATCAGGACAGGATGCAGGCCCCCCTTCTCAGTCCGTTCAGTCTGTGTTGAGTGTGAGAATAAGTTGTGGACAGGGGATTCGCTCCACCGCCAATGTGACACATGCTCAATTGGGTCTTGGGTGTGAAAGACTCAGGTTTGATTGCCCCCCTCTCTCTCCCCTCTGCTGTTCCATTCCCGCCCGCCCATGAATACTTACTTCCCTTCATCTCTAGTTGCCTACAAAATACTGACTTCTGACAATGAAGTCATAATCAAATAGGTGAAGAGGTGGGTATCTGAGGTATAGAGCACATAATCAATACTACCTTGCAAGCAAGAAGACATCATTGTAAATCTTGCTTTGAAGATGCATTGATCCCCGATCCAGATCCAGACCCAGACCCGGACCATCCGTCCGTTCATCGCCGCGCGGGCTCATTCCCCAGGTACCGGTACCTGAGCCTTGGGCCCCAGCAGTTTAACAAAAAGCTAACAGGCCAAGCGGAAACTAGCGGTCTCACATCCGGCTCTCTGCCTATTTTACCTCCATAGGCAACAGACCGCGACTGATAGTTCATTTGCTTGAGTTACGAGGTTCATCATCAGCTAGTGACTGATCGTCCCGAGGCTGTCTGACAGCCGCTCGAACCACCCCCCTCTCACTTCTTTGATTCAAACACATTCAAACAAAGGGAAGAAGCAAATATCATAAGGTACTTTGATGTACTGTACTTTCTTAAACGAGACAAACCACACCAATCCAGCAGTGAAGGGCCTCCCTCAGACCCCCACCCCACTAATCTCCCGCCTGTTGTTCCTACCGGCCATCTTGTCTTGCACAAAGAATCAAAGAATCCTACTCACTGAAAGTCACTGAAGTCACTTCTCATCTTGCATCATTGCCCGCTAAACCTGAATCCAGGCTCCTTCCAGGCCTTTGAGGAGTGGGTTGGTGATCCATTGACACGTTGAGGTTGCAGGGCCCCAGTCTTTCTTTCCTCCATTCCGCATCCCTGGCACAGCTCATCCAAGTCACGTTACAAGCACGTTACAACCACCATCATCCTCGCCCGAACTGGAGCAAGACTTAGCCGACGTCACGACCTCTTTCTGCGGCGGTCTTTTGGTTCTTCTCAGTGAGACATACCACCTCGCCAATCCCTGCTTCAGATCTGAGGCCGTGCCTGAAACCTTTGAATCCGGCCAGGGTCCAGTTCAGTTCAGCTGTTATCCCAATCGGAATGGAATGATCCTATCCGGTGCTTTCCACTGGTGACGCCACAAGACCCAGTCTCACACAAGCATCGAATGGCCTGCAATAGCGTGCAGGGCTCGATAGAGAGAGCTGAGAGCCCAAGCCGGACCCCGTGGTCGCCGTTCTCCGTGCAGCGTTTGATAGTTTCGGGAACCGGCCAGTGTTTACCGATAACATTTGTCTACAGGTCATCACTTCCTGCAGAGCAAATTACAACTACGTGAGCATGGCCAGGATGCCCATCGAAGGGAGAAGTTGAACCATTTCTTTGTGTGGGTTATTCTTCTCATTTTTTTTTCTGTTGGTCTTTTTCTCTCATTTGTTGTGTATGACGGGGGTTTTCTTTCCTTTTGTTCGTGTAAAAGAGTTTTTTTACCGCAGCCACATCTCCTGAATCCCGTGAAAGACTTCCATGCCCAAAAGTCGGTGCGCGGACGGGCCCAGATGCATTTCGTTCCTGAGAGAGAAATGGTCATGGTCAGCCTACCAACTCGAGTCAACAGCGCCAAGCATAATGCCTTGTTCTTACCAAAACAGAAACTTCTCGGGACGGTCACACTGTTTCGTCTCTGATGTCACCATCCACTGCTGGCTGCTCTGGACGCAGGCATCGTCTACATTTTCCCAGCCAGGGTCCTCGTTCTTGCCCAGCCCGTTGGTTTCCTCGATCCCAACCACGAAGAGCTGCCAGTCGCGGATCTGGTCGGCAAGGAACGCATTCGTATCGAACAGGTAGATCGTGCCATTGCCCCATCCATCGGCTCTCTCGCGCAGGTGGATGTTCCAGTAGTCGGACATGCTGATGGCGTCTTTCTGTTTGGCCTGATGTTGTTCGGCCTGGGCCCGGAAGGCCGGCAAGAGGGTCACATCCGGGGTCAAGGTCAGGATGAGTTTCAAATCGTTGTTGCCCCAAAGCTCCGCCAGCAGATTGAGCTGATCCATGATCACGTCCAGCGTGTGGTCGATCGAGTGGGTCGCCTCTTTGTATGTCTTGCCGACAACATTCCACAAGTCCCACACGCCAAAGGAGAGGATGACAATGGTCCGGTTCTGACGGGTGCCGATCGCTTCTGCGCTCATCGCCTGCATGGCTTCTGTCTCGGCCGCCAACCAATGGCCGACCTGCGCTTTCAAGTCGGCCAGGGGCGACTTGTATAGGTTGAGTAGCGAGCCCGAGAGCTCCGTGTTATCTACGACCGAGCCAATGTAATTTCCACTCAAGGACTTGGCGGTTTCGGCCAGGTTCTCATGGTGACATGAAAACTACAATTACCCCAGTGAGGAGCAAAGGGGGACGCGATTAGCCTCTTGTCTGTCCTACCTAGCCCAGCTCTCAAACTCTCAATAAGGGCACCCAAGACAGCAAACAACTTACCGAGGAACACAACCATTCGGTCCAAACGGACCCTTGATGAATCTCAGCGGCATTGTTGTCGCTCCAAGAATCGCCGAAGACAACTAGTCGGCGGTCGAATGACGCCGTCGGTTGAAGCTTGGCCGATGGCTCATCATTATCGGCCACCACCCGTCGATAATAGTGTTGAGAGGCGAGAAACGAGGCCGAAAGCAGGATACTGCATATCGCCAAGGCGCATACGGCGTGAAACTTGCTAAAGAGGCGCATGAGTACGGGACATCAAGGGCCCGTGAACAAAGAGGACGAAACGGGCGACAAGAATTGCGACAAGGAAAAGGGTGGTGGTGAAGAGGGCTTTGCGCGCGCGCGCCGGACGAAGCCGATAGACACTGAAGCGACCGGCCGATTGATTGTCTTTGTTGCGGGCGAGCGAACTGCAGCCGACAAGGAGGGCTTTGCGCAATCGGCGATTCTCAAAGGAAGTTTCTCTTTAAGGTTGGTTGGTGTAAGATAAGCAAGCAAGAAAAAAAATACGAAGAACCCTAGTATACGTAGTAAAGAGAAAAGGGAACAGAAAGACAAGAGAGGAAAAGTGGTAGTGGGCAAGGTAGGTAGGAATCGCTGCGCTTCAGGTCAGTAAGCAAGCGTTGTTGTCGCCGACAAACTAGCCAGCAGGGACTTTTTCCTGCTTTTCCCCCTAAAAATCAAATGGACCCGACAAAGAGAAGACGACGTCGTCGTCTTCCGGCGGTACCGCAGACGATAAATTAGCGTGGCGATAGACAGCGAGCGAACCCGGTTAAGTGGAGACGCAAGATTGGAGAACGTACGAGTTTCTGTGAGCGTGAACGAGTACGAGAATGGGGGGGTGAGGGGGGAATGATTCTTGGAGAAGAGGATGAAAGGGTGAGAGCAAGCAGGAAAGGAAAAATAGAAAGGAAGACTCGCCCCCAGCTTTCAAGGAATTATATTCTACGTACGTACATCTATCTATTCTTCAGGATTACATTGGGTGGTGGGTGGTGAGGGGAAGAAGAAGAGTAACAGTAACCATTCAAGACCATGCTATTATTGTCTATCAGCATCCGGCATCATGTTGGTACTGGAGTACATGGAGGTGCTGCCTCATGGCCGCAATAAGGCTGTCAAATCAGCTGCCAGTTAGTGGCCGCGCGGCGGGCTTCGGAACGGTAACCAGTCGCGTGCTTCTCTTGGCTTGGGGGGAAAAAGTTGGAGGAGGGTTGCGTCAGTGACTAAAATGGTGACAGTCTGTTTATTGCCTACGTCGTAGTACGTACATGCAGTAGATTAGGTCTAGTCAGATGGGCAAGAGAAAACTGGGGCGTAAGTCAAGTCAAGGAACAGAAGGGAATCTGCCCCGTTATCATTGTTTCCTTATACTGAGGATATGTACTGTGCATAATAGAATAGAAATGTGTAGACTACCCTCAATCCATTCATCCTATCTACCGATCTACCGATCTACCGCATCTCCCCATCTGCAGAATGCCACACACACACCCACGACAAAACCCATTGACTTACCCGGTATGCGGCGGCCCCCCCCTTCTCCGCTTCAAAAAGGCCGCTATCACACAATAGTCAATCTGGACCGAAACTCCGATGATGATTTCGGGATGTTGGAGAATTGACAATCCACCAACTACAAAGTACAGAAAGGCACCTGGGGTGGTGGGAATGATTATGGTCCTGATCGGTTTGCTGCATTGAGAATCCTTGGTAGATAGGCAGGAAGGAGAAGGTTTCAGGGGGGTTGGATGTGTCGTTGCTTGGTAGTGGGCGGGCTATGACTAGTAGTATAATGAAAGCTGGCGACCCGCATGAGCCATTGGCGAGAACAAGTGAGGTGACAATAGGTATGTGCGCTGCTGTTGCTGCTGCTGTTAGCCAGGGCATGACTGACATGCGATTGGGAGGGTTCCAGGACTATTGACTTGTCGTGGACTACATGTCAAAGTTGCCCTTGCCCTTGTCTTATAACAGCTACCAATGATGGGGTTGCAATGTGAAAGGCAAGATGGTGGTGGTTATGTTGTCAGAGGAGACCTAGAGTTCAATATAGCGGGACCTAAATAGTTACCTTATTCATCAGAGCTGGAAGTGGAAGGCCGAAAGAGGAGGCGTGTTTTTTCTTTTGAAAAAAAAAAAAAAAAAAAAAAAAAAAAAGGAGCCCTGAGAGATCGAGTGCCTGCCTGGATACCTGAAATGCAGGCCTTACCTGGCTGGTGTCGAGGAGAGCCTAGCCGGGGCTTTGTTGATGCCTTTTTTTGCAGGCCGCAGCACAATCAGGTGCCGTCGGCTGACATAAGAGCCCTACCGAGGGCGCTAGCGCATAATGGGCTAGCGGCATTAGTCATCCGCCCACACAGGGAAATCTCGCTACACCACCAAAAAAATCCCACGACGAACGAGTCCCCGACGACCTGAACCTCATCGACCTGTCGACAAACCCGCGCCCTCCGTCTTGACCGCGCAGCCCCGTCAAGATGAAGCTCAACATCTCCTACCCGGCCAATGGGTCTCAGAAGATCATCGAGATCGACGATGAGCGCAAGCTCCGTCCCTTCATGGAGAAGCGCATGGGAACCGAAGTCAGCATTACCCTCTCCTCCCCTGTTTGAAATGGCACAAGACAAGCAAAGGACGCACTCGGAAACCACAACAAATGAACACCCAAGAATCCTTCAGAACCATACACACACGATCACACACTCAGCGGAAATGGATGAACAGAAATGACTGATTGGGATGAATTTTTGCAATCACAGGTCCCCGGCGACTCCCTCGGTGACGAATTCAAGGGCTACCTCCTCAAGATCACCGGTGGTAACGACAAGCAAGGTACGGATTGGAAACGCCTGTTATCTTCGTCTTTCATCTGCTGCGCCGAATGGGGAGGATCAGGAAAAGTGTGGGGAAGGACTGAGTGGAGGAACGCGCGCAGCAGATTGAAACGACTTGTGTTATCCATTTTGTGTCCAGACCGAAATGCTAACTCATCTCGATAGGTTTCCCCATGAAGCAGGGTGGTATGTACCGACCGAGAAAACAACACTGCAACGCCAACTCATACAGAAGACTTACCGATTCGCCTTGAACAGTTCTCCTTCCTACCCGTACCCGCCTCCTCCTCGCCGAGGGCCACAGCTGCTACCGCCCCCGCCGCACTGGTGAGCGCAAGCGCAAGAGTGTCCGTGGTGGTATGTTGTACCGATCCGAATCCTGAGCATGAACTGGACGGGGATGTGTGTTGACAAGCCATGTTTTCTCCACAGCCATCACCGGTCAGGATCTCGCCGTTCTCGCCCTGAGCATCGTCAAGCAGGGTGAGGGTGAGCTCCCCGGTCTCACCGACACCGTTGTCCCCAAGAGACTCGGCCCCAAGCGTGCCACCAAGATCCGTCGTTTCTTCGGTCTCGACAAGAAGGATGATGTCCGCAAGTTCGTCATCCGCCGTACCGTCACCCGTGAGGGCAAGGCCGACTACACCAAGGCCCCCAAGATCCAGCGTCTGGTCACTCCCCAGCGCCTCCAGCGCAAGCGCCAAAGGGTTGCCCTCAAGCGCCGCCGCGCTGAGGCTGCTCGCGATGCTGCGTAAGTTTCCCCGCCTCACGACCCTTAGGGGGTTTATGGCATTGAAACTCATTCTAACATCTGCAACAGTAACGACTACGCCAAGCTCCTTGCCGGCCGTGTCCACGAGGAGAAGGCCAAGCGTGACGAGCTCCGCAAGCGCAGAGCCTCTTCGATGAGAAAGTAAATGTTTTTCGTCCACGGGGAATAATGGCCGGGTCCTCCCGTCGTCTCGGTTCGGGTGCATGTTGACATTGCAGAGGGAAGAGAAGGGGTTCGGGACGGAAATCTCAGCAATGGGAAGGGGATTTTCCTCCTTCCATCTCGCTACCCTGTCTTGTTCGTGCACTCCAATGGTCGGGACGACGAAGCCCCCCCGGCTCCTTGGGGAAAGGAAAACGGAAAGGAGAAAGGGGGAGGAGATTATGGGCGTCTGCGGGACCGAGACTTTGGCGTGCCAATTTATTTGTTTTATCCAAAAAAATGGAAATGCAATATCCCAAACCTTTTACGGACATGATAAAGGAAAAAATGTGAAAGGTGTTTCTTTTTTTATGTTATTTCCTTACTGCTTCATCACCCGTGATATGGAGGGGGAGGTTCTGCCACTTTTCTAATACCCTGGAGGTTGGCAGTGTGGCACAGATAGAGACAAGAATTTTTCCCAAGGTCGCTTTCGCCCTTGGTTCCGCAGATAACCTTTCTTTTTCATTCTTCCAGTCTCTGGAGATAGAACGTTAGCCGCTACGACTTCCCACTTGACATGCCTCATAAACGAAATCTGTCTTTTGTTTTTCAGAGTATTGTATCCCAACGCACGGTACACCGAGTACACCACCGATCGCACACCACCTGCATCAACCTTGGAACAGATCAAAGACTCTACCACCTCTAATAATAACTATCAATGCAGCAAATCCCGTATCGAATGCCTCCCTCGCGACACAGCCATACCAACCAAGCAACAATTATAGGTAACCTTGAACCTTGAAAGTAGTGGAATCATCCAATGTGCGGGCTCCACCCACAAACCCGCCCAATTGCGGAGGGCCAGCCTTTTTACCCTTATCAATCTCCTAACTTAACCACTTAACCCTCGTCCGTCGGTTTATCTGGCCCGGTCTTTGGCCCAGGGGATTTGGTTATTGCCTTCTCATTATGGTATCACCACCACCACCACCACCACTTCGTCCGTCATAACGGTGGTGAATCATAAGCGTTACTTTGCTGTCTACCTCGTTGGCCCGAACTTCCCCTCAATCGAGAAAGGGGAGAGGCGGGGAGTAGAGAGAGCATACTCAACAGTTGTTGATACAAATCATCGTGGTTTCCCAGTATAGCAGAAACAAATGTGTGGCTTTCATTGAGATCTGCACAAAGCCTAGGGGTAGGACTGCTCAACGATCCTCTCTAATCTCTACAAACTCAAGCTAGTGTTATAAGCAAGGTAAGGGACCTGATTTTGGCTTCTTTGGATAGATGTCCATGGTGCTATATAGGGGAAGCTGGGGTCGGGGAAATCAGATCCGTTTACGAGTCCTTATCTTGCTGTCTGGAATGCTGTCTTTGGCTCGGGACTATGAGGTATAAAACAAAGCCCTGGCGCTGGAAGGTATTACCTTTGCAGTTGTAGGTCGCAGAAGAACTCGTGGCAGACATCGCGAACCTACCTTCTTCGCATTATGAGTTAGTAGTATCCGATATCACATGCCAAACTTTGGCATCGCTAGTAAATCTGCGACATGGCGTCCACCAACGAAATACTACCATCGACATGCAAATCCAGATAACTCTATCAGGTCCATTTCATATTTCATTCCGCTCATAAAAGGGTACTGGTGCTGGTGGGAGTTTGAGAAAAATAGGGCAAAACTCCGAGAGGGGGTTGTGGATATATGTACATTTGCTTGAATTTGAGGTTGATAAACAAAGCAGGGAAAAAAAAAAGAAAACAGGTGAAGAAGAAAATATCAACCTCGACTTTTCCCCTTTGTGAAGTTCTCGACCTTTTCGTATCCGCCCATCCGTCCGTCCATCCGTCCGATCCTCACTATCTCATGTGTTTCATGCAAGTCTCATAACCCAGAAATGCCGCATCAAAAGAAGAAAAATAGAGAAAAGAGAGATGCGGCAAGGAGGGACTAGTGCATTCCGTCCGAAGCCATAGTAGCATAGACTGGAGCTCCGGCGTCAAAGACAATCTAGCCCTCCTTGTAGCATCCATGGAAGAACAAGCTTCTGTTGCAGACTGTAGTTTCCGTAAGAAGCAATGGCTGTCGCCTTCACCTTCATACTATCGAGAACCATTGACGCATTTAGGCGACGGCGTGAGAGAACAGGAAGCTAACAGATTCACCGTTGTGCGTACGTCTGCAAGCCTCAGCAAGGGTGGGGCTGATGTCGATGGTCTCGATCTTGTCGCACTGCTCCTTCTTCTCGGCGTGGGGGACGGTGTTGGTCACAACGACGCGGCTGAGGCAGCTGTTATTGATGTTCTCGGTGGCCTTCCCAGAGAGGATACCGTGAACGACGATAGCGTTGACCTCTTTGGCACCGTGCTGCATGACTGTGTCGGCGGCCTTGACGAGGGTACCGCAGGTGTCAGCCATGTCGTCGACGATGATGGCGATCTTGTCCTTGACGTTACCGACGAGGACCATGCGCGAGACCTCGTTGGGGCGGGGACGCTCCTTGTGAATCAGGGCAAATTGGAGGTCAAGGCGGTCGGCAATAGCGGTCGCACTGTTCACCATTAGAAACATCGTTCGTCATTTATCACAGCAGTGTCAATTGCTTACCGCTTGGCACCACCTGCATCAGGACTGACAATGACGCAATTGGTCACATCCAAGTGTTCCCGGATCCACTTCAGCATGCTAGGCTCGGCGTACAAGTTGTCGACGGGGACGTTGAAGAAGCCCTGGATCTGACTGGCGTGCAAGTCCATGGTAATGACATGGTTGCAGCCGGCCGTCTGGAGCATGTTGGCCATGAGCTTGGCGGTAATCGGCGCACGGCTCTTATCTTTCTTATCTTGACGCGCATAAGGGAAGTTAGGAATGACAGCTGTGATACGTCTAGCGGATGCGGTTTTGCAGGCATTGATCATGATAAGCAGCTCCATCAGGCCGTCGTTGATGTCATTCGGGCGCGTCGACTGCAAGATGAAGACTGCAAATGAAGGTCCTTATTAGCCCCAAGCCCTTTTCCTTACCTAGCAAAGAGGCGGAAGAAGGGGGAAGGTGAGAACGATACCATCCTCGTCTCGCACGCTTTCACCGATCGTGACGCTGGTTTCCTGGTTGGAGTATTGGAGGACCATGATCTTGGTCAATTCAATGCCAAGCCTGCCGGTCAAAGCAACTTGTTAGCCCATGATATGCAGCAGGCCCAAGATAAGGCTCCTTCTATAGCGCATACCGAGCAGCCACGAGATTCGCAAGCTCGGGGTGACTGTTACCAGTCAAGAGCTTGATTGAGTTGGTTGCCATTTTGAGTCGAGATGTGAGAGTTCCGGGGTGGATCGCGAGAACGGGAAGGTGATTGAGACGGTATCCGAGGCGAAGCGAGGTTTCAGGGAAGAGAGAATTGACAATGTCAGTGACCAAGATAGAGCATGCCCGTAAGAGAGGAGAGTCCCATAGACCGGGGAGAAGACAATCAACTGAAGGAGTCAAAGTTCAGATCGAATGCCCCGCCGGCAGGTGACTTTTTCGCCCAGCAGAAAAAAATGCCATCCCGTGACCCCGGACCCACTTCCCCTTACCGCCTCCAGAGTTCCGAACTGGAAGGTGATTGGCTGAGTAATCCAGTCTACGAGGTTCGAGTAACTATACGGAAACTGCAATTGTATTGGATTGTGACCAGGACTGATGGGGAGAAAGTACATAAGCGTAGAAAATAAACCTTTAGACACAGAATCATGGAACAACAAATTGTGAAAGAAAGCAAGTAGAAGGGGAAGCTCTGGACCAACCTAGAGTCCGTAACAAAGCCATCTGACCTGCACTTCAAATGACTTTTGTCGACGGAGTTCTCTGGCCCTGGCCACGCCTCCACAATGATAACAAACCCATCAGCCCAGCATTGTACAAATTAGTCAAAATGAAAAGTTTTCACGAAAACGCCACCATATGCTTCGGCATTAGAGAGATGAGAAAGCATGTTGAATCATGACCCAGTGTTCAAGCAAACAAAAGATAGATGAGCGCCGTCATTTTATGCAAACCCGAAATATTCACTGCCGGCAGTCACCGCCGTGTACAGGCGTTGCCTCAAAGTCTCGTAGCTCTCATACTCGGGCAGATCAAGTTCTATAGCTGGAAGTTAGCATGCAGGGCTTTTTGAAATCGAGGGTCTGTGTGCACACTTACGGTTGAAACACGTGTGGGAACTTGGCAGGCGATCCTTGTTGCCGTAATCCCGATGGATATTGAATCGGCTGACTCCATTCATACCCTCCAGTTCCTTGAAGCCGTTCAATGGTACCTTACTCGTGCCCGTGACGAACTGTAAGAGTTTGGCCCGCTCTTCCAAGTCGAATGAGCGGACAGCACGCCAGAACCATTGAATCTGCGGCGAAGAGGCTGAATAGTTGTGGTATTCAGTGTTGACCTTCCAGTCGTCAACGTCGATTTCAGGCAAACCAGAGATCAGCAACTCGAGCTCCTGCTCGTTGAAGATTGAAATCAGATCGGCAGGAATGATCTCATGGAAACCCTTTAGGAAGTTGTCTAGTTGCTCCTTGACGGATCCAATCAAACGATAATCAACGACACGTTGTACGTATTCCTCCTTGTTTTCTTCGGTGACGGGGATGTTGCTACCGTTCTCAATAAGGTCGATTACCTGCTTTTCACCAAAGGCATCCGTCTCGACAGCAAACGTCTCGGTAATAATGTCTGTGATATCGTTCTCGAGCATCCACAGAAGAGACTTATAGTAATCGAGATCCAAAGTCTCCATGTCCTTGATAGACACTGACCGACTGAGAATGCACTTGTAGACTGCGCGACTGAAGTGGCAGTCAAGGACGCGGCCTTCATACAAGGCCTTGCCGATGATCCGTCCAATAAACTTGAAGAACATGAGATGCTCGGAATTGACACCACTTAGGCGGTTAGGGTGGAACGTAGTTCGGTCCGAAGCAACAGGGATGAACAGAGCGTAGTTGGGGTTGAACATGCCACGCGCGAGGACTTGGAACCATTCTCTAGTCACACCACCTGCATCGACACCCTCCTCACCATGGAAGCGCACGTTCAATTTTCCAAACTTGAGCTCGTCCGCCGTCTTGAAATACAGAGACTTGAATGAGTCGAGGAAAACTTGATCACGTCTAACAGACAGCTGGAGAGGCGGGTGAGGATGACGAGGCTCCGCACCACGAGAGTGCAAGCGTCGTGTAAAGTAGTTGCGCTTGTTGTCGAACTCGAGTACCTTAGGGTTCTTGACCAGTAGCGAGAATGTGCCACTCATTAGTCGGGGGTTCTGACGGACGAGCTCGTTCAGAATCTTGCGATGCTCCTCGGTGAACTTGAAGAAAAGACTCTCCATATTGAGACCCGTATCTACTGAAGTGCTCGCAACCGAAAGCTCACGGCTGTTACGCGAGATAGACGTATCCTTCAGCGTGGTGTTCTTGCACACGACCATCAAGGCTTCAATTAGAGGCAGAAGAATCGTCGCGACATTTAGCATATTCTCTTTCTGTCGGATAACGGTCAAGCATTCACTCAATCTGGTCCACAATGGTCCAAATGTGGCACATTCGTACAAAGTTTGCATGACGTCCTCTTTGGCAGCACTGTTCTCAGGCTCAATTCCTTTGATCTTGTCGGCGCGGTTGGGATCAAATAGATAGTCTAGCGCCGTCAAGACTCGCAACAGTTTGGCCTGATCGGAGCTGGCTGGGGAGAATTTGGCCAATGCCAAACCCTGCATATCAGTGCCAGTCCGGGCCTGATGAATGTGCGACAACAGTTCGTCTAGGTCTGTAAGGATGACTGTACTCAAAGTTTGAGCCTGTCTGACCAGCTCGTTTCCAATGATGTCCCTTGCTCCCGGGACAGCAGACAGGTTGTTGATGGTAGACAGCGTGTCTCTGAACGTCTTGCCATTGCACTCGCGGGCTGCAAGAATATGCACCACCAATTGTAGATTATGATCAGGGACAACGGGTGGCTCAATAACCTTCTTCTTATGCTTCTCCTCCTCAGTCGAACTCTTTGCCTTGTCACTTGTGATGGCGTCAGTCGAGGCCCCCTCTTCGGTAGGTACCGACGTCTGAGTGGTCTCGACCGTCGGGACTGGAGCATCCGTCATCGTGGCATCTGCGGTAGAGCTTGGTTGTTCCATAGAAGCGCCTTGCTGCTGCTCGCTAGAGGTTTGCTCAGGCTGTGCTTGCTCGGATTTCTTGCCTTTACTCTCTTCCTCTTGCCTCTCTTTTTCACGTCGAAGTAAAAGAGTCAGAGGCTGAGTAATGCTGCTCAAGAGACTGGATAACTGCTCCATGCAGTTGGGGTTCTCCATAATCAGCCTGCGGTCGAGAAGAGACAACAGTGCATTGAGCGCAAACTTGTTTGCCTTGTTCTCCTTGCCCTTGCCTTTGCGGAACGCCTTGAGCTTTAGTGAAGACGATGAGTCGTGCTCCGTAAGGAAGAACCATGCGATATGGGGATTGTATTGAGACAGGAATGACAGGGTTCCCAAGCATTGCTGCACCACCATGGTCGGAGTGACTTCATTGCTGACGTTCGATGAGGCCTGGAACGAAAAGTTGCGCTTGATGGATTGAGGCGTCTTCTGAACAGAAGATGGCTTGGCGCGAAGCGAGAGCTGAGCAAAGCTACGTTCAATGGCAGAAACATCCCCACTTCCATCTTGCAAGACAGAAAGAAGGAGACTGATGACTTCAACCCTGTTCTGACGGTTTTCACATACGTTGTGTAGAATGTCATTCAGTTGATGACGGGCATTTCCTTGGAGAGGCATGAACATCAGACGCAGTAATGTAGCAACGCCGGCTTTGTCAAGCATTTGGACGATTTGACGCCGCTGCTGTTTCTTCGGCTCTTGATCATCAGCTGGTTCATTCCTATGGCGGTGCTCAACTCTGGTGACATCGTCGAATTGCTCCAGACGTCTGCCGGGCAAAGCACGAGCTTCAGCGACAAACTCCGGACCCAGGGTCGCAAGGACTTCTTCAGGTTGATCAGCAAGGATAGCCTGTCGCAAAGAGGGATTAAGGGTTGCGAAGAAATCGGGTACATCCATCTCGCCGGCGTGGACCTGGGTGCCTTCGGTCGTAGCTTGTCTGCGTGCACTGTCACGCTCACGGCGGCGACGATCAGCTGCCTCTTGCTGCAGTAATTCATCGCGAATCTCCGGAGGCAGAGCTTCCAAGAATTCTTGATTGATCTCAGTGGGCTCCTCGCCAGCTGCAGCAGCTTGGGAACGTTGCTCGGCGAGCTGCTGCATGATGACTTCCTCCCTTAGTTCTTCAGGTAGGGCTTCCAGATATTCGGGGTCGATTTCCATTCCGGTGATATCAACCTGACGTCCTCTGATTGTCGTGTGCACACGAGGTGCGGGCTCCGATGGACCTGATTCCGCTTGGACTGGCTCAGCAGCTTGGGCGTCTGCACCGGTTTGCTGCACATCGTCCATTGGCTCTGTGTCAACACCCGCGGCCCGGCGCTCTGCTTCCTGACGCTCAAGTTCTTGCTGCCTCCGGGCATTCTCTTCTTCTTCCTTTTGCTTGCGCTCTTTTTCCTCTTGCTCGCGTGCAATACGCTCTTGACGCTCACGCTCTGCACGTTCTTCTTCCTTCCGCTTGCGTTCTTCTTCTGCCTGTTTCTCAAGTCTCTTTCCTTCCTCAATGGCTGGTGGGACCAGAACCTTCAGGAGCGAATTAATCACGCGCTGCGTCTTCTCGACGTAGTTGTTACTGAACAGGATGCGAGCCTCCTCTTGCCACCGGGTCCTGGTAGGGGCTAAAGCGAAGCTCACAGCCTGGGAGGGATCGTCTCTAGACCGAGAAGGTGCGGTCTGCTGTCGACCGAGCCCGAAAATGTCTTGAATACGGCTAGGAAGAATAGCGCGCCGGTCGACATGAACATGGATACCATCCGGACGAGTGACAACACCAAATCCAGGAGCTCCTTGATTCCCGATGGCTTGCATGATTGCATTCATGAAGCTCACAGGACTGTCCATGGGGAGAAGACGGCCCGTTGATACAGGCTCCATGCCATGGACCCAATCAGTGAATGCCTCATTACCGGGCCCGCGAGGTTGGCCAGTAGCGTCAGAGCCACGGTCAGTACGAACAAGAAGAGGATTCGTTCCGTCGTCAGCGCCCCCTCGGGTGGGAACTTGTGTTCGGTGAAGCCGGTATGGCGGAATAGGAACAATGCCGTGGCGATTGGGAACAATTCCTGTGACAGCAGCCCAGGCTGGTTGAGTGCCACGGAATCGGTGGTGATGGCCGCGGGGAGGGTGATCGTCACCGTCCCAGCCCCATGGGTCAATGAGATCATCCTCGTCGTCGAACCCTTGATAGGAGCCTTGATCATCATCGGCATCCTCGAGTTCCTCCTCTAATTCATCAATTTCCTCATCGTCTGGTACGAAATTAGTACACCATAAAATACAGTAACAGAGGAGAAACTGGGGCTACTCACCTTCATCTTCCGCCAACTCATCGTCGACCATATCGTCATGCATGTCGTCAAGGCTATCAGCTTGCAAACCTTCAACGCCACCGGCAGCCTCGTTGAGGACTCGGAACAAGTCATCAAACCGCTGTCCATCGCCACGTTGATCGGCTTGTCTGATACCATCTAGCTCGTCTTCGAACTGATTCATGATCTCAGCTTCCTCGTCGTCTTCAGACATGTCTTCGCTTTCCCATTCGTCCTCATCTCCTTCCTCCAGACTGTCGTTGTCATGGTCACCAGTGATTTCACCTGCAAGGATATCGTCATCATCCATCTCAGAGACGTCGTCATCCTCATCATCGTCCTCGTCGTCTTCATCATCTTCCTCGTCATCGTCGTCATCAAGAACGACTTCGATGTCCATGCCGTTGTCACCGGGAAGACCCTCAATAGGCCCCATGCCCTCAATCTCATCTTCATCACTCACCACCTCGCCATCATCTTCTGGCAATTCATCGTCGTAGTCCATTTCTTCGTCATATTCATCGTCATACATTTCATCATCTTCCTCCTCGGACTCTTCAGAGCTCGTTTCTTCTTCATGACGAGGCTCCAGCATGCCAAGCGTAGAATGGCGGAACAGGTCAGGGGTCTCTTCACGGTCCTCCTCAATATCCGATACCGATGTGGCCGATGAGATCTCGTCGTCCTCGGTTTCGCCTAGGGTAGATATATCTGACGTTTCGCTTAGAATGACCGCTGTTTGTGTGAGTTTGTTTAGAGGCCGTAGGATATACTTGATGACCCGTTTAGATGCCGGGAAGTTGAGATCGATCTCTGCGACCGAGGCGGTGAGGGCAGAAATGAAATGCTTCTCGAACATGGTCTTCGCTAGCTGCCTGGTAGACGATGGAAAAGCCGAGTCCCCTGAGACGAATGCGTACCCGCTGAGCATTTTGTCGAACAGATCCGCAAGAGACATCAATCTGGAGTACTTTGCATCCAATGGCTCGCTTGAAGTGTTCGCCTCTTTGTAAGATCGTAGCGCATGCTCCAGAACGAACCTCCTGACGAAGGCGAGTTCGGGCTCGTCATCTTCGTTGAGATTCTGCTCGTTACGGCGCCTTCCGGGCCCGCCAAACTCACCGGTTTTAGTGCACAGAGCAACAAGCACACGCATTGTCCAAGCAGACGTGTTGCTGCGCTTTTTGAACGCAACGGATTCATCATGTTCCATGGTCCCAACAGGTACGAGGACGTTGAGGAGATAATTCAAGATTCCGGAGCGAGGCTTCGAAGGAGTTGTTGCGAGAGGATCTGCTTTGCGTGAGAAGTTGATGAATTCCACCTTGGTTCTATTGTATGACGAAAGAAGCTCCGTCAAGCATTGTAGGAGGAAGCAGCGATAGATATAAATGGGGTGATCATCAGCCTTGAAAACAGGCTTATCTAATTTCTTGGAGCTTCGGCTGCCTTGTGCGTCATTACTAGTGACTGATGGCAGTGGCTCGTCAACGGACATCTCAACATCGGTCTGTGTCTCGGACTGATCTGGAGCAGTTGGGTCTGCAGTTTCGGCTGGGGGTTCCTTGTCATCGACATCTTTGTAAGACAAGAGCTCAGAGAGGAGATAGTGGATGACACCATCTGGGTTCTCAACCACAGGTGGTTTGAGATCAGTAGCCTTCGGCTTATCTTTATCCTCGGCAGTTGACGCCTCGCCGGACCGACCCTCAGCGCTGCTCGAATTCTCGGCTCCTTGCTTAGCTGTGGACGAAGTCTGTGGGCTATTGTTCTTGTCATTCTTTAGCACGAGGACCTGGGGGCGTTGCCGATTATCAAATCGCTGTAGCTTGAGTTTTTCGTTGGTAACCTCTACAAAGATCTCAGGAGACCTCAGCACAAGATGATACATCTGCCGTACATAGCCGGTGGTGTCAATTTGGCGAGCAGACTTGGCTTCGAAATTGGAAACAATTTCACTCCTCATTATCTGGCGAATTGTGTCCTCATCTTCCACAATATGTCTCAGAATCAACATGAAAGCTGCCTGCAACTTTTCATTCGTGGCACTGGACAACTGCTTGACCATGACGAACAATCGCTGCAGGCTGCGCTTCTCGCCTAAGCGGACGGCGATGTTGCGGCTCCGAGTGAGGATCACGAGAATTCGGCAAATGGAAAGAGCCAAAGTGTCATCTTTCCCAACCCTAGGCAGGACTTCGACTAATGCCTCGAACAATTGCATCTTCTGGTCTGGTGAAACAAGCGCATCTTCCAGGTGAGCAGGTGTCTCGTCGTCTGCATTTGCAACATCGTTGCCCGGTAATGTCCAGCGAATCTGAGGAGGCTGACAGTCATCTGAAAGCAGTTTTTCAAGGACAAGCAATACATGCCCGATCCAGGGGAACGTTTCATCCGTGGTTCTCTCTGGAGTTACTTGGATAAACCCAAGGAAGGTCGAGAAACAAGCTTTGAGCTCTCCCAAGGCAGCATTGTACATGTCGCGGTCTTGGACAACCAAAGCAAGAAGATGAGCATAGGCGGCTACCTTCTTGCCAGCTGCCTGGAAATTATCCATCTGTAGTGAGACTAGGGACTGAACCAAGATCTCGCCAACCTCTCTTCGGAAGCTTTCTGGATCGCGATGTTTCCTGGTAGCAGACGCGATGAGGTCGGCCAACTCGAAAGACACATCGTGGTGCTCGTTGAGAACGTCCAAACAGCGCTCAATCAAATTTGATCGAACCTTCTCACGTTCTTTGTCCAGGTCTTCGATGGTGACCACCTCGCGTCGCCTTGTCGGCTGTTCCGAACGCTGCTCAGCAGATTGAGGGGCTGTTTGATTTGAGGGTCCGGAAAGACTGCCTTCAGCAGCTGAAGTGTTGCGTGTGATCATGCTTGAGGGATGTCCACGGCCGTCATCCCCTAATCCGTGCTCGTCGTTAAGGATATGAGTCAGTGCTCGTGCTAAGAATTCCGTGCCAGCACTGACTTCACTCTCTTCGTTTCTATCTTGATTCTGCTCATGACGTGATCCGTCGTCTGTCGGTCGGCTCGAAGCCTGTTGCAAAAGCCTGGCAAGCGTAGACCCACCGAGCATCCCGCTGCTGCCGAACGGAGAGTCACTTGCAGCATCTTCAGCTGGCTCGCCTTCGGATGACAAGAACGAACGGATAGACTCGATGTCGTTAGGTGGCGGCGATGCTCTTTCCGGGGCCCGCAACCAGCTTTGTGCCCTACAGTATTCTTCGGCAGCGCCGAGCTGGTTGTAGCATCGATACATTGCCTCCTTCGCAAGATCGCTGTCGAAGCCTTTCTCCAAGAGTCCATTGAAGCGATCCTTGACTATGACAAAGGCTCGTCGACTTACGTCAACCAAGGCAGGCGGTGTATCGGATTGTCGAGCTGCTCCCGCCTCATGCTCTCCATCCAGCGAGGAGCGTAAGATATCAATCAGACACTTGACCACAGAACTAGACGACTGAGTCGCGAAATCAGAATTCCACATTTCACGAGCCATTGGCAAGATTTCCATCCGGAGGTCAACAAGGAACTGGGCTGGTTGAAAGTAATCTGGTCGGTCTCGGTCCCGATCACCGCTTGTTGTCATTGCTTGGGTTTGGCTAGAGTCGATTATATTCTTGCCTGACGCGAGCTCAGAGAAGAAACCAAGAATAATCTTGATACCACCGTATGCAGAGGTGAGTCTCGCAGAGACATCCGTCTCAGACTCTGGAACATTTTCGGGTGGCGTGAGCGCCTTCACTTCTTGCACAAAGAGGTCGCAAATATCTTTCATCGCTTTCAAGCCTTGGAGTCTTTTGAATGCGAATAGCACCATTGTCAAATAGTGTGCATGTGGACGATCTGGCGTAACTATATTATAGAAAGAATTAGTTGTTCTGTTGTTAATGGTCAAGATTCGTGTAAAAATAGACACTCACCCTCGAAAAGCAGGTGTGAGAATGAAGAGAGTATGACTATGAGGTAAGCGAAGCGTAGTTTCGAGCTCTGACTTGATTTCGGAGGCTGGAACTGCAACTGCTCAAGCACAGCGTGCGCAATAGCCTCGGCCACCGAGGTTGCGTTCGATTTCTGGTATTGATCGTATCTCTTCTTTCCGCTTAGACCAAGACCTAGATTGTGGAAAAATCCCGTAATAGAGGAGGGCAACGAGCTCAAGAGGTAGCGAAGAGCTTGCGCATTCTTGAAAGCCACTCCGTTATCAGGTGCCTTGGGCGAGCTCACTTTTGTCTCCTGCGCACCACCTACTTGAGCAGTATCGCTGGCAGCTGAGCTCTCGACTTGGGAGTCCCCGCTGGGGCCATGAGCACCATCGCCGGGAGTTGGCTGCGCCTGAGCATCTGTAGACTTCTCGGAAGAACTAGCGCCAGATTGGTGTACTTTCGTGGCCTGATCCCAAGTATCAGGTATGTTCTTCTCGAGCAAAATCTCCTCCCAAACACAAGCGGCATGCAGCCCTCCCAGTTTCTTAACAAGAGAACAATAGTGGTCGGCTAGATTCACTTGAACGAAGATAGGGAGCTGTAGACTTGGTCGAGATTGGTACAAGGGCATGGAGAATATTTCGCGAAGGAAGTCTGTCAAAACAAGAGCCGCACCCATGTGCTTGACCAGATAGGTCCCATTCGTCAAAACGGGATGAAGCGCCGCTTTGCCCTGTTCCTCCGACCCAGACTGAGACGATTGCCTTATCAAAGGACTGAAGAAGCCATTGCGAAGATTCTCGGACTCCTGCCAGAAATCAGAGAGCCTGTCGATCGCTCGCTCGGTCCGCTGCAGAAGCGATGGTACGACCACATGGGGTTTGGTTTCTGCCAGCATGTGCACGAGAACAGCAAGCTCTTGATTGGCCTCCGTATTATGGAAATCGAAGGGAAGGCTCTGCAGCATCGCAAAGTCCAGGATGAACTCCGCGGCGCCGGACTCAATGAAAGATGTGCAGTTGGCTTGGTTCTCAAAGAACGCACCCAAAAATCGAACAACAGGATAGAGGTAGTCTGTAGCCGTAAGACCACTATCATCTGTATCCTTGGGTTCAAGTTCGTCGTCTGAGTTCGGCAGAATCTGACTTAGGTCGCCAACCTGTAACTTTCCGCCGTTCGGAAGCAGGTCGGAGTTCAGATACGGAACCCCAAGCGAAGACTGAGCATCAGAAATGTCTTGGACTTCACCTCCGATCGCGTTCAAAAGATGAGAAGTTGATCCCGCAAGAACAGGCTTGCCCTGCTGGCCTTCCGTCCACAACTTCGCTCCCATACCATGTGACCAGGCTTTAGATTTGCAAAGAAGCCCCACACGGGCGACCATCACTATGACAGCAGTCATGACATGAGATTTCAACGCTGGATGGTGACGCACGAGCTCGTCAAAGGTAGTGCCTAAGGAGCGGACCAGATTAGGATCGTCTTTCAAACACTTCACATGCTCCGGGTTCTCGAATATTTCGAAGAAGCTCTCCAAAGCATGAGACGATTGAAACAGGTCCAATCCTGATGAATTAAGGCAAATGGCTCCGAATGCTGAAGGCACGCAAGAAAGAGCCTCTGCGGCAGACATAATCCCTGGAGCCAGTCGCGCATTTTTCGGTCGTGCAATGCTATAGACTCGGGGGGCTTTGTCCTTGTTCGTTTTGGTTTCAGATGCTCCAATACTTGTGGCAGTTGAAGGCTCAACTCCAGCGGAGACATCCTCTACCTCGGCTGCTGGCTTTTCAGCGACCTTCAGCTCGGAGAACGTGACTGCTTCCAACAGACTTCTACTAAGTCCAGCCTCAGCAATGACTGCGTAACTGGTGGGCTCGTTATGGATGAAACTGCTGAGGATATTGACTGCATTGCTCCAGACATGAGAGCCAAACACCCGGGCATTCTCAAGCACCAGCCTCAGGGACGTCAGTAGCTGAGGCGAGTCGATCAGGTTTCGAAGGACACGGTCAAAGCCACCGCCATTGTGTTGCATGATGTGATTGACAAAACGGAACATCCAACGAAGGGTTTGTTGCTGGAAATAAGGTATTTGATAGTCAATAGAAGGTGTCTTGTGCTGCGGGGGAAGTCCTGTTCCTTGTTTTACATGCTCGAAAGAAGATTTGGTTTCATGATCGATCAAGTCTGAGATTGCATCAAATCCCTTCGAACTAGTAAGAGTACCAAGTGCATCACGAACTGCGTGGACGAAGGTATCCAGGAATTCCATGACCCTGGAGTAGACACGGCGGGCCTTTTCAGTCCGTAGCTTCAAGACATCCACGAACATTGGGATCAAACCGGCGGAAACAAGGGTCTCGGGAGTCCTGGAGCTCGAACCGGGCAGCGTCCGCAACAAGGCAAGCAAAGCATCCCGCCACTCATCCTGGCTACCGTCATCGTGCTCATTGTCCTCAGCGCCCAGCTCGTTGACTACTTTCCGGGTGAGAAACATCAAAACACCATGATTCACATTCACACTTAAAGCAGCACAAACGTCAATAGCACGAGCCTTGTGTTTCGCAAGGGCATCAAGGGCTTGGAGCGCCAATGTCTGCACAGTCCGTGAGACTTCCAAATCACCACTCGCTCCAAGATGAACAAGTTCGGCTAATTGAAAAGCAAGCTGGAGACGCTTGGGCTGCTCCATATCATACTGAAGTATCTTCTGTTGGAACAGCGGCTCAGGGTATACATAAGCCAGATTGGTGAGGGCAAGGATTCGGGTAGCCAAGATCTGCTCTCTGCTGGCTCGAGATGTTGCCAATCCTTGAGCAGTGCGGATTTTGTGTAGTAGTTCATACTTGGACTCATCTGGAACCTCTCCCACATGTGCCGCCACAAGATCTTCAGCCTTGGACGATGAGATCTTTGAGTAAGGAATATCAAGATTCGTCCCGCCTCGTAGCGCTTCGTCTGGCTTCGCAGGGGTGGCGATCACAGAACTGGGTGATTCCTCGGTAGTGGACAGACGACTCAAGCGCGGTGTGGGGTGAGTATGACTCCTACGCAGCGGTGTTGGGGTAGTAGGGGGCTGCACTGAAGGGCCGCCGTTACCGGCTTCAAATAACGCCTTTGCTGGCTCCGATGTTCCAGATGGATAATAAAGCAGCCGCACGTTTCCCCACTCATCCCAGCTGTCATTCTCGCGTGTCAAGGTGACTAGATCATTCGCATTGTGTTTAGTCTGGGGTCCTTTCTCCTTCACCTTAACTCCAGCAGCAGGCGACACCCCAGTCATGTTAGGGACGGAAGGACGAGGGAACGGCGCAGCGATCTTTTGCAATTTCTCCAAGTCAATATTGTAGTGAGCTGCTAGCAAGCTCTGCTGAAGATGGGAGCCACCCCGATGACGTGAATGATACCTCTGTGCCAGACAGAGCGACAGGCGTAGAGTCGACTGGAGGAGGGAAGGCGATGTGGTGTTGAGAAGGTCTCCGAGGCGTTCACTGCTGCCATACAGGCTGCGGTTGCCGCATTTTTCCAGCAAGAGCCGGGAAAAGTCGATGATCACCTCCAGCAACTCCCTATCTCCTTCAGGCCCATACTGAAGAGCCTCCAGCTTGGAATCGACATCCTCTGAAGCTTCAGCATTGTCACCTGCCGCATAGCACTGTACCAAGAAGTCTCTGCGGAATGACTTGGTCTGCGGGCCTTGGTTGAGGGTATAGGTTTCAATTACAGATGCAAGAATCTCATCGAATCGGTTGAGAACGTTGATCCAATGATACAAGTCGCCTCTGGGGAAGGGCCATAGACGAGAGAAGCTGTTGAGATGCGAGGGGAGCTCGGGGATCGAGATAGTCGTAGCACGAGTGATGAATTCCGCTAGATATGGTGACTGAATGCGAAGAGAGCGAGAAAATTTTTCAGTTAGGCTTCACATCAACAGTGATGGCACGCGGGGTTAGGGTAAGAGGTACTTACGATCGTGGCTTCATGTTTCTGGCTCGCGACCTTTTTAATTCTCCCCATGATTACGGTTGTGGGAGCTGGTAATCATGAGGGGTTGTACAGGATTTGATGGACACCTCTTGAAGAGGGTGGGGGTGGTTGGCCGTGTAGACCGGGTCGCGGAGCAAGTCGCGAGAAGGCCTTATGACGTTTTTTTCCGGCTCCCTTCTGCCTCCGGCAAATTCAAAGAGTGAAGCGGTCAGGTAAACAGCTCGGAGCGTTGGGCGCGAGTTTGAAGAAAGAATGCGAAGAACTCTGCCCGACCGAAAAAGTTGAGAGTGGGAGAACGTAGAAGATAAGGTAAGGATCGGGAGGAGCGGCGTTCGTACTGTACCGCTGGCGATGATCAAGGATGACAGGGAACGGTGCAGGTCGTTGCCCTGAAACTCTGATCTCGATTTGGGAGGATCTTAGAAGTCGAGAAGGGAAAAGAATCGATAGCCACGCCTTGGTTAAAGGGTGGGAGAAGAATGTGTTGTTGATGAGAAAGGAGAAGGAGGTGGGGAGGGGAAGTACTGGGTGAGAGGAAGAGGAGGAGGAGAAGGAAGAGTGTTGCTTGCAGCTGGAAGGTTCGTGAAATTATGCCGATAATGGACTGGGCGGGAGCTTCTCTGGCGGGCGGGCGCGGCTTTGGCAGTTCCAAGTTAGGACGCCGCTCTCCCTCCAGTCTCCCCTTCAAGGTTCAACTCGCAGTTGGAGCGTCCGGAGCGGGTCTTCTTCTTTCCCCGCCGCCAACATTCAATTTATTGCATAGAGTCTAAGGCGGAACTGAGGCTCATGGCTGAAGGCCCTACGCGACAAAGTGAATATGATACCCCATGGTCACTCACTTACTAGTTAGGTAGCATATCAAGACAAGTCATTCATTGAATCAGTGCTACATCTACTACTCTGGTTAATCACACCGTGTTACTCGTAGTTAGTAATATGCTTGTATTATCCATCTTAGGCTATTGCTGCTAGGGTAACTTGATATATACTCCCCTAAAGCCCTATTTCGCATTCAGATCAATGAGAATGTTCAACCTTAGATCCGCTCACTCTGACACTTGACGCCTTCCAGTTTCTAGCCAGTTCAATTATCAGTTAGTTCATTTAGATTTTATCTCGAAATTTGTGACATGAGTGGATACCGATAAGGCTGGGCTTGGGAACAGATGCATCAGGCAACGCAAAGAAATCCATTCAACTCAAGTCTTCTGGCACTGGGCAACAGAATCAAAGGCAAAGACAGTTTATATATGGACAGGCTAATCCAGCACACTATATTACACACTGAAGTATTTTTGCCAATTCCGCCAACCCTTAGTTCATTGCAAGAGGCGGCAGCTCTCCGTCCCACTGGATCTTCATTGTGGAAGGGAAGGGCCAGAAACTGCTCTGATCGGCAGTCATGTAAATAGTTATCCCTCCGTGGCTTGGGATCTTCTTTAACTGGCCTTGAGGGCCAGGAGCACGTCGGAGACCATTCAAGCCGCATACAACCTTAAACATAGTCGTGAGTGCAAGCTTGCAGAGACTCATGCCAAGACATTGGTGCGGTCCCCATCCGAAGTGAGCATATGCGCTCATGTCACGGTCAAGCCTGACCGTCTCGGGCTCCGGAAAACAGACGGGATCCCTGGAAGCGGCAACCTGTCATGCAATGTTAGCACATCCGTGTAAGGGTGTTACGTCGGGATTTCTGAGCCCCTATGGTTCACTTACCAAGTTGCAATACACCAACTGGCCGGACTTCAATGTCAATTTCTTCCCGGCATCTTCAATCACCGTAGGCTTTGCTACATAACGTGGCAAGGCCACGGAGGAGCGCAGACGAGCACCTTCCATGAAGCTGCAGCGAGTTGTTAGTACCAATGATGGATATTCGATGTCAGCAACTCTGGAGGTGAGGTAGATCTTACTATCTTAGCAATAGGTCATCGGCTTCAGGTGTATCTTCCTTAGCAAGCCGATTGATCTCTGGCAGATGAACTGAGCCCTCTTCTGACAAATAGTAGTCAAGACATTGCGAGAAGAGTTGGGCCTGGTTGGCGACCATTCCGCCCGCAGTCGGCAGAATGTGAGTCCAAACGATTTCTACCGGAGAAATCTGACTTTCGAGCAGGCGCTGGATCATGTGAGTACCATATTCGCTTAGAATATCATGCCGATGCAGACTGTGAACCAGGCTCTGAATGTAACCAGCATTCCTGACAAAATCGACATTGGCCATCGTGAGCTCTCCGAGCTGCTGCGTCACGCTCCGTGCACCTTGATTAAGCTCGAACGACTTTCCAACATCTGCGTCGTAGAAGATCGACGCGAACACAAGAGCCATAATCTCATAAAGCTCTTGCTCGGTAAAAACACCCCTTGGGTTCGATGAGGTCTTTAACGGCAGAGAGAACACATTCGCGCAGAAATGAACCTGCGCGAGATTGGCGACATCGCGAACAATATCGACCTGATTGACACCTGCTATCTGATAGGAATGCTGATGCAAAAGTTTCAAAGTGATGTTCTCGTAGAACCTTTTAGTCTCACTCTCCCACTTGTCACGGTAGAGAGCTGTTCCCATCATCCTCCGGGACGCAGCATTTGGTGGTTTGTCTCCGGACAGCATGAAGTCCCGACCGTGAGGTTGGCTATTGTGACGCATAAGAAACTCAATCTTCTTGCCCCATGTAACCTTGAAAGTCTCTTGATCGCTGAGGATAGCCATGCAAGCGGCGTTCGAGGAGATGAATTGAGGAGGTAAGGTGAGACTGGGCCGGTCCCAGCTGTAGTCGTCAAACCGACCCAAATCCTTAAGAATCTTTTCGTTCTCGGATGGAATGACAAGAGGAAAATGAGCATAGACGGAGTTACCGGCAAAGGTGTTGGGGAATGCACGCAAGACAAGCTTGTAAAAAACATGTCCTTGATCGACAGTGTCCTGGTATTGGATCTCTTTGTATGCCCAGTTCGTGAGATTTTTCGGCGTATAGTCAACAGTGTAGAAACGATCACCGCGGACCAATGCCACGGCATCGGAGAGGATAGCTCTCGATATTGTGTAGTTAGTACACAAACCGCTTCCAGGGATTGTCGACTCTTTCGCGTCTTCCACAATAATGCCTGGGTAGATCTCCACCAGGTCGGGATGCTCGTACAGCCTCTTGAGCTGACCGGAGATATATGGGTCAGAGTTGATCTCCTCAAATGTCTTGTAAGGAGTGAGATTGAAGTATTTCCGGAACTCGTTCAATGTGGCTAAGTTCCAGGAACGGGCCTGCATGATGCCCAGGGCTTCAATGTTGCGGAAGACTGAAGGAACATTCGATGCCCCAAAGGCACCTGCGCAGTCCTCAACACTGTCTGCAAACAGCTTGGCGAGTTCACCTTCGTCCAATGACCCGTCTTCCTTGCGCTGTAACCCAGCAAATGGGCGCTCTGAAGGTTCTGCCGGTAGGCGAGCTTCCCACTGACCAACCCCTCGCAGAAACTCTCGTAAAGAAATGTGCTCCGGTTCCTTCCCGGGGAACAGCTCGCGATACATATCCTGCGTCCATTTTTCATCACGTTTGGAGATACAAGAGTGCCAGCGATATACGAGGTTGAACTCAGCAGAAACCTGATTGCCAGTTGCCTGTGCCGGTGCCTCGCCAAGAAGACCATCTTGCATCTCTGCGCGAGGATCTAAGCTCCAAGTGCTGTCTGTTCGATTGATGTTCAAGATCGTGCGGACGTAGTCTTTCAATATGATGTTGATATACAGACCGCAGGTCACCAGCCGGGCAGTCTGGAAGAGGTCGTTGTCGTATTTCGCATATGCTTTAGCATTTGACTCATCTGGTTTAGTGAAGCGGCCACCCTCATTGATGGTAGCCAAGTTCTCGGCCACATAATTATGGAACCGATTGAACATGATCAGAAGGACGCCGACACCTGGAGGAAAGCCCAGGATACGTTTGCTCGAGAAGCAGTCCGGCTTCAATCTTCCATCCTTGAAAGTCCTTACTTGATTTTGCTCGTCTTGATTGTTGCCGTAAAGTGGCGAGAGATCCAGGTAAGAAGAGGTCAAGCTCACGGTATAATCTTTGCGGTCCGTTTGGAAAAGATCTCGAAGCTTGTCAGTTTCACTTCAGAAAATGAACCAAATCTTCAGACTTACCGTGAATAATAATAGACGCAAGGTAGAACAAGATGCTTGAGATCTTGTTTGGGTGCTCCTTATAATCCTTCCGCTCTAAAAGAGAGGCAAAAAGGGTCTCGGCCTCTGGGAGAGAAGGAGATTGCATAGTCGTTGGGCGCACAGATCTGGCATAGTGAGAGCCAGCAGCACCAATGTGGGGCCATAAGTAGTTCTGAATGGTCAGTATGAGTCTCTTCGATCGAAGACTTGAAGTAGATACATACATTGCCTGAGCCGTCCGCTTGCCGATACACGTAGTCTGAACCGAGATAGCTACCGTTGGTGTAAGTTTCATGGTTTGCACGTGGTCTCTGTTCCTTTCAATCCACTTACGAGACTGGCGGGTGCTCCAGGTCGTTCCAAAGTTGTTTGAGGAAGGTGTTTGTCAAGGTCTTCGCATTCCGCGAGGTAGAAGGTAGGCCGGAAGCGAGCTAAAGAAGGGTTAGATGGCCCAGCTTTAAATAGAGAAACAATTCACTGACTTGAATCACCCGCTCCATGATATAGTGTCTATCATTGAGCGGCTCCCCTGTTGCAGTATCTTTAACAATCTCCAAAATGGCCTTGATGTTGTCAAGGTCAACATGGCCAAGGTCCTTGATGAACCCTGTCTGCACCTGCTCAGTGACGTATGTCCCATCGCCCGTCGTCGTAGGCAATGGCCGTAAAGATGCTGAAATAACCTTTTCAACCTGGGATATTTTAGTCCCAAAGCCGTTTAGGAGGGTTTGGTCCTGCTTGGTAGCCATGGCGGGCTATCTCAAGCCGTGTAGTATACAAGCGGGCGATCCTTCACACTGCGGTAGGTCTCAGTTATTTGCTTCGGAATATCCTTTCGCAAGAATGCCCATGCCAATTGAGCCGTCGGTCCCACCCGACTCCCCGGAAAATTTGCTTGCTGGCCTGTTCCAAAGTACGAGAACGAAGAACGCATCGGGATAATCTGGCTCACCTGGTGGTAGAAAACTAAATCCGGATAAGGCAACCAAGCAACCGAAGAATGTGGAGGCAATGCCAAATGCGGGGAGAAATCGCCCAGGCACAGTAAACAATCACTATAGCCTAAACGCACCGACTTCAGAAATCAACAAGCTATAAGTGCGTGACAAGTTGGCCAGCAGCAAGCAAATGCGATCGGTAGGGGAGGAGGAAATTTATGCTCCTTTATAGGATTGGATCAATATCAGCATGGTGGCTGTGGAGAGAAGGAGTCGGCGACCCCGATACGAGCGAATAAGAAATTACGGCATGAGAGGCATTTGGTATCTTGTTTAGGCGAAGAATGCCCCATGAGGAGTGCTAGCCCGACAACATTCTGATTCGTGTGTATGAGAAAAAGGACAAATGAGACTTGTTCCAGCTGGGGTTTACGCCACGCGCTGAGCTGACAGGTAACTTGGTTGTGATCAGGCGTGCCTTAGCGGGACATTGAAGGGAAGAGGCGCCATGGTCTAGATGGAGGAAAGGATCGGTAAAGACCGAGGGAGGGCCCCTAGGGAGGCGATGCAAACGTGGAGAACTCGTAAATTCGGTCTCTAGACTGCGTTAGGTTTTCTTAACCGGTGGGCAGTTTGAATTGTGCAGCTGGAGCTCTCAAGTCGTCCACGCGGGTGGCACAGACAATTCCAGGTTGATATTCCCCATGAGAGACCGGCCTTCAATACTCAATTGGAGGAGAGGGTGGTTAACGACATTGTGGACAGTAAACCCGATCGAGTCCGTTGATCGAGTCCGTTGAAACTCATGGGATCCTGGGTCTGAGTTGCTGCGCGTAATGACCGCGTGGTACGTACAGCGAACCCAAGACGACTGTTTGTTTGCTTGATGCTGATGGATGGTAGTATCTAGTGGTTATCAATTGGAGCATTGCCATTTGAGGGATGGGGCTCAGAGTGCCCAGTGCTGGGGAACGCCTGACACTAAAATGGTCGCTAAACGTGCTAGGAAACGACCGATGAGAGGAAAGGCTGGCTGACAGGCCGACACTAAAGCGACGCTATTTGAATTTCGGGAAGCTAGACTAGCCCGTCGCAACATTAGCAGTCATGTATGGAAGGAATCAAAGGGTGTTCAGTCAAGCAAAGAGAAATGAAAAATACATAATAAAAAGTCTGGACTGTTGTTTCTCCGCCGTATTGGTTGACTATCACATGGACCCCAAGTCTTGTACTGTACCAAGCATGGTGCCATCACTCGTTCAGCCTTGCTGCACCTTTTTTTTTCTCAGGCAGGACAGCTGACTCAGGCAGTGCAGAAGCAATACGAGTGGAGGTTGCCATCCGAATCCGGCCCGGGGATCCTTCAAAGTTTCAGCTGAAAATGACGAGCAATAAATTAAAGGAATAAATTGAATCTCCATAATAGGCCGTCCATAGACTCCATACTCCATTATCTCCGTCCATCATGGATCCTCCGTCTATGCGGCTGAAGGGCGGTGAGCCACGTGATGGTTCCTGAGGCCCGGAAGCCGAGGCAGCAAGCAGACTTACCCAGTCCAGTAAGCGCCATAAGCTGCAGCATCCGTTCTTCTTCAACCAAAAGTTAGGGTAATTTTCGCGCATCTCCGACTTCTCCTCAGCCCTCCCTCACGTCTTGATTTCGACAAACGAAGTCATCATCATTGGTCGTCATTGATTACTATTAGCGGAGTGCTCCATCTTCCAGCTCGTTCACCCTTCCAGCCGCATCTCAATGGCGATCACATTAGTTGTTGAGCCCCGGGGTATGTCATCCCCAACCGAATTTATGTACTCGTTACACCATTGACTGACACCAATATCCTACCAGGTAAACCCATCAAGAAGCTCCCCAGGGAGCTCCAGGTGGCCTCCGATGCCTCGACCGAGGAGATCTACAAGGCATTGGCCAAAGCTTCCAATTTCTCCATCCACCGTCTCCGCGTCACCAAGGGAAGCGACCGGACGCTCGTTCCCAACGCGAAAGAAACGACCGTTGATAGCACCGGCCTGAAGGAAAGGAGTGTGATCCACGTCAAGGACCTAGGTATGGCGCTCGCGCGCCCCCCCCCCCCCCCCCCCCCCCCCCCCCCCCCCCCCCCCCTTTCTCTTGGGAATCCAACGAAATAACCCAACCTCCCCCTCCTCCCAGGCCCTCAACTAGGATGGCGCACCGTCTACTTAATCGAATACCTGGGCCCGCTCATCATCCCGTACCTCTTCCTTTATCCGCTCCGCCCATACATCTACTTCAACTTCGCGCAGCCGCTGCCCACGCCCTCAGACTTCCAGCGGCTGGTATGCGCCTTGCTCACGGTGCACTTCATCAAGCGCGAGTATGAGACGATCTTCGTGCACCGCTTCAGCAACGCGACGATGCCGGCACGCAACATCGTCAAGAACAGCGGCCACTACTGGGTGCTGGCGGGCGCCAACATCGCCTACTGGGTGTTCCGGCCGGACAGTCCTGCGGTGGTCCGCGACCAGGACCCCTTCCTGCTGTACACGGGGCTGGCGCTCTTCGTCTTCGGCGAGCTGGCCAACCTGAACGCGCACTGCATCCTGCGCGACCTGCGCCGGCCCGGCACCACCGAGCGCGGCATCCCGCGCGGCTTCGGCTTCAGCGTCGTCACCTGCCCCAACTACTTCTTCGAGATCGTCGCCTGGGTCGGTGTATACCTGCTCAGCGGCCTCAGCTGGAGCGTTCTTTTGTTCATCGTCGTCGGCTCCGCCCAGATGGCTATCTGGGCCAAGAAGAAGGAGCGCCGCTACCGCAAGGAATTCGGCGACAAGTACAAGCGCAAGCGCTTCGCTCTCTTCCCTGGTCTTGTTTAGGGCTCAGTGGGGTGTTGGGCCGGAACGACAGGGGCAGACGAAAACAGAGTTTCCTGCAAGAATTGCACACGTCAGAAAGGAACCTGGTTTCCGCCTCGGTGTATTTTTTTTATTGATCCTACATTTTATATGCAATGGATGAGACATGGCCACGAAGTCTGCCCCTAGTGGTTGGGGTAGTTGAGTTCTCACACAATCTAAGTCGGGCTTATCGCCTGACACCTACTCCGCATGACAGTTGTGCGCTGCATTCGAGCTTAATGTTCCAATTGTTCTTCATGAGCTTTCCTAATGAGCAAACAATACAACACGAAGAAAAGAAGTAGTTCCAGTCCAGCCTATAATAATACACCCGCTCGCTCTATGTGGGACATCCTTAACAAACGCCGCAGAAACACCGGAAAGATAAAATAGAAGCAAGGAACACGGGTTCGCGCCCATCCCCAGCCCACAGTTACACAACTCCGGAACCCAGCTAGTGAAAGCAAACCCCCAGTTGGCAACCCGTCACTCGGTCTTCAACTTGGTCTGCCAAAGGCGATAGTACGGCTCCACCTCCCTCTCACAGCTCCGCCTCGTATCGGTGTCACAGCCAAGGAATCGGATGACAAAATCACCGTCCTTGTATACACCGTTCGCCGCCGCCGCCGTGCAATCCTTGCTGTAGGCATTAATGGTTCGCTGAGGAAGGAGCGCCAAACGGGCGAGAATGGTCGGATGCCATTGGATGATGTGATCCTACAAATGCGACCGATGAGGTGAGTTTATGAACGGTAACACAGAAGTAATAAGAGCCACGAAGGGCCAAAAATAAAAGAAGAAGCAGCAGTAGCAGAAGAAAAAGACAGCCCGTCTTACCAACACATGTGTCTCCGCCTTCGCGAAGTTATGACTCCGATACAATGGATCAAACCATAAGTCGAGGAAGAACTTGGCGAATTCCCCTTGGCGGAGCACAAAACTCCCAGGGCTCATATCCTCGTTGTCGGTGGTGATGATCAGGTCGACGTCCTCGGGGTGGACATGCGAGAAGGTCTTGATGATGCTGTCGGGCGGCACGACGGAGACCTCCTTGAGCATGAGCGACTCGAGTCGCTTTTTGTCGAGGATGTGCGACGCGAGCGATTTGCTCGGGTTCATGATCAGGGCGTGCGCATCGAGGTGGAAGAAGTACTGCGAGTAAGGGTGGGAGGCCATCGCATGCCGGACGGCCGGGATGATCGCCCAGCTTTGCGGCGAGTCGCCGATCGAGGACTCGTAGTCGGATGTGTTGGCGAAGAAATTCGTATATCCTGATTGGCAGCGATTTCGTCAGCTTGGGTGAAACAAGAAGGGGAAAGGTTTGTGTCTATGTATCAAGTGGTCTGCTTTTCGGGCCACTCACCATGACGCTTCGCGTAGTCTTCTCGGTTCTTTACGATCTTCTGGATGTACTCGTCGCTGAACCTCACGCGGTCTAACACCGTGACAATGACAACACCGGAGGTGCCAGCGGATACTGCCGTGGTTCCAGTGCTTGTGTAGAAGAGTTGAGAGAGAAGGAAGAATATGGTGAGGAGCGCAACGGCTAAGATGGCGACGGCTTTGAGCTGTTTCCTGCGCTGTAACGAGAATCGCGAGGATCGTCCGTACACAGGAGTTATCGGGGCCCTCCGCGGAGGTAAAGCGAACTGCATGATGGTGAAATCTGTCCCAGCGATCGGATGCCGGGCGACTGAGGAGAAAGAGGTCGTTGGAGGAGAGGCTGGATAGTGCGTAAGTACTCCGGTCGGACAAAGCGTCGCCGCATGGAAATGGGTCGTTCTGCCGCTTCCGGCTGTCGATCCGCGCGGGTCTTCGGTTGGTCCGAGATATCGCAACATTCCAACCACGAGAGCGGATCCCGAGTCAGTCCTAAGTAAGTAGTCTCGGCGGTGGATAAGTGCTGAGATATTATTAGTGTTGACTGTCGAGACAAGCCTGGCAGTCTGCGCAGTCGTCTTTAATAAGAGTATATCGATTCGCAACGCGAAAAATCGCCCATGACTCTTGGGCCAACACTTCACATACATGCAATAGTACATCTACTTGCTTTCCTGCGCGCTAGAGATCGTCTATCTCCCAAAACCTCAGCTAGGAGGAAGCCCGTACTAGACGACCGAGAACCTTATTCCAATACCATTGGTCAAGATGATAGAAAGTATAAATACACCAAAACGAAATCAAATCATGCTAGGTCCATGTAATCCATGTAAGAAAAGGAAAGCCAGACATCTATACAGTTTCTCTTCACATAACCGGCCAGCTAGACGGATAACTGACACAGTCTGCTCCAGACTGTCGAAACATGGTCGCAAATAGATATAATACAACAGACGCCCTCATCCGCTGGTCTCTCACCCCGGATGTTTCAAACGAATCCCAAGCCCGACTCAGAAACCCCCGACACTCTTCATGTTGCACACCCCGCTTCTCACTATCCCTCTCAGTATTGCTTCTCATTGAGCGTAGGCTTCGTCATTTCCTTGATGTTCGTCAAATCCCCCGCGCCGGCCTCCGCCTTCGCCTTCCTCTCGGCCTCCTTCTGCGCCACAAACTCCTCGAAGGTGGGAGGTCTTGGAAGACCAAGATTCTTCCGTTCATATTTAAACAGCTCCTGCATCTTGGGGGTCTGCATCACGCGCCACCGCAGCTCCCAGCCGAAAACACCCAGCTCCTTGATCCGGCCCGGGTGGTCGCCCAGGAGGTAGTTATCGAGGGAGCCCGCTTTCCGGATCGTCCTCAATGCCTTCCGCGTCACCTTAATGAAGAGATCCTCTTCGAGGGCGTCGCTATAAAGCTTCATGCGGCGAACGTTGGGCTTCCAGGACCGGCGGGTCTTGCCTTCGTTCTTGCCCTTGGAGATCTTGTTGCCGAATTGGATCGTCACGCCGCCGTAGAGACCGGAATTCGACTGCTTGTAGACATAGTTGGGACCGTACGGATAGGGTGGGATATAGTCCGGGAGTTGTTTCGTCTTCTGTGCGGGCAGTGTCGTCGAGAAGGAGCGCCTCGCGGTGTTGAGGGAAAGGTTGCGAAAAGCCGCAGAGAGGGAGAAGGGGAGGGACATGGCCGAGCGAGTCTGTAAGCCCGCCATCGTGGATTCGTAAATATCAAAAGAGGTCAATTCGGCTCTTGACCATGACAGAACTCTGCCAGATGCGAGTTTCGGGCACGGAGGAGGGAGAATGAGTCCAAGCTGGCAATCAACTAAAGGTTCAAGGTTCAATCGGACGCACTCCGGTGGGCAGTGGGAGAAAGAATTTGGGTCTGTTGCGGCTGACCGCCTTGGCCACGGCCCGCTCTCATTGATCGATCGGAATTTCCGCCCAGCAGCAAGCACCTGGAAGTGCTCAGTATCATCTATCCAAACCGACCGATTGAATCCCTCCATCTTTCCTCAGTTCATCGTCCCTCTCCGTACTCCGATCGGTTAGCTCACTGCAGCACTCCTCGGACCTCCAAACCTCTCGACACTAATCCCCTTGACCCTCATCTATCGCCTTCTCTGTGGCCTTCTGAGCGAGGTCGCAATCCCTTCACCATGGTCCAGATCAGTGAAGTGAAGGGCAATTCGCGCGAGAACAGAACAGCCGCGCATACGCACATCAAGGGTCTCGGACTCCGGTCAGACGGTACCGCAGAAGTATCCGGCGATGGCTTCGTTGGACAAGGTGCTGCCCGTGAGGTATGCGACACAACCCTGCTTTTCTCAAACATACTATTTTACCTCACAATAAAGACGCAACCGTCGGCTAACGATCAGGAAATCTTCTCATAGGCATGCGGTGTGGTAGTCGACCTGATCAAGGCGAAGAAGATGGCCGGCCGTGCCGTGCTCTTGGCCGGTGGTCCTGGTACAGGCAAGACAGCACTGGCTCTTGCGGTATCACAAGAACTGGGTACCAAGGTCCCGTTCTGCCCTATTGTCGGCAGTGAGATCTACTCTGCTGAAGTGAAGAAGACGGAGGCGCTTATGGAGAACTTCCGGAGAGCAATTGGTAAGTTAGCCAGCCCTCATCGTCCGCTGTTGCTGCTCAATTGGGATCAAGCGACCCAAGATCGCGCACGTGTGGGCTAACTCTTTTGTCCATCAACAAGGTCTCCGTGTCCGCGAAACCAAGGAAGTTTACGAAGGAGAAGTGACGGAGCTCACGCCCGAGGAAACCGAGAACCCACTGGGCGGATACGGCCGGACGATCAGCCACCTGATCATCGGACTGAAGTCGGCCAAGGGCACCAAGAAGCTGCGCCTGGACCCCAGCATCTACGAAGCCATCCAGAAGGAGCGGGTGACTGTGGGCGACGTCATCTACATTGAAGCGAACACGGGCGCCTGCAAGCGAGTGGGACGGTCGGACGCGTACGCGACCGAGTTTGATCTGGAGGCGGAGGAGTACGTCCCCGTACCGAAGGGCGAGGTGCACAAGAAGAAGGAGATCGTGCAGGACGTGACGCTACACGACCTCGATATGGCCAATGCCCGGCCGCAAGGTGGACAGGACGTGATGAGCATGATGGGCCAGCTGATGAAGCCCAAGAAGACCGAGATCACGGACAAGTTGCGCCAGGAGATCAACAAGGTCGTCAACCGCTACATCGACCAAGGAGTTGCCGAGCTGGTGCCTGGTGTTCTGTTCATCGACGAGGTATGTTCTTCTTATCATCCCGAACTTCTTACATTCCCGGTCGTATCTCTAACGCAAACGATTACCACCCCCACCAGGTCCACATGCTCGACATCGAATGCTTCACGTACCTCAACCGGGCCCTCGAATCCAGCATCTCCCCCATCGTCATCCTCGCCTCCAACCGCGGCCACACCGTCATCCGCGGCACGGACGACATCTCGGCCGCGCACGGCATCCCTCCCGACCTCCTCGCCCGTCTCCTCATCATCCCCACCCACCCGTACACTCCCGACGAGATCAAGACCATCATCCGCTTGCGCGCCAAGACGGAAGGTATCACCATCACCGACCCGGCCCTGGACAAGGTTTCGGATCACGGCAGCAAGGTCAGTCTGCGCTACGCCCTGCAACTGTTGACGCCCGCCAGCATCCTGGCCCGGGTCAACGGACGGCCCGGTGGCATCGAGGAGGCCGACGTGGCCGAGGTCGAAGATCTCTTCATCGATGCCAAGAGAAGCGCTTTGATCGTCAGCCAGGACGACGAAAAATTCCTGAAATAGATGATACTTTCGGAGTGGGGCTCCACTGTGATTTGGAGTTTAATGAATTGTGAGCTTTTCAAGGTCGGGCCTAGGCTTCTTTTTTCTTTTTTTTGTTCTGTAGTTGGGATGCACGGGGCGGGAACATTAATGGCAAAACCTAAATTTCATGCTTAGCTGGCAACATGTATACCATGTCTACAACCGTGTGTGATGGATGTGTATGTTTCTAGCCGAGGAGCAGCCAAGTGTAATATCTCAATGAGCCCTTGGCTCGAATTCGATACAAAACGAACCTCTATTCAATCTAATTATCCTGAGCGATCTAAGTTGAACTGGTAGACGGGAGGGCAAACATTTCGTCATTCTATGTAGAGTGATATCTTCAAGATAGCTTGTTGGCATTTGTGCTTGTAGTTGTCGGGCGGTAACGGGCGATTAACCGCGAGACTGGACCAGGCAGCATGGGAATGAGCAAGGCTAAAATGAGGATATAGAATTGTAAAATCCGAAGAAGAGTCCGTATGATTTGAATCGAAAGACCCAGACTGGGCCGGGTAAGGTCCGCCGCAAAAGGTTCTGATTGATACTCAACATGAAAAGGGACTTCCGCGTTCAGATCTTCAATCGCGATCCTCAAGCCCGCAGTGACGGCATCTTCGAGATGTCCACGACCTGTCCAGCGAAATCCGTAGCTCAGGCCTCTTTGGTTCTGAATGAGCTTAAGGTCATCCTGTGCTCGGAGCGTGCTGGAGGTTGGCTCTGGATTAGTGAACTCCCATACACTTTGGACAACGCTAGGGTGAGGTGGCGTGAATGGATTCAGCGTTATGTAGATTGGACCGTAGAGGGAAGCTGGAGTGTCCTCCAAGGCATTGATAGTATAGCTAAGACTGGACTTTCGGAATGCTGAGTTCGGTGAGCTCCCAGTCACGTAGGGCTCCAGCATGTAATTGTAAACGGCCGTAGGACGTTCTCTGTCGCGCAAAAGCTGGCTCAGATGATGAGCAGCGCTTCCCCAGCCGTCCGCTGCCGCAGCATGAGCTAAAGACCTTAGGCCTTCACCAACTAAGGAGTCCGAATGTAACACGGAGATGTTCTTAGTCGTCCCCAGACCACCGATGATCTTCCTTTCTTGCGCGCTCGCCTGAGGTCCTAGTATCTGCATTATCTCCTCCCCATCGACAGCGAAGATGATGCGATCAAAGTCCATCTCAATGCCATCAGCCGTAACCAGTCTGTAGAGCCTTTTGTCGTATCGGGTCAATTGCCGAACTCTAGCGTCTAGATGCACCTTCGAAGAATCAAAATCACGAGACATGACTTGCACCAGGTGGTGCGCGCCAAGTTCAATACGACGCCACTCCGGAACATTCTGCCGGTACCAGAGCAATTGATGGTCATACAAACAGCGGATAGCGACTTTGACGGGTAGCCGTGAAAGGAGCTTACCAGCATTTGTACCCCATAGCACTGAAAGGATTGGAGCTAGATACCTATCACGAAAACTGTCCGAGTATCCTTCTTTGGACAGATAGCTCTGGGCAGAAAGACACGACGCAAGGTCATTCGATCTAGAGGAATGGACGTTCTGATCCAGCACATCGATGGCTAGGAATCTAAGCCAGATGATGTCCCGTAGTACAGCATAAGTCTCTTTCTGAGAAAGAACCCAAGGACGAAGAAGAATGCTGCGTAGTATGCTGTCACTCCACCAGGAACTGCTAGCACCGTCATTTGTCCTGACGCTGAATCGGTAACTAGTGGTTGAGATCCCCAGGCAGCGCAGCAATGAATCCAGATTGGCTAGTTTGGCATCAGTCCTGCAAATAGGGCACTGTAAGGTAATCACACTGACGAGAAGTCTCAACATTATAGATTGGCGATTCTGAATTCACTTTGACTTGAATACCATCGTGCTCGAACGGTAGCGACTTGATACGCCCACCAAGAGCATCGGATGCTTCAAAAAGATGGACGTCATGGTCGGAGTTTTGCAGAGCCCAGAACGAGGTGATTCCCGTGCAACCACCCCCTATGATAGCGACACGCTCTGGCTGGGAGACTGGCATGGGAACGACGACGCTTGACAGTCACTCCGGCCATTGGTTTTCCAGTCCGATGATGGCGATGTATCGCTAGCTCTTTGGATGGTGTTGCTCAGTTCAAGGGTTGGGTCTATTGTTCCAAACGTACGGATGCTTTCTCCCTTCTTTCGCCAGAGATGGACAGAGGGGAGTCCATCGACGGTTGTAATATAGAAAGTGGCTTGCGAGACTCGATGAAGGAAGTCAAGGCGACAGGCTTACCAGCGCAGGCACGGTCAGAGCCTCTACCCTACTGTTGCTTCCGATTTGACCTCATGTGGCTTCCCGGTGTGATCACATCATATGACGAAGACAACGAGGGGTAAGTTAGCTTAGTATGAATACTCATGAGCCGAGGGGATTCATGTTTTGGGCGAAGCAGGAGATCCTCCCGATGCAGATCTGTAGGATGAGGAGCGTGACCTTTGGGTGGGTTAATTTATAGATCAATCAAAGGGAAGCGACGCTCGATGGCGGTCAAGACATCATAAATCATAATAAAGAGGAGTTCCGTTCCAGCTCCACCCAGCCAAGGCTACAATGGCGGAAAGAAGAGGGGCCAACAATAAGCGGGGGGAATGTATATCGAATAATAATACAATTGACTTGTCTGAGTCTGAATATCTCATGGTAAACTACAAACCATTTCGTCTGGCTCCACTAAGGAGCAATGGAAGGAATGCCCAACCGAGTTGTGGTGACAGTCAAGTGAGATACAAGTAAATAAGGAATAAATGTCGACGTCAGCCGGAAACAACAGCCTCGGACCAGCTCCGTCACGTGCAGGGCAAGAAGGAAAGCGGCCGCCGTTCCTGGTTGACAAGAGGATAGGCACATCATGCATTACTGACTCGGTCACTTTCTCCTTCCACACTTCATCCTTTCTCGTTTCATCGGCCCAATTTGTGTTTATTGTTCAAGCGTGAAGTCGTCCATCTCGACTCCAATCTGTTCCCTGTACTAGTAGCTTGATCGTTGAGGTTGCGGGTGGGCTCAATTCCTCTTAGACCCAGCAGGAGCACCGGCCAGCCACCACGAGGGTACAGTGGCCAATCTCTCCGCTTTATCCGATCCACAACCACCCCTATCTATCCGCTACTTCAATCGCCCTGCTTAAAACTGTCGAGGCTACCTGCAATAGCCATCGCTTTCCAGCAGTAAAAAAATCACATCCATACCAACCATGTCGAACCCGTTGGACACCGATGCCGGCTCGGAGCTGTTCAGCAGCTACGAGACCGAGTTGAAGCTGGTGCAGGCCGACCTCAACCAGAAGTTAGATCAGATCTCAGAATCCAGCGGTGAACAACGAAAGTCTGCAATCCGACTCGCGGAAAGAGCGCTGGACGAGGCGACGGAATTGGTGCGTTTGCCTGCTGCCTGTCCTCAAGACACTAAACCCCGCCGCGATGTCATCGTTCCTTTTCTAACAACTCCCGGATACAGTTGGATCAAATGCGCATGGAAAAACAGAACATCCCCTCCTCCGCCCGATCGAAGATCAACACCCGCGTCCGCAACTACGCGACAGATGTTGACGAAGCCAAGCGCAAGTTGCGGTCTCTGTCGGACGATCGCAAAGCCCTCTTCGGCGACCGGTACACGGACGATCCGCAGGACGAGCATCTGGAGCAGCGACAACAGCTACTGTCTGGCACAGAGCGCCTGGAGCGCAGCTCCGCCCGGCTCCAGGAGAGCCAGCGCATCGCTCTCGAGACCGAGGACATCGGCCGCAACACCTTGGCGGATCTGAACCAGCAGCGGGAGACCATCATCAATGCTCGGGGTCGGCTGTTGGAGAGTGAAGGCTATGTTGATACCAGTATCAAGACACTGAGGGGCATGGCCCGTAGGTAATGACCCCGTCCGCGAAACCGGCAGCACCTGCCACTGTTACGAATCAGTGCTAACGCCTATCACAGGATGGCTACGAATAGGCTAATCACCATTGCGATCATTACTGTGTTGATTCTTCTGATTTTCGCTGTGATCTACAGCAAGTTCCACTGAGCGCGGGGTTCCAGCAGGCGTTACCATGGGATGAACATTTGCCTTTGTATTACTTTGTTAACGACATATACAAGTCTGCCGATGCAGACCACTTCACGGAATATTGTATGATAGCAACCTTCCAGCTCTAATCCAAGGCCATTGTGTCCAAGCACGCACTAGCCATGTCTCCACCAATCCCCAAACGACCTCATCAGCAAAAACACAACTCATAGGGGTATCACGCTCAAGTAGACCAAAGAACCAAAAAAAAGGACAAACATTGAACAACCACCCTCACCATCCAAGACCTTAATTCATAATCCGCATCGCCCCAAAGGCAACATTAACCACGACGCCAACAAACACGGCCAACCCCTTCCGCCAACTCCAGACGCCCTCCTCGCGCCTCAACCACATCGCACAACCCACAGGCCAGAAGAACCCCATGACCGCGCCCCAAAGCATATCATCCATGGCCCCGCGAGAGCCGGGCCCAAACCCACCATCGTCGTCCGCAAACGAGATTCCCTCCCCGGGCCCACCACCAGCAACACCACCAGCCGCCCCGGCCGCCATGGCCGACGAGCCCTCATCCATCCACCGATCCTCCAACTCCCGCAGTTCCGCCCCAGAGGGCATCGTATCTGGCGTCCGCGAGACTGCCTGGATGGCCATGAACTGCGACCGCAGCGCCGTCACCTCGGCGGGCGTGAACCCCGCCGCCAGCAGCCGGTCGAAGCCCCTGGGCGCGGGCGTCGTCGTCGCGGACTGTACTCCCGATGGCGACGATGATGATGAGGCTAAGGTCTGGTTCGTGCGCCGCCGGGCATCGCTGTCGCTTTCTTCTGTTCCTGACTGCGACTCCTGTTGGAGGGTGGACGCCAGGCTTGCTTCGGCGTCGAGGTCGGCGGCGGAGAGGACAATGTCGCCGATCGAGCAGTGGATGTATAGGCGGGGCTGGTCGCGGACGGGGGCTTTGCCTTTGCCCTTTGAGGGTGTGGATGCATCGTTGTCGTCGGCGGCGGCGGCGGGGGGCCGGGGGGTGGAGCGCGCGGAGGATGAGGACGGGGGTGGGAGTTTGAGGGATGCGGCTAGCGGGGTGGTGTCTTCGAGGCCGCGGCCGGCGTAGATTAGACGGAGACGGTGAGATGAGAGATTCGGTGGGAGGCGCGTGCGGATAAGCTGTTTCAGGCCGGCGGAGGTGGTGGTCTCCGGGGAGAAGATGTCGAGCGGGAGGTCGGGGATGGAGGCTGAGAAGCGGATGGTGACGCAGAGCGGGGCCTCGGAGGAAGGATCCGGTGTGAGGCTGGGATCGGGTGTGAGAAAGGTCGGTATAGACATTGTGTCGGTGTTGTAGACTGAAAATCGACTGCGTGTCTATCGGAGGTATTGTTGTAGTAAAGCTAGCGGTATGGTGCGGGATGAAGCGTGGAAAGGGGAGCGTTGATAAGCTGATAAAGTGGAGGATGGGCTGAACTGAAATGCCCGGAATATCCCCCACGTGATGTGTACTAATGTTCCCCGGTCTATATGATGCACCTCATCAATGCGACTGAACCGCTCTAGGTCTAGTCCACTATTCTACCCTACTAGATCTGGAGATACAGTAGAAAACGGTTTATGAGTTCATGCTGAAACTGCGGGCTAGTCCCGGCTAGCGCTTGGCCCCGATTAGGTCAGACCTGGTATAAGCTGCTTCAAGCCTCCTTCAAGCCGCCTAGCAGGTTTACCCATGTCAATTGATCGAGTTGACAATTCATGTCTATTCTTCCTCAGACTGCTGCCCGAGCATTTTCACTTAAAGCCTCTGCTCCTGCGCATCCTTCAAACACTTTATACGCACAAATGCATTCAGAAACTGCGATGAAATTGTCTTAGCTATCATGCTAGGGACGACATTGTGATAAGACAAGCTAGAGTGCTCAGCTATACCGATCCCATTTTTAGGGGATGCTCGCTGGCGGCTGTTCGCCTTCCGCACACGAGTAATGAAGGCGATTAGGTCACCACATATCGCCTCATTGGTGTTGCAGTTCTGCCGGCCGGGTTATTATATATCATCCACAGGTGAAGAGAGAAGAAATAATATATTGCACAGTTAGTGGGCTATGTGCCCGGGAATCAAGATATGTTCAACAGAAGAGAGAGAAAAAAAATTCATTCGCCGAAGGGGACCGCCCGCAAAAACGCCATCCAATGCATATAGGAACGCAAAACCCGATTCATCCAATAAGCAATATCAAGATTGTATAAAAGCGCCGAAAGCACCTTATACCATGAAGGATTCACCGCAGCCGCATTCTTCCTCTGCGAAAACAGGTTAGTAGACGCTTCAAGTGGTTGTCTAGTGAGCCAAAGGGTGCTTACTAATATTGGGGTTGCGGAAGACAAATCTTCTGCTGAGCTTGTCCTCTTGCCAATCCATCTCGCTTCCAATTATGCTGAAGAGAGCCTTGCTGTCGATCAAGACCTTGACGCCGTCTTGCTCAACGACTTCGTCGAAAGTGCCCGGCTTCTCCACGTACTCCAGGTGGTAGGCGAGGCCAGAGCAGCCTCGGTTCTTCACTCCCACACGGATCATCTTGGGTTCTGGCTGTGAGAGGAGTTTGCGAAGTTGCTCGATCGCTACCGGAGTCACTTTCATGGCAGCTTTGCGGGCGCGGAGTTTTCTGCGGGGCTTCTCGGTAGTCTTGGGAGCAGCAGTGGATACGGTCTCAGTGGGCTTGAGCTTCTGCGCCTCGCCTTCAGACAGGCCGGGATTTGGTGAATAGGCTTGTTGTCCGGGAAGCTGAGGCGAGGCCATCTCGCGGAATGAGGGGAAGTCCGCAGCGATGGAATTGTCTGAGGACCCTGAGGTCCGAGGAGGCGGGAAAGAGGTGGGCAGACTGTGTGGCCGGTATGCGGTGGCAGTCTGCATATCACGTTTCGATGAGGACCGGTGCGAGTTGCCATAGGAAGAGAACAGACGGTATGTCTGCACTGTGCGTCTGCTGGACGACTGTCTCAACAAGCTGAGCAGCGTGGCGGATGATGTCACCAAAGGCTGCATTGTGACTGTGGGAAATGAAGCGGTGTAAGAACAGCTGATAGCAAAGATCTATGAAAGGATAGAAGTAGCCCGTAGATAATCTGCCACAGGATTTTAAGAAGTTGGTTCGTCACTGTAATGCTTATGACAAGAGGGATGCAAGAAGGATGATGAGAGTTAAGTCGGGAAAGATCGAGTTCTGTTTGGGGGGGCGGAAGAATGCCGGGTCGGGTCCCGAGTCGGTTAAGAAGCGTCAGGGCCAGCACTAAACCAGCCAATCATCATTGAGGTGTTTCTACACAGTCAGGTGGCGCCACTGCGCTCTGCGGCTCTAAGCATTACCAATGGAGTGAGACTGGGGTAAAGACCCAATTACTGACCAGTGACTGGTCTTAAGTGACTTGTCCATTGATCATTCCGATTATTTTATCCCCCATTCATACGATCTGGTGGGTTCTGATGCTTGATTTCACTGTTTCAGGATTGGCCGATAAGTTTCTCGGATGGTCATCATTTTCTTACTAATGAATTGGCTGGCACCTGAGCACCTCAGGTGTCGACCAGATGACTAAATGCGTTCCTCCGCATTCGATCACTTACTAATGAAATATAAGTATGTACTGTACAGTACTATGGATTTGTACAGCAATGACTCGACAGGCTTGATCAAGTTGATCTGAACCCTTGGAGAAAGACCCTATCTCGGATCGATATCTGTGTTAAATCGCAGGATTTTTTTTTCAGACTGCTTTGAGCTCAAGCATTACCTTTGTACCCTCAGAGGATCTACTTGAGGATGCCACATGGTCAAACTTCACCTACCACACACCCCCTGATTATGTCATCATCTTCAAAGAGGAAAGAACTTAGCCAGCTAATGTAAATTTGGCACATTGGGGACAGTTTAATTATTGGATGAAATGCTACAAGTGAGTGCTAGTCTAGATCGCAGTCTTTAGTAGCTCCAAGAACAAAAGTACTGGCTCGTGCAAGGATGGGAGGGCATTGGTGACATGCTGGCATTGATAGGGGATGTGGCTTGCGGTGGGGATTGATGGCCGAAAGAGGCAGAAAAAGGAACAAGGCGACAACCGCGGCCCTGGAACTCCCAAAGCATGAGATGCCAATAACAACCTCCTCTTCACCCAGGCACTTAGATCAGCCTCAACTCTTTAGCTCTTGTTGTTTAGTGCTGGTCATGGTCTTGTGCTTCATGCCGACCATCCAACAATCCTTAGCATAATGGATTCCCCTTTGACCCAGCAAAGTAGACCGGAAACCTTCAAACCGAAGGTCGTGCAACTATACGAGAATTTGTTCCAGGTAGAGCGTCCACTTTGGCTTCTATCTTACATATAACTGACCACTTCAGCAGACTACGGATTATGTAGAGCCCTCGGAAGGATTCTGGAGGGAATTCTTCTTGTTGCCCCCGGATCGAAGCCGGCTCAATGCACTCCTAGATCAGCTCAGCCCCGATGAAACCCTCAATTTACAGGTCAATGATCCACGTGATCCTCAAATTCAAGATGTGAATTGACCATCGCTGACTTCTCAGCAGTCTCAAACCCAGCAGCTTTTCACTCGTGCCATACGCGAAGCTGCCTCAGGGTCCAGCCCCGTTGATTCATATGCTCTCGAGGTGAGTAAGGTACTGTACATCTTTATTGAGACCGAACCCCAATCGCTAAGCAAGATGGTAGACCTTGACGGTCTTTCTAGCCTGTGTATTGAAGAAAAAATACACTAATCCCAGCTCCGATGTCATCACCGTTCTTGCTGGTCTTGACAATGTTGATCATGCGATCTACAATTTTGTCGCCGTTTTGGATGGCATCATCCGCAACGGCAAGAGCTGTGAGCTTCCACCTAAAGTGAATGGTGCCGTCTAGTCGCTGACCGGCAACCCAGATGCCTTACGACTTCAGGCAATTAAGACTGCCATTGCAATGGCTGCTGGCGCCTACAAGACCAGCTTGGTCTCGTATCTCACGCATCGCGACCTGTTCCCTTCTATCATGAAGGTTTGTTCACCCACCTCTAGGTTACACCAACATAGCCAAACTGACTTTTGACACAGTTCGTTCAAGAGTCTGAGACGCCCATGCAAATATTCGAGCCATTCCTTCTTCTCGGCTTGTTAGCAAATTACAACAAATTCGAAATGCAGAACCCGTACCAGTTAAGGCTCGACGACTTTGTGAACGAAGCGAGCATCCAAAAGATTGCCAGGGGAGTTGGCGCCTCCTGTGGAGGCCTTAGGAACGGATATGTCGCCGTGCAGGACGACTCTCCGGAGGGTTGGACGCTAATTAGCACGTTGATGTACTTTGGCTTGGGCGCTCTTACTTCTGGTAAGAAGGATCGCCCGAGCCCACCGACTGCCGAGGAAGCGAAGGAATTATTTGCATCTCTGTACGGCCCTCGACCGTCTTTCTGCCCTATGTACCGGCTAACGAAACCAGTCCGACGCAACAGGCAGCGATGCTCCTAGCTACATACGATTTCATCAACGCCAACAAACTGTTTGGACTTCACCTCATCAGCCTAGCCCCGGAGAAAGACAACGAGGAATCCCCATTCGCGGCGTTCCTCTCTCTATCTTCCTACCTCCTGCAACATGCCTACCGATCCCCAAGGACCGCACACTACGCCGAGCTCAATCTCCTTACTCTTCGCATCATCTCCGAAGACAACGCGCTCTGCAAGCAGCTCTGCAGCGACGAAAGCAAGCGCAAGATTCGACTCTGCCGCCAGAAACAACCCTACCTCCCCCTCGTCACCGGCGAACGAGTCCTGACAACAGCCATCTTCGACATCCTCGTAGATACCCTCACGCACAACCTCCGACGTCGCCTCGACGTCAATCTTTACAGGTAAGCTACGCACCCTTCCCACTGCAAATACCTCTTGCAAACTCTAAACCATACCCCAAAAAATCACAGCCACTGCATCGCGATCTTCCTCCGTCTCCTCACGCACCTCTCCAAGAACAAAATCCGCCTCGCATACCACTGGTCCGAACTATGGCGCACATTGCTCTCCCTGATGCGCTTCCTGACAAGCTACGTATCCGACCTACTGAGCAGCACCCCGCACATCCACACCCTCACCACGACGCTAGTCAACCTAATCGCCTTCTGCGTCTCCGCAGGCGACACCTTCCTCCCGGACCCAGCCTCGTACGACGACCTCTTCTATAAGCTCGTGGAGACGGGACCCATCATCGCCAAATTCCGCGACGTGTACCACTTCAAAGGCGCCTCCACCAGCAGCTCCATCCACAACCCTGTTGCGACCTCGGGGATCGGGGCAGGCCACATCCCCAAGGCGGCGATGGACCCGGCCAGCACGGACATCCCCGTGGCCGCGATCGAGACGCTGATCGCCGTGTCCACGCACTTCTACACCCTTCTGTTTGTCGCGGATAAGGGCGGCGATGCCGGCGGGACGGAGGACGGCGAGAGCCCTGTGCCGGTGCCGGCCAACCTGAAGAAGCATCTGAGTCCGCGCGAGGTGCACCGGATCATCAAGCAGGGGTACGAGACGCTGAGTATCCCGCCGCTGGAGGGGCTCAGCGCGTGGCAGAAGTTCCGCGAAGCGGATTGGAAGGTGGAGTTGAAGCGCGCGGCGCGGTGCGCGGTGGATGATGCTAGGCAGTTAGTTGCGTAGGGTTGTCTCGATGATAATTGTTGTGGCTGACAGGTATTGAGTATAGCGTTTAAAAGAAGTGATAATTTTTGTTCACCAAGCGCTTGGGAGGCTTGTGTGGAGGTTCTACGTAAGTGAGCTGTGTTGCGCGCGTGCTTGTTGAAAGGTTGATACATTTCCGTCGAATTTTTGAATGCCATGCATGTCCAGTCAATCGACGCTTCTCCAGTCCTTGAACAGGAATCATCATCTCATAAATAATAAGACAAGGTGTCACTCAATTTGAATGCCAGGATGTTCGCCTTATCTATCCTAATAATGTTACAGTGAGAGCATTATCCATAGCAAACATTAAGACGCCATAATATCAGTGCTTAAACCGTAGTCCGCGACACAAAATTGGCCAAGAAAAGAATAACTGAAAAGATTAATACTCAGACGGACGGTATGCGACGTTAGCTTCAATCGAACTGCCTCAGACCAGACGCGAGGTAGTGGTGGCTGGAGCCGGATTTGTAACACCGCGCGACTTTTCGATGTACTCGTTGCTGGCATTCGTATACCTAGTCGCAAAGTACTTGGCCGAGTTTCGACTCAACCAGATTGTGAATTTGGAGAGCTCTTCCCGAAGCCTGTTCGTGGATTGAGCATCCATGTTGGTTTGTGCGATCAGCTCGGGCATGGTCGCTACGGTCACTATGGGTTAGCACTCTCATTGCAATTAACGGAAACTGTGGACTCACCGAAAAGCCGTGTCAAATGCTCTGCCCCATAGGTCTCGAGAGGACCTTTGTCGGCCCATTCCCCATTGCCGTCCTCCCACCTCTTGCGGATCACTCGATACTGTTCCCGTTCGAAACGATACAAGAGGATTTTGTCGAGGGCCTTGTAGAAATACTCGCGTATTCCCATGACTATCTCATCGAGCACGTCCAGGTCGGCCGCGCTCGTCCTCTTGGGCTTCTCCTCCTTGACATAGTCATCCAAGATCTGGCTGACTGAGCATTTGGCCGGCAAGGCCACAACTTGCTGGTTCTTGGTCACGTTTTCCCAGTCATCAACCAGAAGAGATTTCAGGTTGTCTGGCATGACAATCCGCACTGAAGGCCGGACATAGAAACTTTCTTCCTGTATTGCTGCTGTTAGCCAATTGACCATGCATATAGAAGGGCCCTAATCGCTCTGCCACTGTACACTGGTAACAATGTGCAAGGACTGTGAAATTTAAATCTAAAACATAATACTAGAAGCAGACGAACCTTTTCAATATCATTGTCTCGTGCTCTCTTCGTCCCGCGGCCGGGAACTGAGGTTTGCCTCTCCTCGCTGCCCCGGGCGGAACTGCGGTCGGAGCCTCCCCTCTTCTTCACGGAGGTCTTCACATTCTTCTGGCGGAAAGCTGCCTCAGCCTCGCGGCGAAGAGTCGTGGCCAACTCTCGGTTCTCATCTGTGAATTTACGAAGTCGATCCTGGGGTACCCAGTCATCCCAGCTAATTACAGAAAAATTAGCATGTCAGTCAGCCAGGTCGTGTGATCCCGCTCCTCCGGCCTAGAGTAACAGCAGCCACCTGAACGATGACAGACAAGTTTGGGCACCTTCTCTTCCAGAAAGATGAAGCGCGAAGGAAAGACACGATTTATCAAGGTCAAAGATCCAGTGACAACAGAATTCAAGGAGGACAGCGATTGTGGTGATAGCGGGGAGGTTGAGACGTACGTGTTCTTCCATCCCTTGTAGTGGACCAGGTACTCAAAGGGACTCTTGCGGTCTTCCGGATCCATATGCCTCAGATCAAGGATTTTAGCTTCATATAGGATCTCATGATGGAAGCAAAGGACTCTCTCGTCCTTCTGGTAGTTCATATTGCTTGCAGGAGCCATCTTGAAAAAGAGATAAGTGATGTTTCAACTTGGAAGATTTTCTCCAGCCGCAATGATTAAGGTGCGTATCGTCAAGGACCCAGAGTCTGATGCCTGAACTGCACCAAATCGCGAGAAGAATTCAGGAGATGCGAGTCTTTCCTGATTCAGGGTTACTGCTCGTCTCACCCCCGTTTAAGTGCCTTCGCTCCTGAACAGCACGTGCACTAATGTGCCTAAAATCTTCGAGCAGGCAAAGAGGGCTGATGGAAAGAAATGGCTTGAAACCAAGATAGTGCAGCCTCGAGCTGGAGATTAAACCAACTACTGAGGAGTGGAATTGATCTTCTCGAGAGAGATGATATTACTCAATTCGCTAGACTAGGTCAATGTTAATTATCAAAAATCGATGGAGAAGTGGTGAGATGTCTCACAAACAAGAATTGAAGCCACAGATCAATTTGCCACAGGCGTTGAGAGTGTTCTTGGGACTTTGAAGAAGGATGGGTCGGAAAGAGGTGGTAGAGAGTGTTATCGCATGTCGCGGTTGGGGCAAGAAAGAGGAAGCGGAAGCAGTGGAAGAAACGCGTCCAGAAGGGCAAGTCACGGCCTGGTGGCCTAAATTGGAACATTCGCCCTTCCTTTCCTTCTCTCTCTCTCCGCCACCCTGTATCATTCTTGGATATTATAAACAACCTCATTTATTATATCTACGAACCTACACAGCTACAGCTCTTATCCAGTAACATTAACACCTCTATTTTTCTCTGCTAAGCCGCTTCTCCTTCTAATTTCTTCGCCCACTGTATCGCAATCTACAATCTCTGATTGGTTTGGGAACGCGAGTTATCCCGATTAAGCGTAACACAACAGCCACCAATTATCATTCAATAGCAAGCAGAAGGGTCATCTCTGCCCGCGAAGGGGAGTTGAGGATTTCTCGCTGGTCAAAAGTGTTATATTTGTGCTTCCTACGCCACCACGACCCATCATGGCACCTTCAGAGACCGCCATTCTGAGCAATTTTCTCTTGGCCCCAGCTCCTCTGCCAACAATCATGTCATTGCAGCATTTTACTGAGCTCTTTCCAAAGAGGCTGCGTTCTCATCCCCACATCCGGGTTCTCTATCGTGAGCTGCAAGAGATCCGCGAGCAAGATATGGACCTGGTCAACGAAAATATCGACAAGGAAACAGTCCAAGGTGACCGCCAGAAGGCAGAGCTCCGTAAATCCTTGATGAAGACAGGCATTGATGGCATGAGCGCGTCTGACCAGCGTGAGATGGACATGGATGTTGAATTGTTCGGGCAGACGAACTCGATGTCCGATTATCATTCGGTGCCCAGTCTGCTCGACGCTATGCAGGCGGCGTGCTCTAACGTTGAACGGGAAGTAGCTGAAGTCGACAGGGAGGCGAGCTCGCTCTTGTCCAATCTCAATGATCTGGTCGGTGATCTGAGTGACCTGCGGTATGGCAAGATGCAAGGCCCTGCGGGCACGACAGGCGACGAGGTTGTCAATGAGGCCATAAGGGGTCTCCAAAATCTCGAAAATGCGTGCTACCGCAACAGCTGAATCGGATAGACGGCCTTCATGTCAAGCTTGGATGTATCCTTCGAGTCTTGTCTCTAATCCAGATCGGTGTATTGCCAGTGGACGCAATGACCCGCCAACATGTGCGGCCCGCTCAAGTGGCCACAGTACTGGTCAGCATGGATCTTTCAAATCAGGGTCTGCTAGCGCAGAGTGCCTGATCTGCAAGAAGGCGCGTCCTGAAGGCACAGCACCGCCACATCTCTTCATAAGAGATACCCGAATTGCACTCTTTCTTGCGCTTGGTGCATGGGATATTCTCGGGCTCCCCAACCCGGCCAGGTACATCTGATAAATCGACCTTAGACAGTAACAGCCTCCCAACAGGCAATGGCTCTCTGTTACGAAGTCTCATCCGAGATGTTGGGCGATTAAGCATTTCGTGGGCTGAATCTTCTTGGCATAATGTTGGGCAAATATTCTCCAGTAATGAACGCTATAGAGTTTTTATCTTTCTCCCTTAGGATCTACTCTCATGACCTCCACTCATCGATCGGCTATTCGAGTTTACGGGTTTCTTCAAGGTCTGTCATCGAACAAACACGATAGATAAATCAGAACCTCAAGCTGCGGCAGACCATAATTCATGTGATTGTCGAACGTAGCCAAAGGGGACAGCCGATAAGATACCGCGCGAGGGGTGCATCCTCGACGCGCTAATTTTCCCTCGTCGTCTTCAAGAAACCCAACCTTGATCTCCAACCGACCAGAGACAGCCAGTCTATTGCTCCTACTTGTAACCGTCGCCCGGATCCCGGATCTCACCGGAAAGAACAATCTCTCGTCAAGTCTCTCGATCCCGACAACCTCACCCCTCCACAATGCCATCCATCACCCTCCACCCGCGCGCGTCGCGATCGCCCTCACGCGTCCCCAACCCTCTCCCCCAACTCCTCCAGACGCCCTCTGGCCTTGCCCTCCTAGAGCTCCAGGGAACAATCAACATCCCATCCCAAGACGAAGCCACCACCTCTTCAGCCGAAGCACCCGACGCATCCGTGTTCGAGACCCCGATCGGCAAGCTCATGTTCCCCGATTACTCACCGCAGGATCCCGCAGACGACACAGCATGGATGAAGCGGGTCTATCTGTACGTCGGACGCTACCAACGCATCACAGGCGAGGTGAAGAAGCTGCCGAAGCCACTTGCCATCGTGCAGCGCAGAGCAAAGCCGGCGGGTTCAGCCGGGGACGACGCCGACGAATTGGAGGTGGTTGAAGTGGTGCGCTACAAAATTTACTTCAAAAGTCGACCGGAGCCTGTCAATGACATCTGAGGGCTGGAGCTCTTGGAAGGGAACGGCTGGCATATGATCGAGGGCCATTTCTTGGTTCTACGGATATCTGCCTTGGTAGGAGCTTGTAATGGAGATGTCAGCGGCTGAACCTAGTTGCTTGTCGTTCAAAACTTGAGAGGAAGACGGTTGAAACCTGGCACAACGCGTGCCAGTAACACGTCCAGAGAAACCATATTCTTTGCTCGTCAAGGCGAGATCAGAGCCCATCTGGCTCCCACGGACCCAGAGCTTAGCAAGCGGTCAGAGATATAAGAAGGGGTGATGTAGGAAAAGTTTGGACTGGCTCGCACGAGGCTTATTGTCCAATCCGCTTCGCAGCAAAGTCAAATCCAACGGTGGTTTCTTTTGCTCTCTTCTCGGCAGTTCTGCTCACACCATGGCTATTTTCTCTTGGGCCAAGAAGGATAAATCCGGTACAGAGAAGGATTCATCTTACAACGAGAAAGACTCATCATACAACGAGCAGGATTCCACTTGCAATGAGAAGGACATCTTTCCCTCAGATCTAGGCCCAGAAATCGTGGCCTTCGATCATATTACATGGTACGTGGGCAACGCGAGGCAAGCCGCAAGCTACTATGTCACGCGCCTTGGATTCGAGCATGTCGCGTACCGAGGCCCCGAGACAGGCTCGCGGACTCTAGTGGCCTACGTGGTTGCCAACCGAGACTGCACCTTTGTCCTTATTTCGCCTGGCCGCGCTCCTATTATAGACGAATTCAGTGATGAAGCGCTCATGTTATCCGGTGTTCAGACATTTTTGGCCGAGCACGGAGACGGGGTAAAGGATGTCGCATTTCGGATTGAAGGTGATGTCGAGAGCGTCTCGAAGAGAGCCGTCTGCAATGGTGCGAAGACCATCACGCCGCCGCGGACTATCAAAGATGGGGATAATGGTACTATCAGCTTCGCTACTGTAGCGGCGTATGGACCGGTGTCTCATACGCTGATCAACCGGCAGAATTATACGGGGCCTTTCTTTCCCCAGTTTGCTGCAGTGACTGAGAAGGACTCGATCAACCGGAATCTTCCACCGATTGACTTGATCGAAGTCGACCACTGCGTGGGGAATCATCAATTGGACTGTCTTGATTCTGCAGTGAAGTAGTACGACTCTCTAGCCATCCTCTTGGCCCCCGACTCCAGGAAACATGCATACTAAGCTGAAATATAGCTACGAAGAGTGTTTCGGCTTCCACCGCTACTGGACCGTGGACGACGCGAACATGTGCGGAGAGTACTCGGCCATGCGCTCCATCGTCGTCGCCTCGCCCAACGAATCAGTCAAGATGCCAATGAACGAGCCGGCATCGGGGAAGAAGAAGTCCCAGGTCCAAGAGTGCGTCCCTGCCCATCCGCACTCTCAGGCGCAAAGCTGAGCTGAGCTGACGATTGCCACTAGATTCGTCGAGTACCATGGTGGCGCCGGAGTCCAGCACATTGCCTTCCGGACGGACGACATCGTCACGGCGGTCAGCCGACTGAAGCAGCGCGGGATGGCGTTCCTGCGCGTCCCAGACGAATACTACACCGACCTGCGGCAGCGGCTGGCGAGTGGTGGACCCAAGATAGCCGAGGACATTGACAAGTTGCAGGATCTCCATATCCTGGTGGATTTCGACGAGAAGGGCTACCTGCTCCAGATCTTCACCAAACACATACTAGAGCGACCGACAGTGTTCCTCGAGGTGATCCAGCGGAACAATTTCGACGGGTTCGGCGCGGGCAACTTCAAGGGCCTGTTTCAGGCTTTCGAACGAGAGCAGGCTCTACGAGGAAACTTGTCCCCAGTTACAGCATGAAGAATGTATTAGACAGGACACGACAAGACAGACAGAGAGGGGGAGTGGTTCCGCAGTATCGGCAAGGAGAATAGCCGGGGCGGAAAGAGGGCGCGAGGAAAGAATTCCGCAGTTTGTTGTAACAGCCACAGCCAGAATATACATTGAGCACAACAATAGACGATCTATGACAATACAGAAAGCAATTTCCAGCCATTATAGTATCTAAATAGGAGGAGATCGACCGTTGCAACAATTTAACCGTATACCCCAAAGGACCAAGCAATTCAACAAATGACCCCGAACCGACCATACCCGACGCCAGCCGACATCCGTCGGAAGCCCTCCTCCCTCCCTCCCTCCTTCCTATAACATTGAGAACTACCTTCATCACGACGGTCCTACCAAGTAGCAATAAGCATTCACCATAAATAGAGCCTATGTGATCAATGATACAAAAAGCCCCCCGCACCTCAAGCTGACCAAGACTACATACACTCCAAACTACCCCACAACCGCCGATACATAAAACCCTCCCCGGCCTCAACTACCTCTTCCTTCCCACTACCATACAACCAACCTCAAAACACAACATCCATTCCAAACCCCCCCCCCCAATCCCAGAAAACAACCCTCCTAAGTGATCAAAATATAGATGCTGCGCAGCCTCCCGAAAATGGCCCCAATCGAACGCATCACCCTCTTCAAGATCCCGGACGAAGCCGGCCGCGACCGCGTCCTAGAACAATACAAGATCCTTGCCAAAACAGCCGTCAAGGTACGTTTGCGCATATAAGTACAGTACATACTGCCAACAACCCAAACCCACGGGGATTTCAACCCAAACCCCATGTCCCCAAACAACCCACATGACCCTAAGGATGGTAACTAAATCTCAAAGGGAAAAAAAAGGACGGAAAGCCATACATCGTCAGCGCGGCGGCGGGCGCATCGTTCCCGGACCCCCGCAACAAGGGGTACAACCTCAGCGTGAAGACGACGTTCGCGTCGCTGGAGGATATGCAGTACTATGACACGCAGTGCGAGGCGCATAAGGCGTTGAAGGCGGTGGCGGCGCCGGTGCGGGAGGAGGTGCTGACGACGTATTTTGAGAATATCCTTTGATGAATTCAATCTTTTCCGGGGGGTTCTCTTTCGGGGAACAGGGGGTTAGGGGGTTGTATATAGGTTTGTTTCGGTTGAGTATTTCTCGCTTTTTGGCGAGGTCGAGAGGAGGCCAAAGGTCAAGTGAAGAGTTATTTTGGATTCAAGTTTCTACTCTAGACAACTCCTTCTGTGATGTATACCATCCAGTTCATGACTTGGCTCTTTGTATGTATGCATGCATGCATGTTGCTGGATCAATCAATCATAGCTGAATGCCCCCGGGTGAGTTCGCTGCTGTACTCGAGCACACGAAAAGAAAAAAACAAAACATAAACATGAAACAGTTAACATGACTTCCTCGCCCTTCATCCCCTGGGATTAAAAGTACAAAGGTACCCAAGAGTTCTTTCCCCCTCTCCCTGCCAGCCGCTTAAAATGTACAGTACAACATGGCTCAAAAATGCCGTCAAGGAGCCCGAACGAGGAAGAGTATGAAGAAAAATAGCAGCGAAGCCAGGCGACCCACCCATTCATCGCTAAATGCTTGGTCAGATTATACAAACCCCCGCGGCTTTTAATCAAGAGCCTTGCGGAGGTCACTCCATTTCTGCTTGAGGTTTTCGTGATTTTCGTGAATCTAGAGATGGTAGTTAGTATATCACTGTATGACCCGAAATAGTGCCAGCAAGCTTACCTCGGCCCATTTCATCTTGGCCTCCACCAGCTCCTTCTCCATCTCTGCCATCTGCTCGACCATCGACCGGTTCTCATTCTGAACCTCCAGGTTGCGCTGCATGATGCGGTCCATCTCGGTGCGCAGCTTCTCCTCCACCTCCGCCGGCTGCTTGTCCACCACGATCTTCAGCTCTTTGACTTGCATCTTCAATGCATCATTGATATCTGTCAACTCCTCGTTCTCGACTTTGATGTGAACCAGTTCCGACGCGAGCTGAACGTGCTCCTTGTCCGAAGCTTCGTTTTGCTCCTCCAGCAGGCGGATCCGGGCACTTTGAATAGCCACAGTGTGCTTGAGGTTCTCAAGCTCCGCTTCGCGCTCCTTCTCCGTCCGCACCTTGTCCTCCCACTCAGCCGTATACGCACTGAGCGTCTCGGGCTCGAGAGGGACGGCGCAAGCGTCCTGTACCATGATATCCGCGCGATAGACTTCCTTGTCGGCAGCCCCCGAGCTTCCAAAGAATCCCGACTCTAGGATCGAGGACGGAGTCGGTTGCCTGTCGATGTAAACGTCGAACAGCCGCTCTTTCAAGAACGTGGTCAAGGGCGCCATGTCTTTCATTTCCAGCAACGTGTCGGCGTTTCGGCGCATGATGGCAAGAGCAAATTTGAGAATAGCATTCTCGAGGCCTTCATCAAAAATGAGATCGTACACACGAAGGACTAATTGCAAGGGGAATCGGTAGGCAAAGAGGGTGAGGAACCACTGCGTTGCATACAGTTGTGGAGGCACGCCGCGTCGCCGGAGGTGACAGTAGAGAGCCGGCTCAAAGTCCTCCAGTAGACGCTCAAAGAGATACAAGCAGCGGTGAAGACCCGGCATCTCCTGGATGAACATCTCCCGCAAGCCGTATTGGTTCATCAGCTTGACAAGAAGTGTGAATGCCTCCGCTTCATCCATCTACAAAAAGGTCAGCATAAATCGTTGACTTCTGGGTGTGTGGATATCCTACGTTGAAGAGCAGGGGCATGACGATGAAGTTCATTCCCTGGGCATATCCCACACCCTCATCGTACAGGGCATACGCCTTGCACAGTCCGAACAAGGCTTCCTGGTTCCCTTGAGAAACAAAGTAGCGGGAATAACTCGTGCGAGCGCCCAAGTCACGTCGGATCGTTTTCTCTAGCCTTTGTAGCGCCAACGCCTCCTCCTTCGCTTTCTTTGCTTGTTCCTTGGCCAGCCGTTCGGAATCGAGCTCATGCGAAGGGCTCGAAGAGCCGTTAATCGAGTGCGCCACAGAGGCGGACCGCTCTGAGCGGACTGACGAGCGAGAGGACGACCTCGCGGAGTCTTTTTCGCCTGTTCCATTGGCCGTGCCATTGACCGCTCGCTGCTTCTCCTTGTCTGTACCACGGGCAATAAGTTCCCGATACACCTCTTCCAGCTCAGGATTGCGGCTGTCAGCCAGGACTTGCCAAATCACTCCTCGAATGGTTTGCGGGATTCCTCGTTTGATAGCGGCATTAAGCTCCTCCGAGTTCGTTCCTTTCAGCGCGTGTGGACCGCGATTGACCAATTGCTGCCAGAGCTCCCAATCTACCGGTGCGGACGCGTCCGTCGCTGAGGCTGAGAAGCCTGCAACTGTACCCGGAGGCAGATTCGGATTAACGGTCGATGCTCCATTGGAGGGCGATGCTGCGGATGGGGTGACGCTTGTATAGCTTTCGCCTTCTTCCGGGATGCTCGGAGGGCTTCCTGCGGAGTGACTGATGCTGGCCCGTCCTGACGCGACGCTTGCTTCGTCGTTCTCCGATATGAGACCTTCGTCTCGCAGTCTGAGCTGTTTGAATTGATCCTTCAGACTGCTTCGTCGAGGTTTTTTGGAGCCTGTGCCGTCCGGATCTTCTCCGTCATGGTGTCGACCAGCAGGGTCAGGGTTGCTGGAGAGGGTAGAGATCGATGCAGCCGTGTTCCGGCGCGGCTGTGGTGGTGGTGGTGGTGACTTAACCTCCTTGTTGGAGGATGAGCTCCGAGAAAGCCAGGCAAACGGACTGGTGAACGAACGTGTTGGCGGCGGGGGTGGTGCAGGAGCGGCCGCTTTGTTTGCGGGAGCCGCATTGGGAGGGCCGTTAGATGAGCCCTGCAGGCGCGAGCTCTGCGACGAAAGTGAGTCTCTAGAGACAAGTGGTGGAGGTGTGCCAGATTTGAGCTCCTGGCTCAAGCGCTGGTTCTCGAGTGACTCTTCCTCCTCCTTGTTGCTGGTAAGGTTTACTTCGTCGAGAGAAGTAGTCGACAACCGATGCGCGGTCAGCAATGGTGATTTTTTGTTCTTGCGAGGGGTATCCTCCGTTTCGGATTGTCTGTCTATACTGGCGACATCGCTCTCTTCGACGGTCTCTGTTGTCTCCTGAGAACTCGTAGGCAAAGGGGGTGCTTCCGTTAATTGAGGTGTGAGGTTCGATCCGCTCGGGGGGCTGTCGGTCAACGATCGCGAGGAGGAACTCTGGGGGATGGAGACACTGAGGCCAGCGTGTGAAGTCGGAGATTCAGGTGCATCATCAAAGGATTCCTGGTACGAAAAAGTTGTCATTATGGGGCCCTCAAAGAGATCGGAGATGTTCTGGTATGGAGGTCAAAGGCTCACTCCTTCGTAAGTTTCGCTATTGCGTCTGGAGGACGACATATTTTAGACCCGACCACCTGGGGGGGGGCCGAAACTATGTAAGACCAGTTGGTTTCCAGATTGGAAATTCCGATTGATACAAGAGGCTGAATACACGCGCGATACGTGGGGGGGGAGGGGGGCAGCAATTGAGGAGGTCAGGACAGTGAAATTTCCATGATAGGGAGGTGGAGGCAGGCGGGAGATGGGACGGTAGCCACCGACGGTGGTCAGAAGAGAGAAATTAATCTGGTGGTGGAGTTTGTAGGTGAGGAGTTGAGACTTGGGAGGATAGTCTAGTAAGAAGAGGAAGGGGGGAGGGGGAGACAGCGAGAGGTTGGATAAACGGAGATGGATGGGGATGAATGGAATGAATGGACCCAGAACCAACGGGTGGAATTCCAGGACCGTGCCACGGAACTAGGAAGATCGGTTCCCAGTAGGTCGGTCAATCCAGGAGGTTGTCTCCCTTTTTTTCTTTTGGTGTGTTGTGTAAGTCAACGCTGGTCGCAAGATTGCGCAAAGTGGAGAGTTGAAGAAGAACAAGCAAGAGACTGTAGGAGCTGAAATTGTAGAGGGAAAGCAACGGTGGGCATTCACTTATTCCCCGACTGGACAGGTCTCGATTCGGGGTAATTCGTATGCTTTCCGTTTGAATGGATCACTGTTGAATGAATGGTGTTTCCCCCCCTTAAACTAGTACCTAGAGTATTATTGTTGGTGGTACTAATCCATTATTATTAGTAGTCAGGAGAAAGAAGACCTGGTTGATCTATTTAGCAGTCTATTGTCTGACTGTCAATATGAATAGGAGAGAGAGAGGTGACAGTGCCTGGTAGTGCATTATCTAACTATCTATTTATCGAAGATCAAAGTTCGCAGACAGAATGTTTCATCTTGTTTTCCTTTCATCCCACTAACTCGTGGGTGGTTCCTGGGTGGAGGACTCCATTTCGATAGTCTTTTTTGATATCTGAGGGCAACATTCCTTTCTGGAGCCACACCTATTATTCTGAAACTCGCCAATATCCACCTTTAGATCAAACGCACACTAACTAGTTATGCATCCTGCTATCTTTAGTTGACCTCCATCGGTGCCTATGATGCTATGTATGTAAGACATGAAGCATAAAAAGCAAGGGTTTACTCCGTAGAGAGAAGGGGTTTAGAGACAGGGAAACAAAAATTCATGAATTTACCCCGAAAATAGCTGTCTATCAAATTCTGATGCGGAGTACCCAGACCGGTCGGCAAGGGATGATCATGATCGGCTCAACAGCCCAGTGATTGTTCGAAATCCAGCCACCGTCGCTGTCGCAGCGGGTCCAACTTCTTTAATTCCGCAAGCCAGCTTAATACCGCCCGTTTCTGCCCATCGCCGGGAGTAATCCCCTCCACTTTCCAAGCCAGCAATGTACAGTCGATCAAGGCTTGGTAGAGATATTTACAGTCTTCTGCCCCGTCAAGCATATCTTCAATTTCCTCAATCTCCCGTCGGAGATATTCCAAGCGGTCCGAGTCACTAAGATTGGGTGCCATCGTCTGGGCCGCCACAGCCGGGTCAAAGACGCACATCAAGTTCTGGTGGTAAAACCATAATGACTGGTCATATGGGTCACACAAAGCACGATGGATCAGTTCCAGCTCTTCCGGAATGACTTGTTAGCATGTCCACGCAGTCAGACGCTTGTGTTTGCGCCACTTGGCAAAAATAATGTAGCATACCGTCATCCAGCATCTTTTTTCGTTCCTCATCGCGGGCGGATTGCTCGTTCAACAATCGCTGGATCAGCTTGGTGCGATAGTGCCAAGCAGAGAAATTTGACAGGTTGGCGCCGATCATCTTCTTTGCGTAGTCAAATTCAGCCTTGGTCATGTCTTCGTCGGTTTGCTCTGCAGACTTGAGCTCTCGGAGAGTCTCTATGACAAATCGTCTGTAACCCCAACCGTGGAAGTTCCTGCTGTCTAGATTAAGCATCTTGCCTACCAAGCCCAATTCCTCTTGCCAGAATCGACAGGCAATCGAAGCAGGGAGCAGGCGCTTGGCTTCATCCAGAAGCCAGACGCGGTAGTTCCAGATCCAGTAGCACTTGGGGAAGCTCTTTAGTAGGGGAATAAGAAATAGCAGGTCACTCTTGATCAAGGCAGCGACCTGATTTGCAGTCGTTTCGTCCGAGTCACTAGATTCTGCGCGCGAAAACTCACTTCGCAAGACTTGCCGACGGTAGTTCCATACTGTGTAGTACTCGGGATTGCTGCTCAGCAGTTCGGATATCTTCTGTAGAGTTTCTGGCGTGTATTCGTGCGTCGCAACCTGGTTGCTACTGTTAGGATGCGCATTATTGCTCTAATATTAATGGCTCGACGTACCTTTTCTCGGACGCACTGCTCGAGTTCTCGATATTTCTCAATTTTGCGAAGCTCCTGTTGGCGAGCCTCTTCAGTCCTCTCCCCTTTACGGGCGTACCGAGGAATCCCATGCTGTACATGCAAGGTCAGTTTGCATGCGTAGATGATCTGGTGAGAACGGGTACGTCACTTCAGCCATTATTTGATTATCGAGGTCTAATTATTGCTCGTCAAGGGGTGTCTTAGCTAGGTGAGTTGGAAACCGGATGCGACTAAGGTTATCGATAAGAGACGGCAAGTGCTTGCGGATTACTGTATGTGAAGCCCAAGCGGCGGCGGCCACTACCGAGTTCCCGGTTTCCTGTTCAGGCCAGCCGCAACCTCCTTCCTCATCTTGACGAGTCACGTGCCATGGTCTATACAACCATGCTATTCATCTGTAAAGACCCAGCAGGACTCTTCATTCTATGCTGCTAAAATCACCCCGCCATGCTGTGTGTCTGGCAGCATGGCAATGTATCAATAAGAGCTCCGGCTCACTTCTTGGCTCCAAGCATTACCAAAGACATAATCTACACAGCGTTCATTATACAATCGGGCTTTATCTGCGCCACTTCAAAGTGCTTATAGTCCCAGAGTTGAGGCAGAGAGAGCGATGACATCAAGCACTCGCTCGTCGCGAAGCTCAATGCTGGCAGCCTCTGCTGCCCGTTCAGATCCTTCTCTACCCATTATTTCAACCAGCAAGGGTGGGCGAGTACTATCATCTCACTTGCGTGCGAGTGCCCCATCACTGTTGGAGCCTGTCACTCATTCCCAACTCAACATACATACTCCTCCACCAGGGTCAAAGAAATCGCAAGATGGCAAGGGTGTTCCTTACTCTCCACTCAAACCCACAAGCAGACGATCATCCGCCCCCGCTGCCAACGTTTTGAGGGCACCAGAGCAGGGTGTGTCTGCGTCAATACCAGCGCCAAAGAAGAGGACTCAAGCCAAGGTTAGACTCCCTGTACACTACAAGTCGCCTGACTGGAATGCGAGGAGTGTGGTCCCTGATCGGTATATCCCTGCCCGAGAGTCCAATTGCGCACCCACAACACCATTCCATATTGTCAAAAAGCCGCGAGAGCTATCTCCAGAGGAGAAGCTGCTGCGTCGACGACCACCTAGAGATGATCCATTCATGCCGTCACACTTGCCAAGGTCTTTCAGTGGTCCCAAGGTAGCGTCCAATCGCATCTGCAGCACTCACTACCGCCCGCACCTTGTCACCGAGCCTGTTTATACCGGAAGTGACTCCTCTCGTGAGTTGAGAGACCTGTCGAGGCAAATCAGTAATGGGGCTGTATGGAACGTTGGAGGAAGTTCTGCCGCATTGGGTCGAGCATCCATGACGGTTCCTCGTGGCTCGGGTACCCATTTCGCCAGCGGCACGACTGCTCCCATGTTTACCGCTAAATTCTTGCCCCAGACCGCGGCGAACGAGGAACGAGAGAAACACAAATCCAGGGTAGCTCTTGCTCTGGACTTCGACCCAGCAACAAGACTTGTTAGAAGCAGTAGACCTTGGTCCCTCTCCCGCGAGTTGCCATGCCCAAAGTCTTCGGACTGCGAGAGGTTTTCGCCCTTCGTGTGGAAGGACAACGCATGGAAGCGGAATGGAAGAGACCTGTGTAAGTTCAAGCCCTATCCGGATTCACGAGGTCAACCAGACGAATGTCATACTTTGCATGGTTATGGCATCTAGCTTGTAAAGATGTTGCGTTATCTTGCGTCTCTCTTTCAGTCCCTACAAGCCGCTCAGGGTGTGAGGACATATCACTGATAATTTGAACCACTGTCAGGGACTCCCATATCGAGGCCAACTAAGCGAGTAGTCCCGAATCGTCCGTTCCGTATCCTCGACGCACCTCTCCTTCGCGATGATTTCTACTGCTCCACACTGGCGTATTCATCCACCTCCGGTATTCTCGCTGTTGGTTTGGGCCATCGCGTTTATTTATGGTCCGAAGACTTTGGGGTGCAGCATCCTCCCCTTAGCGACCAGCACCCCTCGAATTATGTGACGTCGTTGGCATTCTCTTCTGAGAATGGCGGCAGAAGCATACTGGCTGTTGCAAGACAGTCGGGAATGTTATGTCTGTGGAGTGTCTTCGATGCCGAGGTCCGATTTGAGATTAGCCACCCCGAGAGTATCACTTGCGTGGCCTTCAAGCAGACGAAGTCTCGCAGATTGTCTGAGAGAATCCGTAATATGGAAGTCGATGTCGAAGATCTGGCTGTGGGGGATGATCTAGGGAACATATGGTATTACTCTGTGGAGTGGCCCGACGATGCCATATGGGATCGATATGACTGGAGCGGAGCCATGACCTTGCTCGCCAAAATCGCTGCTCACACTCAGCAAATCTGTGGCATAGCCTGGTCTCCAGATGGCTCATTCCTTGCAACAGGTGGTAACGACAACTTCTGCCTGCTTTTTGAGCTCCAGACCATTCTTCCTCCGCGCGAACTCAATCTCTCGGTTCGAAGTTATTCGTCATATCGTTCATCCCATCATTCATCGCACCATCATTCATCGCATCATCATTCATCGCATCATCATTCATCGCACCATTCATTACGTCGTTCGGACCCGTCAAGAGGCACAGAGGGCACTGACACGTTCCCTTATCATACCACGGAGGCTGGCAGGCGCCATCATCGAAGGCGCAGTCTCATCGGCAACCTGCTTCCGCCCTGGGCGTTATCATATGTAAGACCTTTTACCACGTCTCTTCTCAACCATACAGGATCCTTGATCACAGGTGGTGAAAAAACAATCATGGTTCCAGCCAATCGCCAAAAGCATAGATTGATCCATGGGGCGGCGGTGAAAGCGATTGCATTCGCCCCTTGGCAGCCATCCCTGCTGGCCACCGGTGGAGGATCGAATGACCGGACCATTCACTTCTTCCACGCCCCAACAGGTGCATGCTTGGCCACAATTCATGTCTATGCACAGGTGACAAGCTTGATATGGAGCAAGACCAGACGGGAGATTGTGGCTACATTCGGGTTTGCACAGCCAGAGCACCCCTATCGGATCGCCGTTTTTGCTTGGCCGACTTGTGAGCGGATTGCGGCAATCCCCTGGGGCCCGCATGGCAGTAGCTGGGATAGCGCAGATAATGACCTCGTGGTCGATTGCGGACGGGCGCTCTGCGCTGTTAGTTATCCTGGACGACCCCATACCTTGGGATATCGAGCATCAGACGAGACCGTGGACGAGACCGTGTCGAGCACAGCAAATCAGGACCGCTTAGCGGGACAAAGTCGATATCAACCGGGCAAACGTCGTATGAGTCGTGCCTTTGTACGTCCGCGCGCTAAGGAGGGAGGCTTATGGTGCTCGCGCACAATGCATGAAGGGTGCATTATTGTGGCCTCCAGCGATCAGAGCGTCAAATTCCATGAGGTGTGGAGTGGAACTAAACAAAGCACTGCTGCAGTGGCGGGCTCTTTTGGTGGCAGTGGCATCCTCGAGGGCCTGGAAGGCCTTGAGAAGCCGGGGAAGGAAATCATTCGGTGACGTCAGCGATCCTGATCCTAAGTGCGACGAAGGTCGTGATGCCTGCGTAGGTGCGTATTATTATGGCAGTCAATTAATTCTTAGAGTACGATTCATCATCTTTAAAGGAGTCTTCTTGACATGCATACGAAGGTTTGTGCGTCGCCGCATCGCATCGAGAGTCCTGTCTATGGAATCGGACCGGGCCGACGATCCTTGCTGCATGGGTTTTGTACATACATCAATAGCGCGTCTGGACTGACTCAAGCTTTGTTTATCTCAAGCTTGCATTCCGAAATCAACCGTGATCAATAGACTGCTTGGAACCCACTAAGTGGAGGACTTAATGTGAACCCGTCCCCGGTGGCACGGATCTCGAGCAAAGTTCTTTATATATGTAGTATCGCAGCCTGCAATTGTACATACAACAACATCAGTATCATTCCCCATCAAGTCTTGGTCTGCAGCAACTTCCAACAATGGGCGCAATCACCACTTTCCTCACTTCAATTTTACTCACCACCACCACTATCACCACGACTACCGCCATCGCAACACAAAACACCACGACCACGACCACAACCTTCCCCAACACCCTAAACATCACGACCCTGACCGCGCACAACAACCACTCCGTCCTCGAATGCTGGGCCCTCCAACCAGGCTACGCCCAGACGACCGAACCCGGAGTCGCAGGCAACGCCATTCTGAACCTCGGGCCCATCGCCAACAACGCATCCAACATCCTCATCCCGCCTAGCTACGACGGCGGCCAGCACAATGCCCCTGCCCTTCAGTATGGTCCTTGCCCCAATAGATCCCCAAACAACACTCCCCCCCCCCGATCCGTGTAACTCACGTGTAGTCCACTTTACTGATAGGCAGGAAACCAGATGGGTGATATTCCTGTCCGGCCTCGCGCACATCACGCTCCCGCACTCAGACGACGAGGCGTGGGTGTCCGGCGGCAAGGATGGGATGATCCTTGCGCTGGATACGGAGGATGTGAGTACTGACGGGCATGCTACGACTTATCCGTCTGGGGAGGTTACTTTTGCAGTGGAGGTGCCGTTGCGGGAGGTACCTGGACATACGGTGTTGCATGCTGGGGCTTGTGGGGTGGGGGAGATGGGGGTTTAGTTTGTAGTCTACATGTGTAGGCTTGGAAGAAGGGTAAGGTTAAGCTTGGGCAATGAGGGTGGGGTTGAGGGTGAGGATGAAGATGAAGATTGATATATTCACACCCCTCCTTGATTCTAACATGTGGCATAAGAGGGAAAGGAACCTGAACCTGAACCCAGTAGAAAGAAAATAAATAGATTCCAAACAGACAATACAAACATGATCCCTGACTTCGACACTCCCGCTCTCTGTACTTTTTTTGGGTGGGGTTGGAGGCAATAATGAAAACATCCGGGGGGAGAAAGGACACCAACATTTGCTGCTGCTGCTGCCGCTGCTGCTGTGAAGAACGGGGGTATAAAATCTAATGGTTGGGGTGGTGGATGTTGTAGTAGATGGATGACAAGATGAGAGAGAAAAGAAAGAAGAAAAAAAAAGAGAGAATTGTTATCTATCGCCTATCTTTTTCCTGCCTTCTTTCCCTTGCCTCGCCCGCCGCCACCACCGCCGTTCAGCCGAGCCTTCTTGGAAGGTGGAGGCTGGGGAGCAGCAATAGCCTCGTTCTCAGAATCGTCCTCGTCTTCCGTGTCGGCGATGAAGTCCACCATGGAGCCGACGCTCTCGGCGTCCTCGTCGTCTTCGTCTTCGTCCTCCTCGAGGGACTCCTCCGCGTCCGAGGAGCCGGCGGATTCTTCCGCCTCGACATCGAGAATGTTCTCGTCCTCATCGTCCTCTTCTTCGCTGCCCTCTTCTTCGTCCTCAGACGAGTCTCCACCGTAGTGCACGCCGTTCATCATCGACTCTTCCTCATCGTAGGCCTGATCACGTATCGACTTGGTGCGGGGGGTGACGGTGTCCTTGTTCGCCTCGGCATCGCTGTCATCGTATTCGTCCTCCTGTCCCTCCACGTAGATGATGTTCTCCTCATCTTCGCTGTCCATGGCTTCTTCGCCGTTATGGATCGACCGTCTCAAACCGAGCTGGGCATCCAACATATCCAGCTTGCCCTTCAGCAAAAGCAACGAGGGAAGGCTGGAGGAACGCTGCTCCATGACCTTGAAGAGGGTCGACATCCGCTTCAGAAGCTCTGGCTTACCCGCAAGAGCTCCACCGTGCGCAACACAGGTCCATTGCACCCAGATAAGAAGGTGGCCGTAGCGGCCAGGACGGCCGGAGAGACGCTCTGCGAGTTTCTGGAGGAGAGTGGCTGCCAGGGAAGAGTCGAGGCGCTGAATAGTGGTACGAATGATGGACTGATCGCCGGTGTGGAAGCATGACTCGAGCATAGCGTTGTCATTCGTCTTGAGAGACTGGGTGAGGACGGTGGACAATGACACGCCCGAAGGGATTTGCTGGATCGCGGCGTTCGGCTTTCCGGGAATCAGGGAACCCATATGCACATCGTCCTCGAGCTCGGCTTCGACGTCAACGATTTCCTGGTTGGCGCGCACAAGCTCACCGAAAGACGGTTCGCCAGTTTCGTCTTCCTCCTCCTCCTCCTCGGAGCCCGACTCCTGCCCGTTACCCATTTCAACATCGCTATCCTCCTCCGTCTTTTGCAGCTGCTTCGAAGGCTTTTCATCTTCGACGTCAGAGTCAGACTCTTCTTCGCTTTCGGCCACAGAATCGCGATCTTCTTTAGAATCTTGCATCTCGACGTCATCTTCGATCATGTTGCCTTGCTCTACCATGGCCCTGGATTGATCAACATCGAGTTCTCTGGCGCCTCTTGCCTGGCTCGTGGTCACATTCCCCAGAACTCCGCCGGTCTTGGTTCTAGGAATGGTCCTGGTACCGGTGAACAGAACTTCGTCGGTCTCTTCATTGAGCCATTGGATCCGCTCAAAGACAGGAACAACACCACCGTCAGCCCAGACAACAACCAGTTCAGGACCCTGGAAGGTCGCTGCCACCACCGACACAAGAGCCTGGGAAGAAGCGGACATGGTAACCTTGATCGATGCCTCCGCTCTTCTGATAGCCTGTTTCGATCGGGCCTTGAGGCTAGCGGCACCCTTAGCTGAAGTCTGCTCGACGGGGGTGACGAATGGCCGGGTGAAGAGTTCAATCGTGCCGTCCTCAGTAACGGTAGCGAGGACTTGCTTCTCTGCCGGCAGAGCATCGCCCTTCCTCTCGACACCAGTATACAGCGCTAGGGAGCTCACTCCCTGCTCAGCCACGAGGTTCATGGCAAGCCTCTGTTTCTCAATATCGAAGACGTTGATGTATCGATCACTATCTGATGCCAGGAATAGGCCTGTAGCCGCAGACTCTGTGGAAGAGGTGAATATTTGTCTGACTGGGTTACGCATAGCATCGAACGAGATGGGGGCGTCATCATTCTCCACGCTAACGATGTAGGGGGTTTGGGAGGCGCAGATGACATGAGGATTGGAAGGAAGCGGGCGCGAGAGTGTGTTATATGTCGATGTAGAGGGTAGATGAATGACCCTAGCCGCGATTGTTAGCAAAATTATGCGATGAAGAGAGACAAGTATAGATGGATGGATTTACCTCGTCTTCTGTCCAGTGCGGAGGTCCCACTGCACTAGCTTGTTATCTCCACCAATACTCCAACCCTCTTGACCGGGTCGACTGGACGTGAATTTGAAATCCTTGATTCCTTTCTCATGTCCGTCTGCAAGTGTACCGACAATCTTATCCTCCGCGGGTGAGTACATCCGAATTTCGGAAGAGTTGGTTCCAAACGCAACGACGACATCTCCCTGATCAAAGTCACCATTGATATCAGAATTTCTCTTTCTCCTCTTCTTTGACTGCTGATCCTTGTCCTTCTGGCGACCGGCGAAGTAGCCCCAGTCTAGTGATGTGATAGTCTCTTTGGGTCCCAGGACATGTTCGCACTGTAACCGTCCTGTGTTCGTATCGTGAATGCGGAGATGCTGGGCACCGAGACCTTGAATGACCGATGCGAAAAGCGCCAATTGATATTCCGACGGAGCGAAAGAAGCCTTCAGGATAGAAGACTGGTTCCCGACATGTGTCAATCCAGCTACCGCGGGCGACGCAGCGGAGGAAGTTTTCGTAGCGGCCGGGCGAGTCGCTTTCTTGCCCATTTTGGATGGACTCTGCGGGTGAGATCAAGGCGATAGACGCAGATGTACTCGTGTCGCAAAGGAGATTGCAAAAAACAGTAAGAAGCCTGACCCCGCTGCAAATTTGAGCGACAACCTCTTGACTCTTGAAACAGTGTTGTGCTGGTCGACCGTCGCCGTCTTTCTGGACCCGAGTTGAGGTTGCTGAGGAGGAAAAAAAAGTTCTGTAGAGATACGCTTGGCCTGTTGCGGTTTAGCCGCCCGTGAGCCTGAGTTCCGCTCCGGGTGTCTTATCTAATCCTCCGCTACAGCCAAGCACGACCCTCCCTCACTCCCTGCATCGCTAGGAGTAGTTAGTTGCCGGTAACTTCTTCCTCCGAGCTACTCTCTCCCCTGGGGAGCTTCCCAAGCAGAAAGAAATCGTTGGAACACTGACACTTCGAGACTTGCATTTCATTGGCAACGATCTTTTGATCTCTTGATCTCTTGCAACGCCTCCGATTATACGACGGAGTCACAACAGCCTCAAATCGCAGTCAACGTGCTGAAGCGCGAGGTTCAAAGGCTTCTGGAGGACAAAACAGGAGGACTGACAGGCAATGACCACCTCGATTTTATTTTCGCCTTCACTTTCCAGCATTTTCAACGATATGAGGAAGGCCGACTTCTATTCATTGTTCCCCTCTTAGCTCCCTGTGATTACAGTCGGGATCACTCGCGCTGTCAGGGCTGTGGCTCCGGGTATACCTGCCGACAAACAGCTAATTAAATTCGCCTTGGCTATAGCAACACTGAATGTGCCACATGGCTCAAGTCTTTGGTCCACCCAAGGATAAGAATTTTAGCTCAACAAGACAAGAACATCCGACCTGATGAATCGCAAATTGATCCCGTCCCCAATCGAAACGAGGCGCCAGAGTTTCTGAACGGCTGCCTGGACGAGTCATCCCGCCGAGCGACAAGGGATAGTTATGTGTCATACTCATCGAAACCCATGACCTGAGGGCGTAATGCCCTCTCTGTGAGATCGCGCCCTCTGATTTGATGACAATGGCGGGGACTTCTACGAGTCTCTCCTCTACACGACCTACACGCACTCTTTCCAACGCATCGATCGATGCGAGTTCTCGTGACTAATCCGTTAAATCCGTTGAATGCTCGGAATCGGCCATTCGGAGATTTGATTTGCAACGGCCCAAGGGGTCGGTTACATCAGCATTCGGACTAGACCGGATGCGATGTAAGGGAGGGCTCAGGGCCAAACCCTGGGGTTACACCAAGTCAGCAGACCAACACATCCTGGTCTCGGGCGGCCAGCAGGTAAGCTTCCCATCAGCCTGGAGATCCATGATGCATCATCCTCTTATCCTGCTGAATGCCTAACACATTTTCATCGGGTATGTCATATCTGATTTCATTTGGCCCAAGATACCACAGTGATGTATCTGGTCGATAGAGTCACAAGGTGCAGATCAGTAGTCTCACCGATTAGTGATCTGGATTGCATTGATAGTATCCTTTTGAGTGTGTTTTGATCCAACACTCACCGAGGGGACAACATCGTTTTTTTTTCTTTTTTTTTTTTTTTTTCTTGCTTTTTTTTTTACCCTTACTCTCTGTCTTGGTGACTGTCGAGGATGTTTCCGACAAAGGGACTTTCTGGTACGAAAGGGCCCATCAGCCAGGACTGGATACAAGCAGGAACCAATAGCATGTTGGATTTCGTAGAATGCGTCATCGGATAACCAATGAGGAGGTGTAGAATGGCTTGAACTAGATCAGTTGGGATTAGTGCAGCGGATGGAGTTAGCGGCAGAGAGCGGACGGGCGCGTCGCGGCCGTTCGTACTTAAGGATTCTAGCACCCCCTCCGACTTTCTCTGTCTCTGTTTCTGGAGCTGAGAGCTGAGAGCTGCGCGCCGGTCACGCTTTTTCCCCCTACCTGACCATCACCACCACCACCACCACCACCACACATATTTCTCCCCTCTTTGACCGCCCTCCTCACTCAACCCTCTCTGCTCTTCCCAGGCTGTTGCTGCCCGCATTATCCTCGGTTGCCCCTGGATATTACTCACGCGTCTCTCTCGCGTCGCGCGCTCACCCGTTCGATCCCAGCCACAGCTACTGCAGCTGCTTATTTTATTTGGGGTTATTTTCTTTTTTTTTTTTTTGTTTCTCTTCTATTTTTCCCTGGGATCTTATTTCAATTTTCCCTCCCCCTTTCCCCTTTCACATTATTATTAGCAACGACTTCCGTCCAAGCTTCCGAACCCAATTCTATCCGTCTCCTTCCCCTTCTCTTCACCACCGCGTCGCCAATACCTTTAATTGGCCTCAGGCAACAACAACAACAACAAGGGCACGTGCAAAGTCGCTTGACCGTCGAATTACTCCAGTATTCACTGAGTTTCACTGGTATTCTCTTTGACAGTCATCTCATCTCTCTTCTCATCTCAAATCCCTTCTTCACCCCACTTCTGATATCGTCTTCATTACCTCCGTCTGGCGCCATTGCCTCCCGCTTAGCTAACCCACGCTTGCCGCCCACGTGACCTCTGCATTTACCGCCCGCCGCCTCTTGGCGATATAAGTACTTGCCTTGTCGCATTCTCCACATCTGCGATCCGCGCTAATCTTCCATCCTTTCCTGTATCTGCTGCAACTCCCGTGGCGTCGCATCATCTGGGATTGCTCATTCAACCGGTTTTCCCTTCTGTCATCTGTCATCTAATCAGCTTACTTGCTCGCCCGCTTATCGAATCCATTCATTAGTCTGTGATAGCGCAGAGTGTTACCTATTCAGTTGATTGTTGTTGTCGTCGCTTCCTAAAATCCTCGGGTAACTGAGACTCCCGTCGGAATCGCCGCCTGCTTAGACTTTGTATCTCGATCATCCCAAGGAGGGCTTTCTTCACAGCGACCCCAAATGGCGACGCCGCCTCCGGAGGCCCCCTCTGACTTCAAGAAGGAGGAGAAGCCTCAACTGCCGCCGTCGCCCAATGGAGTCTCGCCCGCTGCCGTCGACCGCGCAAGGTATGTATATTCGCCACTTCGTCTTGTGTTGTTTACGTGTCGTTGCTGACCGCCTTCGCAGTCCGCAAGATGCTGTAGCCAGTGCTAAGCCGGATGCGCCGGTTGATGGTGCAGGAAAACCTTCAGAGGAGATTACCGCCGCTTCCGTGAATGGACATGATGCCGAACAACCTTCCGTTACAAACGGCTTGGCTGCAACCGCTTCTCCACCAAAGTCACCTTCTTTGCCGAGCGCAGACACACCCGCACAGCCAGCCGTCGCGTCCGAAGATAAGAAGCCTTCAAACGTGGATTCAGTTGCGGCTGGTCAGGGAGACAAGCCTTCGGGCAGTAACAGTGCGCCTGTTACTGACAAGGCTCCGGGCTCGGCTGCAGACCCTCTTAGCCCAAAAAACACACAGGCGTCACCGGATACGTCAAAGCCCTCAACTGATACGTCCGATGCCAAAGTGGAGAGCACTACACAATCATCACACAATGCTGGACCTGTGAGGACAGAACTTCCCCACCATCCGTCCAACAGTCCATCCAAGAGCGTTGACCACGAGATGCGCGATGCCCCGGATGTTCCAGTGTCTCCCACTAAAGTCACGAGAGAGCGAGAGTCTGATCATGGTGATGAGCCAGCTGCTAAGCGAACCAAGATTGGTGGTGGAGGCCCATCTGCAACCGATTTCAAGGTTCCCAGCTTGCCTACACCGGCTACTGAAAGCCGCTCCGCCAATTCGAGTAACGGCTACAGTGGGATGACTAAGGTTCAACACAAATTCCTGCTCAAATCGATTCAGAGCCTGAAGCGCATGCATGACTCGCGCTTCTACAGAGAACCCGTGGATCCGATCAAGTTGAATATTCCTCACTATCCGCAGATCATCAAACAACCCATGGATTTAGGCACTATTGAACGCAAACTCAAGTTCAATGAGTATAGAACTGCTCAAGCTGTCATCGATGATTTCAGACTCATGTGTCAGAATTCCCTAACTTTCAATGGTCCCGATCACCCGGTCGCCCAAGAAGGTCAGAAACTCAGAGCAACTTTCGAGAAGCAGATGCACAACCTCCCCAGACCGGATGAGATGGAAGACAAGAAGCCAAAGAAATTCCCTCCCAAGACGTCAGCAGCCCGTCGAGAACCTCGGGCGGCGCCCAGTCCAAGTACAGCACGTGCTACCGGCAGTTCTCCCCAGTCTACCACCTTTGCTCTAGGCCCAGAAGGTCTTCCGCTGATTCGTCGTGACTCTGCTGCGAATGCGGATGGACGTCCCAAGCGTTCGATCCACCCTCCCAAACGTGATCTTCCTTTCTCTGCAAAGCCCAAGAAGAAGAAGTATCAATGGGAGCTGCGTTTTTGCACGGAAGTTTGCGAGGAAATGTATAAGCCCAAACATTTTAACTATGCGGCGCCTTTCTATTATCCTGTGGATCCTGTCGCTCTCAACATCCCCACCTACCACAGTATCATCAAGAAGCCGATGGATCTCTCCACTGTTCAGACCAAGTTGAAGAATAATCAATATGAGAACGCCAAGGAATTTGAACTCGACATGCGCTTGATCTTCAAGAATTGTTTCAAATTCAACATCCCCGGCGATCCCACCTATGTTGCTGGTCAGCGTCTGGAGGAGGTCTTCAATCAAAAATGGGCTCAGAAAACCCGCTACCTTGAGGCCCATGAACCCCACCCTGAGCACCAGAGCGCAGCGGAATCGTCTGAGGAAGAGAGTGAGGAAGAGGCGGAGGAAAGCGACTACGATGCTGAGAAACTCAGTATGCTGCAGAAGCAAATGGAAGAGATGACTCGTCAGATTGAGGCCATCACCCAAAAGAAGAAGAAGACTCCTCCTGGCTCTAAGAAGCTCAGCAAGTCCAAGCCACCCCTGAAGAAGGAGGTCAAGAAGCCTGGAAGTGTCGGCTTGAGCAGCGTCAAAAAGGATAAGAAGAGTGGTACCAAGAGTGCCAAGCCTGAAAAACAGCGCTGGGTCACCTACCAAGAAAAGCAGATCATCTCCAACGGAATCAGTAACCTTCCAGATAAGAAGATGCAGGAAGCGCTCAAGATCATCCAGAGCAACGTCCCAGCTCTCAAGGTATGTTTTCTCCATCGTTTCAATCAATGGCAGTGAAGCTGACTCTTCGTCCAAAAGGGTACGCAAGAGACTGAGATTGAGCTTGATATCGATGAGCTTCCCAACGAGGTTCTACTGATGCTGCTGCGCTTCGTTAAGAAAAATGCGCCTCAAGTGATGGAGCATGAGGATGTTGTGACTCCCACAGTGGCAAGTACTACTACCACTGCCGCCCCAAAGCCGAAGAAGAACAAACCCATGAGCAAGTTCGAGCAGGAGGCGCAGATCAATATGCTCGAAAGCAATCTGTCGCGCTTCTCACAGGGTGGTGCTGGTCGCTCACCTGACCCCGTTCCCTCTGTCGAGGCCAATGAAAGTAGTGATGATTCGGAAGATGATTCTGAGGAGAGCGAGGAGGAGTAAGCGCCTTGTCATGCGGGAAGCCTACCTGTTCATCATGGCGCTTTAGCCGTGGCGTTTACTCATTTCCCTTAAAGCCATTGCTGGTCTCAGGGATCTTTCATCATTGCCACCTTCTGCCCCTGTTTATCCTTCTGACATGTTCTCCATACAATAATGAGCTATCATTTGTTTCTCAAGTCCTTTCTTTTTTTTTTCCCTCTAGCGATCCCTTTGACGTTTGGAGGCTGGTTCGATATCCCTTGGACTCTCCAAATCTGTACATAAGGCGGGTCCGGGGATACGCCAAATGATTCAGATAAATGTCGACCGCGCAGTGCGACAATATTGGAAGATTGAAGACGCTTTGATTGGACAATCGTCGCGTAAGTCTCGAAGCTGGCGAAACGGCCTGTCCCCGAGCAATGGTGATTGGTTTCCAATGAGCCAAGAATGGTGTCTGTGGTGAGGGTACATGTATGATTACGAAAGAAACGTGAAAACGGAAGCGACTGCAAAGCTTTACCTGCTACGCAAAAGACCATAATGGTCCTTGAATGCCTTCTCCCGGTTGTTGTTGTATGTTACTCCATGTAATTTTTGGTAAGGCAGCTTTGACCGGACTGGAAGAACACAACTTAAAGAGTATCGGTCTGACTGCCTGGAACTAGGCGGTGAGCCCAACAATATCTCCGCGGAGGTCTACCCCAGCAGGGTAGATAGATTATCAACACTTTCAATCAACATCCCCCGCCATCGCCGACGAACGATGCTTCCGCCTTGCGATCCAGCTATTCTCGAGAGCAACCCCCAATTCAAACACCTCTATGAACAATTAACAAAAAAATTTCTCAATCCCGATGGCTCGACGCGTGCCAACGATGCGCAGCCGGCCAGAAAGGCGCTTCTGGAAGTATGTCAGGACCGAAACGGTCCGCAGTCAATGTGCGAGATGTTTCAAAGATCTGTTCAATCTGTCTAATACCAGCCTATGCAGGAAATGAAATACTGCCGAACCCGCGATGCGAAGAACAAGATCAAGAAACAAACGTTGCGGCGATTGGCGTTCGACCCCGACAGCGGGCTCCCCGACGACGTAAGGGAGCGTGTCTAGACCCCTGAGCACCGCACCGCAGCAGCGAAACTGACATGAAGAATTTGCTGTGGCAATAGTGTCGAGACTCCGCGGCCATCATCTACCTCTACCTTGAATCCTGCCCCAATTTAATTAACCTTCCTACGGCCGATAACAACGACGAAAACAACAAGAACCAAACCGACCCAGACACCCTCCAACTGCTCGCCCCAGACATCGACCTTTTCTACACCCACCTGCCTGAAGTCGCCGACGTCTTTTCCCGGATCCTCCGTGCCGATCTGCAGGACCTCCGCGCCATCACAGATGCAGGAGCAGATCCATCATCCGCCGCCGCCGCACCAGCCGAACCCCCTCGCACGCGCGCCCGCACGCGCCAGGCAACAACCAGCAGGGCTACTGCACAGCAACAACAACAACAAAGCATGATGCTCTCCGCGCAGCTCGACCAGCGCACCCAGACTCTGCGTCGACAGCAGCTGAGCGAGTTGCCGGCGGCACGGACCCGGATGGCTGCCACAGCAGCCGAGGTGCTGGCGACGCGGGCGGCGGTGCTGGAACAGACGGTGATGCTCCTCGAGCGGGCGAAACATGGAGCGTTGGCGCGGGCGACGAAGGCCAAGACGGAGCATCTGGCGGCGGTGGCGCAGGGGTTGAGTGGGAAGCTCAAGTATGTTCTTACCCTTCGTCCTTTATCGAAACCTTAGAGGAGGTGATGAAGCGATGGCTAACTGTGATACTCTTGCTTTGGGATAGTGTTATGAGGCTGGAGATTTCGGCGACGATCCATACGCCCGAGGTCCTGGCGGCGCTAGGGCGGTATTGGGATCACCTTGAGGAGACTCGTGCGCGCTTGGAAGAAAGGCGCGCGGAGGCATTGGAGGAGTTAGAGCAGTACGGGTTTGTAGAAGAAGAGGAGGAGGGTGAGGATGCGTCCGGAGATACGGTGCGCACTGAGCCCAAATCCATGGAGGAGGTTTTTCGCCGGTATGGAACTTTGCTCCGACAGGTAGAAGAAAAGAGACAAGAGGTACTGCAGACTGATAGTAAGTCGCGGTAGAGTCATGCTCGAAGATATTGTTATGATACCCACGTTGGAGAACGAATTTCACGAAGTATCCTCATCCTTTCCTGCATTAAAATATGAGAAATACCTTTTATCGTGACTACCTTGTAATTAATGATATCGGACCTCAAGCGCAATAGATCTAAGATAACCAATCAGTCACCCCGCAGTCCAGTTTCCAAAGGAGTCACATGACTCAGTCCCGCCAAAACTTTTCCCCCTTCTTTGCGATAAGAAACTAAGATTCCCAAATTCCAAGAAACACCCAAGGGACAAACAAATACTCCACTACTAAACCCACGGACGGGAATTTATCAAAATGGCCGACGACGCGCTCTCCATCTACGACGAAATCGAAATTGAAGACATGACCTTCGACCCCAACCTTCAAATCTACCACTACCCGTGCCCATGTGGCGACCGGTTCGAGATCGCGATCGACGACCTCCGCGACGGCGAGGACATCGCCGTGTGTCCCAGCTGCAGTCTGATGATCCGGGTAATCTTTGACGAGGTGGGTTTCTATTCTACCTACACTTTTTTTTTTCTGGTTGATGTGTAAGGGTGTCCGCTAATTTCGCTTGGTTGCAGGGTGATCTTGTTAAGGATGATGATAAAAATGGGTCTGCTGGGGCGGTTGCTGTGCAGGCTTGAAGAGGTCTCCGTGTATTCAACTCAAGTCGCTCAAGTAGAGGAAGCACTGCTGGGTTGGCTATGTGGGGTTTGCGTGCGCCGAAGATGGATGATTGGTTTCGAGGTTGGTGGGCGCCACTGCGATAACTGGACTTGGGAGTCGGGAATCGGGAATCGACTTTGATTCAAGGTTGGACGGTCTGCCTTCCAGCTGGGGATCAGCTGCGCCGGGCTGGGGATGGCGATGGCTGCGCCGGTCAGAAGACCATGCATGCACCATCTCCGGCTTGTGTATGGGCTGGGCGGAGGCGATACAGCTGGAACGATCGTGCCTTGGCCCTGCGGTCGGATTGCCCGGTTGATCAAAATATGGGCTGTGGTCGCTAAGGCATACACAGCGTGATTAGAGGTGGAACTCAATCGCGCGTACACGACCTGCCACCGCGCCGCGCGCGACTCCGATACGTTAGGCATGGCTTGACCTCAGTACCTCGTCCACCACTTGCAAATCTGGAGCCATATATTGCGCGCGCGGCTAGCCAGTCAGACGTCTACCACTGGCCAGGAAGGAAAGAGTGCTCCTGACTACAAGTTCATGAGCTCGCGCAGCAACCCGACCGTATATTCCACCTCGAACTATATATCATCTAGCAGTTACTCAACAGTTCAAATCCCAACAAAATCCGAGAAATTCTCCTAGCATGGTAATAATCTACATGACTCCTGCCTGTAAACACCCACTCGTAAAATCGTGCTCACTCAAACGCAGCCCACAACCCCATCCTCACCCATAGCCTTCCTGGCCCTGAGCTTAACCTACTGCAGCTCACTGTAGATATCCTTGGGCAAGTTCAACGTCAACTCATGGTTCAAGAGATCGGTCAGATTCGTCCCATCCCGCAGGTAGATCCACTGCCCATTGAAAAACGGCCGGGACTCCTGCTTCTCGTGCATCTGGTCGCCCTCGACCACCCAGTCGAACCGCTTGGGTCCGGAGATAGGCGAGCTCAGCCAGATCTGCTTGTTGGGCGGCTGCTTGTTGAGCACGTATACGCCGACTCCGGGGACGGTGACATTCATGACTCCGGCCTAGATATTCAGAAAAGCACACACAGAGGGCAGATGTTAGCTTGAGCGGGGCCTTCGTATGGAAGCGGTGCAGGTATGGAGAGGAAGAAGATGAACAGTAGGGGAGGTTTCCAACGCACACTATACTCAGCCTCAATCTCGGAGCCCTCCTCTTGTCGGTTTTCCACCTCCTCGACAACGGTGTTCAGGTAGTGCTCAGCGTAGTCGTGGTACTGGCCGTCGGTCAATGGGGATGGCTCCGAGACGTGAGCCGCGGCGCCGGCGACGTTGTGGGACTGCGGGTTCGGGGCCGCGGGGTCGGCGGAATCGGGGAAGATGCCTTTGCGGGTTGCAGGAGAAGAGTGGAAGCTTCGAAGGAGGGAAGAACGGGGGGTGGACGGGGTCGATTGAGAGGGAAGAGAAGCTCTTGCTGCTGCGGGTGAAGCTGCTGCGAGGCGAGCACCGGCGCCGGCGCGGAGAGCTGGACGAGCGACGGCGGCGACAAAGGCCCGGGGAACACGAGAATACATGATTGATGATATTCGGTGGGAATATTTGATGAGAGAACACAGGAGAATAATATGGGGAAAGAGAAAGGTGGGTGAGTGAGTGAGAAGAAGACAGGAAGGATGGGGAAAATGGCAGAATTGGGGAAGGAAAGCGGAGATGATTTCATCACATCATTGATTGATTGATTGATTGATTGATTGATTGACTGATGGATCGATCGGTATCTCTTTTAGGGTGGCACCTCCGAATTTCTTCCTCCGCCCCGTTTTCTTTCTCCTCTATGCGACTTTGTTTTTTTGTTGGTTACCTCGTTCGTTCTTTCTCTCTCTTGCCTATTCCCTCTTTACTTTGGCTTCTTCTTCCTTCTTTTCTTGCGCATCTATGGACTTGGATTTTCGAATTCACTTTCTCAGTTTTGGATGAGACAGTGTTGTTCAGTTCGACAATGCCAACTCACCCACCGTTGTTGACCTCCGCGCATCACCACTAGATAACAGACTAGATGCTCGTCTCCAGGCTTTCGAGGTCTCTCGCCTCGACCAACTCACTCGGCCATGCTCACACAAGACGCCGCTCATTCCATCAGAGCCCTGCGTCGCTCAAATTCGTACCCGCCACACACCTGCTTCTTATACCCGTGGCCGAAAGCCTCACGGCTTTCCAGAAATGGAGCTCGGGGAAAGGAGCATTTGTGTCCCAGGTACAAAAAGGTTCCGCCCTTGACAGCCGCAACTTCCGCGCCGTCGGCACCCTCCATATGACGGTGGCGGCCATGCATCTTACCACCGAAGAGCACGTGCGAGGGGCATGTAAGTTCCTCAAGTCCCTCGACATCGGCGCCATCATGCGCCGGGTTGAACAGGAGATCATCCGACAAGCAGAGGGGTACATCCCCGCCGAGCCCACGTCAGAGGAGAATCCTCGATTTGCGCCTTACCGAGAAATCCGCCATCAGCCGCTCGTAGTCTCCTCATTCGAGTCCGTGGGTGCCCTGCCCTACCCCGACAAGGCCACGACGCTCTTCGCCTTTCCCGTCGATCCGTCCCGGCGTCTACACCTGTTCATGAGATCCGTGCGCCACATGTTCATGCAGGCCGGCTTCTTGAAAAGTGATACCGAGGAGATCTTCACGGTCGACCAGCCCCTGCAGGATCAGTCGAGCGGCAGCTGCAGCCGCAGCCGCAGCCGCATCAGTAGTAGTTCCGCGGTCGAGCAGCCCAGTGAACGCGAATTCAAATGGAGAGCATCAAAGGTCCACGTCACCATCGCAGGTACCAATTATTTCGATGAGTCTGGGCGGATGGTAAGGCGCTATGTTGACGTGCGCGACATCCTTTCGCGGTTCCAAGACTACTATCTCGACGAAGAGAAGACGATACCACGCTGCGAGCGGATGACATTCACAAGTGGGAGTGTCGAATGGGATAATTTCAATACGATTTTGAAAGAAGAGGAGGAGAAGGAACGAGCTGGGCTGGAGGATCGCGACGTGAAGCCGCTGCCAGGGTTACCCTCGGAACCCGAAGCTGGTCCCGGATCTCAGTCGCCAATTCCGGCCAAGCCATTGCCTTTCGTCTGGGCCAGAGACATCCGCCTTGATTCACTGCAATTAGTCACTGCGACTACCGAACCGTGTGATCCGCCAATTCCCAATGTCAGGTCTAATAGGCGTTATCGGGTTATTGCGGAGACAAGTTTACTATAAACAGGATAATAATACCCCCCAAGAGGATTGGCCGCAGAGTAGAGAGTGGATGTTGAGCTTTCCATAAAAAGGCCGGGTTATCTCTCTTCCCTGAGTATGTCGATATACCTACGGAAGACTTGCCTCAGAAGTGGAAGGGCGTACTCGTGTGATCAGTTTAGTGAAGTCTTGCAAGAACGGGCCTTTTCACATTCGAGACATCGAAAATGTTTTCGATGTGACCAATGGTGTAAATACATCGAGGAAAACATAGCATACAGCCCTTTGTATATAGATGCGGATTTATAAGCAACTACCCAAAACCCTTCAGGACGGACGGACACCCAAACGCCACGCTAGAGATAGACACAAAAAGAAGAGACTTGAGACAAAAATAAATCACCGAACTTTACTCATGAGCGTCTCCATGCCGCGTTCGACCGACAGTTCCGCGGCCTTGGCCTTGATGGCACTGATCATGCTCCGCTCGAAATCGTCGCGCGTGCGCACGACGGCCTCGACCCATGAGAGCTGCAGATCCCAGTACTCGGTCTTGAAGCTCTCGTAGACGGCGACCAGCGCGGGGCCCTTTTCAGTCTCGAGCAGGCGCACCAACCAATCGACCAGGCGCCACTTCTGCTTGATGGTGCCGGCGAAGGAGTCCGGGTAGTTCTGGAAGAAGGCGAAGACGGTGAGGACGTCGTCCTTGAACTTGTCGGTGTAGGGGTCGGTGTGGTGGCGGAACTTGACGCCGCGGTTGCGGACGGAGGAGAGGTAGCGGACCAGGAGCTCGTCGGAGAGTTCCTCGACGAGGATGTCGATGAGCGACGGGTGCAGCACAGGCGTGTAGTCGGCCATGTAGTCCTCGAAGGTGGAGGTGATGCGCTTGACGGCGAAGTCGCTGTACCACTTCTGCGTGAAGAAGTCCGAAATGGTGGCGCGGAAGTCGACGGCGAAGATCAGCTCGACGAACTGGTTCAGGCAGTGCGTGCTGAGGTCGACGTAGCCGTCGCGCAGCGCCTCCAGCTCCGGGATCGCCCGCGACGCCATGTACTTGGGGTCCACGATGGTCTCGAAATCGCGCTTGAACCGCGTCAGGTAGCCCAGCTGGCCTGTCTCCTCGTTGTCGTCGATGCAGGCGATTTGGTCGTTCGCGATCGCGATGAGCCAGTCCTGCAGTAGCTGGAGTCCGTCGAGCTGGTCGCCGCCGGGCGCCTTGTACTTCGCACACTCCTCGTCGACGAGGACCTGCCAGGCCGTTTGGCGGCTCTTGAGCACCGCGAACATGGCATCGATGATGCCCTCCACGACGTCTGTTCGCGACGAGGCCCCCGAGGCCATGATCTGCTCGTGCAGCATACGCCACATGTCTGGAAGCGTCTTGGTGCGGAAGCAGCCCTCTGGGTTTGTGTCCAGGGAGTCGGGGATCCGCTCCACGAGATTCTTCTTTTCTGTTTCGGCGATCCGGTTCGTCCAGTCTTCAACAGCGCGGATGATGACGTTCTGCCATTGCCGGATGAGCTCGGGCTCGCGGTCGTCGAGAAGGTTCGGTCGGAGGTCGGACTGTTGCCAGCCCAGCTTGGCCATTTTCTTGTAGTACTTCTCCGTCCAGTGGATAATTGCCAGCAGATTGTCGGCTGGAAGTTCCGAGTCGTTGATCATCTCAATGAAGAGATCATGAATCATGCGATGATACATATTCGTGTAAGTCTTGTAAATCTTCCACTTCTTGGGCATCAGCGGCTGCATACCCTGTTGCACGGTGTACAGGTCGTTGAAGAACCACCGGAAGCTCTTATCGAGATCATCCGGATTCGAAAGAAATTCCTCCTTGGTCTCGTCGAATTGGTTCTGTGCGTAGAACTCGATTGCTTGCAGGAACTTCTCCTTGTAGCCTCTCACCGTCTTGGGGCCCACGTTCATGGACTTGAATCGGTCGGCCAGGTCCTGATGGTCCTTCTGCGCCTCTTGCAACGCACGAACCGTCTCATCATTCTTCTCTTCGTTCATAACCACCACCGCCAACCGAACTACCATGCCGGGGTTGTCCGACTGCACCAGCGGAATGAGATTCATGCAGGCCGTCCCCAGATGATCATCGAACCAGTCGATGACGGAATCGAGCCCCTGGAAGAAATCCCCCAGCGTCTGCTCACTACTGGGGTCCTGCGCCTTGCGTATCTGGTCCATGGCCTCGTCGCGGAAGTCGCGCAGCCGGGAGATGTGCATATGGGCCTTCAGAAGGTTGGGCTGGTTCTCCAGGTCGTCGTCGTCCTCCCGCAGCAGATCCTCGACCACGGCCAGGTCCTCGCTGAAGGTCTCCAGCCCCTTCTTCATCATCAGCGTCGCTTCGAAGTTCCGCTGCACCTTGGCCAGCTTGTCGATCTGGGAGAAATCCTCGACGCTGTTCTGGGATTCCGCGCACAGTTTGTCAATGCCTTGCAGCTCGTCCTTGGTCTTGGACACCTGCCGCTGGCCCTCCGTGAGCGCGTTGATGCTGCGCTGCACGGATTCCAGCTGATCCCGGAGGCCCTCGCGGAGCTGTGCGTCCACCGCGCCTTTCTTCCGCGAATACTCGGCTTTCAGGACGAGGATCTTGTCCAGGTCCTCCGGGTACCGAAGGATATCCTCCAGTCGGGGCATGGCCACCGTGCCATTGCTGTCCTCGCCTCGGGTCATTGTAGTTGTGAGATTTACCGTCGAGGGATGCGATGTGTATTATTGACGCCCGCGTAGAGGTTGGTGGTCATGGAATTGTCGTAATCGGGAAGCCGAGCTTTGAGAGTTGTCGAAAGGTGAAGGTAGGAATATTCGACACTGACGAATTGCAGGATAGCGAGTTTCAGTATAGTATGGAGGAAATAGAAGAACCCAAAATGACCACGAATTTGTACGGTCGGTCGCAAGAAGATCGAGCAATAGGCGAGCTGTATAGAACGAACAAGGTAACCCCTCTTGACACGCGCAGCGCTTTAATTATAGAGGTATCTATGTTAGAGAGTACAATCGTCAGCTTTGAGTCTCCTCTTCGCAAATCTAAGAGCTATAGCAGACTTACCAATTGCTCATCCTCCGAGCCTATCTCACAACAGCTCGAGAAATTCCCTCGTTGTTTCCGCAAAGTGTTCAATAGTAGATAGCTAGCCAACTATCAATGCCTCTCCCCGTAATTCCGCCCGCCAACCGACGCAAGAACAAAGCCACCCCCCGGCAGAAAAACCGTCCCACGTGACACCCCGCCTGGCCGACCGACGGAAATCGGGAATTTTGCGGACGCGGCGATTGCGATGGGAGCAGCAGCAGCACTATTTGTCCCTTCAGACACCGGAGAAAAGAGAATTGGAGCAGGATACTCTACCCGCCTCACCTCCTCGCGACTCCTGAAATCCCATTCCTCAACCGTCCTCAACCGGTGCAATTCCACCCGCCGAATCTACCACCTCTCCCTCTCACGCTACTTTTCAAAAATTCGATAGACCTCCGCTATCCAATTGAGCGTTCCACCTCGAAACACGAAACCAAAGCACAAGCACAATCAAAATGAGCTACTTCCGCATCCAACTCGTCCGCTCGGCAATCGGTCTCCCGCGCCGCACGACCGACGTCCTCAAGGCCCTGGGCCTCAAGAAGCGCATGGCCACCGTTTTCCACGCCGTCTCGCCCTCAGTCGCCGGTCAGATCATGAAGGTCAAGGAGCTGGTCGAGGTCCAGGAGGTCGACAAGCGGTTAACGAAGCAGGAGGTGCACCTGGAGCGCAAGCCCGACCCGGGTTACTACGTTGAGAAGACGGGGGTCGCGGAATTCAAGGAGCTGCGCCGTCGATGAAGAGAGAGAGAGAGAGAGACTGTGTCGTTGGCTTTGCTTCTTCCTCTCTGATTTAGTCTTTCCACTTCTCTCCTTTTTTTTTTTCTTTCTTTCTTTCTCTTCATCGGTTATGCGCAAAAATCTCGGCTTGATTTCTATGCTCTTCGCTTTACGGCTCCTCGACTTTATCATCCCTCTCAGCCTTGAGCTTGTGTTTTGAGGAGAACGCGAGTCAATTCCCATCATCATCAACAAGAACAACAGCATTATTGGATATGCGATCTGGAAGTCGATATAAGGGGATCAATCATGGCAACTACATACCTTCTGGCGATTTCTGCGGTAGGGGTCGAGCTTCACCTTATCACCGGCTGCCGCCGGAAGGATGATCTCTTCGAAGAGAGCTTTCAAATGGCGCCAACTCAACCCAAGGACAACCCTCAACCTTGATCTTGCTGGGGGCGAGAGCTTTTTTTTTCTGTTTACTTTTGCATGAAGCGGTTGTTTTCGGTTCTGGTCAACACACTGGCCTTTATGTACGCGGCTTTCTCGGGGTCGATGTTCGCTTGCATCATAATGTACTTACAGTACATCAGCCCAACTTTTTTGTACTATAGTGTTCTTTTACTGCCATTTTCGATAGAATGGCTCTATTCATGTGAAATCGAATGTGCCTGATACCAAAGAATGTTTGGCCTTCTAATGATAACAATAATGCTCTGTTGCTGGAAGGATAGGAAATATGCAAACGCCGCTCAAAACACCAGAAAACCACAATTCAACTATTTGCAAAAAGAAAAGGCCCTGATCACAAGGGGCCGTGTGCGGACACTTCTCACTTTTCGGGGGTGTATAGACAATGCCAAGCTTCTTAGGCCGGGAAACCCATCTATGCTTTGTACAAGGTGTCGAGGAATCCTTCTGCCAGGCGGCTGACGATGCTCTTATCCGGCATGCTACCAGCCACACCATATAGGGCTGCGGTGTCCCCACGTTTGACAATGTACGACTTGCCCTGGCGCTTCCTCTCCTCGGCCTTCTCCAGTTCCTTTTCAACAACCTCGACCAGGTCGCTGGTAAGCGCATCCACTGCTGACGCTGTGGGGACGGTGAAAGCCACGTGGATAGCAGGCGGCGTCTGAAGAGCATTCAAGTGCCAGCCCTTTGCGGACAGATCATCAGCAACGTCATAGATATCAACGGCATCATTCTTGCTTTCGAAAGCAATAACGCTGACCATGGGCTTTCCAACAATCTCGAGATTCCTCGACAGAATTGAGTGCTCCTTGATCGACGACTCGAACTTCTTCGCTGCGCTGACAATCTCGTGGCAGCTCTTGATGTAGCCAGATTCGCCCACGTTCATCAGACTAGCCCAACAGCCTGCGATCAGCGCACCAGGGCGCGAGCCTGCGACAGACGGCGATGCGTAGACGCCACCAGACCAGTCAGGGTATATAAAGTACTGGTAGCTGCGGTATACCTTGTTGCGATACAGAAGCACAGAGTTACCCTTGGGTGCGAAGCCATACTTGTGAGTATCCACGCTAATACTGGTCACGCCGGGGAGACGGAAATCAAAGCCGCCCTCTTCCTCATACGGAGAGGCAAAGCCCGCTTTCTTGAGGAACGCAACAACAAAGGAGCCCAGGCAGCAATCGACATGGAGGGGGATTTTATACGAGGTGGCCAGTCGAGACAGAGCGGGAATGTCGTCAACGATACCGTGAGGGAAATTAGGCGCAGAACCAACAAGGAGAACGGTGTTCGAGTTAATCAACCGACGGACAGACGGAATATGAACCTTATAGTCAGGTGCTGGGCAAGGAACTCGGTGGAGCTTGATCTTAAAGTAGTTGCAGGCCTTGATGAAGGCAGCGTGGGCAGTGTCAGGAATGATCCTGAGAAAGTATTAACAAATGGACGTGTACAAAAGAAATGCGGATTATCAATACTCACATCTCAGGCTCTGTGACGCCCCGTTCGGTATATGCCTTTTGCCGTGCCGCCAGACAAGCCATAATGATGGACTCTGTTCCGCCACTGGTCGTGACACCTGCGCCATCGGAGGGAGCATTAAACAACTCGAGGACCTGTACAACATATATGAGTTCAACGTTCTGAATAGACCAAAGGAGAGATATATACCATAGCCACAACCTCAGCTTCCATCTTCCGAACACCAGGGAACACATCAGGATGAATGGGATTCGCTACTCCAAACTGGCCGAAAGCTTCAGCTTGAAGCTTCAGGAGATCCTGACCGCCGTGGTATACAGCACCGCTGACTCGGCCATCTTCCCAGCGTGTATGTTCCATGTTCGCCAGGTTGTTCAACTCCGCGCGAATCTGTTCGGCTGACCATCCTTCCTTGGGAAGGGTCAAATACCTAGTGACGCCGGGGCCGCTTGCGACGAGCTTCGATTCTAAGCCTTCGATCGCCGTGGATACTTGCTTGTCAACCTGGCCTTTGACGCCGGGGAATCGCAAAAAGACCGAATAGCAGTAGAGCCGAATAGTGGAGTAGACATTGCGAATGCTGCCGAAAAGACCGTAGCCGCGCAGCGACCGATATGCCTTGCGAACGTAGCGAAGAATGAATAGAATGAAAACAATATTCCGGATACTGTTTTGCATATAATTGCGTTATTAGCGAAATCGGAACCAAGATCAAATTACGCGCCTCATGGGCTGGGGCTCAACCGGGCTGCCACGCGGGGAAACGCAACACGGTGCAGATGTAATGTACTTACACATCCAGTTGCAGAGCGGCCAAGTGCGAGTTGGAAGCCCTGCTGTAGCCAAGCAGCTTGTTTTGCAAGGCAACAGGAAGAACGGACGGTGCCATTATGGATGGTCAATCGATAAGAAGATGGGAGGGAGCCGATTGAGGACAACCTCCGGAAGAATGACGAAGGTGGACTGGAGGAGAGAGAGGGAAAGGGTTCGGTCGGATGATCCAGGAAAATGGAGCCGGCGGCGATAAGACCGCCGCGCGGAAGGCTGCCTCGGCTTTCCACATGCCAAAGACTCCGCATACGGAAACAACACACTGTAGCCCTGAGGTAGGTGGCTTTACTGACTCTATATTTCTTGAAGCAGGAACGAGACGAAATGAACAGTATATACCAAGCTCTTGGTATTTTGGAATGCAGTTTAAAAGTCAATATCTGCGTATGTACACGGTCCAAAAATCAAGGACCCAGAATCTCTTCCCCAACACCGAATCCTTCTCTTTTGAGTCAGGGACAAGGAAGACTTTTTTAAACCCCGTAGAAAACAACCAGATCAAGATCCTTGGCACATAAACGTGGAAATCATAATGAAAAATAAGAAGGAAATATCTTCCCGCAGGAAAAGGGCCCGCTGCAAACAGGAACAGGAACAGAAGACTCTAGAACGAAAGCGACCCTCTAATCCCATCGAAGTCATTCAATGGCGGCGCTTGCAAATGGAACATAAAACTGTTAAGCCGCAGGCTTAAACAGTAATTTCCTCAGCGATCTCCTTCTCCTTGGCAGCGAACTGAGCCTGCTCGTCGGCCGTAAGGTCAAGGAGGGGCTTGTTCTCGCCCGACTTGATGTTGCGGTAGTAGGCGCGGATGATACTGTCAGCATCATCAACGGCGATGGGACGGATGTCAGCAAGAGCCTTGATCTTGGCAGTGCACTCCTTGTACTGAGCGTCCGTCATCGTGATGTTGAGCTGCTGAGCACGCGACTTGATAGCATTCCAGCCGGTCAGACGGGAGGCGAAGTGAACGTATCTGCTCATACCGAAATCGGCAGGGTTGATAATCTCATAGGTGCTGGGGTTGTTCAAGATAGCCTTAGCGTGGATACCGGCCTTGTGGGTGAAAGCACAGAATCCAGTAATGTAGTTGTTGAAGGGGATATTGACCTCAACAGCCTCAGCGACAAGATCCTCGACTTCCTTGAGCTTCTCGAGCTTGTACTTGCTCTTGACGTACTCAGGGTCGGCAACCATCATACGGGCCATGAGGCCACCAAGAGGGGTGATACCGTTACGCTCACCAATACCAAGGACGGAGGTATCGATGTGAGTAGCACCAGCCTCCAGGGCGCAGTAAGCGTTGGCGATGGCACAGCCGGTGTCGTTGTGGAAGTGAGTCTCAATGTCGCAGCCCACGACACCTCTCAACACACGGACGAGCTCGTAAACCTGGCGGGGGGAGGCGCAACCAACGGTATCGGCGATACCGACCCGGTGAACACCGACCTTATCGACGGCGGAGTAGATAGACAGGAGATCGACCAGGTCGGAACGGAAGGAATCCTCGCTGGAGAACCGGATCTCAATACCCTTAGACTTCACGAACTCAATGACTTCGATGGCGGCGTTCTTGATGTAGGTCATGTCCTTGCCGTGGGAGTGCTCACGGAGGTAGGAGGAGGTTCCAATAACGACATCGCTAGTAACTGTTAGGAGATATTGGCTTCAAAATGAGCCAGAACACGACTTACACTCCATCTACACCAGTCTCGACGGCAACTCTGGCATCGTCCATGTGGCAACGGATGTGGGTAAGAATCTAGAGACCATTAGGAATTAAACAAAAGCGTGATCGTCATAGCCAACATACCTTAGCCTTCAGGCCAAGCTTGCAGATGGCCTCGCAGTCCTTTCTCGACTGCTCGGAAGCGCAGGGGCTGGTGAGCTCAATCTATGGGATATGGTCAGTGCGCATGCTCCACGTCGGCTCGCCCTTCTCCACTCAATGATGTGACTCACGTAGTCAACACCGAAGTCGTCCAAAGCCTTGGCGATTTCGATCTTCTTCTCAGTGTCAAAGAAAGCGTTGGCAAATTGCTCTCCCTCACGAAGAGTACTCTCGATGATCTTGAAGCGGGAGACATTGCTCAAGAAATCGGTGACGCCGACGTTGTGACCGTAGGGGTTGCGGGAGGCGGAAGGGTGGGGATTCTGGCGAGTCTCAATGCCGGTGAAACCGGGGTGGTCACCTTGGACGGAGTGTTAAATGAGAATGCCATGTCTGATAAAAATGCGAACAATCCCGATTTGACATACCATTAACATTGGGGGCAGCGCCATTGGCTTGCCCATTGGGCTCGTGGTCTGCACCAGGGCACATTGTGGTAGAATATGGCGGGGTGAGCTTAGTAGATAGAGGGAGTATATAGAGGGAAGAAGCTGCGGAAGGTGAGAACGAGACCAAATGACGACGGGTACCTAGGATAAGAGAAGAGGATGGGATATACTGACAGCTAAGGTTAAGGTCAAGGCGGGGATGGGTTTAAATGATAAAAAGATCTAGGAGAAGAAGAGAATCAAAGAAAAGAGTCATAGGCTCCAAGTCGGCTTAAAAGAGGCGGGCGGTCTGGTCGCAGGCAAAGTATGACTCTTTCTTCTCGGGCGGAACCCCTTCCTCCACCCCTGTACTACTGCGGCAATGATGAAAAATTTAGTTCCCACTGAAACTACGCCTTAGTTACCAACTTAGTTAAGTGGTTGCCATAGGATAGGCCTTCCATGACTGAGTAGACTTCTTTTTTGGCCGTTTCCTTCCCGGTTGGTGTGGGGAACCCTGACCCCAGCTGGCCGTTCACAGCGCCTCCGACCAGCCCAAAGTGCTCAGCGTGAACGTCGTCTCCAGTCTCCGATGGGGTCTAGTCAATATACAGTAGTCATCGTCCTTATTAAGGGCAGTTCCTTATCCAGGCGGGCCTGTTTACGTAGGTTCAATTCTAGGATCATTTGCCACACCGGGGAACTCGCAGCAGACTGGGAGAGAAAGAGGCAGTTTGAGATATCTGAGATTGAAGTGTCAAGGGCGTTTGAAAAAAACCCTACTGTACGAGTAGCAAGGCAGTTCTTCGTTTATGCGTCCTATCATTGCTCATGGTCAGGGTTCGCCTCTAGGGCTCTCTCTCCCTTGGCCAGTCAAGGCCAGTCATGGCCGGATTTGGCTGCATATTCAGGAAGCCTGGAAAGAATGCAAGCGACCCGACATCGGCAGGTGGCTAACCTCAAGATAGCGCCGCAACTCCATGACTAGCGTCGGCCGCAGCGGGCAGCCAGCCTGGACCGACACAAATTGATAATCGACTATCGGCTATTAATTCTATTGCTGATATTATTGGCTATTACCAGAATGATGTCTGGACTAGCTTGAAGATTCGCCATGGTAACCGACTCTTTCTTCTATCGAGCAACACAAGTAGGCCCCTGGCTGAGTATACATCACCTTGGACATCCTCATCCATCCTCTTGACTCAATGAGGATTGACGGTACCTCCGGCATCGCTCCTGCTTTTCATTTCCTGGCCTCCCGTTGGCCAGCGTGCTTACGTGGTTACCGACTTGACCCTTCAATTGGCCGCGGATCAGTCTCCAGTGCCAGTGGCCTGTGCGGCCTCCAGGTTGGTAAATCTTGGAAGGACCCGTGGCTTGGACTAGACTGATTTGGGCAAGGCTTGCTACTAGCCGTGTGGAGTGCATCTACTGTTGGAGTCATATCTCAACTTCCAGAGAGTATTATTACCAATGATTAGAGCAATGTTTTGTTCGGCATGAGGCTGCCGCATAGTGCAACATACTAACATCTCTGAGCTTGAACCTTCGACTGCGTTCTTGCGCTGTCGGAAGCATGTTGACCAGAGATGCCGAAGGCTGAATCACCGTGATAAGTATATATAACATTCACTTGTCCTCATTCCGTCCACCCCGATTTGCCCTGTACTACTAGCAAGCATCATACATCAAGCATAGAGCCACCAACGGTCAATTTGATCGAAAAAAACACCGATGAGATCATTTGGCTATTTGCAATTGGCATGGCGATGCGAGACCCTCTCTGCATCCTTTGACCCACAGTTCGCTGTCAAAGACTCCATAGAGTTACGCGCCTCGGACTCGGAGACTCAGACCCTCCAGCTCCTTAGCTTGGAGGAATCCCGCCGGAATGCAAAACTTGCATTGTGATCCAGGTCACAATGCTCAGACTGGAGCATTTCTGACATACCAGAGTCAATCTCATCTGTATATCTTCCCAATGCCGAGGACGCATCTGACCCTTCGCAATCGTCTGCTTTCGAACCTAGGCGCTGGTTCCTGGACTTCGCGATCCCATAGCCTTTCTCTCCGCAGCTCATGATATTCGCAAGGTCGATCTGCCTACTCTCTCGCATTCCAAAGTACAGACCGGCCACCACAAGTATCACAACCCCAAGGCTGACGGGAAGGCCAATGTACAACGCGAGTCTGTTGAATGGTAGCTGAGGAGAAGGCTTGCGGTGCTCCGTGGGTCGAATGTGGAGTAAGATAGTTGGTCCCTGTCGAGCACTGGCTCGCTTGTTTGACACGGCATCTAACTCGATTATGTAGAGCGTCAAAGCATTCCGCTGCTTCCCTTGAAGCCAACCTTCACGCATACGAATGTGGGTATAGCCATAGCTGTTGTCAATCCTCTCAGACGTGTATGCCGAATCGCCCTCGGAAGAGTTCAAGTATCTCAGCTCGATGGTGATAGTGGCGTTCAAAGGATAAAAGTCGGCGTTCCAGGTCACATAGTATGTAGCATCGACCGTCACTTCGGTTCCATCCTCAGGAAGACAGAAAGGTCGAAAGGGACCGCTGAGGTCGGTGCAGATGGGGAAGTCGCCGGGGGATACCACAGTGGATCGTTTGTGAATGGGCGTAGGGGCTGCCTGACTACAAGCAAACTCCGTAACAAGGGTAGTCACTGCTTCGGTGATTAGACAGGCTCGTGTGCTGCTATATGCGCTTCCCAATCAAACAATTTGCATACCAGTTCCGGTATCTTCACCTGCCATGGCTCCAATGTCGCGACAGAACGTGATCAGCACCGCAAAGGCCATGAGAACCCTGCACAAGGAAGAGAAACAGTAGTTCAGTATCTCCGGCATGGTCGATAACGCGTGGTTGAAAGTCTGACTGTGAGGATGCGGTATAGTCTGTATGGTGTATCTATGCTCTCGATGGTAGACCCATAAATAGTATACATGAAGACGAATGAGAAGTTAGAATCAGAACCCGCTGGCCATTGAATCACAATAGGATTTAGTATTCAGGAATCTGCCCTGACCCTAGCCAGTGTGCGGAAGGTGCAATGGGTAGACTGGGGCACGAATGTGGAAGAAGGAACAATGTTGATATGCTGATGCTGTTACCTTGGAGTATACCACGCCCTAGAACCTTGACAGACACAAACAATACCTCAATGTTAATTAATTTTGGTGTTGAGCTCGAGAATATGAAAATGTTCCTACTACATCCTAAGCTATTGGGCTACTATCAAGCTGTAGAACTGAGAGAAAGGGGATGAAATCACGTTGAGTACAGTTGTTGGCTTAGGACAATAGGGCGCGACTTGTCTCATTATGTCCCGTTGACACCCGATTTGTTCCATCTTGTGCTAGGCTACCAAAACCATTAAATGTTTTGTGAGGGAGACAAAGCCACAATCACGGGTGTCAGTCTAATTCAGAAAATCGTACATACCGGCTACCTAAACTGTTCTTCACTATCTATAGATAGTAAATGCATGGCTTGTGGAAGCGAAAAAAGATTCCAGAAAGGCAAGGAAGCTGAGCGGGCTCCCCGCTTCCCGCGGCAGCTTGAGGCAGGATGGGCTGGCCGCCAATTAGAGTTAGGCCACCTGTCGCGGAGACTTTACTAGGTAGTGTCCGTCCATCGTGGCTGTTTCACCTAACCTCTGTCAACACAGGTTGCCTGTTCTCCTCCGCTGCCTGCTGTCCATCTTCTGGCCTTCCAATCCTTTCCAGTCTCTTTACAAGGTGCGTTCGTCGCGTTAGCCAAATCAGATCATGTATGTTATTTCTCTCTTGCTCGTCTACGGAAGCCACGGCAGCACTGTTCCACGCCATACAAATCTCCCCTGATACTGACCACGCGTTATCTTCTTAGCAACATGCGTCTCATCCAGGTCCTCGCTCTCGCTCCGGCGCTCGCTGTCGCACAGGAACAGGTTCCCCTTGCGGATCGGTTCCAGGGCTGGCTAGACAGGGCCAAGGCTTACCTGCCAACTGCTACCCCGGTTGTGCCTGCCGCTGTCGAGAAAGTCCAGAAAGTGGTCGAACAGAAGAAGATCCAGGAGAAGACCGTCACTCACTTGAATATGACCAACTGGGAGTCGATGCTGGAGCCTGCATCTGATACCCAGGACTGGTTCGTCTTCGTCACTGGAGGCAACAAGACATGCTTCGGCCGCTGTGCTCAAGCGGACAAGTCGTTCAATGTAAGATAGCCCCGAATAGGGGGACATAAGCCCCCCCGAGGCTCGTGCTCGTGGCCGCTAAACATGTCATGGCAATCTTAGGAATCTGTGCTTCTGTTCTCCGCCGATCCCACCTCTCCCAACCTTGCTCGCCTGGACTGTGAGGCGAACCAGGTTCTCTGTGCTGCTTGGTCCGCGAGTGCTCCCTCGGTCTGGCACTTCGAGGTTCCTCAGGCCCAGCTTGGAGAGGGACGCGCTCCTACCACTCTTCACACCGCCCACCTGAACACCACCACCGTTACCCCCGAGACAATCTACAAGCTTCATTCCGAGAAGATCATCGAGCAGAGCCCGGCCTACGAGGGTCTTCTGCACCCTACCGATGGCTTCTTCGCTAAGAACGGACTTCTCCTTCCCCTCGGCTATGTCATGTGGGGCTTTGGTTCTATCCCGAGCTGGCTCTTCATGCTCTTCATCAGCTTCTTCAGCAGGACTTTCATGTAAGTCATCCCTGGGTTGGTTGTTTTGGTCGTAGTCACTGATACAATGACTAGGGGCCGTCGTCTCAACCCCGCGCCCGCTGGCCGTCCTAACTAGGCGTCGCTGTTCATGAGATAACGATGGTAGCACTTCAATTTTTTCGTGGATAGGGATGTATATATAATGGATTAGCAGTACACCAGTCGAGTCAATTGGAGCATGTTGAGTTTTGGTTAGGCCTTGGTTTTCGTAATCGCGTAAATTGTCCTTCCCCCCCCCTCCCCCGACAAACGTGACAGCATGAAATTAGCATATAGTAAATTCAGAAAACTAATCGTTCACATCGCAAAGGTGGTTACCAACCCAAGCAAAGGCAGCTGGCGGCCAACCCATAAAACCTTAAGCTAGTAGTGCAGCCCGCGCGCGTCCCGCCTCCCTCACGTCACCCGCCGCACCTAAAAAAAAAGAGTAGCTACTCCGCCGCCCATCGCAGTCAAACCAAAACAGTCTCAATTAAAACCACACTCATTACCAACCGACTGAACCCTCCTCAGACTTCAGAACCCAAACCCAAACCCCACAAACCAACCATCACAATGGCCGACCTTGAGCGCGCGCCCTCAACGACCGCCTACGTCGTGGCGACAGCCATCCTCGCCGGTGTGACAGGCTACTTCCTCGGCCAAGGGTCATCGCTCGGCCTCTTCACCAATAAAGAGAAAGAAGGCTGGCCGAACAGCTATAATGTGAAGGTGCACCGCGACTCATCGGACGAGGAGTTCGAGGAAGAAGAAGAGGAAGAAGAGGAAGAGGACAGCGAAAATGAGGGCGACGGCTCCGAGCTGGCGAATTTCGATAACAGTGCCGAGGAGGTCAAATTGGTGTTGGTCGTGCGGACGGATCTGGGGATGACCAAGGGTATGTTTTGTTATGTTTATGTTTCTGTTTATGTTTCTCTCTCGCGCAGCTGGCTGGCTTTACCCTGTCACCTACTTGTTCTACGATTTGAGGATTATACTGATTTTGTTTGCACCGGGGATACAGGCAAAATCGCCGCCCAATGCTCCCACGCCACGCTGGCTTGCTACAAATACCTGACCGCGCACACGCCGAACTCGCCGCTGCTCCGGCGCTGGGAGGCGCAGGGCCAGGCCAAGATCGCGCTGCAGGTTAAGTCCGAGGAGGAGATGGAGATGCTGTATGCGCAGGCGATCAGTTTGGGGCTCTGTGCAAGGGTCATCACGGATGCTGGGCGGACGCAGATTGCCAGTGGGAGTCGGACGGTGTTGGGGGTTTTGGGGCCGAGGAGTGTGGTTGATGGTGTGACGGGGCATTTGAAGTTGTTGTGATTGATTTGGTTTAATTGCCTTTTGGGGGGTGATGTGGTTGGTTATGGGATGTGGTGAGATGGTGGTTATGAGTAAACATGACATGGGCAAGTGCATGCGCATGTGCAGGCGTGAATGGTACATGGCTTTACTATGGGCATCAAAACTGGGTGGTGGGAGCGTGGTAGCTTGGTAGCTTGGGCTGGATATCATGCGTCGGATTTTGTGCGGTTATAGAAGTGTTCGCATGTGAAGGCTCGATGGATAGGATCCCCGAGAACCCGGTACAACATATAGCTCGTCGCTTGGTGACATTGCGCCCATACGCGCGACCAGATTCGCAAGCAAAATATACCTGACAAAACGCATAGCGCATTAACCAGGACTTATATCCCAGACATGGGCTGGTTACCCCAGGTATGTTTACGAGACTACAACTGGCGGATTCACTTCAGAAACCACCCTGGTGTTTATACAAGTAATGTTGGCTGGTCATGGTTTTTCCCTAACCTCATCGGCCGACGGCCAAAATCGGTAAAGAGAGTAGGAATATGACGCCGTCAGCAAACTGGGGGCTCCAGCCGAGCTCACCAAGTCCGAAGACAAGGGAGCTCAAGACCAGAGTGAACACCCAGTGCCGACCTTTAATCTGAGATCTGTCGACCGGATAATAAAAGACCACCAACAAAAGAAAAGTGATGGCTCCTTAAGTCGTCGAACTGTCCAGTGATCAACCGAAACACAGAAGCAAAAGAAAAACAGCAAGCTGTCTCTTTCTTTCCCGTGAACAGGATCTCTGGACACAGATCCGTGATGTGTTGAAGAAAAGAAAAGAAAAAAAAAAATTGAAGAGCAAAAATCGGAAGGCGGGTTTTATTGTCGGTGCCAAGCCCGCGCTAAGTGATTTGTTGGCGCTAAACCTTACCGAGACTGGACCTGGATCTGATTATGTAAACGGTCGCATCTGCTCGCCGCCTTCCCTTTCCTGTTGAGAGGCGATTGCGATGGGTGAGGGTCATGAAGCGGGCTATCTAAGAACTACTACTACACTACTATTTACTTACTTGCCAGTACTACCACACTCATCTTTCCACCTATCCTCATATCTTCTTACTTGCTCCATAGTCCATCACGCTCTCTCCCCCGAACACTCTACCAGTCGCCTCAAAGATGGCCGACGCAGTCTCCATCGAGCAGAACAACAAAATCCGAGCCGCGCTCGGTCTCAAGCCGCTGCCTGTACCCGGCGCCCAACATGACGACGACTCGGGCTCCTCCTCCGAAGAGGAGGACGACCCCGCGAGCACCCTCGAGTCGCGCGAGGCGATGGCGTCCGAGAACTGGAAACGCATACAGGACGAGGCCGAAGCGAAGCGCAAACGCGAGGAACGGAACGCCGCCATCAAGAGGGCCCGGGATCTGGCTCAACGGAACGCCAAACTCGAGGGCGCCACACTCGGCGAGGCGGAGGCGGAAGACACCAAGACCTGGTTGATGCAGACCAAGAAGCGCCAGAAGAAGATCGAGAAGGAGCGGGCGCGGCGCCTCGCGGCCGAGCTCGAGGAGCGTGAACGGGCGGCGGAGTACTCGGCGGCCGATCTCGCTGGGATCAAGGTCGGACACGAGATCGATGACTTTGGAGGCGGCGAGGATCATATCTTGACGCTCAAGGATACGACGATCGATGAGAATGAGGAGGAAGGCGATGAGCTGGAGAACCTGGATCTCAGAGAGAGGGAGAAGGCTACGGAACGGTTGGAGCTTAAGAAGCGGAAGCCGGCCTACGATCCTACGGCGGAGAACACGGGGATTCTGGCGCAGTATGACGAGGAGATTGAGGGCAAGAAGCGGAAGCGTTTCACACTCGACTCTAAAGGATCGACCGCTGAAGAACGGGAGGCGAAGCGGCAGGAGGTGTCGGAGAAGCTCAATAAGAATGTTATCAGCTTGGACCTTGACATGGAGACTCCTACATCCGACTACATGGACATCAGCGAGGTCAAGATCAAGAAACCGAAGAAGAAGAAAGCCAAGGCCACCAAACAGCGGGCGGTTCTGGATGACGATGATATTTTTACCACACCCGGCTCGACAGCTACACCGACCGAGAATGCTATGGACGTGGACTCTAGTAATGGTCAACCGGTCTCCGCGCCTGCGTCACGAAAATGGGAAGACCAAAACGTGTCCTTCGTCGACGATGACGATCTACAAGCTTCTCTGACCCGCCAACGACGCGCTGCCTTCAAGAAGCGACAAAAAGCCCGCCCAGAGGATATTGCCCGACAACTCCGGGAAGAAAGCTCACAGACACCGATGGATACCGGCACTCCAGGCGAGAACGATGAAGAGCCCGGCCTCGTGATTGATGAGACATCTGAATTCGTATCCAACCTACAAAAACCGACCCTCCTTGAACGGCCGGAAAGGCAAACAACTACCCCGGCCGAAGAGCGGCGCGCCAAAAGCGAAGGCCCCAGTATCAAAGAAGAGGTTGAAGAGGATGGCGATGTGGAGATGGTTCGGACGTACAATGACATTGAGGATGAGGAAGATCTCAAAGAACGCATCAAGCGCGAGGAGTCCCAGGCTCGGCAGCAGATTAGCACCACCGGATTGGACGAGGAAGCAACCCTGGATCAGGGTCTGGGGGCTACACTCAATATGCTCAAACAACGTGGCTTGGTCAAGTCATCCGACGCTGCAGACCACAACTCGCTTTTGCGTGACCGGACCCGGTTCTTGCAAGAGAAGACGCGCATGGAGACCGAAGCCGAGAAACGAGCCCGCCAGCAGCGTGAACGCGATCGAGCATCGGGTAAGCTGGATCGTATGTCTGCACGTGAGCGAGAGGAGTATGCTCGCTGGGAAAACAAGCAGCGCGACCAGCAGGATGCGCGTCATATGGCGGAGGTGTTCAACCGCGAGTACAAGCCCGATGTCCAGCTCAAGTACGTGGATGAGCATGGTCGGGCGATGAACCAAAAAGAAGCATTCAAGCATCTCAGTCATCAGTTCCACGGCAAGGGCAGTGGTAAGATGAAGACGGAGAAGCGCCTGAAGAAGATCGAGGAAGAGAAGAAGCGCGAAGCCATGAGCGCCTTGGATAGTAGTCAACATACGGGTATGAACAATGCTATGGGGGCGACCGCTCGAAAGAACCGCCAGGCTGGTGTACGCCTGGGTTAAAGGGCTACGATATGCTTTCTGTTGCTGTTGCTGCTGCGACCATGTCCTGTCGCTGGAGCTACTTCGATGATTGTTGTGGTTGAACACGCAGCCACCCGTTATGTTGCATATACTCCGTACAAATCTTTCTTATACCATTAGTGACAACATGACAGCATGGCTTGTTAAATGCCGTGTGGAGAATCAAGCATTGATTCCAGACTCTTGAGATTGTTTCACTTGTAGATACTATCTGATGTATAGTAGATCGGATCACTGGCATGGCCGGTCAGGGATCCCAGAGAGGAAGAGTAGGGATGATGATCACATGGTGTGATTACATGTCAGACTTGGCGTGTGGGGGAATTTAACCGACGCCCCCAGCTGGTTTCTTGCCGACACCGGCCAGCGAAAACCCGCCACTCTGAGAATGAAATGTAATAAGTTTTGTGTGTGAACCTTAAAATCCCCATTCACTCAGTTGACAGTAGAATCAATTGAGCACTCGTATACCCCGGCGAGAACTCTATCACCATGCATCTTGAACCAAACCCGGAGGGAAATGGCAGCATCATGAATATTTAGCTTATAACAAAGGTTACCCCAACTCCTCGTGAGGGGAAACCCAAGCCTCAGCCCATGCAATGAGCCGCCGCTCTTCTTTCTCAAACAGTTCACCGAGAGCGGGACGCGGTCACGGGCGAGAGGGGAGAAACCAGCGTCAATCCACCATCATCGAATGGGGTGATATCAAGCAAAGCAAGCAAGTAGAACACAGACCCTGACACTGACTTACGGTACTCTAAACCCGAAGCCGGCCCGGCATCTGCACATTGACCATCTGCATCCGTGGTGGGTAGAGGTGTCCATCCATCCATCTATCCATCCTCCTCCGTAGAGATCGGATGGTCATGTAGACACCATCCATACCAAACAATTAATTATATATGGGTGGATGGAGTACAATTGTTGCTGGAACGGAACACAATGTGGCCTGAATCGGCATATTTAATGAGAACGATATCTTATTCAGTCGCGAATCCAATAACAAGTCCAGAAGCTCCAGACGGGCAATGCGCCAACCCCCAAGCGGCAAACCCGCGCAGATGCGGAGGGCAGGGCCAATCCGAGCCCGCCCGCGTTGCTCCCCGGAAACTCCCTAGTTAGTTCACATGAGTCAAAAATAAAACACATCGCCCATCCATCCTGAACTATTCTCTCCATCTTATTTATCCTTCCTTGTCCCGGTAGCTCATCTGTTGGGTGCTTGTCCCTTTTCTCTCGGTGTATAACATCTTTTTCTTTATCTCACATCACAATGTTGTCCACTCTCCGAGTTGCCAGCCGTCAGGCTGTTGCGCGTGACGCCAACATGCGCACTGTTATCGTCGGTGCCAGACACGCCTCGGCCTGGTCGAAGGTTCCCCAGGGTCCTCCGGTAAGCGCTTTGATGATGAGGAGCTTGTTTCAGAGCCATTGCTGATGCATTGAGTGTGTAGGATGCCATTCTGGGTATCACCGAGGCCTTCAAGGCCGATACCTTCAAGGAGAAGATCAACCTCGGTGTTGGTGCCTACCGTAAGCAATTCCCATCATCTACGTTCTTGCCACCAATCCTGTCATCATTCACGTTGATTATCCGAGCGTCATTGTTCACAAATAAACTAAAATCGGGTGTTGTTTCGCATAGGTGACGACAAGGGCAAGCCTTACGTCCTTCCCTCGGTTCGCGCCGCTGAGGACAAGGTCGTTGCCTCTCGCCAGGACAAGGAGTATGCTGGCATCACCGGTATTCCTTCCTTCACCAAGGCCGCTGCCGAGCTCGCCTATGGCTCCGACTCCGCCGTGCTCAAGGATGACCGTCTTGTCATCACTCAGACCATCTCGGGTACCGGTGCCCTGAGAATCGGTGGTGCTTTCCTCCAGCGCTTCTACCCCCACGCGAAGAAGATCTACCTCCCCACCCCCAGCTGGGCCAACCACGGTGCCGTTTTCAAGGACTCCGGTCTTGAGGTCGCCCAGTACCGCTACTACAACAAGGACACTATCGGCCTCGACTTCGAGGGTCTCCTTGCCGACATCAAGGCTGCTCCCGAGAACAGCATCATCCTCCTCCACGCCTGTGCCCACAACCCTACTGGTGTCGACCCCACCCAGGAGCAGTGGCGCAAGATTAGCGATGTCATGAAGGAGAAGGGCCACTTTGCCTTCTTCGACATGGCCTACCAGGGCTTTGCCAGTGGAAACGCTGACCAGGATGCTTTCGCTCCCCGTCACTTCGTCAAGGAGGGCCACAACATTGCTCTGTGCCAGAGTTTCGCCAAGAACATGGTAGGCTCGGAAAGCTCTTTGAATGGCGGCTGTTTGATGCTAATGCGTATCGTCTATGTGTAGGGTCTCTACGGTGAGCGTGTCGGTGCTTTCTCCCTCGTCTGCGAGTCGGCCGAGGAGAAGAAGCGCGTCGAGTCTCAGGTCAAGATTCTCATCCGTCCTTTCTACTCCAACCCTCCCATCCACGGTGCCCGTGTCGCCTCCACCATCATGAACGACGCCGAGCTGAACCAGCAGTGGCTGGGTGAGGTTAAGGGCATGGCTGACCGTATCATCGAGATGCGCGCCCTGCTCCGCAAGAACTTGGAGGAGCTTGGCAGCAAGCACGACTGGTCCCACATCACCAGCCAGGTAAGTGCCACGGCGACCTGCGATCCTGGGTGATAGCTCTAACAGAAAGCAGATCGGCATGTTCGCCTACACTGGCCTCAAGCCCGAGCAGATGGACGTCCTGGCCAAGGAGCACTCCGTCTACGCCACCAAGGATGGCCGTATCTCCGTGGCCGGTATCACCTCGGGCAACGTCAAGCGTCTTGCCGAGTCCATCTTCAAGGTGACCGGTTAAATAGCTCGTCAGCCAGGGAGGCCGGACGCTCATATACGTAGATCTACTGGGGATTGAGTCCCTCTGTACTGATATCCATGTGTTACATTAGCATATCTAAGCATTGAATTGAATAACGAGACTTTTTTTGACCAACATGCTGTTTCACCGTCAGTTGACGCGATCTGAGGTGCTGTTGTGTTTTCACGCAACGATTTTGGGGAGCATCTCCGCGCCGAGGCATCTAGCGGTGAAGCGGAGACTGTGCCAGCCACTGGGGCGCGACGACCCAGGGCTGTCTGCATGAATGAACAGATGGAATGAAAGTAAATCTCACACGGGGACATGGTTCGCTTTGTACGGTGTAGTTTGCTGTCGTCCTCCAGCCAGCCAGCCAGCCAGCCAGCCAAGGCAGAGGTAGTGTGATTCTAGTTTTTCCTAATCGGGCAACTAGTGAGTGTACCGACTACGGTAGGTAGCCTGTGAGTTAGTCCATTGGATGCACCGACATCGCTGATTTAGAGTACTTTCTACCTACATAAGCATAGCACACAGTTCTCGTGGAAAATATGATCATCGCCCAGAAATGGGTAAGAGAGTGAGTGAGTGGACACAGCGAAGATGGACTTACTGTCCGTACCTCCTTCTCATCGAGTCCAAGCATTCAAGCATAGACAGACATCTCCCAGCCGTGAAACTCTTTTTATTAGTTATGTTAGCTCTGGGGGACCATCCACCAGGACCCCTCCACATCACCATGTCCTTAGTATTGTATGTATTGTGTAGCAATCAGTCAGTCACTGCCGTCAAGTCCCCATCAAACCGACTGCTTTAATTCTTGCTATTTAGGTCGGTTCCACGAACCCACTGTCACCTGTTCCTAGCACTGCAGTACCCCCTTTCCACTATCCCTCGATATATGCTCCCTCCCCCTCCATCCCCTATCTACCCTCCTAACTCGGAGTCCCCTATCTATCTATAATCCACCCAGGCCCTCCCTGGATAAATGGGGCCACACCCTAAGTACTAACTAACTACTTACTCACTGACTTACTGACTGTACGAGTAAGTGGAGACATACCGTCGGGGATGGGAGGGAGTGCGCTGTGGGACCTCCACTCGGAAGGAAGGGGACTCGGTGGGCTGGCACTGGAACTGGAACCGAACTGCCCAGGAAAAAACGCACCACTTCCGGTCTGTCACTCCGGTAACCTTGAACTAACCTGGCCGGAACTACTAGTGCGTATACAGTAGTCTACCTACCGTACCTAGGTGGTTCTACGAGTATGTTGTTATTGGGATGGGGATTTGGGGACATTTCGGAGCGATGATTCAGTTTTACTCAGGTTAGGGTGACGTGCTGGAGGATGATATCATTTAGTTGACTGTGTCTAGGTGATAGGTTCTTGGGGCTTGTATTGTAGCTGTGCTGGTGGCGGCGAGGCGTAGCGCGGCTGTGTCGCTAGATGGGATCCCGGGGCTAAGCTCACTGCGTGGTCGTCTGGCTGTGGTAGAGTTTGATATTCGAGAACGGGGCTGTTGCTGTTGTGAAGTGAAGCTTGAATCAGGATACTTTCAGTTGATACTGTTTCTAGAACCCTTACGCTGGTTTGATATAGATGTTGATCGGAAGTAGTATGTATGCCTTGCCTTACGTCGGTAACTAAAGCTTACGGCACTGGCTAGCCCGCTACTATCTTATGACAATTTACAATGATCAACTAGTAGTATGATAATGCTAAATAGGGTAGAAAGGAGGCGCAGGGAAGTGAAGAAAGTAATTGACTATTGCTCCGTCTAGTTTAGTAGTAGTTAGTATGTATGTACTTGTATCTTGATGTTTAATTTTGAGAGCTCCATGCCATACATATCCACCTCCCTGAGGCTGGGGCTGGGCTGGGGCTTGGACAGGACGATTCGCGATCGTGGTGGCTCACGCAGAGTGTAATGCATGTAATAACTCCGTCGCTGGCTATAGCTGGTTCTTGACTACAGTACTAATTGTGGCTACCAGTTCTCTTTCACCTGGGTTTGATAGGCGAAATACAATACTTCCTGCGGAGATCGCGCCCGGAACAGTAGGAGGGAGGGGTCTGAGTTTAATTATAGAGTTTGGGTCAAGGTACTGTATGCTGACTACCACTACAAATGAGAGTAAGATTAAGGTGTTGATGAAGGCGATTGTGGGTGGCACAGGTTTGTTTGAGATCTCTAGGGAGGACTTTTTTTTTGTATTTGGTTCCTAGATCGTGGATCGTAGGGGGTTAGGGAACTCTGATCAGCGACCGGGGGAGATGGTGGATTTAGAATAGAATAGGGGACGGTTATTCACTATCTGACTCTCTTCATGTCGTTCAGATCTAAGGGCTCTGGGGGACATGATGAGACAGGGGTATTTGTGGTCCTAGTGAGTGTGAGGACTAGGCACGTTTCAGCTGCTCTCTCCCGGTGGCTCTCACACCGAACTGCAGAGCTTCAGGTACGAGGTTAGGGGATAAAAAAGGGGGAATCGTCGATAGTCGTCGGGATGTATGGAGGTTGTATTTTGTCTCTCGTCAAAAGGATAGATATTGTTTACGGGGGCGATAATAGACTTCCCCTCGGGGCTCTGTAAGGTCAAACCTTGTCTATTATTCGAACTTCAGACTGCACAGAATGAAAAGCGGATATTGTTAGGTTGGGTTGTACTCCGTGTAGTGTATGTACCTCGACAGCCGCAGATGAGTTGGCACCGGCAGTTGCTCCATATGGTCAGTCAGTCAATCAGTCATTTGCAAAGGAGGTGAGTCCCGTACTATTAATTACAGTATTGTACTGATTACACTGGGCAGATACCGCTAGTACTCGAAGTGATCCCATGAACTGTATTGTGTAAGTAACGTCATGTCACTACAGTACCGTCAGTAGTGTCGTCGATATCGAGGTCGAAAATCCTTCGCATTGATCAGAGTATTGCCCGTTTGGGCTGGGCTCATTTGAACCGCCAGGCAAATATATGCCTGATTGGGAAGGCAAGACACTGAAACAGAGTGATTGGCGCATCTCAACCGGCAATGGCTATAGATTGATTGATCCCTGATGTTTGTAATGTACAAGTCCAGTGGTACACAGTACATAACATTCTTCAGGTCCTGTCAAAGGATTCGAACCCCAGCACTGAAATCACTCGTCGGGGCAGAAAACTATCTCGAGGAACGTTTCCCTCGGTTCGACGCGCATCGTGATGGAGGGAGTCCGTTTTGGACGCGCGCCGACTCCCGCCGCGGGCGCGCGCGGTGAGACCAACTGACTACCTACTGTTAGACTGACCCTCTCGAATTCCTCCTGGCCTACTACATCAATGGCAGGGCACACGATCTTTGGCAGGGCAACCTCCCATTACGTCACTCGTCCTGGTGGTTGAGCATGGGAAGGTAAATCACATCAAATGCAATGCGGTAGATGCACAGGGTTCAGCCACTGCAGCAACTGGCTGACGGTCTGACTGCTACGTAGGTAAATTGGGAGGATGGATGGTGGTGTGTGGTGTGTGGGAAGATAATCTGATACTCTCATGTGTGTCTGTCTATCTCCGCCTGCCTGCACCACGCTTCGTAGTAACTCCGCTTGTAAGGCAAGCAAGCCTTGCAAGCCCACGGCAAGGCCGATTTACCCTCAATGGTTCTCGGCGGCTGTGGCAAATGTTAGGCATTTTTCCCTTTCCTTTCCTCGGAATACACTGTAAATATTGACTGGAAGTAATCTAACTACCACTAATCCGAGGGTTTCCCTTCTTTCCTATCTGCTTTGGTGATTTGTTTGCCCTTCCCTTCGCATTGCAGGCTCAGAACACGTGGATCGCCTCGCCAATCATTGACACGCAGCTCGAGGACTCACTGACCACTTGGTTCGCCAGCAAGGTGCAAACCGTATAGGCTATGATTCAAAAGGCGCACTTCCAGAAATACATACTGGAATAGTGTACGCGGGGGCTCTCCGTCGGCTCATCGATTGGGGTTAGCGATTCAAGAGGAAGGGTTCGGGGTCCGAGTGCCTGTGCGCATTCTTTCCCCACCTCTCTTGTTCTGTCTGACCCTACTGTAACTCTTACTGCAGTCGGGCTAGGATGAGCCTGGATCTGCTTGCTTCTCCGTCGATGAACCGAAACCGGCTCTTTGGGATAGACGTGCACGGTCGATAGAATGATCTTAGAACCAGTCGATCATCGACCGTCTGTAAAGATCGGGGGACGGCAACCGTCATCTACCACTCCATTATCCGTACTAGCAGGTAAGCACTGGCTCATCTTCCATCCCTTCATTACTGAACCGGAATGATCAGAGACTGGCCCGTCCGGTTCTGGGCAGATGCGGGCCAATAATTTCTTCCGTTGTTGAACCTCTTCTGGTCCTCCCTTCTTCTATTCTCCCAAGGACCCGATATTCCTTTTTTGCCCCGCTCAGCCGGGCCTTGACCATGATCTCCTCGCCTGACTACTAAATAATAGTGGTGAGTAGCAAGCACCCTTAAATCTTCGACAGCAGGAGCAGGAAAGCCTACTATCCAATGAATTACTGAAGAAGCCTCTCAGGCGAGGGATCATCCGGTTGGTCTGTTTCGGTTAGACCTTCGGCCGACGAGCTGCAAGCTGAGGGCTGGGGATCTTGACTACGGTAGGTACAGTACCTGTTACCCGTTCTACTTAATGGGCAACCAGTCAGTCTCTGCTTCTGAGGTACGATCTAGCGACTGCTGCATCCGATCCAATCCAGGCGATATTATTTTTACTCGCTGCTCTCAACTCGCTGTAACAAGGCCTGCCAGACCATTGTATAGTCCGTAGATGAAAAGTCGGACATATCGACTCAGCGACCTGGTCTACCTTAACCCGTGACTTGGTCCCGGGTCGGGTTGTTCAAACCGACGGGGGAGAACTCGTGTGGTTTTACCTTACACCTCCCAGTAACCTATTTCTTCTTGAACGTCCGAGTATCGCCATCAGGTCGATCTTGTGCTTCCGCGCTAAGCTATTCTTTGCTCCCGCCTGGTCTGCACGAGATCAGGGTCCTACCATCTTCGTCCTTCCTCTTCTATCTCTCCTGATGATGTGAGATGCCGTGCGTGCGTTCTGAGTTCCCTGTTCTGGAGGGGGCGAGGGCTGAACTCAAAAAGCTTGGGTGGGAAGCAAAGGGTCGAGGCTGGTCGGCGGATGATCTACCGTCAAGCTGAAGCACTGGTCCGAATGAAGGTTATGTGATCCTGTGACAGCGTTGTACCTGGTATTAAATTCAATCATGGGATGGCTGCCGATGACGACGGGTGATGGTCCGTCGATTTGACCATGGAAACCAATGACCATCACCACCACCACCCTCAAATTTTGAAACAAATACCCTGAATGAGAGGGGAGCAGTAGTTAGCAGCTCTTATTGTGTCTGTTAACATCATCATTGAAGGTCCCGTTCCGGCTTGTTGCCTTATTTTTTGTTCCCTTGTCTGCTTCACAAGCACTCGCCACATTTCCCCATCCATTGTATCTCTTTCTTTCTTTCTTTCTTTCTTTCTTTCTTTCTTTCTTTCTTTCTTTCTTTCTTTCTTCTACGGCTGCCTTCTTGTCTAGCTAGTGTCACCCAACCTAACTGCTGGAACATCGACATTACATGCATTGGCCGGCATCCTTCAATTGCCAAGACGTAGAAGAGGTCCCATGGAATTGATTGCTACCGCTGGATCTGGACTTCGGCATCTAGCCCCGCGCCATTTTCGAACAGGCTATTACTGACCTCTTGGGCATTGGGGTCTTTATGCTGGCTTCACCATCTAAGAACACAATATAATGAAAGTCATATATATATATATATATATATCAACAAGGAAGCTCTTGGTCATTGTTACTCCCCCCACGAAGGCGGCCAGACAAAGGTGGATTTGAATGGCTCGGAGACCTATCATTCTTGTCCGGTTGGTTAGTAGTGTGGGTGGAAGAACATGGCCATGGCGTAGTCTAGTCAACTAACTAACAAAGAGCACGCTTGGTTGACGGAGACCCGAAGTAGTCAAGGCACAGGCAGGAACCTTGATTCCCGCCAGCACCGTTTCATTCCGTACATGTACCACTTCAGCAAATGGGTCCAGTTGGGGGTCGGTCGTACAAGCCGGAGTCACGACACGTCTGGTAACTAAACCACGGTAATTGAAGCCCATGGTAATTGGAGTCCCTTCTGGTCGCCAAGATAGGCTTCTGGCCCTGGGAAACGTCAAAGGGTAAAATGAAAGGGATCAAAAATAAGTCACTAGACCACAGTGGTGATGAGATCATACATTCTTTCTGACTGAGCCTAGCTAGCTCTTCGAAGCACAAAGGAAACAAGTTCAGGAGAATAGAGGCTTTTCAGGTCATGCACACAATGGGGTATAATGCAACATGGAAGAAGAACTTTCAAAAAGAGTAAGAAGAAGAGAAAGAAGATGAAAGATGCATTAAGAAAGGTCCAAATCCACCAATACGATCTATCCATCTTGTCTTGCGGATTGATCGTTGGTAGGGATCAATTGTTCCAGAACCCGACCTTTCATCATCCATTGACTTCAGATCGGGTCGGTAATGCGAACAATACAGGATGACAATTCGTGACTTACCAGTAAGCTATTGATGATAAGTCGTAAGATACAGTACATACACCCACTTAATTAATACGTATCACCCGGTACCTCCTACCTAGCCTACGGTAACCCGCCTCGCCAGCGACGACGACGACGACAACCTTCCACGCATCCTTCCTCCGTCCGTTAAGGACTCGAGTACCGCTGTCGACTTTAAGGTCAAGAAGAGCCTGGAGAAAGACAGGGTTGGGACTTTCATACTCCATACCCTAACTAGTGGCTGTACTAACCTTCTGCGCCCCTCCCCTCCTTCTTTCTGTATTCATTCACAGGCATTGTTCGCGATGCCTTTCCAGTCTACTGAGGTAGACAATTAAATTGATCAATGAATGTCACTTGAATGACAAGATTGTCCGGGTAGCGAGAGCCCTCAAAGGCTTAGACCACGCAACCCCCCTCCCTCCTCTCAGGCCTTATTGGGAATGCCATAGTAAAGGAATGAAAGCCTATGGTTCCTCGCCTTGCATTGAGATCTTTCCCCACTTTTTCCTTTTCTCCTTCTCCGCCTCTTTCGTTTCTCGTGATTGTCTTCCGGGTGCTGCTTTGAATCTTGCATGGGATCAGACCTCACAATGGATCTGCCCTGTTTGATAGACTTTCTCTTTCATTGAAAGGGATATGATATTGGGAGCAATTGCTGAGTTTGTGATATTACAATATAGTACTATTTTCGCAGGCATGGGCTTCTATCCTAACAAAACCTCAGCATCAGTGGTAAATTTAGGTTAGGGATTTCGTATGATGGATGGATGGCTCCGAGTCACCCATGCTGATGCTCTCTAGTTCGTACCTAACCTTCCCCTAGTCTCGACTTGTCAGGTGTAGTTAGTGGTTTTTTTCTTTTTTTAATAATATCTCCCTCCCGAATACTATTATTATTAATGGTTCTTTTTTTTTCTCTCAAAACCTCTTAATTAATTCCAAACTATTATTCTTTTGCCGGGTGATTTCATTAATCTTCAGCGGGCCTTGACACACCCTCCTTCACTCTCTCTGGATCTCCTTCTATTCTCCTTAACCCAAAGAGTAATAATCAAAAGAAGGGAAAGGGAATAAAAAAGGTACAATACACCGGTTTCCAGTACCATACCGCCTTTCGCTTTCTCCCCACTTCTTAGTTCTGGTCCTGACGCTCTCTTTACGCTCTCCGCTCCAAGGCCGCCTTACAACTCGCATCCCCGTTCCTTTGGCATCATCTCATCTCATCTTTCTTTCTCTTTCTCTCCTCCCCCTCCCTCCCTCCTCCCCTCCCACTTTTGACGCTCTCTACAAGATCATATCCAATCACTACAAGACCAACCTTCTTGCCATGGGTCTTGTTAACTTCCCATTCCCGTTTGCTCTATAGCCTGCGAACTCCTCTTACCCTCTGCCCACTCTTTGTTACTTGATCTATGGCGGATTGTGTTGCCTCGCCTTCCCGTGCATTCGGCCGCTGACCTGCAGCACCCACGCTGCCATCCGCCTCTTTCCCGGGTATTCGAGCAGTTCGCCCTCTTAAGTTACCATCCACTGTTCACATATCCGACGTCCCTCGTCCGTGTAAACGTCTATTGTCTCTCTTTAGCCTCATTGCTCCGCCGACAGCCTCCTCATGTCCGCCCTGGAGGTCCCCGAGACCGGGTTGTCTCTCTGCAGAGACAACCACAGCAATGATGCCACAGCCAAACCCCCTCAAATCATGCGATTGAACCTCGCGCAGAGCACTCTCGACGAACTCATCCAAAGCCTTCGGAACGAGCAGACAGCTCGGCTTCGCCTCGGAAAACACCCGTCCCTCCACTACGGCACAAAATCCCATTCGTTCCACTCCCGTCCCGAAACGCATCGCTCCGAGCTCTACACTGGCAGTGCCGCTGATAAAGAGAACCTATACTTTTCGGGAGTTTTGAGTCATAGCTTGGAGGTTCAGAAGGCTAAGGAAGCTACCGCTGCCACGGATGAGGCATTGGCCACCCTCGAGCAGAGCTTAAACGCTTTCGAAAGGGGAAAGGGCAAAACACACTTCCTCAATGCGAGTGACGATGTGCGAGCTCTCCGGGCGGGTGACAACCGGTCCAGCACCGGCATACAGGCAGCTCGTCTGGCTCGTGTGCCGGCGAGCAAAGTGGAGCTGGAGAAGGATCGGCTGCTCACTGCTGCCAATCGGTCCGTATCGTCAAGCCCAGCTCTGGGAGTGGCTCGATCTCCGGGGGGTCCTCTCACCCCCCTCACGCCCACCTCCGCTCCCCTTTCCCAGAACAAAGATCGGATCCGCCTCGAGGCCCTCAAGGTCCCCTTCATTCACCTCCTCGCTATTCGCGCCGTCTCCGCCCAATTCCTCGCGCGACAGACCCGTGCCTCCCTTGAAGACTGTGAGACCCTGGCTCGAAAATACGGGGTGGAGAATCGAATCAATCCGGAGAAGTACGACCTGAGAGACAAAACATACAAGGATCTCGATGTTTGGAAATTCCCCTACCCGTCTCAGGAAGACCGGCAGGAAGCCATTGACAATGCTATCTCTGCATTTGATCGCATGCGAATCTCTCGCTCCGACAAGCTCTGGCAAATGCTGCTGCCAAAGGAGGAACGGGGCAAGGGCAAGTGCCTGTCGCGGCTGGACTTGCGAACAGGCCCCATCAAGAAGGCCCTGACCCCTCGGATACAAGTGCAACCATCCGATGACAATGGCAAAGATGGTTACACCACCGGCCAAGATACCGACAAAGGCAGTGCATCGGGCTTCACCCCCAAAGCTGGAGAGCCTACCTCGGTACCCCGGTCGGTGCCTCCCGTGGCTAAGAAGCGGGCTGGTGACAAGGATACCCCGTTGAAGCGCTCCACGACCAAAGCCAAGACTGCAGCAAATAGTACATTGACCGGTCGCGTTACAAAGAAGGCTGAGCGGAAGCCGACGGGCAAACCGGAGACCAAATTCAAGTCAGCGGAATTTGTACACGATTCCGACGAGGACGACACGGATCTGCAAAATGTCTCATCTTCGGAAAAGCCTTCCGCTGAGCCGAACAAGTTGCGACCGCAAACAAAGCCTGCCAGCAAAACAGTCGATACAACCTCCAACAGGGAACCTTCCCATGTTCCGACACCCAAGGTGGAGCAGTCGGATCCTGTATCTAAAGCTGAACCATCTCCGCAAGTTGCCAGCAAGCCGCCTGCTGCGAAAAGACCCCCTTCCACGCGGCCGCCCGCCCAGAAATCTCCTGCGAAGCCGTCGCCGCTCGGATCCTCGCCACCAACAAACGCTTCCGATGTTCAAAGTCGCAGCCGTTCTTCCAGCCAGAACAATTCCTCCAGTTCATCCTCATCTCCGCTTATCACTCAAATTTCTAAGCCCACCCGACCTCTTCCCGCCGCCCCGACTATTCGGAAAGTGGCCAAGTCGAATGGCGTGACCAAGCCGACCGACCCGTCGAATCCATTGAAGCGAAAGGCAGAGTTGGATCGATTTTCATCCCAGGCTCCTGGCCAGGGTCGAACTACTGGAGACTTGGAGCATAAACGGCGACGGGCGGTAAGCATCTCCAGTGGCAGTACTGGCAGTGCTTCGCCGCCTCTAAGTCGAGAACTCCTCATCCAGCAGCTGCACGAGAAGTCGCGGAAATTCAAACAATTCTACGACAAATACCGCACGCTTCATGAAGCATTGGCGTCGCAAGCGAAACCGTCCCAGGCGGACATCGACCGTCTGCAGAAACAACATGTTAAGCTGCAACGAATGAAGAAGGAAATCTGGGACGAAGACCGACGGTTGAGGAATTGACTCTTGACAACCGAACCTGGGGTACCGCAGTGGACTTGATGTTTTACTTTCTGTCTTGGATACAAGGTCCGGAATATATACAGCACGGGCCCTCTGTGGCCGTTTATCGCATCTGCTGATTTTGGCACTGTATGTTGATTGCATGACGAAGCAGACTACTACATTGCTTCGAGGGCGTTTGCGATGCTTAATGTTTTCCCTTGCATGGTTTTGATGTTTTCCTTATATCTTTTTTTTTTCTTTTTTCTTTTTCCTTTGTTTCCTTTGTCTTGAAGATATGCATATCTGCATCACATCAACCATCCAGAGAGGATGGCGTACGTGCGTGTATGTAATTGGAATGATTTAATATGATGTGAACCCGGCGGCCGAACTTGTCATGGCGGCCGGGAAGCAAGGAAGCTGCAAGGCGTCGGTCGTGAGTCGGACGAACTCGCAGCAGCCTCGGGGAGGAAGAGAGGGGAATTACACGAGATAGGAAGCCAATGAGAATACTGATTCATACGTGCGTCCGTCCTAGTCCTCAGTAAGTCTGTTTAAGTTCAGTGTTCTGCATCCCGTCGAGGACTAGTTAGTATAGTTAGTAGATGGAAGTGGGCTGAGAGGCTTCGCAGCAGGCCATCGGGAGAGTCGGAAAAGCCAGCCAGACGAAGCCGTAGTTCGACGGAGGCATGAAGTAGTTGATTATCATGACGGGGCTAAGAACCTCAGACCATGCAGGATGCTAAATCTGGGCTGCAAGCCACTTTTACCCCTCGTGTGTGGCTGACAGTGTGTGCTGGCTGGCGTTGTTCCTCGCAGCTCTGTAACCCCACCACCACGAAAATGAAAAGGAGAGGCAAGAATTAAGATAAGGGAGAGATGAGAGAGAGCGAATTCGGAGTAATGTTTCCAGGGACGGACTTCCAAACAGCAGTTCACTTCCCCCTCTCTCCCCTTCTCCCTCCCTCCGTCCCCTCCGTCCCCTCTTTTCCCTTGTGTTCCCGACCCTATCGACCACCTGAGGTACATACATTACACAACATTTGAGACAACTGTTACTCAAGTCTAAGCTTACTTGGTTGATTGGTACTTAGGCTTTTCTTGCCCTGCTGGACCAGTCACTGCTGGTAACCACGAAGGTACTTACATCAACAGTCACTGCTTTGGTTGACAGACAGACAAGGAATTTTACCCCGGATCAACCCTGAATGATCAATGATGGACAAGCCCCGCTAGTCCCGATCAGGGAACAGCCCCCACCCCGTTGCACGTGGCTGCCTCATTTCCAGTCCTGTATTTCCTGTACTACTCGTATCGTAGCAGCTATACCCGTCTCTGCGTATTACTGTCACCGTATTGTCACCGTCCGGTATTGTTATTCGTTGCGCCCGGGGGATTCTGGACCGACGTCATCCTTCGGTTCACCTTGCTCGGCCCTTTTCGACAGGCGGTGAGAGGCAGCAGCTGTCGTGCTTGGCAAGCTTTATCGCCGACCCGAAACTGACGACGACATCCAATTTATTCCCCGGGGCAATCCAATTCAATTGCTGCTGAGGGTATATCTCTCTTCGTTGGCCATCATTCATCGGTATTCGAAGAAATTCGTCTTGCACAGGCGGTTCAAGGCAGTTAAAGGCTATATCAGCTGGCTCTGAGTTGCTTGTCTAGTGAGGTTTTTGGCGTGCGACCGTGGCCTTGCCTTGCGACACTCAAGCTGCGCGTTGCGGATAGTCCCTTCGACCTCCCCCATTCCGGTCGGGTAACCGGCTTGTTTTGAACGAGGTCCATAACCTGGAGTACTCGGCTCGGGGTTTGCTAGATCGATTGCCAATTATCATTTCTACGATTGATACTACTTCATTAGCAGTCTCTGGAGGAAAAGGGGCGCTAGAGAAGCAGAAGCTGTTCTTTGATATCGCAAAGCATCAGTTATAATGAATCCCTCAAGAGGCCGAGGGCTGGGTCAACGGAGTCCCCATGTCCTAGTATGTTCTTCATCAATTGTCGCATCCTTCCTTACCTTGTTTAATATATCAACCATACTTACTTACGTCCCGCACCATTTAGGTGACCGACTCGCGCGACCAACAAACCTCCTTACCACCCCGCCGCCGTCGCTCCCCCGCAACAACCCGCTTCATCACCGTTGACAACGTCCTTCAATACACCTCCGATGTGCCCTCGATGCAGCAGCGGCACCCGCCGCAAGGCACGCGGACGCGGCCGCGCTCGCGTATCGCATCAGCCGCGGGCGGACTGATCGGGGCGGCGGGCGGCGGAGCGGGCTCCTCCAGCGGCGGCAGCATTGGGGGCGGCAGCGGCAGCGCGGCGGCGGCGACGATCCGACGCCTAGCGGCCCAGCCGCGGCTGCCGCCGCGCACCACCAAGGTCAGCGAGAAGCTGGTGCTGTTGCCGGAGGCGGACGGGAAGCTGCCCGAGGACGAAGACGAGGAGGAAGGTGAGGAAGGAGACGAAGAGGCCGTGGACGAGGAGTTCGTGCAGCGCGTCGCCAAGGATAAGAACCTGGACCCCGAGGCCGTGCGGCAGACTCTACTGGCGCAGAAGAAGATGCGGCTGGACGGCGCGGACTTCGGCGTCGATAACGAAATCGCGCCCTTGCTGGCGGACGAGGAACTGCTGCGCAAGAGGAAGGTCGCGCCCGAGAAGGCTAAGAGCTATGCTGAACGCTTGCCCAAGGCGCGTCGCGCCGAGAAACTGGCCCGCGTCACGGCGTATTGCACGGCTCAGGCCTACAAGATGAGCTCGTTAGCCTCGTTTGTTAAGGAGAGGCATGGCGGTCGCACCAAGCTCTACGATGATTGTCTGTACACGGCCTATCATTTGCCGCTGCTGCCGGGCCTCGACGGGTATAGGTTGCGGAGTAGTCCCATGGTGAAGAAGCCCGGCGGGAAGTCGATCCTGGATGAGGAGATTGAGCGCAATGAGCTGCGGGATCACCATGAGGATTATTTGGTCGATGCAGAGGAGCATTCGGTTGTCGGCGGACGTCATGAACACAGGTCGTCGCACCAGGAGCATAATGAGGCGGAGAGACACGGGGATGAGGAGGCACATCATGGACAGTCAGAACATGAAGAGGAGCAGCATCATTCCGTACCTGGCCCGGACGCGAAACCCTTCATGGGTGGTGTTGATGGCGCCGATCATCAAGCTCCAGCGGGCACTACGGCAGCAGCGGCGGCGGCGGCGGCGACACCAGCATCTACGAATCTGCCGTACAATGTCGCAGAGATGTTTGTTTTCAGCTACGGAGTGGTCGTGTTCTGGAACTTCAGTGAAAAGCAAGAGAAGGACCTACTTGCTGATCTGGCGTTTGCGACCTCGTCCGCGACCGGCTCCCCGATCCCATTGGCAACTCTGCCCTTGCAGGAAGAAGACTTTGAGACGGAGGAGTTCCACTTCGAGTACTCGACGCAGATCAAGCGTCCCCGCGTCTACAATGACATGATCACCCTGCGGAGCGGTGACCACATGATCAAATTGGCCATCAGTCACGGCATCGCGCAAAGCACCAAGCTCTGCTTCTTCGAAGAAGTCATGGCCCGCCAGATGGCTGAGGCAAAGGACGTCCCGCGCCGACTCGCCATGACAGGCAATCTCGGTATGAAACGAGACGAAGTATTCCGAATTCTCGGTAGTCTCTTCAAGAGCCGAGTCGAAGTCAACCTCTGTACGATTGCCGCCCCCCAACCAGCCCATACCCAGTGAAGTACTAACAAGTCAATTAGCATCCAACGTTCTCGACGTCCCCAACTTCTTCTGGGAAAGCGAACCAACGCTGTACCCGCTCTACATCGCCGTGCGCGAGTACCTGGAAATCAAGCCGCGCATCCAAGTCTTGAACGAACGCTGCAAAGTCTTCCTCGACCTGGCAGAGATCCTTTCCGATTCCATCGCCGATAATAAAACCTCTCGTAAGGCCAACCTTCCCGATTCCCTTCACCATACTTCCCCTCAACATCAACAAACCCGAAACTAACCAGACCAAACCAAAATAAACAGATCAGACATGGATCATTATCGTCCTCATCTGCGTCTCCATCCTCGTCACCACCTTCGAAGTCTTCCTCCGATTCGGCCTCCTCTCGTCCCGTGAAGGTGATGCCTCGACAAAAGCCACAACCCCTCTCGGCTCCTTCGCCGCGACGGTCCTCGCCCGGGCTCTGGGCGGCAGCAGCAGCAACAATAACCCTGCGTGCGCATGTTCCTGTCCCGCTCAAGTCCCAGAGAGTGGATTACTGAACACCACACCTCCGACGATGGGAATGCCCTACTGAGACCTCCGCTTCTTGTCCTTCCGATCTGCTTCCCTACCAATCCTCTAACTTTCCAACCCCTACCTCCACCACGTACCAGGGAATCGACAACCTCCCGAAATGGCAGCCTACACCCCATCCGAAATCCTCGGTGAATTCCACCAAGTGGTACACATCATCCTCGAAGCCCCATCCTCTCAACGCAAACCCCCACAATCCACAATCGAACCCTACCAAGAGCGAGAGAGCATGAGCGAGCGAGAGAAGAAAGCAAGCGAGCCCACTCCAACCCTCCACAAACCCGAAGTATCTCAAAAAGGACCACAGAGCCAGAAACCACCACCCCCTTTCTTCTTTATCTTTAATTGCTGTAATCAATTCCATCCATCTGTCATGGGGCCCGTTCTCTTGCGCGTGAATCATTAAGGTTGAATACCATATCTATTATATCATGTCATATCTGATCTGATCTTGTAAATGTACACTATTAGCTGGGTGGATACACCTCACTCCCCTGCCCGATCGGATTACTAGGTGTTCGTTCGTCTTTAAGCTTTCAGTAATGGATGGTGCCGCAACGATAGTTACTCTATCTGTTACGGTAGTCGGCGGGAGGGGACGACAATGTATGCCTAAGGCACGAGGGCTGTAACTAATCTGACGTCATTGCTCACATTGATCGCCAAATCCAATGGACCTGTTTGGTTGTTTATTTGTCTTAGTAGCAGGATGTATTAGCTTCAACACCTGGAGCATTGGCTCCCATCAATGCATTACAGTATTACACAGGTGAAGAAAGGCAATCAAGGCTATCATACATAGGATTATGTAGTGGTAGTGTAGGATGTAGGATGTTAACAATCGATATCTACAATCGGGATTGAGACCGATGAGGGTGAGAGGGAAGGGGGGAAAGAGTGACAAATGAAACAGGAAGGGAACCACAACAACCTAAAACAACGGGTGGGGAGAAGGTGGAGGAAAGATTAGGTATAGAACAATGCAAGGTTGAAGGAAGTTGAAAAGAAATTTCCAGACCGAAGAGAGAAGAGCAAATGACACCCATAAAAACCCCGTACAGCCGAGCCCTGAGCCAAATGATAAACAGATGATAAACCCCATTTCCGACTCTATCTATGCTTCGTCCTGGTCGTTTCGCCAATTGGAAAGAAAAACAAACAAACAAACAAACAATGGGCAAAATGTGGAACGTGGGACAACAACAATGAGCCAGGACTCCATCCAGTGTCTTTTCTGCAAACCCACACTGGCGTATGCTATGATGATGATGATGATGATGATAGCGCAAGTGTCAACAGAAAACAAACAGATGCCATGATGATGATGTAAGGAATGAATAACATATGGAAGATGCTGGGAGATTCATCGTCACAACAAAGGAAATATAACAAAGGAAAAAACAACACACCACCTTGGGAGTTTGATCTCACTTGTGGTGATGCGTGAAACCATCCCCATGAAAAACTCGACGTTTCTCGATGGCTTCAAGTATACGGCCCGGCCGTTTATTGAAGATGTTCAGTGTTCAGGCAACTGCCACATTACACAGGAGTGGACCATGCACTGTCGCCAAGTCTAGGCTTCAGTTCATAATTGTCCGGTTCGGTGCTGGTGGGTCGCCTGATGGTCGAGTTGGGGAAGTACATGTGGGGAGGCATAGAGCTCGGATACGCCGCTCCGCTTGGCTCGGGATACCCAAAGTCGGTGGCAGAGCCAGGAGAAGGAATGCTAGAATGCGATGGGGAAGCCCAACCCAAGCTAGTCATGTGCGGGCTACCACTGACGCTGTTGGGCCGGTGATCATTGTTGGCAGGCGGCTCAAGGGGTTGAGGGGGCCCATAGCCCGAAGGGTGGGACGTCATCGACGGTCGGACATGCGGAGCACTACCATAGCTTGACAAGGAAGGCGATGTAGCTGTGGGAGAAGCCCGAGGACTGGCTTGAGGGAAGCCACCGCGGACATGAGGGGGAATGGAACCGCTACTCATGTAGTAGTCGGAGCGAGGCATGTTCAGCGGAGGCAGATCACCAACGGGCGAGATAGACTGGTGTGCGGGGGAGGGAGTCGAATGAACAGAGCCATGGTCCGAGAAAATATCTCCCGAGAGTCTTGCGCGCTCCTTGTTCTGCCTCAGGTTGGCTTCAGTCTCTGCAGCGGCCTCTTCGATAGTTCCCGTGTGATGATTCTGATGCCGTGTCAAGGTAGTGCGGCGAGTGAACGTCTTCTGGCAGTTCGCATAGGGGCACTTGTAAGGACGCTTTCCAGAATGAATCCGGCGATGTCTAGCCAGAGACGACGAATCGCTGAAGGGCTATATCAAGACTGTGGTTAGCGACAGGGGTTCAACCCACAAGTTATGTGATACATACCTTGCCGCATCTTTCACACATGTGTGGCTTCTCACCAGTGTGGACGCGAGCGTGCACGGTCAGGGCTGAGCGTTGAATGAATTGTTTGCCACAGCCTGGCCAATCGCATGCATGGGGCCTGATACCTGAGTGAATGCGCTCTGGAATAACATTAGAAAAACTCGACAAAATGAGGATTCGGAATATGCCTACCGTGCCGTGCGAGATCACTCCGACGAGCGAATCCTTTACTGCAGGTTCCACAGTGAAAGGTCTTGGGAGGAGGATCGGGCCGTCCCTGAGGGGTATTGTTCGGTATTTGAGCAGCGCCAGCGTATCCTCCAGGAATGAAGGTGTTCTGCAAAAGAGGCATGCCTTGGTTGGGATGGTGCTGTGGTGCATATCGCAAATCTTGCTGCATGCTCGGCATCTGGCCCAGCTGTGCATGAGGAGGATACGAAAGCACCTGCTGGTCGCCAGACTCGGCGCCAGGCTCTGCCTTCATCTTCGGCGAGTGGTCCATACCCGGGTTCGGGACCAGGTGCGCTGGATCAAAGGGTGTATCTGCGGCAACCATGGCGGTAGAACCTTTTCTATTCAGGATATTTGTGATGTCCATGACCCGACCCCGCGGGAGATATAAAGACGCTGATCAGGAACAAATCAAAGTTTTCCCACGGAAAGCCTTCTGGTGCTGGGCCGTCGATTTTGTCCACGACGGTTGCTGTTCAAGAGGTTCTAGGCAATGACTGGTAAATGCGACTGAAGTTAGCCGAGCTGTCCATTGTGAATTGAGACGGTGCAGGGAGGGCTGATGGTCCCCAACAAGTGAGAGCTACAAAGATTGAAAACATGGAGGATGGCGAAAACACCCATTATAGAACAAGACAATAAATAAGCGCAGCTGTGAACCTCGGATACAGACCCTCGGCCTTCGACAAGGAGAAAGTAACAAGCTTACCTGAACCACTTTGAAAGAGCAGTGAAAATGACACAACGCCGAAAGAAAGTGATGGCCGGCAGTGGGCGGAATCGAGGATCGTAGTCCGAATGTGAATGCGAGGATAATACAAGGCAGCGCAGACCATGCAGTAGTCTCAATCCCGAGATCAATCACAGGCCAGCACAGGATTCTTCTCCGCACACAATCAAGCACTCGATCTCAATGAACAAGCTTCAACCTTGCCCAAATTTGTCTGAGGAACACGCGCTAGTCTTCACGGATCGTAACTTCGACAGCCCCGGTGTTGCAAGGTTACGGGAACAATCCAGAATATCTTGTAGGCCGAGACACTGGTCGGATTAAGATCGAATAGATGCACCGAAGCCGGTCGTCGGGAAAGACTTGAAACTTGACGCGCACTCTCGACGAGATCTAAGATCGTTCAGGCACACGAGGTTGCTTGGGTCACTGAAAAGTGTGTCGCCACGTCTTTGCCGCGAGGTTGCAAGGATTCTCAAGTCACCGGGGGCTGTTGGCCGGGGGTGCAACACGCCAATGCCGGCGCACTCGGTTTGTTTCGGCGGGTTTCAACGGACAGCGCTCACAGCGTCTGCAGAAGGGAGGGGTATGGCAGGGTAAGGACCGCGGCGTGGTGTGCTGGTTTCTGCACTGTGTGACAGGATTGTAAGAGGTTAGTAAGCTGCGCATAAACAATGATATAATGTCAGATGAGTCTCCTGCGTTCGACTGGCCCAGTTTCTCCGGCATTCTTCGTTTGGAACGCGCAAGTGATCGTATCTCGCTAGGATCTTTTTTTTGGGGGGGGGGGGGGGGGTTTTTTTTTTTTTGTGGTGATGCAGGCAAGATGATCTTGAACAGGCAACATTGCGCGCCAAACAGGATAAAAAAAATCTTTCGCAGGAGACGAAGCGCCAATAGAGGTAGTAGCTTTGCGACTGCAGAAAATGGCAAGCGCCCGCCCTGAAGATATGTGTCTAGAGAGAATCTGGGGAGTGCGCCTGGATGGAGACTCCCCTCAGGAAGGCGGCAAGGGAGTTCGGTGGTGGGCGGAGCGCCATTCAAGCGCCCGCACGGAGAGAACTTACGGAGAAAGCGGTTGACAGGCTGGAGTGGTAATAAGCACAGCTCGTTACCAGCGAATATTGCGTGCTGAAGCAGGGGATCGTCGGAAGATCCGTGAGCGTCAAACAAGGGCACCAAAAAAGGCGTTCTTCGACGGAGCTTCTCGGGGATATTCCAGGAACTGGAGGGAGGAAATCGGAGACGGTCGCACCACCACAGGATTGACTTTGGAAACAAGGAGGAATGAGGAGTGGAGGAGTTTGATACAATCAAGCTGGAAGACAGAATCAGGAGAGAAGGTCAGTTTGGGTTTGGGTCAGAAAATAGCCGGAAACGAGAGGCAAGGAAGAAAGAGAGAGAGAGAGAGAGAGAGAAAGGATGAAGTACCAGCAAGCAGGTGTAGAGTGTAGACAGGCAGGCAAGCAAGCAAGCAAGCAAGCAAGCGATGTCAGTCAGGTTGATGTGAATGAAGTAAAGAAGAGTGGAGGAGATGTAATGAACCGGTAAGAATGAGTATCACGTCGGTATTGAGTATTGACGCAGACAACCTGAAGAAGAAGAACCCGAAACTCTTTCCAGCTTTCTTTACTTTTCTTTCTTCGCAAAGCAAAGCACATGCGGCGCGTGCCTTTCTTTTCTTATTTATTTGCTACTCGAAGAAGACTTTCCTTTCCTTTCCAGTCTCTCTCTCCCCCAGGCAGACCCGGGTAGTTAGTTAGTGCATTAGTATTAGCTGGGTTAGTTAGTTAAAATTAATGTTTCTTATTATTAGTAGTTGCTCCCTAGTGCCCGGTAGTAATATAATTGGGGAATATTCATAAACCACTTTCACATTTAATCCTTTGAATTATTATTTCCTATAAACCGGCCTGAACTAAGCCTAGTTAGTCAGACTACAGCTTCACACGTTTCCACTGCGTGCCCCAAGTGGCTCCTCTGAACTCCCACGCCCGAAGAAGCTGGCGGCACCAAAAGGTCACCGTCAAGCGCGCTCGGCTCCACAACGTGGCTTTCATCTTCTCCTGGCCGTGCGAGATAGACCTACGGTTGCTGCTCTTTCTCCCCCTCCTGATGGCGATGGTGGGAGTGGGTACTGTACGCGCCGATGCCGATCCCATATGGATAGCCGGTGGGTGAATGAGTGAATGAATGAGTGAAAGAGAGAGAAAATTGATAATAATAATAATAATAATAATATCATATTTCTTATTTTATGGTTTGTTGTTTGTTTCGTCGAGGTTAGACACTATCCCGCGCAACCACCGACCAAGGTCCATCATGGTCAATCAACTCAACTCATTTTATCTACTTACCTTTTCTCCGGTACTCCTAATCTCCTAATCTCCTCTGTTCCGTTGTTCCCCTTCCCAAATCTCCTGGTCGTGTCATGTCATGATGCTTGAGATCATCCTGGCGGAGACAGGAACAGGAACCGTGTTGGACAACGCCTTAAGTCAGGAGATTCGATCCGCTCACTAAATTAGAAAGAAAAGTTCGAACAGCCATCCCGACCTATACCCTTAGAAAGTATACATTTAACGTAGAGGTCAAGGTGTTCGTTCCCCCCTCTTTGATCGTGCATGCATGGAAATCGAGGCTAGGAGCTAGGCCCGGTGACCGCATCACTGTCTCGGAAGCTTAAGTGCTGCTTACCCCAGGACAGTTTCCCAAGGGGCCTCTCTCTGCCCTCTTCCCATCTCTCCCCTCTCTCCCGCCGACCCTCGGGAGGAGTTCCTGCAGGTAATGACGCCTTCACTTACAGGGGAGTGGAAAGACTTATCAGAGGGTTCAGCCTAAAAAGAACAGGTGACCATGTAATCGTGCAACCCTCTAGTAGTTTTGTCCGCGATCAGGCATCAACCGCGTGAAACGTTCGCCTAGGATCGTCTCTGGCGTGACATACCTCCGTTCTTCTGCTTCCTCTGAGGTCATCACTTATTCCTCATGGCTTGTTGTTCTCTGGCAACTGTGTCGGACAAGACAGTTGTCGGTCCGGAGAATACCACTCTCCTCATTTGTCGATGACCCTCCTGGATGGAAATTTCAGGGCGATCGTGTTGCTGGAACTACTTACCTCTAGATCGGAAGAAGAAGTTCAGATTACGAACAGGAAAAACAACCGTGGCCGGGCGACTAACCCCAGGAGATCCGGCTGTTGGACGGACGGAGAATAATAGTCAATGATATTTCTGACTTTACTCACTTTAGGATTGCCCCCTTTCGGGAGAGGGTCCCAAAACTGGCCTGTGATTACGGAAGAACAACGGCTGAAAGTTAATTTCCTTCTAGAAAGTTTCGAATGATGGGGGAAGGGGGAGAAGGGAAAGAAGGGAAAAAGGGATCGGGCATGGTTCCCAGATTGGCAGATTAAGCCCAGAGGGAGCTTTGAACACACCATTGCCTGGTTCAAGTCAGTTCTCCCCACTTTCCATCGCATCGTCCGCGGCCGCAGCTGCAGGGACAGGTTGCCCCTCGACCTCTCACCGATCTGCATGTCACGTAGGACCGCATGCTGACTGTCGCAGCAGATAAAGCCCTGACATCGCAAAGGGGGAATTGGAAATGAGATAACAGAGAAAGAAAAATGGTACAAACCATCCTATGTACTATTTACCTAGAGGTGGTGATGGGCCGTGGAGTAACTAAGTCAATACAGTACGTAGACGACTCAACTTGTGTAGTTCGGCAACTAGTCGCCTAGTCCGTCTTGCTAGTTGAACGGACCTGACGGAAGAAGTAGCGAGCGAGGCGAGTGAGTGTTCCAGTTTCCACTCAGCCTGTCCCCTCCCTCAACCTCCCTTTTTCCGGTTCTTTTTTTAAAAAGCTGAGGACCGATGATGCTTCTATTCCCCTCATCCTTTCTTTTTATAAATCGGCGTCGGGTTCAGCGTCTATTGCCGTCTGGAACATTGATGCATGCAGGGTCTCTCTCAGCCTTTCCGGTCGCCTTCCGTTTCCCTGAGTGTGAGGTGTCGACCTCTTCTTGCCCCTTCTTGACTTGGCCTGTGTTTCCCTTTTTCCTTGTGCAGAAGGTGGCCCCACTGCGAGACACACTACTGGTTTACCAATATCGTACGAGGACTAGTCCGACCAATAAACACAATGTGCCAGGGGGAGGGGTTTCCGACGAGCTTCTAGAAGGAGTCGGAAGGGGGCATGGAAGGTCAGGAAGGCTTCTAGAGGCCTTTCTTCCCATGTGCCAGTGCGGCTGCGTCACCCACTCTCTCTGGGCCGGTGGGTGGCCATGTCTTTTCTCCTGACGCTCGTGTCACATCCCTGCCTGGGGATCCGATGTCTGTGTATGATGTGTGCGTGTGTGTATTTGCAGTTTTGGGGAAAGCGCGGAAATTCCCACACAAAATACAGTAACACCCTCCATCCCCTTCCTGGACGAATGTGTCAGGCAATAGACTGGCAAAGAGAACAAAAGGCAGAAGTCAGATAATCAAGACCAAATATGCGCTGGTCAGAGTGTCTTTCCTAATTCCTTAGGCGAACCAAAGAATAGGATTATTCGGATCCTCTGATTCTGATCACGATCCGGCCGCATCGTCATCGTTGCCGGTCATCCCTGCAGCGTCCGTGTTGGCCGTGGATCAAACTGGAATGATTTTCTGGGCCCCACGCTGGTCTTCCCGTCTCGGGGCGTTGGGCCACCGTAAGGATATTTCCATCGCAATCTCGCAGATCGCCCTGTTGCCTTTCCCACCCCGAGAGTCTTTGTTTTCCTTGACTTGGCATACGTAGGTAGACTCAAGGAGTCAGGGGGACTTCGGAGTCCCAAAAGAAGATGGGAGGGGGCGAGAGAGAAAAGAAAGATCGATTGAGGAGTACCGGTTGGCAAAGTAGGAGAAGGGGCATGACGTTCTCTGCCGTCTCGATTAATTAAAGCAACTCTTGCAGTTGTGACAGGGGGGGATCTATCGGAGGGCTATGCGATTGGATGAGCGGGTTCGACTTCATTGCCACTGGTCGGTTCAAGTTTCATCTGCTAGTTTGAAGTGCGCCAACTGCGCTTACCCCCTGCCTAAAACAGAATAGGGGGAGACTAGGTGGCTGGGAGGTTTGGCACACTGTTGGTCCTCAGTGCGTCGCCGTGGATGAGGGGAATGAGGACGCCGTCAGATTGATGCGAAACGCATGCATTAGCAGCTGTCTCATGCATCATCCCCTCCCCTCTGGTGGTGCTCCGCGCTTGGACCAGGCGAGCATCAGATTCATGTCGGCAGATGACATGGAACCACAGGCTGAACGCTGAGAAACGAGGTGGCTTGTTGAGAATCCAGAATCTTTGCCATAGCTTCATTTGTGATATCTCTTTTTCTTATCTGTCGCATTCGATCGCTGCGATTTGACCATTCCTGACGTCTGGGGAAAGCTTGCCCACGCCCGCTCTATCGTCCTTACTTGATCCGGAAATATGTTAGTATAGCTCCCGTTCCCATTGTTGATGAGGACTAGTAAGTATGTTGCACATCTAACTTGCGGCATTGCAGCATCCTAGACGACAGCCACATTTCGTACGGAACCTGCCGTCTAATCCTCAACAGGCGATCAGCACAGACTGTTCCGCGGAGCAGGGTGCCTTTTGCAGGACTTGAGTATTCATGAGCGTGCCTCGGCAACATTCGCCTGCTATAGATGCCCATACACCCAGAGCGGTATACGGAGATCAACCTACGACCGTCATCTCTTACAAGTCCACAATACTGTAATATAGCACCTGTAAGCCATTCGAAAGATCCAAAAGCAACAGTCAACTGCCGAGAGAAGAGCCCCTTCACACATAACCTAGAAAGGTCTCCTGCAGTCCAGTCTCGCCTTCTCTCGTCATGCCATACATAGACTCCCCTCGACTCCATAGTGAATTCATAGTCCATAGCTGTGTCTCCCTTCACCGTCTATCTCCATCCTATTCTGATCGACACATTCTATTCGAACTACCGTCTTAGACTCTTACTCTACCAGGCTATAGTGCACCACTCCTCTTCTGCTTCACCTTTTTCGTCAACCCCATCTGTCATACCGACCCTGATCTTCATTGGCATCCGGCCAAACGAAGCAAATCCGACACTAGAGAGAGGACTAGACCTGTAAGCGGGAAAGTGAGCGTCAGTCCCTTTTCTTTTCCAGTCTCCTTCACCGTCATTTCCTGGAACTCTAGACTCCGGCCGAAGCAGCATCACTTCCTTCCCCCCGCGGAGACATACCACGTACAACTTTCTTCCGAGCAATCAGAGAGGAATGAGGGGGGGCTCGATTCACCTCGACCCTCTTTTCGACTCAAGTCCTGACTTGACAGCTCATCCACAATGACACGAGAAAGAATGAGGGCAAAAAAAAGGGGAGCCCAGAAGCCCCATAACCCTACTTACCCGGGTGGAGGGCTGCGGTGATGGACTCCATAGCGCTAAATTAGGAATGTTTCTGGAAGCAGCGTAGAAGGCCTTTAGATTAGGGGAGGAGGGGAATAGGGAGGGGGGAAGGGAATGAAGAGGGGAGAGGGGAGAAGAGGGGTGATCTCTTTTGTCCTGTCTCGGTTTGCCTTTAATTTGCGCCACTGCTTGCGAGTTGATATGGAGGCTAAGTGAAAGGGGAGCTGCGTGTATTTGTGTGTGTGTGTGTGTGTGTGTGTGTGTGTGTGTGTCTGTTCTTGATTGAGTTGCACACGCCACACCGACTCCGACGGAGGGTGGCTCTCCTCCTGAGTTTGGCTTGGTTCGATGGCTAGGGTTGGGTCAGAAAACTGGAGTCCTGGAATGAAAGAGCGGTGGACGAAGTAGGGGAGCTGGCTGATTGAGTGTCTGACTCGTACCTAATGTTATTTCGAGTGCGCGTATTGGTTAGTACGAGAGACATCTGTCGAAGGCGATACTCCGTCCAGTCGAGAGATCTCAAAGTGGCTTGTGCAAGCAGAGAGAGTAGAGCAGCGGGATTCACGTCACACTACAGCGAGGAATACCTGCCTGAGGCAAAAACACCAACTGGTCGAAATATCACCAAACATCACCACAAGCTTGGCATGTTTGTTCCACCCGCCGCCTTCCGCATCGCAGACCACTTAGCAAGCCAAACTTCGGCTTCAATTCTGCCCATTGCAGCAGGTGGTCACGAACAACCCTCGATACCACTCTTTCTCAATTATTGATCATGAAAGCCGTCTCGAATTAAGCTCTGTAGGTACGAACACCCGTTTCCACTACAGGCTACCGCAGTAAACTGAAACCAAACCACACAGTCAACCGAAACCACACGCTACACCTTCGAACCACCGCATCCCAATCCCTCAATAATCACCACCACAACAACCAGAAACAATGGCAACCCGCCGCGCGCTGCGCACCCTCAACCATCTGACCACACGCCGCGCCCACTCCACGACGTCCGTCTCAGCAAATGAGCTCTCGCATTTCTCCGCCCTAGCAAGCAGCTGGTGGGATCCGCAGGGCCCGTCACGGGTGCTGCATCTGATGAACCCGCTCCGCCACGACTTCATCGCCTCATGCCTCTCCGACGCCCTACCCCCGCCTCCCCCCAGCACCAGCACCAGCACTCCGACCTCCGAAACCAACCCCAACACCCTCCGCTACCTCGACATAGGCTGCGGCGGGGGGATCTTCGCGGAATCGCTGGCGCGCAGCATCACGCCGCCCTCGACACCCACACAAACCCCAACCCCCACGCGCGCAGCGTCAATAACAGCAATTGACCCCTCAACAACACTGATCCAGATCGCGCGCGACCACGCACGGCAGGACCCAACGGTCGACGCGCACCTGCGCACCGGCCGCTTCGAATACAAGAACTGCACGCTGGAGGACTTGATTGCCGCCTCCTCCTCCCCCTCCTCCTCCCCCTCCCCATCCACCCAGAAGAAAACCTACGACATCGTAACTCTCTTCGAAGTAATCGAGCACATCGAATCCACACCCGCAGCAGGCATCTCGCCGCAATCTTTCCTGACGGATTGCCTGCGACTTGTGCGTCCCGGCGGGTGGCTCATCGGCTCGACGATCGCGCGCACGTTCCCCTCCTGGTTGGTCAACCAGGTTATCGCTGAGGCGCCGTGGCCCGTCGGCGTGGTGCCGCGCGGGACGCACGAGTGGCAGAAGTTTGTGAATCCCGAGGAGTTGGAAGGGTGGGTGCAGGAGGGGTTGATGCGCGGAGCGGATGGGCGGGTTACGAGAGCTGGTGCCGCGGCGTTGGAGGGCATGCGTTGGAAGTGTATGGGGGTTGTGTATTTCCCTGGCTTTGGGTGGAAGTTGGTGCCTGGGTCCGAGAGCTGGGGGAATTACTTTTGGGCGGTTCGGAAGGGGGTTTAGAGCTTGTAAAGGTCTGAGTAAAAGCTGTGGGAGATCTGTAAGATATATGAATGTAAGTTTCTGTATGTATGTATACATGTGTGTACGGCCGATAGACTATTGGGTTTCTTTATTTTCATGCAGAATATCAGCGGTTCGATTATGGTTCTTGGACAGCGAGTGATACTGCCATTTCAGTTTAACCGGCTACTGTTTTCATGTGAGAAACGAAATAGCCTACTACTTCCTCCTTCCCTTCCCCTTCTTCTTCCCACCACTCGGCGGATCAGGCACACTAACCGTTCCCTCCTGCACATCCTCGCCCTGATCCTTCAAGCGTTCCGACCCACTAATGAAGAACGTCAGGTCGCGATTCTGCTCCGTCAGATCCGCATTCGCGACCTTGAGCGCCTCCACCTCGGCGCTGAGATGCTGGATGCGCTCCATGAGACTACCGTTCATTGTCTTCTCCTCACGCCACTCCTTCTCCAGCTTGCGCGCCATGGCCTCGAACCGCTCCGCGCGCTTCTCCGCGCGGACCTTGTCCCGCTCCAGACTGGGGATCGTCTCGCCCGTCAGCGTGTCGTACTGCGCCTGCAAGCCGCGCAGGCTGTTGACAGCTGTCTGCGCCGCGTCCTGCGCGGTGCACGCGGCGGCGCTGGCCTGCGACGCTTTGTCGACGGCGCGCTCGACGACCTCCTCGAAGTAGGCGCGCTGGCTCTCCAACTGGCTGGTCAGCAGGTGCGTGTACTCCACGCTCATGTTCTCGAGCTTCTCGCGGGGTACGGCGTCCGTCCAGTCCGGCGGGTCGAGGGCGCTGTGGTCCGCGGCGGGGAGCTCGACCAGCTTGCCGTCTGTCTTGCTCTGGATGATGCGGTGCACGTAGGCGTCGCCGACGTAGTCCCACACGCGCTGCGTGGTCAGGTCCATCGCAAACGCGTGCGCGGTCTCCTTGTAGTGTGCAAAGGCGTGCGCGCCGTCGTACCGCCCGCAGCCCACGCTGCCGCAGATCAGGCACACCCAGAGGTTTATATCGGAGTGGCAGACGGTGCACTCGGCCGTCGACTCCTCGTCTGGAGACATAAGCATCCCCTGACTGGTGCGACGGATATCGTGCTGCGTGTAGCGACACACGGGGCAGCCGCTGCCTTTCCATTTCTGGAGGCACGTACAATGGAAGACATGTTGACAGATGATGGTCAGTAGGCCCGTTGTCTCGTCCATACGTTCCAGACAAACCGGACATGTAGGTAGCTCGATGAGCGCGGGGGTAGGAGGGGCGAGAGGTCGGGATGAGAGCGTTGCCGAAGGAGCGGCGGAGGTGGAAGCAGAGCCGGTACGAACCGCACTGGCTGTGGTAGTATGCGGGGAGCGAAGTGCATTTTGTTGACTGTTGCCCAGGGAGAGTGTTCCGGACCCAATGGCTTGTATCTCGACCGTCTTCACGAAAACGACATGGCAGGTTTCAGGCTGTCAGAAGCAAGGGTGTGGTCAGCATCATGTTTCCGTCCCATGTACCATGCCATGCGGCTGCACAAGCAACACTAAACTTACCTCCATGCTATTAAACACCTTCCCATTCCAGTCCCTCTGCCAATCCTTCGCCTTCTTCCCGCTGCGAAACTTCATCAAAACCATGTACCGATTCGCGCGAGCCGTCCTGATCATCCGGAAATGGCTGACGTCGTTCATGGTCGTCTCGCCCACGAACCCCAGGAGGTCCGACGGTGACATGTACGACGGCACGGCGAGGATGCATAGCGTGGTGCAGTCCTCGTCCGGCATGGCCTCCTCGACCCGCAGCGCATCCTGCCGCGAACCTCGACTACTTGCCCCCTCATCGAAGGGTTGTCTGGCCGCGGCCGCGGATCCTTTCAACTCGGAAGGATACTCCTCTTCAATCAAGTATGGCGTCTCCTGTGCATCCCGATAGAGATGCACGATACCCCAGATGCTTTCCGACGTGCTCTGGTCCAACGGTATGTATTTCCCTTTGGTGCGAAGTCCGCCCAAGATATCCGTTCCGATGCCCGTCGTGACGGGATTGTCGCGGGGTGCCCGCCAGCCTGTCCGGTTCGAGACAGCTGTATCTTGATTCGAGGGGATCATATCAACGCAGTCGATCGAGACTTTGTCTAGTCGAAGGTCCTGTTCGAAGTCCGATGCGCTTGTTGGAGATATTGTATAGAGATGAGGAGGGGTAGATGCGCTTGCAGCGGCAGTGTGAGCGGTATCGACAAAATGATCTGACGAGGAGTTTCGGGGTCGCTTTCCATTCGAGGTTTGACGCGCGTAACGGTTGATTCCGTTCTGTGGATGTCGTGGGCGTTTCTGGAACGGAAGCAGAGCTTCACATGCGGAGTCGAACGATAACGAAGTGGTAGAATGGGGGTCCGCGCCTGCACCGGCGCCTCTGAGATCGGAATGAGGGCGAGCAAATAGTTCGACCGCGAGGTGATAGAAATATGAGGGCATACCGACCGCTACTCACGTATACCCTTGTCTTTCTAATCTCCCAACTGCTCAAGTTCGTCGCGTCGATGCTAACTAAACAGCGAGCTGTCTCTCGGCGCCATCGGGATAGCCAGGGATCACGTGGGTGGGCCGTCCGGGGTGGAAAGTGGGACCCAACAGCTCATGCCTACTGTATCACGATATTTACGTATATTATTCTCAAAAATCGAATTTGTCATGATCCAGGAATTGTCATATTCTAAGTAAAGAGAGAATACACCAGCTAAATGGTGATACAAACAGGTATGTTTCTACTTGGTCCCGGGTTCTGTGTCCGCTCTCATTCGCAAAGGGAGTTCATTCTTCGATCGACTACTCCTCGGGACCCTGGCTGGTGGCCCGATGCCTGGGTTGCTCGCTTGATGTCTTCGGAAGTTCGGAAAAGCGCCGTGATGCTGCACGGCGCCTGTCGCCGGCTTGTTCGGTCTATGTCTTCAAAGGCTGGTGATGGAGGCACGAAGAGGAATCAATTCAGGCTAATCAGGTGAGGCTATATCGTTACGTGGCCGAACTACTGGGGAAGGCGGTGAGTGATGATTATTGAGGCCTCAGGCTCTCACCCACCACCTCCCCCCGCGGCCGCGCCACGGCTATAACAGGAAAGATAAGTATAAATAGATTACTTAATTAGGAAATACAAGCGAGATAGTATCAAGCCAGCAATGTCTGCGATGCTGTATTGCGCGCATTGCCCTGAATAATCCTCCGAAAACTCTGTATAACATGACAAAATGCCAGTCTTATAAGTTCTTCGAATCTCTTAAAATCCTCTCTGCGGAGAGACTTCATAAGGCCGTCAGCTGTGTTCATCTTTGATCCCACACAGCGTAAATCGATCTTGCCATTATAAGAGATTCTTGACTTAGAACCAGTATAAATCAAGCTAGCGTGTAGCGCGTGGGAAGCCTGGACTATTGATAATGTGCTCTGTATTCGCGGAATCCGTATAGAGCACGACCTTCTTGGCGATGTACAAGCCGAGTTCATGCGCGATGTGGTTTAGGTAAAGGGCCTCCTTCGCTGCTTCACTGAGGGCCATATATTCGGCTACTATAGATGATATAGCTGTAACAGACTACTTTCGTGAAGACCAAGAGATGGGTGAGCTAGTATACAGGATCACAAATGCCTCAGTAGAGTATCCATCCTCATTGTCCGCGTAAGCAGCGTCAAGAAAGGTAAGCTTCCGTGAATGATTATTGCCGAAAGTCAGTGAATGGGAAACGCCTCGCAGGGAAAGGTGTTTTTAATAATCTAATGGAGTATATGGTGCTTTTTCAGTGAAAACTTGATGGTTTTGATGAGTTTGATGGGGGAAAACCTAAGGCAGGGCTCAAAACCTGATGGAAGCACGAAGAGGAATCAATTCAGGCTAACTAGGTGAAGCTATATCGATACGTGGCCGAACCCCGGGGAACGCGGTGAGCAAGGACCATTGAGGCCTCAGGCTCTCACAGCTGGAAGGCAGCGGACAGCACAGCCTGGCTGGTTGGTTGACTGATCGGCTCTGATACTTATCGGCTTGAGAGTCGATCCCAGAATGCCGTCTTGATTGTTCAAATGCATGTGGTCGGATGCCTGGGTTACTCGCTCTATTCTTTCAAAGGTGAGCAGGTAAGCAGCTTAGATCTCGATACCATCTGGCCATCACTCGTTCAGGGCGTCGAGGAAAACACCTCACTTGAGCAAGAAGAAGTCAAGGTACGGGTACGTTGTTGCTCGTACTGGGCTTATTCGATACCAGGAGATTATCCTTGGTAGTAGGATCGATTGGAGCAACGCATCCTGGATCAAGTGTAGCTTCAGGTGCGAATCCTTCTATTATGCTTGCTATACCCGTACCGTGGGAAGTAGTATCCTTGCCTGAAAATCCATGCAATACATCTAGCGCTGTCTGAACATAGCTGGGCTCGTCCAGAACCCTATATCGCTTGCATACAGGCATCGTTGGGCCTTGCCGGGAACATCCGTAGAAGTCTTCACTGGTAATTTGAGTCTGTTCACTTGAAGTTTGGGCTCTCTGCGCGAGCTTGGGGTTGATTGGATGACATCTTAAGAGGCCATGAAGTTTATTGATCGACGGGCAGGATAGTGAGTTGCAATTTGTTAGGAAAGACAGGGTAGGTGTGATGATCCCTTGGCGATCCTTAATCGTTTCGCGGATCCATTTGGGCTCGTAGATCCGTCTGCCAAATTGCGTTCAGCCTGCTGAACCACGAACAGTAAATTCGTGCCCATCTGCAGGAGCCAGAGGTCTCTCTCTCCTGCGACTGTCCCAAGTTCTTTCTCCACAAATGCCTCATCGGCTTGCAAATTCTTTTTCAGTCTTTCCAGGCTCTGCTCGATGCTGGATATAGTGCTCTTGATCATGTCTTTAGATCGCCAACAATGTATCAGAAGGGCTCCAGAGTTTTTCAGTACCAATCATGGTACTTGTAGCAATGAGAGATCCAAGTATTGCCCCCGCTACAACTATTAGCAGCAAATATATCCACAACGCGTTGATTATTCCAGAATCTTTTCGGGAACGTCTCTTTGGTTTTTCCCCCAAGTGTCAGCATCCTCACCCTCGAACTTGAGACGAGCTCGAGGATGAGGACAAGCTCGAGGAAATCCCATCCATCCTCCGATATGGTTCCCGATAACCAGTCCAAGTTCGGAGACAGGGGCGAGTTCGAGGGAAATCTTTCCTTCAATGCACGATTCAGGAAGGTGATTGTCGCGGCGAAGAACTCCACAATGTTCAAGTGTCTGCGATCGTGCAACTCGCCGGCGAGAATGTCGTGCTCATACGTCATTGAAAATTCCTGAACCATCCCACCGAGCCCAGCGGGGAGCTTTCCGCGGCTGACGGCGCTGTCGCATCTTCAGGCCTTGCCGGGGGTGTTTCCGTTGTGCGCTGGGTCGAGAGTAAGATCGTATAGGCAAAACTTTGGTCTCTGTAGAAGAGAGGTAGAGCTCTTTGGAAATGCTATAGAGTCTGCACGCTTGAGGTGATAGAGAGAGAAGAGACCCGTGCAGGTGCATTTGACGGCCAAGGCCATATTCTGCCTCTCATCTTTGCTCAAGCGCAGATCATGGTAGCATACGCGATAACTACCATGATCTACCATCGGTCGATACAGAGCCTGCACGCTTGAGATAGTGTTTGTTTCGGGCAGCAAGTTCCTTCCGGAAGCCATCCTCATCGGCTCAACAATCTGCACCGCCTGAGATCCAGCGTTGATTTGCAGGCTTTGTTGCATTTTACCACATAATTCCACTCTCGAGCTTGAAATCTTGCTGAGCAGGATCTGCGGACCGAACGTGATGCCGTCGAGACATGATGTAGTCTTCTTAGAGTGCAACAGAGGCCGGAGGCAACTCCTGAGAAAGAAACTCGCTGAAGGATGAATCAAAAGTGGGGTGGTTGGACGAGATACGAAGCCTTTCAGCGTCGTGGAATCAGTTTGATCTCGCCGTCTGGTTTTGGGTCTGCATCTCTTGCAACCTTGAGCTCCTGCTTGGCTGGCGATGTAATCTCGACTACAGCGGTAGAGGATGTCTACTTCACATAGCCGCAGAAATTCCATCAGACACGCTAGCTGGCCGTCTAGATCTTCCCTGCCCTAGAAGTGGGAGCAGGGGCATAGTTGTGCATCTGGGCTACCAATGGACCATCTGCTCCATCGCTTGTTGACCGTTTGGCGGATCCATATCGCAGTGGCTCTGAGCTTCTGTCTGGGACTCACTTGACTTGCTGGATGAGAATGGATTCCAAGTCGATTTGGGAGGATGTTCAGGGGCTTTATATAATCTTTGACTACCCGGGCGGAATCAGAGAGCGTGTCTCGAGATTGAGGAGGAGATCTACCGGGTAAGCTGCGCCGGGGATAATGGAAGTGAATTAGAGCCGTCCATAATGATGGGAGGCTTCGTGGGAGAATTCACCACGGAACGTCTCAGGGGGTGACAAAGGATAATTAACAGGAGAGCTTCCCGGAGATTGAAGGTAGTCGATGACGTCAAAGTATGTACATTCATGTAGGACAGCCACGTCAGGACAAACGGAGAGTTTCGTCGGATTTCAGAGGTTAAGGAAATGAACAGTGCCATCAAAGGATAGACAGATACTCACATAGATTGATACATCAAGACAAGAGGGGAATTCGGCCAGTAGCATAAAACAAGTTAATGAAATCCAAGAGTCCCGTTCAGGGAAATTCCGCTGGAAGCGAAAATCACTGGTACCATAACAGAATAGACATCCAGAGACAATAGATGCGCAGGAAAAACAGAGTCTATTGAAGGCAAGCCACATTAACCACCCAGCTCCAGCTCGCATTCATCCCCAAGCTGGGCAGGAAAAGTCACATTCCCGCTACTGCCAAAGTCAGTCAACAGTGCAGAGGGGTCGTAGCCATCGGAGGTACTATACTGCACAGTACATCCATTCAAAGCACGCCCTCTCCATCAAGCCACACATCACGCTCTATTTTTCGGAATCTGCACCTCAACCTCGATCTTCACGTACATTTCCTCCGCCCCAAGCTTCACAACCTGCACGCACGGCCACAGAGCCTTGTGCTCGACCATTCAGCGGCAGAAGCACTTTACGCTGCCTCTTCCAAGCTCAGGTGATACGACCGCACTTTGTACATCTATGACCACCCTTTGCCCCCGGCGCTCCGCAGCTGCAGGTCGCCGTTGGCGAAGGCCTGGTCGGTCTGCGCGTCAATGTCAGCGGGGATTTCGGAGATTTCCTGGTCCCAGCCACCTGGTGTTGATATGCATGTCAGTTCATAATTTTGAACCTATAGTTTTGCTTGTGGCGGGCGAGGGGAGTGAGAAAGAACCTTGGCCGGAAGGGTGAATTGTCTCGCCCACTCGAACAGCTTGGTTGTAGGCGTGGAACTTGAGGGCGGCCTCGCCGAAGCCTTTGGCATTATATCAGGCAAATGGGACAGGATTAGTGAGCTATGAGGTTAAAGGAATGATAGAGAAACAAAAGGGTGATGGGGTGCAGCGTAGCCGCTTGTATACACAGATAGCGTGTGGACCCGGGGCGGGAAACATCTTCCGCTATGGAGACGGACTACGGCGGACCATGTGGGAATGAGCTCAAAGCACTTCCGGGAATGACGATGGTTGCTATACCTCGAGAACAAGACTGCGCTCTCCGCCATGACAAGGTTAAGATGGCATTTTCGAAGTGGATTGGTCAAAGCGACAAGTACGCGTTTTAATGTTTGATGATCTCGGCTCACCATCGAGTCCGGATTGATGGTTTTCTCAAACGGAGGTCGGAGTAGAGTACCAAGTCTCTGTACGTAAAGATACCGGCTTAAAATTGGAATCCTGGAATCTCACCCCCGAGCTCGGATTCCATATCATACGAGAAAAACGAGTGCTGGGTCCATGGTGGACAGAGTGTAGAGGTCCATCCCTTCTAGCAGAATGGAGTCGTGAATTATGGGAAGACCAGGGTGAGCTGGCTCCTGAATTAAAGCCGCATACCTGAGTACAAATTGAGCAGGGAGGACAAGCTACCTTACCATCAAGGAACACACAGGTCCTGTATAACAGGCAGCCAGCTTATCTTTGCAATAGAGAACCCAAAAGATCCGTCTCCGAAGGTCGACTTCTTCGGGAGGCAAAGCCACTAAGCCAGAGAGTAAAGACGAATCCAGGTTCAGTCCAATATCCTGCGCCAAGCGGCTGGCCATGCCTTGATGAAGCCAGCCGGCTGCCTCGGCACCCATCGCCTAATCGAATGAACCTTAGCCATCAGTGGGTCAATCGAGGTCTCTTCAAACGTACAATATAGATGGTGCACTTGTTAAACAGACTCTGGATGGTCGTGACGGTCGGCCTTTCCAGGTCGTATAAAGCAAAAGCTCTGCAATTTCGAGTAACGTTTTACCAGCCGTATTAAAATCGATTTTAGTTCCTGCGTGGTTCCTCGACCTGCCCGCTTGGCTCATGTGACAATAAATCCTCGGACCCGGCATACGAATGGATCGGCAGCCGACTGCTGAAGGGACCAAATTGTCTCAGCTCTCCATTCTGATCGAAACCCCGTGACTTGTCCAGCGAGACAGTGCCCTGCAAGGCTTCGCAGAAGTGTCGGGATCCGACGAGGCGGTCATGTTATTCGCCGGTGTAGGCTAGATGGCAAGCGTCCGCAGTATTGCGTCGAGTATCCCAATACAACTTTGCAGAAGAACAACGTACGACTTGGTGGCTGGCTGGTGGCCGTCCTCCTTGGATGAGTACTGACAGAAGAGGCCCCGCTCAAGGCAGCGCTTGCACGCCGGACGAGCGCCATCGCACTATGTTTCGACAATTGTGAGCTAACCGGATTGTATCGTCCGAGTGGAAGAAGAAACACCTTAGCGCGACGGCCACGACATTCTTCGCACGCTTTAGTCGATCCTCTTCTCGTGCGCTTCGAAGTTAGCCCCGCCTTGTCTGACGCGGTTAATTGAGGAATGTGTTTGCTCATCAGTGGGTCTTGTATCTTTCTGTAGTCTAGTAACTGTTGGAGTTGCTCGAGACGAGAGATAGAGATGCAAACAGGAAATGAAGGGGGATGAACAATGAGCACGTGGGAGATATCCTGGAGGGTTGCATGTGGGGAAGGAACAAGTCGGGGCGGGGCGGGGCGGGGCGGAAGATGTTTTCCGCTCCTCTCCATCCGGTAACGGACCGCTTCGATGCGATCACATTGCTCCAGTCATCACCTATTGATCTTGCGCGAACAGTGGCTAGTTTGGTATTGAGAGATTTGGCATGTGCGCAGATATGTATGTAGATTAAAGGGACGGGTCTGACTCGATTTTCTCTGGCGTTGAGCCTTGATGCAGGATAAGACACGGGACTACAATCATTCATGCTCTTCCAGGTGCAAACTACAGGACTCGACTTATGGGTGCCGCAGGGACTGATGTTTCCCGAGATGATCTTGCTACGAGCTTGCCCCATAGCTTTGAGCCCCATGTCTCTCCACTGAATCCATTCAATGACATCTCTTACTCTTATATCAAATGATACAATCATCATGGCGGAGCCTGCCACTGCGAGGTTCTAGTGTTCACCTGTATCCGGATAATCGAAATCTACTGCTGCCCCAACACCAACGAGCCTCTACTATCAATGCCCCTTGAGCTTGACCCCTCAACTACTTCCCAGATCTGGAGTAGACTACGGTCCGGGGAGTTCAACGTGTGGAGCTACAATCACGATGATGCATAGTTTAGGTGGTGCCTCTACGATCAGGCTTCTGGGTGCAAGAAGCCATGTATAGTATATGGGCATGGCATTTCCGTTCAATGGTATTGCTCCTCCCGCAGCATGACCAGCAGCAGACCGGGTAATATCCTCAGAAGCATTGTTGTAGTCCCGCTCTAACTTCCCAGGGCGTGTCGAGTTTGTCAATCCGACAGTCCCCTCGACGGAAAGACACCGTTATCTATTGAGCGAGGTGCTGGAAATTCACCACTCGCTCTAAGTCCAGGCTGCGTAGTGGGTTCGATCTGGTGGGAGATGTTTGTCGCTCTGCGCTGCGCTTGTTGGTGTGGTTGAATGCGACGGGCCGACGGGGTTCGAGCAAGGGATTTCGCAGAGGAGGGGGGGGGCAGCATAGGATTAGTACGAGAGGCTCGAGTGTGTAACAGATGAGGGGATGAGGCATGCGGCGACGGCGAACAATCGAAGGAGGGGCGGACGATGGTGGTCGACAGGTGGATTGTGGGGAATTGTTAGAGTATATGCCGGGAGCTCTAATACTTGTGTTGACGAAAACATGCCTGAGGCTGCATAATGGCACGTGATGCTATCAGACCTCTGTCGCTCTTTGCTGAATAGAAAGAAATTATCATGGGTGAAGACGTAAGTGAAGTAGAATCTCATATGGATGGCGATAACTGAGAATGTTGATCATATTCAAGTTTTATAGAACTAAGCAGCGCCCCCAGGAAATGGCGACCTCGCCGATTGCCTGGCTCTTACACCTCAAAAAAGAGATATATAACGTGTGCAAAGTATCGGAGGCAGCACCTTAACCGCAAGTCCAACTTTTTTTTCCAGCACTGGCGTTTAAAATACTACGCGTAGCTATGATCATTCATCAACAACATATTACACATTTATGAAGCAGATCCTAAGCAAAACATTGCAATAGAGTGTATACGCCCATTGCATGCCATCATCCTCGAAGCTATCGCACCGATAACCGGCACACCTTCTCTCCGCAGACGCAACGCAACCACATCCGATCCCAAGTACATTATCATACCGTATCAATCCCGTCACAGTCAATACACACGCTGTACCCAGCAATACACCGCAGCAACCATCAAAACCCGGACTCGGCGTGGACAGAAAACTGATCAGCAACCACAAAAAGGTCCATGATTCATCACAACCTAATTTACCCGTCCACCGACCGACGGGGAGTGAGTATGGATGGTCCGTATCAGATTCTGTCTCCCCTTCCTAGGCGGCGCGTGTATGGCACACAGCAACCCTGGAAGAAGCTCCATCGCAACTCACTCCGAGTCTTTCTACCCTGCAAATTCAATGCCCTGCACTATAATATATACCGCTCTTCTATCGACCATCTGTAGCAAGGATTATCTAGAAAAGAGAGAGAAGGGGACGAACCTCAAAAGATCCCTGCCCCAAACCTGAAATTGGCGTGCGGAAAAAAACGGGTAGATTACCGCGGTCAAAGAGTGGAAGTTGGAGTTTGCCCGTTGAAACGGACTGGACCTGGTCCTTGTCTTGTCACGGCGCAGTGTAATCAAAACTAGGGTGTTTTTTTGTTACCATCGGGGCTGCATGCATGCATGCATCCCTGCATCCGTGCATGGGTTGTGTAGGAGAGAGAAAAAATGTGTTGGGGACCTGTAGCTAGGGGTGTCGTCACTCGATTGGATTCTACGAGCTTCAGCGGACACACAATCAATCCGATTGTTTCAATTGATGCCCTGGATGGATGAATGGATGGGATGGGATGGGATGGATGTATCATACACGGAAATCTTTGATTCAGGTTCCAGTGACGTTTACCTGTGCTAGTGGCTGGCTAAGGTCCTCCTCCTCCACTCTTCCCCCCCCCCCCCCCCCCAATACGCGCACACACAGACGTAGCAATGGGGACGGCAGAGTCAAGAGTAACAAAGGCGGGTACAGAGTACGGTATCGTAGGAGAGCGGGAAGACTGCATTTGAATTGTATAGGAACAATCTAAGCCAGAGCCACTGATTGAAAGCCTCGAAAGGTTGATAAACAATAGAGAACATTGTTAGCTCGGACTTTCCAGACACAGAGAAGCTAGACCCATCCCAATTGAACCGCGCCCCCCTTCTTGCCCCGGAAGAAGAAGAGGGAAGAAGGGAAAGGTCACACGTTTTCGACAGCTGGCATCAATCCGCATCAGTCCGCCGCCGCCGCCGCCGCCGCCCATCTACACCCACTACGGGGAGGAAAGGTGATGGAGAGAGCTCTGACCTCCCAAGTCCGTCATACAACCATAATTGGCCCTCGTCGCTTTCTTTCGATGGACTTAAGAGGAGCCCTCTTCTGCGAAACTGGAACCACTTCCAATCCAAGCTCGCAAGCTCTTTTTTACCCCAGAATTTGGGGTCGGTAGTTCTACGATTTGTAGCGCTCTCGTCATCATCTACTGTCTACTTTCTCTCCCCAAGACAGCACGGGCGAGTTCAAAGGCTCAGCAGGGTGGGTTTAAAGTGGCCAGTTTAAACTCTATATGTACAGTGTATTGGTTGCATGTTGTAGACGACGGACGTGAGGAGAAAAGGGGGAGAAAAAGGAAGTAGTACATGATATATAAAAAGACCACCACAAAAGATGATTAACCTCCTAGGAAAGAAAGATGTGTGTCTTGTCTGTCTGTGGGAAACCCAGTCGTTCTCGAATTTGGCAGATGAAAAGAACAAAGATGATAATGGAACAAGAGAAGAGAAGAACCGGTTTACCGGACGAACACGCTCATTAAACCGATTGTTTCATTTGTGATTTGTTGTACAAGTGACCCAGAAAAGAAGCTTTCGTAGATTTTGTTGGTTTTTTGAAATTTGTTTCGTCATCATCCCGTTCCCTGTCCCATTCATCTCACCAAAGAAAATTCGATCCCTTCCAAAGATTTGCCGGCAAACCGCGAACGCTTCGCTAGGAGAAAATATGCGGCTCGATTTGTCGTGGGAGAAAAGTTGGTTGTGTTAAATTTAGACGTACTTGCACATCATGGCAACCATCAGGTCGAACAGACCAATGGCCTCGACGAAGGCGAAACCAAGAATGGCGTAGGAGAAGAGCTGACCACGGAGGGCAGGGTTGCGGGAGACGGCGAGGAGGAGGGAGCCGAAGACGAGACCGATACCGATACCGGCACCACCGAGACCGATGGCAGCGGAACCCATACCCAGGTTCTGGGAGACCTGGACCATGGCGTCGGCGATCTCAGAGGAGTACTGACGGCGGCCCTGGGCGGCGAAAGCCTGGCGGGCGTTGGCCTGGATGAGGCCGGAAGGAGACTGACGCTTGACGGTCTGGAAGGGGGTCATGTTGATCTTCTTCTGGGTGGTGAAGGTGCGCTTGGGAGCGACAGCGTTGAGCTGAACGCGAGCGGCGGGGCGAGCCACCTTGGAGGTAGCAGCCATGGTGGAAGCCAGGCGAGAGGCGAAGACACGGGAGGAGGCCATTGTGATGATGGGTGGTGGTCTTGAGAAAGAGACTGATTTTTCCTCGAGAAGATGGGATGGGAAGGAAAGGGAGAAGAAGAGAGGAGAAAAGAGGAAGAGGAAGAACTTTTCTGGGAGGAAAACCTGGAGGAAAAGTGACAACAGAGACCTTCCGGGCCATAAATACTTTCCCGCTAATTTTTCGCGTTTTTTACCCTTTCGAGTCCACCCAGCCCCCCAGTCGGCTTCCGTTAGTGCGCTTTGCGCTTGTTGGGAAGAGAAAAAGCCCTACCCGGGGCCTGGCGCATGTGTGCTTCCAGTAATTGATTGTCCCCTATCTTACCTGGCTGTATCATACACTTTGATTACCACTTTTTTACATCTACTGCTCGCTCTGACGGGCAGTTCGGGTTCGTTCGGGATGGGGCCAAGCGTGCAATGCCTGCCGGTACAGCCAATTGTTCAGGGTCTCTGGTCGGCCGCGCAGGTCCGCTGGCCGTGCTATCCACGAGTCGCATCGCGGCACTGCTGCCATTGCGCGCCCACTTTTCGAGCATGACCAGGTCCAGTGCTTTCCACCATATGCCGATGTGAAGCAATTGGCTTTACTGTAAGATTACTCGTAACCAGGGTGACCGGGGAAAGATTGACCAAGGGGGGAGTGGAGAGGGGAAAAGGATGGGGGAGCATTCCCACACCGGGCTCCCTTCATTCTTCCTTACATATAAGATGGACTTTTCCCTCCTGCTCCCAGTTCCCCAACCCTGAAGCAGAGCAATTGACAGTATAGTGAGAGTCTGGCTTACGGTATGCACAAACCAAATCCAAGTTGACGTGAGCAGTGAGAGAGAGAGGATGGATCACAGCAATAGCAACAGCAGCAGCGAGAGAGAAAAAAAAAGAAAACCAAGGAGAGCGAAGTGGATCCCTGCAGCCAGATGGGTCCGATAGAGTGGTACATGACCCACTTAGCGGTGCATCCGTAGCCAATGGTAGACGCACCGCCTGCTCGGCGTCAATAGACCGGGCCGAATCGGGCATGCGGCTCCACCAGCGCCGGAGGTTCTGTCCCAGAAACAGAATTCCCACTGGCGACGCAAGCAGGTTTGTTGCTGGCCTCTCTGTTGTTGCTTGTGTCGTGAGCTGAGATCCGGAGGAAATTGCCTCGCCTCACCGACTTGTCTGTTTGGGAACCTCCTCGTTTGGGGCATCCCGACTCATCCCGTGGACGCCGGAGCAGAAAGCTAAGCTGCATGAAGAGCTAGCTCGGAGCTGGGGGCACCGCCCACCGTGATGAAATCGACGCCAACATCCAGCAGAACCAGAAGAAAAGGAATGCCATTGCATCCATTCCCTTCTTTGCTTTCCACCCACACCCCTCTCCCCCAAATGTTGGTCTCCAGGGAGGTGGTGTGGATTTATATAGCTTTTGGATAGATCAGAGGAACTGGCCAAAATTGGTGTGGAAGAGGTCAGCTCGTTTGCTCTCTCCCGCTTCCCACCTTCCTTCCCCCCTAACCCTAGCCAGAGAAATTAAAATCCTCGGAAAGAAACGTCACAATCCTCCCAGCTATTTTTCCCCGAGAGCAAATCCCAGAACGGTCAGCGCTAGTGCCAGCAGCAAAGAATACGCCCTGTTTTTTCTTTTCGTTTCGAAGCAGCCGTTCATTCCTTCCGACTCACCATTTCGGGGTAGCTCGCCCCTCCCCATCAACACTCTTTATTCTCCATGGGAAGAGAGATAACACCCTCATATTTATACCCTGAGCATCTGGTCTGAAGTTGGACGAAATGAGCTCGATTTGTTTCTTACTTCCCCCCCTTTTACCCTCTTCTCTTTCCCATTCTCTTGCTCATGCTTACCACAACGCACTATTCCCAAGTCGGCACTAGTCGATCCGATGTGATAGCGGTTGGCGGTGATCGAGATATGATCTCAGCCGCCCTGCATCCTTACGTAACCGAGCAGTTCTCTCTCCTTCCCCCCCCCCCTTGCCGGGTTTGAACTGCTGCCACCCAACGGACAAACCGACCTTCAATTTAAGCATGCAGCCGCCGGCAGACAGGGATTGGAGAAGCTATCTAGCCCAGCCCGAATTCTTCCGTCTCGACAACAGCTTGGCAGTTTTGGACTGTGGTGTAAGAGTATTCGTACTATAGATAGTTGCCACTGTCAAGGAGAGGGAGGGAGGAGGAGAGAGAGAGAGAGAGAGAGAGAGAGAGAGAGAGAGAGAGGTGCTGGTATGAAACATGCGAACGACGATCTATTACGGGTCAGTTGGAGGATGGTTGATACCTGCGCTGAATTCTCGTCGCATCGTGGGGAGGAAGAAGAGGCGATGGTCGGAGCTCGTTGGGGTGAAGTACGTATTCACTCTGTACGGATGGCTGTAATCCTGGTAATTGTACGGTACTTTCCGGAGCTACTGGTACAGTACAGTGCCGTGGTGTTAGCAGTCCTCAGGCACCACCCATATGGCCGGGCCAGCGGGTGGTTGTTGGACCTCGGGGTTCGTCCACGTAGAGAAGGTATGGCGGCCTGAGGTGGTGGCATCGGAGAGATAACGCCAGATCCGATCGGAGCAGAATGTACTGGCACATTTACCTACCTTCAGCAATCCATTGTCTTGTATACTGTACCTGGTGTCCTACCTCATCTCGCAACACACTCCGTCATCTCAGACCAGTAATATAGGTATACATCTTGCGCTTCATTCAAAAGCAGCACACCCAACTCCCCTGGAATGGTCCACTACAGTATACAAATCGACTCCTACCCGAAACCCACCCGTTCCCACCCGACGTTTTCCTCCGACACTCTTCCCTCCCGCCAAATCCATCCATATGGGATCCCCATAGCCCCAAATATGTTTATGTTTAGTTTTCGTAGAAGAAACAATCAAACTTAACTTCAACCCCAACAACTCACTACCGTAGTCGTCCGAAATTAACCAACCTCCAAGAGAGAAAGAAAATTTACCAAAGCAATGGCCCCCCAACCCGCCTACACCCCGCAACAAACCCCGACGGTCATCAAAGCCCGCAAACACCTTTCGGGAACCCGCGCCAAGCAGCTCCTTCGCGCGGCGGAGCGCGACTACAACGACCCGCCGCCGCCGCCGGGACTGGGCGAGTGCTGTGGGAGTTCGTGCGATCCGTGCGTCCGGGATCTGTGGCGGGAGGAACTGGCGGTTTGGCGGGAGAGGTGGGGGGAGGTTGCTGAGGAGGGGGGAGGGTCTCAAGAAGGGGGAGATGAAGGGGCAGAGAAGGTGAAGAAGATGCCGGGGAGTTGGGAGTGGTGAAGTTCCAGTTTCTTTGGGGTGTGAATTGGGCTTATTGGTACGAGGGTTGGGGATCATATTGATTGATTGGTTGGTTGATTGGTTTGTGATTGTATGCTTTCATCTCAATGCTATCTGGAGATGATGACTAACTGTGAAGCAGATTGAGCATGAAATACTGAAGCTATCTGTGTCAGTCTTCAGGTGGCGGGGATTCCTATCCAGATATAATATACCCTGCTCAATGTGAGGAAGAAGATCCTCAAACCTCACTCACTTCGCTTCCCACCGGCACCCTCGCCTCATACTCCAGCACCAACTGCACATCCTTCCCAGGCTCCAGCTTAACCGTCCACTTGACTTCGCCGTTCTTCGCTAGCCGCACCTTCCCTTCCTTCACCTGCGCAACATGTCGCACTTCATCCCCTTCCTTGACCAACCCATTCGGCTCCAAGATCTGCACTCGCAACTGCTCGTCCTCACTAACGGGCACCTGATCGACGACCGTCACCACGACGGCGTTACTCCTCGTGTTCCGCACTCGACACGTCCGCCGGAACACCGCCGCCTCTTCTTTCTGGAAGAACAGCCCTCTGCCGCCTGTCACCCGCCGCACTGTCGGCCGGCCGTACGTCACCTGGATCAGCGGATCCACGCCCAGCGGCAAGGTGAAAGACTCCTTCGGTCCGCAGCTCGGCACGTCCGCGGTCCCGAGGAAGGTCCCGTCGATGGTGATGCCAACCTTTCCGCGCAGGAGGCTCACGGACGAGGAGTTCTGGATCTCGGCCCGCAGGAAAGCTGCGGCTCGGTGCTTAGGCACGACCATGTACGCCAAAGTGACGGAGTCGAGATCGAGGTCGGCAAGGAGGTGGCGGCGGGGGACGAGGGAGGGGGTGAGGGTGCGACGGCCGGGAAGATCGTAGGTCGTTGTGAGGCCGTAGTCCTGCTGGAAGGAGTCCTGGTGTTCGAGGTCTGCGGTCAATGGTGTTGGTGGTGACAAAACATCCAGCTCTTGCTGGACGGCCTCGTGGACGTCGTTGTCCGGAGTTTCGGATGGCTCAGGGTTCCCCGCCGCAAGGGGTGCTGGTGGCATCGCTGATACTTGTGCTGCTGCCCTTGAAGAAAAGCCAAATGTCGGCATGGCTGCGGTCACTGTGCCCATTGGGCCTCTGGAGCTTCCTCCAAACGGACTTCCACTCATGGCCCCTGGGACTCCGCCAAACAGAGGTCCGCTGGTAGGGTGCGGAGATGAACTGGCTGGAGCGCTACCGAATAGACCAGCGGACGGAACCGGTGGTGGAGGGGCTGATTGTGCACCAAATGCGGGTGCACCTGCTATCTGTGCCTGCTGCGGTGGTGCTGATGATCCAGGGCCGAATAGACTGGACGTTCCTGCGGGACGTTGTGCAGTGCCAAACAAACCTCCTCCCGACTGCACCGGCTGCTGAGAGTTGGGCTGTACATTTGCAACCCCAAAGAGAGACGATCCAGTGACCGGCTGCTGACGTTGCTGCTGCTGCTGCTGCTGCGGTCTAAACAGTTTCAGTGGTTGGACAATCGGGGGTTGTTCCGGTCCGCTACGCAGAATCTTCTCCCACGAGATCTGCTCCTGGTTCTTATTATCGGCCTCGACAGTGAGCTGCCACGCTTTGAGAGAGGGGATGCACTCGCCTAGCCCCGAAAAGGAAGCCTGCGAGGTGGATAAGGTTACGCGGGCCTCGCGCCACGTTTCGGAGCAAGCATTACGAAACTCGGCCCGATAGACCATCTTGGCCGACGAGGCCGGAGTGTTGATGCTCAAATCATACCGAGGCATCCAGGTCGGACCCGCGACGACATAACTCAGCCGGAGCATGACGTTGGACTTGGAGGTAGTGGTGTTGTGGTTGTCGTCTTCATCACCATCCTCCACTGTGGAGGAAGCGTCTCCCTCGAGATGAACTACCACCTCACCGACGACAGCTTTCCGGAATTGCTTCTGCTCCCTTTCAAGCCTCTCCTTCCTCTCCCTCCTCTGCATCTTCCCCGCCTCCCTTACCCGTCTCTCTTTCTCGCGCGCCGCCTCCCTCTTCCTCTTCTCCTTATATACCCGCCGCTCCACCTTCTCAGCCTTAAGCGTTAACCTCTCAACCACCTTCTCTGCTTCTTCCACCTCCACCCCAGCCCGATAATGCTTCTCCCCTTCCTCACTGCCCCGCTTATTGAACACATCAATAAATTCCCCAACCTTCCACACCTCCACCTGCTGCTGCTGCTGTCTCTCCCACCCTGACCCAGACTGATTGACCACCAACCCGCGTCTCTGCTCCTCCAAGAACGCAATCACGCTCCCAGAAACATCTCTCCTAACCCCAGCCAACGCCAACCTCTCCTTCGCAGCGCCAAGTTCCGTCCGCACCAGCCGGAGTTCTTCCGGTTCCTCCTCCTCATCTTCCTCGTCTGAAGAACCCTCCTCATCATCATCACTACAACTCCCATCCTCGCCATCCTTCTCACCCAGGAAAAGCCGACTCCGCACCACCTCCGTCTGGAAATCCGTCACACAGGCGGGGCCCGACCCCTCGATGCGAATCGAGTCGAAGTCCGTCTTGGGGTCGAGGCCGTGGATAATGAGGGTGTTGTTTCCCGGCTATTCGATAACATGTCATGGATTAGTAGGTGTTGGACAGGAAATGGAGCAAAAGACGGGACAGAACTTACGTGGATGGTGGCGGGGATTTCGCGTACGATGGTGGCGCGGGTCGGGTGGAAGGTGACGGTTTTGGTCGGGAGGGAGGGGAGCAGGATTTCAGTGTTGCGGGGGAGATCGCTCATTTTTGTTTTGTTTTGTTTTGGGTATCTGGGTTTTTATTTGTCTTGGGGTGTGGTTGAGGGTGGATTTGGATGAAGGAATAGATGATTGGGATGAATAACGAAAGGATGAATGAGAACCTTGAATGAAAAGATGGAGAATGAGATAAAGAAGAATAGAGAGGAAGAAGGTTGTAGTAGCTGAGGTAAATAGGTACTACACCTGGTACTTATATAGTCCAATTTGGAGTCCCGATACTAGGCTCCAGGAAGAGACATCAGGCTGAACGCTGTGAGTGAGTGTTTTACAATGTGATTGGTGCGAGCTGGACCTCGTTTACAGTGATGACTGATTTGGAGCCCTGAAAGCTCAGAGCTTATAAATCCATCCATTGACTAGATCGGACTCTTTCTATTCTCATTGGTTGTGTGAGTCATGTTTTGTGCCTGACCCGTACGTCTTGTCAAACTTATTGTGGCTTAGCATCGCGACTAGTGCCGCTATAGGCTACAGGATTGCTTGTCTGTTTCGCATAATGTGGCTATGGCTGAGCATTTCGATGTGGAATGAATTGATAGTGCCTGGCCACTGTACGGAGTAGTCATGATGATGACCACGATATGCTACTGCAGATACCTACACTATATGTCTACCTCCCTCCGACTCCAACCGTGCTTAGGGCTCTCCCCTCGCGTCTTCTCCGCGAACAATCGCCCCGCCAACTGCTTATACAGGAACACACTACCTCCGTGGTAATTGATATTATGATCCGAGTCCGTGAACCACTGCACCTGCATCTTCTCCGGCGACACTCCATCGCCGACCAGAAGATCCACCAAGGTCGCCGAGTTCTGGAAGTGCACGTTGTCGTCGCCTGTTCCGTGCTGGATCAGGAACCCGCCGCTGGCGCTCTTGAACCCGGCTGTCTGCCGCACCGCGCTCGCCGCGTACCCGTCCGCATTCTCGGCCAGTGTCTTCATGTATCGCTCCGTGTACATCGAGTCATAGAACCGCCAGTCTGCCACGGGGGCCGTGATCAACCCCAGCGAGAAGATGCCGCTGTTCTGCTCAAGGACCTTGGCGGTCAGGTACCCGCCGAAACTCCACCCCCAGATGGCGATATGGTTCTCGTCGACATACGGAAGCGCCGCAGCTTGCTGGGCGGCGTAGGTCTGGTCCTCGGATTCTAGGAGACCGAGTTGTCGCGAAACTTGCGTGCGGAATGCGCGCCCCTTGTAGCCTGTTCCCCGGTTGTCGACGGTCCAGGTGATGTATTCGAGCTCCGGGTCGGACGCGATGTATGCATTGAATCCCATCGACTGCCACGATTTACTGACCTGCTGGGCCCCGGGCCCGCCGTATGGGGTGAACAGAACGGGGTATTTCTTGTCCGGACTGAAATCCACCGGCAGCCGTTGCATAACGTTGAGGGTCTCATTGGTAGGACTGTCAGGAAGGGCTATTTCGAAATAAGTGATGTTAGGAAGAGAAAATGATTGAAGTTGGGTAATAGTCTCAGCGTTATCAGTGATTGTGCGCAGAGGGCGGCTTTGATTGACGGAGTAGAGCTCCTGGTACGGAACATCCGGCCCACTGTAGGTGAGAATGTAGTATTGTGAATGTGCAGAGAAAGACGCGGACCAGTATGCTGCGATAGTATCATCGACCAAAGGGGTAATTTCAAATGTGCGATAGGAGACTGAATAGAGATGCCGCTCTGTGCTGTGATGCTGCGTGGAAAGGTAGTATACGACTTGCTTGGTTTTGTCTACGCTAAGAATGGAGGTCACCTCCCATGAACCGCTTGTGAGAGCGATCGGCTCACCGCCGGTCACAGGGAAAAGCCACAGATGTGACCATCCAGACTGGTCGGATATGTCGAGATAGTATAGAGGAGAGGTGTCGTCGATTGCCCCGATATAAGTCATCGAAAGAGTGTTGTCTATCCACCCATCAGTGCCGTCTCGTTCGTTGATCGTCTCTGCTCGCCCTGAAGCAGTGTCCACCGCTACGACTGCCTGGCGATCCTGGACTCGGTTGAACGTCTTGACAGCTAGCGTGGTGTGAGTATCAGTGAGCCAAGAGACTTCACCAATGATCAAACCATCCGGATCGAAAGAAGCGATCGGAATGGCCCGTGCTTGTTTTTCTGACACCTGAAGAACGCTCAATTGCACCGTAGGGTTAGTCTGCGAGACCTTCGGATATCGTATCGGCACGTCAACCGGATACGGGGGCGCAATGGCCTGGTTATCCATGTAATATGGCACCGCGTAAGTCGGTACACCCGTTTCATTGAAGCTCAGAAAGGAGAGATACTCCCCATCTGGCGAAAACCATAGGGCGAACCGGTCCCCCAAGATCTCCTCCTCGTAAACCCAGTCGGGTACACCATGAAACATATCAGGCCCACCGTCAGTGGTGATTGCTGTGGTGACACCATCAACCCAGATGAACAAATTGTTTCCGCGGACAAATGCGATCGTATTGCCGACGGTACTCCATTGAGCATATTGAATGTCGCCGCTCTGGTCAGATTTGAGAGGGGTGAGCTGCAACGACGCGACATCCTGGACGTAGTAATCAGCTAGGGATGAATGTCGATACTTTTTAGTGTAATTGGTTTCCCAGAGGACTGATGAGAGATCGGGCTTGATTTGGTAGCTGTGTACTTTCGGAGGGATGTGATCGGCCGTAATAAGGGTCTGCGTGTGGTTGGTGACGATATTGGTAATCTTGAGACTACCGTCTTCATCCTGATAGACATACTGTCCATCTTCTTCGGTCGCAATCCATTCAACGGAAGTTGTTGAGGGCGCAATGGCTTTGCTAACGACGGTCTCGTTGAAGGTCAGACGTTGGTGCCCACTTCCAGTGGGGGAATAAGGATTGCGAAGCAGTTCACGGGCCTGGGCAAGGCCTGCAATAAAGAGTAAAACCTTGTAACATTAGCAGTATCTGGGAAGTCTAGTTAAAGTACTCACCTTCATGACATCGATCGATAATTGAGGAAGCGATTGCGGGAAGAAGGCTTGGAAGTGTTCCACTTAAGTAGGATTCCCCGCATGCCAGGAATGTGGCAGGGATTTCGGTCTTGCCTGACGTGATGTGGTTTCACAGTGCTCCGACCCAAGTGCATATCCTAGACCCTGCTCAGCGGCTAATCTTGCTAGTGCATTCAGCCTGAAGAATAGCAACTACCCTTACTGATGACTTTGAATATCGCTGGCTCAGCCCACGAATGATTGCTGATCCAATATTGTATCGAGCCCATGGTTTCAAAGTGTTGTCATGGAAGTAGAGTGACGATGTCCGTCCAGACTTTTGGGAACACCCAGACAACACGGTAAACGGAGTAGACAAACCACAAGTCTAGTAAAACAAGAGAGTATGAGGGACTGGGCAAAGCAGATATCGTGAAGTAGTATAGTTATCATCTGTTGTGTGGTCGTTTGAGCTCAGCTCACCGCCCTGGTTCCCTGGTTGCATGTCGATAAGGTAGGTAGTACCATGCAAACAGATGATATAGTAACTTGGAATGCAAGTGTACTTGGATTTATTATTGTTTTCTGGCCTCTTTACCCCCCCAGGGTTCGTCCTTCAATCTTCATTCCAGCCACTGAATCAATCTCCGGATAGCTCTTTCATCAAAACCTTGCATCAACTTGGACTCATCGAGAAGTTGCGGAGGGCGGAAGTAAGTTCCGAGCATCAGATGCCAGACAGAAGGATTTACTCACCGAATGGTATACTATAGGCCACATTTCTTTAGAAGACAGCAAGACCTACGAACCCTCTGAAACCACACTTCCTTGCTCAAAACAAGCTCCGAACAACCCTACGCTCCCATCTCAGCTTCAACCCACTCTTACACCTCATCCGACATGGTCTACAAGATGATGATCTTTGTTGACGGTGGCTGTCGAGGCAACGGACAACCAGGGGCCATCGGTGCCGCCGCCTCCATCCTTATGCTGAGATACGGCGGGTATATAGCGTCCACGCAATCTCTACCGCTGTACCCAGCACCCACCAACCAGCGGGCCGAGCTCAAAGCTGTCATTCTCGGTCTTGAACAGGCTTTGGCAAGGTACGATGAGCTGGACGCAAGCCCTGCGCTGGATGTCACGATCCATTCAGATTCCAGATATGTGATTGACTGCATGACCGTGTGGATCGATAAGTGGATCCGGAGGGGATGGATCAATGCTGCAGGCAACGAGGTTGCAAATCGAGATCTTCTGGAGCGAGCATCGGAACTGGACGACGAGCTGAGGAATCTGGGAAACTTGAAGTACAAGTGGATCCCGAGGGAGGACAATCAGATTGCGGACGGCTTGTGCAATGACGATATGGACATGCAGCAGGGTCTATTCTGATGTGAGGGTTTGAGCTGGGCGGTGTTTTATAGGTGAAAGGGTGCTTAGGGATACTGTACGCTTGGGTTCCAATTTGAACGAAAATGAACTCGCAGCTATCTTGTGCAAGTGATTAGAGACAATCGGCCAGACAGAATAGACCCTGGACAAAACAACCCCCCCCCCCCCCAAAAAATATTGCATCATCCGTGAATCGAACACGGGCCTCATCGATGGCAACGATGAATTCTACCACTAGACCAATGATGCTAATTGATATAATTAGGATCCAAATATTGTAATTTATTCTACCAACCTTGAAATTGATGTCATACACAAAAGAATAAAATAGATGCTTCCGTAGCTGCAGCACATACGTGGCTTTCCCCCTCTTCTCCCAGGGTTAGTGCATCCGCTGCTCCTCAATAGAAATTGAAGTGACAAGATGTAGGATGCTTGAAATAGGGATGCGTGCGAAGACTAAGCTTGTTGACTGAATACCTAGTGGTCATGGTAGCAGGAAAGCATTGCCTCCTCAGTCTTGCTCTTGAGAGAAGAGGGGGCCCTAATAACATACCATGAACTCAGATTCGTGAGCATTGAGTCTGAGAGGTTACAAGGAGAACTAGGCAGTATGAATCCGCCGCATTGTTATCCGGCGTGCGCAGGAGTTGAACGGCTCTTCCTGCTGCTCCCGTACAAAAGCCCGCTGTGCATAGAACGCCAACATTGGCATAATTATCGCCACGTGATATATGCACAAGCCGACTGCATAACTTTCGCTCTCACTCACGATCAGCCTGCCATCCCACATTTCACATCCCAATCGCAATCAACAACGGCCGATCCAAAATCAAATAATGTGACACAGATGTCGGATCATAGCCAGCTGACCTCAGTGGAGAAAAAGCGCCTCCGCGATCGGCGAGCCCAGCAAAATTCTCGAAGCAAGAAGTTACACCACATCAGTCAACTTGAGGAGCGCATCGCACGACTAGAAGAGCAGGTCGCATATTGTCGACAACACCACACTGATGAAGGTTTTTATCAGCGGACCGAGGAGATGAAGAGCCTCCGGAGACATAATGAGTCTCTTCTTGCGCAACAGCGACAGCTGAAGAGTCTCGTGCAGTCCTGGGATCTCGATCTGCTCGATTCTCCGACGGCTCCCACTAGAGCGTTTTATCGCCCAGTAGGTGATAACGAGGTCGCGCGTCCACCACCACCAACGGCAGTCTCTTTCAGCCCGATAGACCCATTGGAGGCTAGTAGGAGAACTCTTCCCATCCCCCCAATCCCCCCAATCCTCCCACCACTTCCTCCATTGGGAGTGACTATGACTCCCACTCCCGGACCTACGGACTCGCCGAGCCCGCTGTGGAAACGTATTCCACTCAACAACGACGACCCCTCTGCCCCTTACATGTCCTTTCTCGCCTATCCGGAGCAGATCCGAGCATCCCCAGACTCCCCGGCCTCTCCACTGGATCTCCTGTACGGTTCCAAAACCAACGTCCTGGCGGACCTAGTCTACCGCACCACGAAGCGACGCCCGCTGCGTGACCCCGAGCGCCTGGCCTGCGGCTGGCTCGCTTACCACCTCTTTAAATGGATCTTCTCGCCTAGTCCAAGCCGCTTCGCCCGGCTGCCGACCTTCATGCTCTCGGTATCCGACCAGATCAACATCCCTCACCTCAGTTCGATCGATCTCATGATCTGGCCAGAGATCCGCTCGAATCTGATCCGCCGCTGGCACATCTACGAGGGCCAGCGAGACGATCTCTTTGGATTTCTGTCCTGCTGTATCAAGGTCCGCTGGCCGTGGGGCGAGAGTATTCTCGAGCGTGACGACCAGGATCAACTCCGCATCCGGCGCAGCTTCTATGAGACGTTCATGACCATCGAGGGGTGGGGTCTCACCCCCGATGTGATCCGAAGTTATCCCAGTATACTAACCGGGGTGGATCTACCATCTATTGTGTACGAGGTTCTCTGATTCAACGTCGAGAAAGAAGTACAGTCTATATTCTATATGGGAATAGCGGGAGTCTAGCAACACATGTCATGGGATCGTCAACTTCGTCATCCTAATCAGGCTTTATCCATCCAAGTCCACGGGAAATCGTTCCCTGATGGTCTTTCCATAGCGGTTGAACAGCAACGGAACCGGCACGAAGGCCAGGGCTAGGAAGCCTAACAGCGAATTGCCCCATCCGATGCCCATGTTGCGAAACATGGTGGGCCCCGCCAGCGGCAATAGGGCGCCCATCAGAGATCTTGACGCAGTCATGGAGGCGTTCGCGGAGGCCGCATAGGCCGGGTAGGCGTCGATGACGTAGGTCTGGATGGGCATCCAAATCCCGAGCATGCCAATGCCGAAGGGAACCATGCCGATGATGGGCACAATCCAGTGGACCTTCTGCGCGTTTTCGGCCGACCAGCCGTACCAGAAAAACGAAATGGGGATGATGCAGCTGAAGATGAACATCAGGGGCAGGCGCATCTCGGGCTCGAACTTGCCGCCGTTCTGGGCGGTCAGCTTGATGACCATGCGGTCGTTGGTCAGCGACACGGCCAGCAGGCCGATGAAGAAGCCCGTGCCGATGCCGATGTATGCGAGGCCGGCGAGGCCGGTCGAAAAGCCGTACCGCTCCTCGAAGACGGAGGTCACGGTGGTGAAGAAAAGGTACAGCAGGCTGTATACGAATGCGATGTACACGGAGAGGAGGAGCACGATGGGCGACTTGCAAAATAGCACCACGGGCCGCTTGAGGCCTTGTGCCAGGACCTGGCGGGCGGTCGGCGGGGCTTGGTGCTTGCTGCCCGTCACTTCATAGACGCTGCGCAGGTCGACGCGGTTCAGCTCCTTGGCCAGGCGCGCCGTCTTCCACCGGATCAGCAGCGGTGCGTACGTTTCCTGGTTCAGAACCTCGATGCCGGCCGAGATAACCGCCCCGCTGATGATCAGGAGGTAGAAGACCCATCGCCAGCCGATCGTCTCGCCGACAAATCCACCGCAGATAGGGCCCACGATGGGCCCAATAAGAGGACCCATGGCCCAGATGGCGGTGGCCCGACCGCGCATCTCCGTCGGGAACAAGTCCGCGATGACACCGGCGCCGAGCGTGACGCAGCCCGAGCCGCCAACGCCGGTAAAAAAGCGCGACACGATGAGCGTGGTCATGTTCGGGGCCCTGGCACAGCCGACCTGCCAGACAACGAAGAACCAATTTGCGGCGCTGAGAACGACTCGGCGGCCGTAGATCTCACTGAGAGGGGCGAGGAGCAGAGGTCCGAACTAAAAAGAGAGTGAGTATTGGATCGCCGCCATAGAGGAAAGAGGCACTCTACATACCACGAACCCCAAGAGGAAGATGGTCACGCTGAAGGACAGCAAGGTCTCGTTAGTGACCATGAACTCCCTAGCCACGAAACCGATCGCCGGGGAGAACATGCTGGACGCGAGCGGCGAGATGAAGGTGATGGAGCTGATGAGCGCCAGCAAGGTCCATTTCTTCGAGGTGGGGAAGTTCTGCGGGTTGGCCGGATCATCCTGGCCATCCCATCCGACAAGACCCTGCGAGAGGTCTGTGACAGGGAAGACGGGTTTGAAGTCCTCGGAGGCCGAGGTCGAGGAGGCGCCGGACTTCTCGTGCGGTAGCTGAGACTCAAGGTCGTTCTTCTTCATGGCTACTCAGCCGGGCTGGAATATTTATGCTCGGCTCTAGACAGATGTAGTATGGATGTGAAAGGACCAATGAGGCGGGGATGATCTGATATGATCAACAGGCGCAAATGATAATAGTAAGCCGTTGGATTATCGTTCGTAGAGAAAGTCTTGGAAAAAGCAAATGGCAATCGATCACACAACCTCCGGGCTGAAGAGTTTTAATAGTGTTCTCTCACCTCCATATCGGATGTTCTTCCCACGCACATGGCTCAGCCCAAATGAACGTGAAACTCCACCCTCCAGCTGTCAAGACGCACGAGCATGGCTGAGTTCTCGTGGGATTGTATCAAGTGGGTTGGTTCTGTAATGCTAAGAAGGGCCGCAGTAGCCGATTGGACCTGACGAGAGCCCCCCCCCCCCTCCCCAAAGCGCGATGCTGATGCTGATGCTGATGCTGCTTATGCTATGCTGATAGCGCGACCCCATTATCCCCAGTTCTGGCGCATAGGCTGGAAATCCTAGCTAAAGTACTATCTATAGTCAACGTACAGCCGCACCATACCCTTTCAGGCCTAGATATCATGATGCCTTTAACGCGACTCCATAAATTTATGCATTCACAAATCCTTCGTCGGAGTTAGGGCAGCAAGGAGTCGTTGATCTCCCTCAGCCGAAACGCTTTAGCTCGGCGGCCCCATGCCGAAGACAACACCACCATAAGAAATACGAACGTGGTCATGCTATATCTGCCTTGTTTTAGTGACCTGTGACCTGCCTTATTGTTTCCAAGGCAAACAACCCCTATCCCCCTGTCGAGAACCATAGAAAGGGAGCCAAAAAAAAAGCGGCCCAAATATACTTCCCCTCCACGGATAGAAAAAGCTTCCAACGCCACCACTGGCATTTCCGAACTCCTTACGAGGCTGTGGCTTGCTTGCTTGCTGTGCTGGGACGGACTAGTTACTAGTCTTCACTACTAAGGTACCTAGTAATTAATGCCTAATCTAGTCTACCCGGCAACAACTGAATTCGTCAACAAAGAATTGACGCGGCTCTTACCTTTTCTTGCGGTCTAGGTTGTTGCTGATAATAGTGCTTATAGTTTAGTGCCTAGCTTAGCCACGTTGTTGTTGTTCTGCTCATCAGCCCTTTTGTTTTTTCTTGGTTTCCGGCGTGGAGGTTTTACCCGAGCCAAGACCCGATCGGATGATTTGCTTGCCAGTCTGCTTGCCTCGTGGCGGTCGGGTTTTCCCTAGGTTGTGGTGTTGTGTTGTTGTCACAAGTGCCGAGGGATATCGGTTTAGTTTGAGGGTGGGAGGAAGTGGCGTGCTGGGTTGCTTACTTGCTTTAGTCAACTAGTTAGTTATCGCGCTTGATTCATGATTGTGGTGGGGTGGTTGTTGTTGTTGTTGGTGGTGGAGGAGGAGGAGGAGGAGGAGGAGGAGGAGAAGAAGTGAGTGGGTTACTAGAAGTCCGACCGCTTCTTTCTCTACAGCTGAGCGATAAATAGATCGCTAAGGATGTCGTCTGGTGAGACTAAGAATGACAGGTACTTGTAACAGCGGCATCTTTGAATGTCCTTCAACAAAAGGTGTGTTTCTTCGAAACCCGCAGATTCCCCGGCTGGAATCTCCCCACCGACCCAGTCACGGTCTACTGATCGATTCGGTTCGGTCATCGGGATTGTCGTCCTTTCCGAGGCATAGGTATACAATACCGAATGATCGAGCTAGTAAGCCTTGCCCTCTGAATCACGTTCTGATCGTAAGGCATCGATCGGGTCTCGGGCAATGAGGCTCTGAGTTGGCGCGGACCAGATACCGGGGCTGGGTTAGTGATTAGTTGAGATCTCTCGGGTTTGTGTTGAGAATTATCTCTGATGCTATCCAGTAGTTTGTGCTCGTGCTATGACGGGTGGATTGTTTTGCTTGAGAAGTAGGTTGCTGGTCGCGTCATCGTGCATGTCGGCTAGTCTAACTCACCTGGTGGTTTGCTCGGGTAGGGTTTCGGGGTGGCCGATAGGCACGAGTTAAGCATGGTTTGTTCATGCATGAGATGATGCCTGGTTTAGGCCGATCGTTTCTCGCCGATTGCTCTATGATAGTATAGGCCGTGGTTGTAAATGATGTTCTAGTTGCAGCTTTAGGCAATAGAAGGAAGGTACCTACTTGAAGGAATTCACTCTCAACCACAACCCACCCTCTAGTCATCCATACCCTCAACCGCTGAAAACATATCTCTGCGGAATCAACTGCACAGGCGACGCCGTCTTCTGCCAAAGCGTCTGCGTCTTCTGGTCCGTACACCCCGCCCGTCCCGGCATCAAATCCATATCGAAATTCCAGAACAGCTTACTCACGATCAGCCGTAGCTTGGCATATGCAAGTCTTGCCCGCCCATTAACATCTTGACGTATAGAATACCACACACAGCAAGCACACTTAATTCTTCCACTAGCAATTCCTAGGACCGTACGAGAACGGATGAAATGCTCCTTGATTAACCTTTGCAACCACTCATCATCACCCCTCTCCACCCATCGCTCAAAGTTACAAGAAAATAAAAGGAAGAGATACGTACGATACTTCAGCGTTCGTTTGGTGGAGCGATCAAGGAGTCTTGATCCTTTTCAAAGACAGCTTTGATATTGTGGGTTCGATGGCTTGGCACGGCGTCAGCTCTGAACTTGTAGACCGAGCAACAGACCTAGACACACTGCAGATATCATTCCAGGCTTGGCTGGAGTAGTATGAAAAGCTGTCTGGTGCAACCCGGACGACCTCACCACATTGGTCGTGTCACTCCTTCGTTCGAAAATGGAGTCTCCTATCGAATTCGAGGAACACGGTGTATAGCCTTGTTGCTTGAGCAAGCATTGGCCCGGCGTAGGATTGAAGCGGGTTTAGATAGAGGTTGTAAACAGCCTTAGCACAGATGATGACACTGAGAGTGTAGTGGACAGCTTGCAGAATATTTAGCCGAGAAAGGGTAGCTATTGAGGACGCAACGCCCGAGCAAAGCACGCGATAAAGACCAATGAGAAGAAAGGCCGTGGGAGAAGCCTGGAGATAAGACTCCGCTCAATGCTTCTAAGGAGTCCGTGGTGGCTGCAGTCAAATTGTATCATTATTTATGTGCATTTGAAGCAGAGCAAAGATAATGAAGGGGAGGCTTGGGCCTAGCCCGGATAATACGCATCGATAAGCGGGCTCTTGAAGCACAGTTGCTGTCAGAGCACGCCTTAGTGCTGATTCAGAATGAGGAATCATCCGGGAGACTCGGTGCCGCGGAAGGCGAGAGTATCGCAGGCGCAGAAGACTGGTAGGGAATAAGTAACCAGTTAGGTCGGTTGAGACGTTTTTCTGGGGCTGATGGCCCAAGAACTTCTTTCATGCTGCATGCGCGAGGGTGGTCTACTGTAGATTTGGAAAAAAGCCCTTATCATCTCCACAGTCATGTTTTTAACTGCCCGAGCCTCGTGATATTCAAATAAACAAATAAAATGTTGGTATAAGGTTACACACCCCCTTGTATCACCGAAATCCCGAAGCCAAGCCTAATAACTCCTATAGCCTCAAACAACTTACTCCACGACCTCGAACTTCACGTCCTTATTCGGCGCAAACACCTCCTTCCAGTCATCATACAGCTTGCCCAACTCCTTCACGTACTGCGCGTGGACCTCATCAATATACGTCTCCTCCGGCTCCCATCGCTGCTGCTTCACTTCGATCGGCTTTCCGACCACCACATTCAGAGGCCTCCGGTGGGGGCAGAAGATGCCAAACCGACCAGTCGAGAACGCTACGCGATGACCCACCGCAAACTCCCACGCCCGTGCTACCAGGCCAAGCGCAGATGAACTGTTCACGTCCACGCGATCGAAGAGCTCATTTTCGCCAAACGCGATGACGGGAACCAGATCTGCTCCCGTCTGTACCGCAACACGCACGAAGCCCTTGCGGATCTTTACAACCACCGCCATGGTGCCCGGCTTTGCGATATTATACTCCCGACTCCCGCCCACGGTGATGGTGATGGCACGGCCCATGCCGCGGTCGTCGTGGCCGCCACGTGTGAGGTGTCGGATACATGATGAGCGTGACACGCCACTTGTACCCAGGGAAAGCAGGTATTCGCGTAGCAAGGGGGTGTGGTAAAAGCTATCCTTCATGAGGAGGGTGTTGGTGATCCCTGGAAAGAGCTGGGAGAAGTCGGCTGCCTCGGCGGCGAAGGCACCGATGGCGCCGCGGAGAGCAATACCGTGCGGGTGGTAGCCGAAGATATAACGTCTCTGCGGTGAGAGGGGAACGGTGCGGTAGAGGGTGAGTGGGAAGTAGTTGGCATAGGTAGTTTTCCAGATGGAGGAGTGGCGGAACCGGTCGTTGCGGAGAGACAACGTGCCGGTCTTGTGGGCCTTGGCGATGAATTTAATGTAGAGAATATAGATAAGGGCGAGGAGACGGAGACGTGGGATTAGAAGAAGTGAGTAGCCTAGGATTGGGAAGACCAGCCAGATGTTGCTTAGAAGAGTCATGAGGAGGGTCTCGTAGAGGTTGGTGAGCAGCGGTCTAGAAGACGTGTTAGTTTACTTCGCTTAGTATGCCGTAAAGACGTGATCGAAGCTTACTTTGATGCCCCCTTCCCTCCGGTCTTAGGCTTCTGGGCCGTCTGAAGAACCATTCCCTGGCGGTTCTTGACTTCGTATAACGGACATTTGGTGCTCATTTCCGGCAGACGCATGGCGAGCTTGCCATGGTCACGAGACTGCGCGATCTCCACGATCTTCTCCGCCGCTGCCACTCGCCCCTCCTTCTTATGACAGAGCTTCGCAATGTCGATGGCCTGCTCTTTGTACGATTTGTTGCTCATGACTTTTAGTAGCGCCTTGCTCAGCTCCTTCGCGCTGATATTGGGAGCACGGCTCTTGTTGCCATAGACACCGATCCCCAGCCACTCAGCTCGAGCGGCGTTCTCATAGCAGTCTTGCCATGCCGGAAGCACAACATGAGGGACACCGTTTCTAGAAAGGTCAGTCCCAGCCCCGAAAGTCTGACAGCGAAGGAACTTACTGAATTGCCTCGTACCACGAGTTAGCACCTCCGTGGTGAACAGAGCAGATTACCCGACCAGTCTTTAACATCGCCATCGGCTCAACCTCAAACCAGGGGCGGATGCGAACAGAGTCTTCCTCCATCTCCCGCTTCAAGGGCTCGACTGATCGACCATAGATATCATCCTCGTCATGTGGATGTTTGGGCAATTTCCACAGGATCTGGACTTTCTCGCCTTTCCAGCCATCGAGGAACATTCGCAGACCAGTAGCAATTTCCTCTGCAACCTTGGGGTCAGGCGCATACAGCGTACCTAGATTGACAAGGATGGTCGGAGAATCTGCGAGCCAGCGCGCCATCTCCGGGTCCTGCTTTTGAACCGATGCAGTCGGAAGTAGAATTGGCCCACAGGGAAGGATGTTGTCAGGCATTACGCTGAATGGCCAGTCTAGCTCCAACAAGCCGGGTGAAATATGAAATCGGTCGGGCCGCCATGCATCTGCAAAGGGGAATCTGCCGTGAATCTTATGCTTGATTCGCCATTCTCTGATCTCACGACGACGGCCGCTGCCGTGATACATCTTGGCTGTCTTCAGCCCAGCAAGAGCATTAAGGGGGATTGTATGCCATGGAATGGGATACGCGAATCCAGTGCCAGGTCTGAAAGCATGTTAATGAAGGATCTGGGCCAACAGGGGTGGTCACACATACAAAGGGTACTTCCAGAGGGCTGCGGAATTGGGTTGCATGCCCAGGACAATGTGGCTGATGGATGTTGTGTTGATAAGGATTGCTGTGTGGCCTGTGTTGTACGCCGCATCCCGACCTTGAAGGAAGAAAAAGTCGATTGCCATCGCTGCTGGCTTCACATCGTTGATGATCTCGACGCAGCTCTCATAGATGTCGACATACTCGTCTTCAGTCCAGCCCCATATGTCTTCACACAGAGACTGGAACCCTAAGACCGCACCATGGTAGCCGGGAGGATGAAACGCACCCCTCTTTCCAGTCCGAATGAAGACATCCGTGTTGGAAGGCCCTCTGACCGGATGGAAGTGGATGCGAGACCGGAAGCCCTCGTCGTATGCAGAGGCATTGTCAGTTACAAGCTTCTCAACCCGGCGTTCAAGGACAGGGAATGAGCCAATATGAACATCAACATTGCCTTGAACAAGAAGCTCATGAGTAATGGCGAGTATGATGTTTGTTTGACCATGTTCGCTGTTTGCCAGGAAGAGTACCCGGGTTCTCTCGTCTGCCATAGTTGACAAGAAAGATCTCTCTCGGTGCAAGGGACGAATTTGAATCACAAGAGAATCAAACCACTTGTCCCACGATGGGCTTATATAACTGAAATGTCACCACCAGATAGGGGGCGAGGATGTGAGTGGAAAAAGTGGGGGGGTCCAATTGGTGGAATGGACCCAGAAAGATCTATCACGAAGAATGGAAATTGGTGAAACATTCGGATTCGGACATTGACCGTGCTTGAACAACGAACGGCCTGACATCCTGGCGTTGAGGCCCTTATATGGTTCTGAAACTGTGACAAGTCGGGGTCTACACTCTCTACAGTGTTTCTGGTAGATGAAGCGGATGCGACTACCGCGGGGGCAGACAAACTTTGGGGGCCCGAGATCCTCAAAATTGCGGCAGATCCACCATTAACCCTGACCCGGGATTCGATCCGTCCTCGGGAATTCAAACGCTGGCCCAATCATGATCGTCAAAGATCATGTATACAGTTTGGTCTGATCTGATTAACTGGTCCAAAATCAGGCCGAGGAAACCTGTGCAACGGCAACATGGACTGAGACTGGTAGATGCATCTAGCCGGATGAGATCAGGAGAGTAAATTCTTTTCTCACCAGCGGGACTGCTAATTCAAGCGGGATTCAACTGGAAGCCCTGGCGTGACCATGGCCCATGCATGATAAATAGATCTGACCATAGCACGTCTGGGGCAAAGCTGTAGTGGTCAACTACTTTCGTTCTTGCAATTGCACTCGTTCTTGCAATCACTCTCGTTAAAATGATTTTCCTAGCCATGGCCGTGCCCTCAGGGCAGTTCGAAATCAACCCTTCGGGAATCATCTCGCTCCCAATCCTCGCCATCGTGTTGGTATGTTGGAATCATACAAGCTTCCTGACGGGTATGACTGACACACCCTCAGATCCCTTGGCTTTTCATTCTTTTCATCCAATTGCTTCCTAAGGGACCAATCATTAAGGGGGTCCCAGGCTCGTTCCTGGACTTGTTCCTCTGCGGTGTACGTTTCTTCTCCGTTGCATGGGCAGCAAAATGACCGTCTAACCACGCTGCACCTGCAGTCTGCCACCAAGTTCGCCTTTCTGTCCGGTCGGAGTGCCCACTACTTTCACTCGTTGCACGAATCATATGGTACCCCTCCCCTGTTAGCATGCGCAGCTTCTGTGCAGCTGACTGACATGACTCAGGCAAGATCGTACGGTTTGCTCCGGGCCAGGCGACTACAAATACCATCAGAGGCCTGCGCAACATTTATGGTGCTGGCTCGGGAAAAGGTACCGCCTTCCTTAAGACCGGTTTCTACAAGGGTATCTCGAGACGGAATATCTTCACTGCGAGTGACCCTGTCTACCATGCTTCTGTACGGAAGCTGTTCGCTCCTTCTCTTAGCCCCGGCAGCATGCAGGCCCATGCAGGTGTCATCAGAGAGCGAATCTTGCATTTGCACGCCACGATGAAGGAGAAAATGGAAAAGACAGACACACTCTCCTTGAACCAGCTGCTCTACTGCCACTCCGTCGACACTGTGTCCGAAGTGCTGCTTGGCAAGCCTTTGGGTTGTCTGAAGCGCGGAAAGCCCTACTTCTGGACCGAGCAATTGCCTCGTATCTTCTACTGGAGCACCATCCGTGATCAGTTCAAGGGGTCAGGAGTCCCCACCATGATCAAGTGGATGCTTCGCCATTTGATTCGCAAGGGTGTTCGCCAGTCTGCAGAACAGGCAAGAATGAGACTGATCAATGAGTGAGTACCCAGCCGCTCGTGGTTGGTTTCATGGCTAATATGCAAACAGACAGCTTGGCGCGTCTCATACCCGTCGGGACGTCATGGTCGAGGTAATGGAGCGGGCAGGCACAGGTGACCTGCCTGTTCCTGAGATTGCCGAGAATTTCTCCGCGATCATGCTGGCTGGATTTCATACCACACAGAATGCTCTCTGTGCAACCATCTATTTCGTTCTGACCCATCCTGAGGTGCATGCCAAATTGAACCAGGAGCTGCGCTCGGTCTTCACGTCGGCGGAGGATGTTTCAGGGCACGTTGCACAAGACCTACCATATCTGAACGCTGTCATCACAGAATCGCTCCGTTTGTATCCTCCTGTTCCAGTTGGAGGCCCGCGTGTTTCACCCGGAGCCTATGTGGATGGGACTTATATCCCGGCCGGAGTAAGTCTATCTGACATGTTCCCTGCTTCGCCTGCCCCGGCTAACCATGCATGACCGTTTCAGACTGAGATCTGCACTTCGATCTTCGCCTTGCACCACAACCCCGAGTATTTCAATGAGCCCTATGAGTTTATTCCTGAACGATGGACAGAGCCAGATTGCACAGACAAGAAGGAGGCTGTCCAACCTTTCTTGGTGGGCAGCCGGTCCTGCGTCGCCAAGTATTTTGCCAAACAGATGATGCAGCTGACCCTCGCTGCATTTTTCCTGGACTTTAATGCGGAATATGTCGGCCCTGTGAAAGACTGGCAACGCGAGAGTCGCTGCTATGCTTTCTGGGAACTTCCCGACTTGAAGCTGAAGCTTCGAAAGCGTGAGATTGATTAACTTGCGGATCGGTCGGTCGAGATTCTAAATTCGGAGAGGCTGGTTCTTTCTCGGATTTGATTTCTTTCTCTCCACCACCCATTCATCCCTGTTCGTGCTCGGCTTCTTTTTCGTTTTGCTTTTCATTTATTTTCTATCTGTCGTTGTATCATGGTGGCACCCAAGTTGCTTTTGGGTTTGACGAGTTGAGCCAGTGCTTCAGGTTTGGAGTGGGTCGATGCTATACCCCGGATAAGGTTTAGGCGTGAAACGAAATAGTTTGGAGTAGACAAATGAGAGCGACAAATCTCGAAAAACAAACGGAATTGAGTTTAGACCATCGGAGATTGCGTTGGATTGATTGAGTTTTGTACTCCGTGAACGTTGGTGGACGGCCCAGTTTTTGAGGCCGTCGCCAATACGAACCCCGGTTTCAGCTTTCAACCATCCATGAATTTCAAACTCAGCCCGGACCAGCTTGAGAACCCTCAGCGGTCTCGAGATCAGGCTGTAATATCTGATCTGTCGATCTGGTTCGGAACGCCGTTGCGTTTCAGCCGCAGGCCCGCAAGGCTGCTTGACTCATCTATCTGCCAGCCCTAATAATTGGGTCTTCTTTCGTCCCTGATCGTCTGTCTCTTCCCACCCACGTGAAACACCGGTTCACTATCACTGACACCGACGCCCATATTTGGTCCATCTTCAACTCGACCTATCGACAATTTAATGAGATAAACCAGTCCAGCTGAGCGCAAAATGAGTGATGTAGGCAAGATCAACCCACTTTCCCGTGGTACGAAGAGCCAACGTAGTTGGCCCTCGGTTTCGATTATAGGGGTCCTGTCACGACCCCGGTGTCATTCATGTGATGGGCTGTTTCAACTCAGTTCCCAGACTCCTTCACTGCTTTTCCACTGACATTCGACTATCTGTCTTGGCCCAGCCAAGTCACCGTATCGACCCAAGTCGCTTTGCTCATCCATTGCGAGCGTGAGATGCTGCTCCTGGGCGGCCTGGGGAGAAGGACAGACTAAGAAAGAGCACCTGCACGATGAAGTGGAAAGAGGAAGACATATGCTTGGAGTCATTACCCCCGGTGAGTCTATCCCTTGCTGTCTTGCTCAAGTTACCGACTGACCACGGTCGCGATCAGACTCCTGCTACAGACAGCACCGTCATCTCCCTGTCGGAGGTCGAGAAGAACATCCTCGAGCAACAGATTCATGTCCCCGTATCCAAGCCCGGATTCTTTGGCATCTATCGCTATGCTAGTCGTTGGGATCTTGTCTTCCTGCTGGGAAGCTCAATCGCGTCGATAATTGGTGGTGCTGCTTTGCCATTGTTCACTGTCAGTTGCTCATCTCCGTCATTCTTCCCATTCATGAAGACTAATTTTCTCCTTCGACTCTAGGTCCTCTTTGGTAGTCTCACTTCGACATTTCAAGACATTGCTGCAGGGCGCATCACGTACGACCGTTTTCATCACGAGCTCAACAAGTACGTGGTATACTTCATCTACCTTGCCGCCGCCGAGTTCATCACCATCTACATCGCCACGGTCGGCTTCATCTACACGGGCGACCATGTGGTCCAGCGTATTCGCGTAGAGTACCTGCGCGCGATTCTGCGCCAGAACATCGCCTTCTTCGACAGTCTAGGCGCTGGCGAGATCACCACGAGGATTACGGCGGACACTAACTTGATCCAAGACGGCATCTCCGAGAAGGTCGGGTTGGCCTTGACGGGGCTGTCGACGTTCATCACAGCTTTCATCATTGCTTATATCAAGTACTGGAAGTTAGCGTTAATTTGCAGCGCCACCTTGATCGCATTGCTTCTGATCATGAGCGGCGGATCAATCTTCATCATGGTCTACAGCAAGCGCGCGCTGGAATGCCAGGGCCGCTCCGGCAGCTTCGCGGAGGACATTCTGGACTCGGTCCGCACGGTCGTCGCCTTCGATGCTCAGAACGTGCTCGCGGCCAAGTACGAGGAGCAGCTGAAGGAGTCGGAGGCACCCGCCCGGAAGTCGCAAATCACGTTCGCGATCATGGTCGGAGCCATGCTGGGCGTCATGTACCTGAATTATGGTATGGGCTTCTGGATGGGATCGCGCTTTATTGTGGATGCAAACGAGCATGTCAAGGTCGGCGATGTCCTGACGATCCTTATGTCGATCATGCTGGGGTCGTACAATCTGGGCAATGTTGCCCCCAATGCTCAGGCGCTGTCGAATGCAGTGGCGGCTGCAAGCAAGCTCTACAGCACGATCGACCGTGCGTCTCCGTTGGATGCCTCTTCCGAGAGCGGAAAGGTCCTTGGTCATGTCAAGGGCAACATTGTACTCCAGAATGTTCGGCACGTCTATCCATCGCGACCGGAGGTCATCGTCACGAATGACCTCAGTGTCTATATTCCAGCATCAAAAACCACGGCGTTTGTGGGGCCGTCCGGGTCCGGCAAGAGTACGGTCATCGGTCTGCTGGAGCGGTTCTACAACCCCGTAGCCGGTCATATCTCACTCGACGGACACGATCTCTGCACTCTAAACCTCAGATGGGTACGGCAGCAGATCTCCTTAGTCTCGCAAGAACCTCGGCTCTTCGCGACCACGATTTTCGAGAATATTCGCTTCGGGCTGATTGGGTCCGAGTACGAAAATGAGCCCGAGGCGAGTATCACTAAGCGCATTCACGATGCTGCAAAAATGGCCAACGCGCATGACTTCATCATGGCCTTACCGAAAAAGTACGACACGAACATCGGTGGGTTCTCGCTGTCCGGAGGACAGAAGCAGCGAATTGCGATCGCTAGGGCCGTGGTGAGCGACCCGAAGATCTTGTTACTTGACGAGGCGACCTCGGCGCTGGACGCCAAGTCGGAAGAAATTGTTCAGGCGGCGTTAGACAACGCCTCGAAGGGGCGGACGACCATTGCCATTGCCCACCGATTGTCTACCATCAAGGAGGCGCATAACATTGTTGTCCTTGTCCATGGCCACATTGTGGAGCAAGGGTCGCATATGGAGCTGATGGGCCGTGAGGGTGTGTACTATGATATGGTGCAGGCGCAGCAAATCAAGCAGAAGGAGGCCGCCAAGCGGCATGAGTCGATGACTTTCTTCCTCGATGAGGACTATATCGGAGGTGGATACCCCATGGATGATGAAGACGACTTCAGTGATGATGCCTCGGATATTGTGCTGAAAACAGGCGCCAAGCAGAGACGCAGAACCAGGATGTCCATGTTCATCCCGCCTTTACCTTCCAAGCATAAGGAGAACCTGTCGCTATGGGCGTTGTTCAAATTCCTTGCCTCCTTCAACCGGCCGGAGTGGCCGATCATGATCCTGGGTCTCTGCGCATCAACTCTGGCTGGGGGCATTCAGCCGTCCCAGGCTGTGTTGTTTGCAAAGGCAGTCAATACTTTGAGCTTACCACCATTTGAATACCACAAGCTGCGTCACGACGCTAATTTCTGGTGCTTGATGTTTCTCATGATGGGCTTGGTGACATTGGTAATCTATGCCACCCAGGGCACGTTGTTCGCCTATAGCTCCGAGAAACTGATCTATCGAGCCCGAAGCCAGGCGTTTCGGGTTATGCTGAACAAGGAAATTTCTTTCTTTGACAAGGAGGAGAACACCACCGGTGCCTTGACATCCACATTGGGTGCTGAAACTAAACAGCTCGCCGGAATTAGTGGCGTCACTCTCGGAACCCTTCTTATTGTCTCTGTCAATCTTTCAGCCTCCCTTGTTGTGGCTCTGGTCATGGGCTGGAAGTTGGCTTTGGTATGCATTTCAGCGGTGCCGGTCCTTCTGATGTGCGGCTTTCTGCGCGTGTGGATGTTGGACCGATTCCAGCGCCGAGCGAAAGCGGCGTATCAACAATCTGCCAGTTCGGCCTGCGAGGCCGCCTCTGCAATCCGGACTGTGGCTTCTCTGACGATGGAGAAACAAGTCGTTACTTCTTACGAGACCCAAGTGCAGGCTCAGCTCAAGCAGGACATCCTCCCTATCTTCAAATCATCCGCCCTCTATGCCAGCTCCCAAGCACTGCCGTTCCTGTGCATGGCCCTAGGCTTTTGGTACGGCGGAACCCTCCTTGGACACGGGGAGTACACGCTATTCCAGTTTTATGTTTGTTTCAGCGAAGTCATCTTCGGCGCGCAGGCAGCAGGGACCATATTTTCCAACGCACCCGATATGGGTAAAGCAAAGCACGCGGCCGCGGAGTTCAAGAAATTGTTCAGCACTCGGTCAAACAACAAGCACGCCGACAGTAAAGCCATCCATGTATCGTCCATGCAAGGCTCGGTGGAGTTTCGAGACGTGTCTTTCCGGTACCCTACCCGGCTGGAGCAGCCTGTTTTACGGCATGTCAACCTCACAGTCAAACCAGGACAGAATATCGCGTTGGTTGGGTCCAGTGGCAGCGGGAAAAGCACGATTATTGCCCTGCTGGAACGATTTTATGACCCAGTCTTGGGCGAAGTGTACGTTGACGGGCGGGATATTGCGACGCTCGACAAGAAGTCCTACCGTGATCACCTGGCATTGGTCAGCCAAGAGCCGGCTTTATTCCAGGGAACGATTCGCGAGAATATTCTGTTGGGATGCACACATAAAGAAGCGGTTGCGGAGGACACTCTGATCCAGGCGTGCAGAGATGCAAACATCTATGACTTCATCATGTCGCTACCGTAAGTGTTCCATTGTTCTTCCCTTCAGGCCTGCTCCTATCTCGTTCGTTCGTATGGAAGAGTAAATTTGCTAACTCCTCCCAGACAAGGTTTCAACACGCTCGTCGGCAGCAAAGGCGGCATGTTATCTGGTGGTCAGAAGCAGCGAATCGCCATTGCTCGGGCGCTGATTCGCAACCCGCGTATTTTGCTGCTGGATGAAGCCACATCAGCATTGGATTCGGAGTCGGAAAAGGTTGTCCAGGCCGCTTTGGATTCGGCGGCAAAGGGCCGGACGACGATCGCGGTTGCTCACCGGTTGAGCACGATTCAACGAGCGGACATGATCTATTTCTTGGAGCAAGGAGAAGTGGTCGAATGGGGCACGCACAAGGAGCTGCTGCGTCGGAGGGGCAGATACTATGAAATGGTTAACTTGCAGAATCTGGCCTGATTGTGTGACTTGTACAATAATAGGGCAAGCACTTGATCTCATTCACTGTATATATACTCTATCATTTTTCCCGGATCGCCTGGTTAAGAATAATGAAGCCGATAAGCGATAAGATAAGAGTTATAAGACATTATCTACTCCGAGCTCGGGGCGGGACCCTCCAGGCTGCATCTAAAACAGGAATAGTGCGGGGTATGGCTTACCTCATCATCTGGAGATGGTTTCAATCTTTTTCTTTTGGGAGACTGGAAAGTATTGCCCGCCAGTAAGTCCTCCCTGCGATTGTCCGATTCAAGCCAATCTCGTCGCAATGTCTCTCCCCGCATACAAGACTTCCTTCTTGGAGTCATCCATCTCCGCCAAGGTCTTGACCTTTGGCACCTTCACCCTCAAGTCGGGCCGCCGTACGTTCCCCTCCCCGAGCTACAACCACCAGAAACTCCTACTAATCGAGAATTCAACAGAGTCCCCCTACTTCTTCAACGCGGGCACCTTCCACACGGCCTCTCTTCTTTCCGCCCTCTCTACCGCTTACGCTCACACTATTATCTCCTTCCTCGCCGAAAACCCCTCCATCCCTAAGCCCGATGTGATCTTCGGGTGAGTGTTGAAAGGCTCCCATCCCTGCCCAAGAAACACACTCCCCCCAGCTCCTATAATGCCTTCCTTCTTCGATCCTGATCTCTAATACGATGGAAACAACCCAAATAGCCCTGCATACAAAGGTATCCCGCTCGCCTGCGCGACTCTCCTCGAACTCCACCGCCTCCAGCCCGAAGCCTGGTCCGAGGTGTCGTACAGCTACAACCGTAAGGAGAAGAAGGACCACGGCGAGGGCGGCAACATCGTGGGTGCCGGGCTGAAGGACAAGAATGTGTTGGTGATCGACGACGTGATCACGGCCGGCACGGCGATGCGCGAGACGCTGGACCTGGTCGCCAAGGAAGGCGGCAAGGTCGTCGGGTTCGCCGTCGCGCTGGACCGGTTGGAGAAGATGCCCGGCCCCAAGGACGCCAACGGCGTGGAGGATGATGCGCCGCGCATGAGCGCCATGGGCCAGATCCGGAAGGAATACGGCGTGCCCACGACGAGTATTGTCACGCTGGACGATTTGATCCGCTTGATGCAGGAGAAGGGGGCTGGCGAGGATATGCGCCGGCTGGAGGAGTACCGGGCTAAGTATCGGGCTAGCGATTAGACTGGATTGATTGGGCGAGAGGGAGAAAAAAAAAGTTTGGGTCGTGAGGGATATACTGGTTGGGGGAGGATGGAGCTTTTGTCTATCAGTGGGCTATAGGTTAGGCATAACGTCAAGTTTCACTGAAATTTTTCCTCTATGATATTGGGATTGACGGGTCTGGCTGGCTCCATTGATCGGTTGAATGTTAACCGCTCGACCGAAAGGAAACAGCTTCCTTTTGCATGGTTCTTATGAGGCCTTTTGGTTGACGCTTGTTTCATGAGAATATGTCGGGTTTCCAATACTTCGGTGATTTCTCGATCTTTGGCGCCGGTATGCCTTTATCATTGCTCGGGCTGTTCGGGACGGTCTCGGCACCGAGCTATGGCCGAGTTTGCGCCCTTATCTTTTCGTCGTTGATTCCAGACTCCCATCGACATCACTACCTACTTCTTGAAGAATGTATCACAACGTATCGCGCAACTGTGGACTCTTGTCTTTCGTCATAACCTCTTAGTCACGGCTGAGCTAGTTGCAGGTTGCAGGAGCAGAGTTTTCATCATCACAAATCTTGCATCCTATACGAGCTTGGATGACAACACATCTCCGAGATGTGAAGTCGTACCATTATGAAGGACACACTGAGAGACTTGCATACAACCACCACCGGCTACCTCTTCACCAGAAGCTTTGTCTCCAAAGTCACTTGAAATGCCGTTCATGAGATTGACTGATTGCACAAAACATCATACGGGCCACGCGGCTGGTACCATCTGACCTGAGTAAATCTCGGCTTCGAGCTCAGGGTCAATCTGATGCAAGATGCACCCGGTGCCACGAAACAGGGACAATCTAAGGCCGAACCGGGTCTAAGTCACCGAGATGGCGTGTGTTGGCTTCAGGAACCGGGCAGAGTGTCTGACGGTTCAAGCTCGGTGCATCTCGGCGATGGATCGGCGACGCGTCGGCGTCGCTGCATGCCTGAACTATACAAATCGACCTCACCAGCCAGGCAAAGATATAAATCAACGCGTTCCCTGGACATTATGCTTTCCTTTCTTTTACAGTAATACACAGACAGAAACCGTGAGGTCACGATCCTTCGAAAGTGAAATCGGCTTTTTCCATCATCATGGCATCACATAATCCTGAGCCCCAACGGGCCATGAGCAATGCATCAGAACAACCACATCTCCTACGCACAGAAACCCGAGAGTCCTTGAGGAGCCGCGGAATCTCTCCAAGTTCTCCGCCCCTCGACTACAACTATCCAGATGTCGGTCGTCCCGCCGATCCTGTCTTTCCCGAGGAATACACCATCGAAACTAGCACGGGTCTCGTCCCCCAACGCACCCTCGAACAGATTCGGTCACGACAAGGTCAACAACCTTCGTCTAGCTCCTCCTCGGACATCGAAAAAGCGGATGATCAGCCTACTGAATTCGTCACCTTTACCATCAATGACCCTGAGAACCCCTACAACTGGTCCCGTGCATATCGGTGGTACGTCACCATGATCGCTTCCCTGCTCGTTGTCTGCGTCGCCTATGGCTCTGCGATTGTGACCGGTGGTCTGGGTCTCATTGAAGACAAGTACCACGTCTCTCTCGAAGTGGCCACTCTCACCTGCAGTATCATGGTCTGTGGCTTCGCTGTCGGACCCCTTCTGTGGTCGCCACTATCGGAGATTATTGGTCGTCGGCCGATTTATATCATCTCCCTAGTGTTGTACACTATCTTCAACATCCCTTGCGCCCTTTCCCCAAACATTGGTGGCCTTCTGGCTTGTCGCTTTCTATGCGGTGTCTTCTCTAGCTCGGGCCTCTCTCTCGCCGGTGGTACTATCGCCGACATTTGGTCGATCGAAGAACGGGGCATGGCGATCGCTTTCTTCGCTGCGGCCCCATACTGCGGCCCCGTGATCGGACCCATCGTCTGCGGCTGGATCACGGTGGGCTCAGGCCGACTGGATCTCTTCTTCTGGACCAATCTTGCCTTCGCGGGTGCGGTCACCATTCTTGTCGGTCTCATCCCTGAAACCTACGCACCCGTCATTCTCAAACGGCGCGCGGCGCGCCTCCGGTCCGAGACCGGAAACCCACACATCATCACCGAGCAGGAGCAACACAAGCCCACACTGAAGGAGATTATCCGTACCTCATTGATTCGACCCATCACCATGATCCTCACCGAGCCCGTTCTCGACTTGATGTGCATGTACATTGTGCTCATCTACTCCATGCTGTACGCCTTCTTCTTCGCTTACCCGGTCATCTTCGGCAAGCTGTACGGCTACAACGACGGCCAGATTGGGCTAATGTTTATCCCTATTCTCATCGGAGCCGGCTTTTCCCTTGTTTTCACGCCGCTTGTGGAAAAGCACTTCCATCGCATCTGCAGCCGCCGCCCGCCCACACCCGAGGACCGCCTCATCGGAGCCCTGATTGGTGCACCCTTTGTCCCCATCGCACTCTTCATACTTGGTGGGACTTCCTATAAGGGAATTATCTGGGTCGGACCCGCCTCCTCGGGGATTGCATTCGGTTTTGGAATGGTATTGTGTTATTATGCGGTGAACAACTATATCATCGACAGCTACCAGAAGTATGCGGCATCCGCGTTAGCAGCGAAGGTCTTCCTGCGGTCTGGAGGCGGTGCAGCGTTCCCATTGTTCATCACGCAAATGTACGATCGCTTGGGACTGCAGTGGGCGTCGTGGTTGTTGGCGTTTTTGGGGGTGGGGATGGTGTTTATCCCTTATGTGTTCTATTGGTTTGGGGGGAGGTTGAGGGCCAAGCTCAACAAGGAGTAGACTGGAAGAAGAAAATTTGAGGAATATCTGGAGTGGGCATAGAGCTCAAACTGTGGCTTGGAGAGAATTATTATACAGCGTAATATTAATGGTAGTCATGATAGAATCTATAGAGTTCAAATAACATGTCCTTATTGGTTCGGAACGTCATTTTGCTGATTACCTAATTGCCTAGTTAGTATTTGTGGGGATCAACAGAAACACACCAGGAGACGATCTCATTGCACGATTCAGATTCTCGCAAATTGCATGAATCCTACCATGTAGAGAGGCGAATTCACCGCTGCTTCTCAGGAGCCTGTCCTGTGACTGCCATCATGGCTTACAACTTTCCCCTCCGGTCGCAGACCTTCGCCTCGATCGACGTCATCCGGGAATGGGAAAGCCAGAACGCATTGCACCCAGACGATCCGATGTATAGGATGGACAACGTCTCCTGGGACGACCCAGTGACATTCTTCCAATCGATGCATCAGGCTCGACCCGACATGCCCATGCCCAAAGCATTTCCCAAAGCAGCTGAGGTGCGCAGGGAAGCTCTTAACCGAAACTTCTGCTTATCTTTCTCAATGCCAGAGGGCGAAATTATTCTCATGCGTTCATGGCGGTAGATTGTGCCTCGATTCGGTTCGGCGAGACGTCGGGGAACATCGTCCCCATTTTTCTGAATGAACATACGGTGGCGTTCACGGGTCGCACTACGCCGGAAACCTATGGGGAACTTTTGCACTGGGATGATTTGCCGCCTGCTTTCGACTGGATGCATACTCAGCGCGAGGTTCATCCCGGTCTGGGTCTCGTGGGTCTGGAGATTCAGGAAAAGCTCTACAGTTTCCTGGTGAAATGCTGCATGCAATTGTTGTGCGAGTACACCTGCAAAGACTTGCTCAAGGACGACCTGCCGGTTCAACCGGAGCCGCTAGCTATGTCGACCGGGGGGGCCGGCCTCAATCTTCTCGCGGTCGTGGCGGCCGAAGCTCTGTTTCGTCTACCCGCCAACCTAGACCTCAGCCGTCTTCGAAGCATCATTACGGCGAAGCGCACCCGCCGCCGACGATCATATTTGAGCCTTGCGCGAGGACCCAGGCTATTTTGCGGAGGCGCTGCAGGATCGCATGGAGCACCGCCTTGAGAAGTTGCTTGATGTCCGCGGGCAGGCCCATCCGGAGCTCAAGGCACCGGCCACTAAAATGTGGGATAGGGTCATCGGCGATGTTATCTCGGAAGCCTACCTCCATTTCGGCGTGTGGCTGAGATCCAGCGGCAGCTTGAGAGTATGGAAAGCTGATGAAAAAGCACGGTCAATTGCTGCACGCTGAGGACGACCTGCCACCGGACCTGGAATGGACATTCGTCAAACTGCACTGATCCTGAAGATGATGGTCCGAGCCCCCATCCTCAACATCGGGATTGCCGGCCTCACCGCCTGTGCGCCAGTTCTTCTACTGTGATACGCCGCAGCATCGCCAGGACAGCGTGTTCACGCGGTCGAAACTGGAATGGGTGGCTGATAAGCGCCGGGCCCGGCTCTCGTGGATTTACGACACCCTCTGCCACGAGAACACCCGGTTCTTGGCTGGACTGCCCACGCTGATGGACGAGATGAAACGGCTCATTCAGAATGAGAAACACGTCAAAGAGCTTCTCTCTCCGTGAATTATGGACACGGTCTCGGATCTGTCGGTCATGACCCTGTGCCTGGCCCAGCTCTCGCTTTTCCAGCCCTGGGCCGCGCAGTTCGAGACGATCATCGCCGAGAAGGAGGACAACCTCCGCGACGACTACACCAAGAACATCGACCAATGGTCCATGTTCATCGAACCACTCGCAAAAGCCAAATCCTCCGCCCTAGGCAGTCCTATTGACAACCGATTTCACTATCCAGTCGACAAGCGCCGCACCCGCGACACCACGGCGGCGATACAGAGCGCAGAGGCCGCACTCGATCGGTTCTGGCGCTCCGTTGACTCGATCTTTATCACCAAGGACGGCCTCTCGCAGCACGGAAGCACCCGCCACCTCTTAACGCAGAACCGCAGTCTCCGCCGCACTCCAGACTGGGTGGAACCAGCCGCGAAGGATGTCGAATTCGAGTCCGACCCCTCCCTTGAGGGGCCCGCCCTCCCTCTGTCTCAGCTATACTACGAGCTCGAACGTCGCACTCAACGCACCGTTCAGCCGCAGAGCCCACCACCCTCCCCGTCCGCACCAAGGTCAAGACTTGCGGGGCGGCAGCAACTCCTTCATCCCCTGCCACCACCTCCACCACCGCCACGCTCACACCATCTGAGCTTGAGGACCAGCAACCCACCTTCACCGTCGACAAGCGCGCCTACAAAGTCTTCAACACACTCTTCTACATTCCCTCGCGCAAGTCGCAACCGGGCGAGATCCCCTGGACGGATTTCCTGCACGCGATGAGCGCGACAGGGTTCGAGGTGGAGAAGCTATTTGGGTCGATTTGGCAATTTACGCCGACGCGGTTGGATGTGGAGCGGAGTATCCAGTTCCCTGAGCCGCATCCGAGTGGGAAGATTCCGTTCCGGACGGCCAGGCGGCATGCACGGCGGCTGTTCAGGGCGTATGGGTGGCATGCGGGGATGCTCAAGTTGGATGTTTAGGGTTGTCTAGCTAGGTGTTGGATGGATTTCTCGAAGTTGGACAGTACGGGTGGAGAGGTGTTCACGATGAGCTGATTGGTGGGTGAATGTCATGAGTAAATCTTGGTGATTCTTTATGAACAGCGCATATAATGACCTGAATTTTGTGAATGAATTCGATGGCTATTTTTAATAGGATGAATGGAGAAAGACTCAGGAGTGGAGAGAGTGGAGACAAGTGTCTGGAATAGGCATGAACGAGAATGAGTCATGCTGGCTCATATGGAGTGCACCCGGAATCTCCGTCTGGGCGGGTATGTTTTAGATGGCTTGAGAGCGTGCATCATCTGTGCTCATCGCGCATAATCAGATGTCACTTCGACTCATGATGATAGCTGTCATAAAATAGGTAAGATGAATATAAGATTGATATAGATGAGCCATGGTAGAGTAGATTATACTCGATTAAGACCAAATAGTCAATTATTTTGTGATATAATGATACGTCGGCAAGTAAGTGTGTATTGATTCTCAGTCCAATACTAGCACCATGAAGACACCTCCCTACAGCTGACTTGCTTCGCATTACTGAGGCACTTGGAGAGAACAAAATAGGAAGACCTCTCCAAGGTTCCAGGGCCGACATCATCTGATCGATTGCTTTTGTTTATTTGCTTACTGTGTCGTGAGGTTGAAGGGATACAGCTAACAAAGAGATGTAGGGACTTCCCCCACGCTCGATAGTCTATAGCCTATGCAGACATAGATGATACGGCTGGAAGTATACAAGATAACACCTCACATGTAGATAGAACCGGTCTTTACAACACACCCAGCTAAAATAAGTCCGACGGGCGTTGCCCCACCGGGCGTCCCACCCACACTTCCCAAACAGGAACCCGCCCTTTTTGGTTCCTGATGCCCCAGGCACCGAGTCTAGATATAAAGTCGTCCCCTCATCCCCAACTTCCTTTCTTCTCCTCCTCACCAACCATCGCTTCGGCGAAAGCTACGCTCTTTTCTCTTCTCTCTCCTCCGGTCCATCCGGGTCCCCGACCCGGGTCCTAAGTATACAAGAATGGCAGTCGCAGCAACCACCGCTACGCACGCCGTCAGGCAGCAGACCCCCGCCATCTACCTGGCCGGGCAAGCCCCAGTTATCGACATTTAATCATTACTCCCCGCATCAACACCAACATCAACACCGATACCCCGACCTCTACAACCCCGACCTCAACCCATATCTTGACCTCTCACTCCCCACTTCAACGGCCTGTCCTCCCGTTGACTTCGACCTCGACCCTTCTTTCTATTCCGACCTCCCTGACCCACTCACCTACCACCAAAACCACTACTACCCGGACCTCACCACCACGACCACCTCTACAAATCCCTTTGACTTCGACCCCAACAACACCCTAGGCCTCTTCCCTGACCTAGTTTCCGACTCCACAACCCTGAACTCTCTGCTCAGTTCCCCGGACGAACTGAGCGACTCCTACCTCTTCGAATCGCCAAGCGTGCCGTCTCTACCCGGTACATACTCTCCCTTTCTTTCACACTCCCTATAATCGCTAATCACTAATGACAACTAGACCCCCAAGTCAAAACCCCACCCTCACTGCCAGAATCCTCGCAGATGCCCGCCGTGACGACAACGGACACTCACACGACGAACCCCGCATTCACCGTCTCCATCTCCCGGGTGGCAACGCCCAAGGAGCCGCCGAACAAGGTCAGCAAGCGGCAGCTGAACACGCTTGCGGCGAGGCGGTACCGGCAGCGGAAGCTGGATCGGGTCAACGAGCTGGAGGCGGAGCTGGAGGCGATCAAGCGGGAGCGGGACGAATTGCGGATGCGCGTGTCGAAGCTAGAGGGGGAGACGGAGGCGTTGCGGGGCTTGGTGAAGGGGCAGGGTGATAAAGCTTAGTCTGAGTAGTAAAGATTCATCAAGTATTCCAGCTAAATCCAGTCACCCTCCCCGTCTCCTTCCAGTAGCAACATCTCCTTGTCTACCCCTTCCTCCACAATCAACCTCCAACCCGCCGTCTTGCCCACCCCGGCCAACCGAACCCGAATCCTTCCAATTCCCTTCCCACACCAGGCCCTTTCGGCTGCTCGCTCCGCAATGCCCCGCCCTCCATTCGATGCTCCGGCCACCACCATCTTCATCTCCAAATAGTCAAACCGCGGCAACCCCACCCACAGACGCGTGCGGACCATCTCCGCCGCCACAACCAGAAGCAGCACCATCGACACCACAAACACACACACAATGTACGGGCGGGATCCGACCCGAAACGCCTCGACCGTGACCATTGCCTGGGTCTCTTGCGTGAAGCCGCCGACCATCAACTGCGCCGATGCATATCCCGCCAGGATATCGTCGATGAGGGAGATGTACACATTCCTGATCCCCGCGAGCGCAATCGCCTCCTCCGATGCATTCTTCGCAGCCGCTTCCCCGATACTGATGGCGTCCACACTCGCCGTGGTGTTAGCCGTGATGTTCGCCACCGAAGTCCGATAATCAGCAATACTGGTATTGAAGGCATCGCCCAGCGTCGAGCGATAGAAGCTGGTCAGATCATTGGAGATGAGTTCGAGCTGGCGCATGACGATGTGGATGGTGCGGTTGCTGGGGTCGATGTCCGCGTCGGCTCTTCCCTGTCCAGCATTACCATCGTCAACGTCCGACAACTCGTCGTCGCTCCGCTTCCCCACCCCAACCGTCGCAATCACATTCACATTCTCTCCCTCAAGGTCCTCCCCAAGCGTACCATTATCCGCAGCCCCCGCAACCCCGACCCGAATCTCCTTCCCCGCAACCCGCACATCCACGTCAAACCACACCGGCTCAAAAGCCACAACGCACTGACTTGCATTCAAAGCCAGATAATACCCGCCCGCCGCCGCAGCCACATACCTCGTGCGCGAGTACACGACGGGCTGCGCCGCGACGCCCAACGCCACGATCGTCTGGGTACTGTACCCCGTGTAGACGGAATACTCGCCGGCGCCGCGGTCGCTGGCATTCACGCTGTCAGGCAGCGGACCGCGGGCGGCGTAGAGGGCGTACTGGGCGAGGTCCTGCAGGAAGAAAGCGGAGGAGCGGTTGTAGGCGCAGTGTACGCGGGCGGCGTAGCCCGGCTCGGTGTAGGTGTAGTGCGTGGCGTGCGGGAACGCGGCTCGGAGGACGGTGTCGGTGAGGCCGACGGAGCTGCCGACGCCGAATGACCGGCCCCGGTATGCGTAGCCTGTGTTATCGAGTTTGGCGTGCACGCGCGCCGACCCGTCGACTGTTGAGGCTGTGTTTGCCGAGGAGATCAGCGCGGTCAGCTGGCCCAGCCCCACCGAGTACGTGAAATACCCGCTGTTGGTGCGCGCTGTTGGGCCCGTCCGGTCGATCTGGGACGGGTATTCGGTTATGAAGGTTGTGTTGGTGTAGGAGGGGATGCGTAGCGGGTGGAGGTGGGTTGTTGTTGTGGCTGTAGGCGTGAGTGCGCCGGTCCAGAGCGCGGAGAGCACCGCGGAGAGGTTCGCCAGTAGGAAGGTTACCACCACCAGAACCGGTGGGAGGGTCCAGTTCACCGCTGGCGTTGATAGAGACGCCCAGAAACTCAAGTTCGTTAGTTGCGTGGGGTGCTGCGCGAACCGGATGCGCGTCGCTTGGTTGATTAGCCGGCATATCAGCAGGAGTTGCACGGTGCTGAGCAGCGTGGCCAGTGCCTGCACCCCGGTCTGCACCGAGGTCCGGTACTCGTTGATCAGCCCGTATAGCGAGCCGGCCATGGTCCAGTGGCTCGTGTCGGAGAGGAGGAGCGCCGTGCTGAGCGTGGTCGGAAGGAGGAGTAGGAGGAAGATGAGGTGCTCCGTCCAGAGGACGGGCCGTGAGGTAGAAGACGGCATCTGTGGTTTGCGATGGCTGGATGGATCGGTCAGTTCATCGCTGCTGTGAGGCTATTGTTGTAGGGCTTATATCTCCGTGCCAGCCCTAGCCGCCCGCCGTGGAGCCTCCGGCGAAGGATGTGAGCGGCGCTTAGCATTTGCTTGCGTATTGGCCAATTAGTGGTTGAAACGGCCGGAGAACTTTATCGATGCCACATGGCCCAAGTCTGATCGAATGCCCTTGTTAGACGGGGGTAAACTGCAAGGCCTACGAGCTTGGCTGCGTTGACAGCGGATCATGGGTCTTGGTTGTCAGACTGTGGTGGGTTACTGGCTGACTTGCCGCCAGACTAATAGTAGTTGAGAAAGCAATGGTGACATTGCACTCTGCTTTGAGGACAGACACTTTGCGCTGTGAGACGGAAGAGCCAGAAAACCCCTTCGGGTGTAATATTGCCGAGCCTGCTCTCTCTATAGAGCCCCGAGGTGTTAGAAGTCAATTTACAACACAAGTTCACGAGCTGGATAGTGCTACCATCATCATTTCTGACGATAACCACTAACTTCAGCTATACCTCTAGGACTCTAGCTCGTCTACAGAGCGTATTAATCATCTCCAATACGCTAATCCGTCAGCATCTCACACATTAATCAGCAGAGCTGTGATATATGTCAGCAGAATAAGCAGCCCTAATTAAGTGCATATAAAACACTCAGTGGTAGTAGGTATACAGCATCCATCTCCACATCAGACCAAAATAGAAGTACAATCGATCCCAGTTCAATCACCAAAATCTTCCAAAACTAGCATCACTACCACCAAAACCAAAACCACCACAATGCCGCTTGCCATAACGCTCACCTCCCCACACACCGCAGCTTTAACACACATCCCGCCGCCTCAACTCCGCCCCGGCACCATCCTCGTGCGCCCTAAAGCCGTAGCACTCAACCCGACGGACATCAAAAAGATCTCCAGCGCAGCCTCCCCGCTGCACCTCCCTCTGGGCTGCGATTACGCGGGCACTGTCCTCTCCATCGATCCATCCACCTCCACCACCACCGACCCTCCATTCCAACCAGGCGACCGCGTCTTCGGCTTCATCTCGGGCTGCAACCCAGCGCACCCGTCCGACGGGGCCTTCTCAACGGCAACGCCCGCCATAACCGCCCTCCAACTCCCAATCCCCGACCATCTCTCCTACACCGAAGCCGCAACCCTGGGCATCGCCCTAACAACCATCGGCCAATCGCTCTACCAAACCCTCAACCTTGCTGCCCCCGAAACCCCGCTGTCAACCCCGTCCCCGATCCTCATCTATGGCGGCTCCACAGCAATGGGCACCATGGCCATCCAATTCGCCAAACTCTCCGGCTACAAAGTGTTCACCGTGTGCTCGCCGCATAACTTCCCCCTCGTGCGCTCCTACGGCGCAGACGAGGTCTTCGACTACCGGGACCCGGGCGCCGCGATGCGCATCAATGAGTTGACGGGCGATCGATTGGAGCTGGTGATGGATACGGTTGGCGGGACTGCGGCGGTGGAGTTCTGCGGGACTGCGATGTCGAGTTTGGGAGGTGAGTTCGCGACTCTGTTGGAGGATACGGTCGTTCCCAGGGAGAATGTACGGAGTCGCGTGACCGTCGCGTATACGGCTATGGGCGAGGAGGTGGTGCTGGGTGGTCATAGGATTCCGGCCAGAAGAGAGGATTATGAGTTTGCGGTGGGTTGGTTGCGCAGGGTTTGGCCGTTTGTGAGGGATGGCAGGGTTAAATCCCATCCGGTGAAGGTTGGGGCCGGGGGTCTGCGTGGGTTGGTGGAGAAGGGCTTTGAGGAGATGAGGGAGGGGAGGGTTAGTGGGGTGAAGTTGGTTTTTGAGGTTGAGGATCATGAGGATGAGTAGGGGGTGAGGTTTGGGGGTAATTGGGAAATGGGTTGTATAGTTCACCTGGTGTGTTTAGAGGAAGAAAAGGAGAGCCGGAGCTCATAGGTAGTGATACCGCAGAATCAATACACGAAGGCTCGGAAATGTCTACCGGTCCTTTGAATGTAAATGTTGGTAACGGCAATGCAGTCCTGCCAGATTTGTCTTGTTTGCCAGATGCTGGACGTGACAAACGAGTCCAGCTCGTCGTGCTTCTTACGTCAATCCTGGATTTATTCTTCAGCTCAGATTCTACGGTGTACGCGGCTCACACATTCAAATTACCTCTCTTTACTCTCGCTCTTCTGAATTACGCTACTTGTTTCTTTACTTGCGAACCAAATAACTCAGCCACCTGTGTAACCCGCCCTCAAAATGGACTACGGATTCCCCGCCGGACCCTTGATGGGAACCCAGATTGGCAAAGTGATGACCGTCGAAAACACTAACTACACCCTCGTCAACGTGCTCTCCGAGACGCTCAAACAGGAGTTACGCGAGCGGTGGGTCGTCTACGAAGCTACAGCCCCTGGCACCACGCAACGATACGCCCTGAAGGTCCGCTACCAGTGAGTATCATCATATCCCCACGCTTGAGCCAGACCATCGAAGCGTTCCCTCAACTAATAACTCCACGCTCATCAACCAGGACCGACACCGCAGGACCCGACGTGCGCGACCTCGTCACCGAAGAAGTCCTGGCGCGGATCAGCTTCGGGGCAGAATGCCAGGCCCTGGACGACTGCAGCGGCTCCGGATACACGCCGACCTTCCACGGGAGCGCCGAACTGCCCGAGCGCGAGAACCCGGTCAAGCCCGGCGGACATGTCCTGGCGATAGCCATGAGTCTTGCGCCCGGCATCAATGTCGCGAGAATGCCCACCCTCATTGACTCGGATATTGCGATCATTCGGAGCCAGGTGGTTAATGCTCTGGCGTGAGTGTGTCTGCTCAAGCTTTTTTAGATGCAATACACTCTACTAACCATGGGATTTGGGGTTGGAAACAGATACATGCGAAGGAAAGGCTTGAATTTCATCGTCAAGAAGGACAATATCTTCTATCATCCGATTAGCCGTGAGATGTATGTGCTTCTGTCCCCGTCGAGTCGATAGAGACTGTCTTCATGGGCTAATTGGTCTATACGTAGCTGTCTTGTTGGGCTGTCGAGGGCTTGGTGTAATAGGGGCTTGCCTCCGCCATCGAGGGAAGACGTCGTACCTACAACTCATTGCGATGGCGTTGCTTCTGAGTTGCGCCAGAGCCCCGGGTGAGCGGAGCTGCTTCGGCTACTTTTACATGGTGAGAATCGTTCGTGAGTTGAGATAAGGGTAGATAGTGCTCACTTTTCGGGATATTGGCAGTGACGTATCCGATGGGCGAATACCAAACTCTGGAAAGGAAGACCGGAGAAGTGATGGAGCGTGAAAGAAGTATTCGAATACAGATGATTCAAAGAGAGGTTCAAGGCTAGGCACGAATACGATGAGAACAAGATGAAAATTGCTCGGTTAGAAAAGACAATGGGAAGTCGGCTACGCCTCGCTGTGGCTGGGATTTCTGTTGCTTTTATCTAAGTACTTCTATCTGTCATATGTCATCGAAAATGTGACAACAAAGTATTCGACACTACCACCTAGCTTCAAGTGATGGGCGGGTCCAACTACTTATTCCTCCGAACTTCTCCTACTACATCCTGGGATGAACCAATCATATCCTCCAGTCAGCGAATAAGTTTAGATCCCCAGCATTCAACAACACATCGGTGCTTGCGATAAGGATGCGCAATCTTCAATCGCCAGGGCCAGGGTATTGGTATCAGCGCTGCGCATAGCTACAGACTACAACAAATGTCCGTCCAGCCACCAGACAAGATCTAAATCCTGCCGGATAAGCAGGTCTAATCATGCGGCTGCCCGTTACTTCATGCAGGAACTAACATTACAATGGATTGGGGGTCAATGCTCTTTGATCACCACGAAGCCTGCTCCCGTAGTAACGAAGCTAGTGGCCTGTACATACTCGAGAGCTAGAATTGAACATCAGACGAATTACATTAAGAGTATCATAAATCCGCGCGACCACAAGCACAACCTGGTAGTCTGCACCTAGATTCCTGTGTGTCATCGCGGTCGTACAGGTTTTCCGACCCCTGCTCATCTCATTGATTCTAGTTTGGACTGGGAGGGGGGTGGCCGGGGCTGGAGGATCTGGCTGGGGGGTCCTGCATTTCTTTTCCGCTTACTCGCATGTGACTTGCTTTTCGATGAAGTCTTTTCGACGAGCCAATCTTGCAAGTCTGATTGTGGAATCGTAGACACAATAGCTAATTTGAGCTCCCGTTTAGTAGATTCGAGGAGAATCGGACGAGTGCGATCCAATTCGCTCGAGAATTAGATGCGGAGAAAAGACAAGCGTTATTCGCTCCGTTCCATCTGACAAGCCTGGAGATGAGAAGTTGATAGTATTGGTAAAATTAGCTTTAGTCCCTGGCAAGCAAATATCGGGAGATGTCAGATAGGAACAGTCATCAAGCTTCCAATCAAGAAATGTTTGGTTCAAGCAGGGCAGGCAAAGTGCTCGAAAACCCCGGCGTATCCGTATCATCCGGGCCGCTACCGCCGACGACGACGATCCACCGGCATTGAACTAATTATATCCGGCTTTTTTTTTTTCAGGCAACATGATTGTCGTGAGTTCTGTGTCCGAGCAGACTAGACTAGACTAGACTAGACTAGACTCAGGATTATCCATTTATCGAGTGGAGAATACTGAAAAGTATGACGTGGGAAGTGCTTGATTGTCGCATGAGAATGAGGGGAGGAGGCTAGAAAAGCTTCCTTTTCGTGAGGGGCGAGACAGACAGACAGACAAACAGACAGTCAGCCGTCCGCGCGGTAATCAGGACGAGTTAATAGTGCTTATCGGCAAAGCCAGGGTGGGTTAGGCCCAGGCCGATACTGTCGATCCGCGGACGAATTACGTCGGTGCCAGATGGATGGCAGAAACGTTGCCGTTTCAGGCCCCACGATGTTTCAGGTTGAAGGAGATGCCTGAAATACGAAGTACGAATTCAACTGGAACATGAGGCGTGTGGGAGGAGGGGGGACTGTTGGGTTGATTTAATGTCTGGAGTGTGTGTGGTGTGAGCAAATTGGATGATGCATCAGCAAGTCCCTCAGAAAGTAATTCTAGATCGGCGACTGACTGGAATCCGCAACCACAACTTTTACCAGCCAATGATGAAGCCATCTCCGCTTGGTCAAGCTTTCGGCAGGGCGGAGGAAAGAGGGTCGATAAGATGGGAATGATTTTACTAAGCAGTTGAGAAATGAGGAAAAATAATTCAGTCAGTCCAAATGAGTGCAATCGTCCTTTTTATCTCTCCTCCAATTCCCCTGGTCCATCAATCCATCCAAACCCCAGTGAATCCAAGCCAGTCATTAAAGTTGACTCAGGGCATCCCAAGGACTCGATGCGCAGAGGTGGAGACGCCGCCCGACGAAGACTCGCCAATGGCAATGGAAGCCGGGAAGTCAGCCAGCTTGGAACTCAGCCAGCAGGCCGCGTGGGCAACCAAAACCCAGTCTCTCTTTTCATTCATCCTGTTCCAATTCTGATTTATAAATAACAGTGGGCCCCCTCTTCTTCATCCTCCGAATCACTGGTCGTACATTTTTTTTGCTTGCTTGCTTGGTGCGGGCTGTTGACTCGCTGGCTGCTCTTAATTAAATCCTGTACTTTCGCTCGCTACTCTCTCGGTCGGACTCCTTCTTCTTCTTCTTCTTCTCCTCCTCTTTCCCCTCAGTTTTACTTCCACCTTACCACACCACCTCCCAATTCACCATCAACAATCCCGGACTATCCCGCGCTCACAATCGAATCCTCTCGAAAATATCGGAATCAAGATCGAGCATGCAATAAAGAGGATATCCGCCCACTCCCGCCCACTAGTCCAATCCGAGTCTACTCTCCCACACTACGCATCGTACTCGGACCACCAACCTCCCCGATCACAATCGAGCCACTGCATCGACTATATACCCACTACAAGCAACAACAATACCGGCACAGACCCGATCGCACGATCGCATCACCACCACACCTAACTTTCATATCACTACCTCCCAACCAACAACCCCCCCACAGAACAATAAATCAAAATGGGCACCCTCAGCACCTCAGCAATCATCGTCATCGTGATTGTCGCCTGCTTGGCCCTCGTCTCCTTGGGCGCCGCCCTCTTCAAAACCTACGGCGTCGGACCCGGCGAGAAAGAACGGCCGTATAACTTCTCCCGCGAGCAGGAATCCTACATGCGCTCCGTGCGCTTAAAGAATCTGGGCTTCTTCCAGCGCGAGTCCATGATGGGCTACCCCGGAGGTGGCGGCGGTGGGAGCGGGAAGGGTCTTGCGCCGCCTGTTGTGCGTGATGTTGAGTCTGGATGTAAGTCACCCCCCAGTACTCTAAATTTGAGTATGCGGGTAAAACAAGTAAAGAAGTGGGCGCAATGCTAATTTTGATTTTGGGGGATAGATTCGGAGAATGAGTCGTCGCATTACTAGGATCCGTACGTACCCTCGGGTTTGCGGATTCGGTCGCTACGCTACGCTGCTAAAAGCGATTTGTGGAGCGTTTGAATATATGTATGAATTGATGATTACGGGGTTTTTCCTTTTCCTTTCTTTCTTTTTTTTTTCGCTGTCTATGCTTGCTTCGGGTGTTTATATCTTTCCCTTTATCATACCCCACGGGTTGTGATGTCGATTTTGATGGGTTTGTTGTCTTTTTTTTCCCTTTTCCAGCGGTGCTGGGTTGGGCGTTCTTCACGTGTGTATATGCTTTCTAGATTATACCTGTCTATCTCTTCTTTTCTTCATCCCATTCATCTGTGTGTTCTTAACTATGGGGTGTGTCTGTCTTGAGTCGTTGAAAATGGGGGATCCTTGATTGCATACGATCTTATCTTTTGTTGTATCCACTGGCAGGAATGTGCAGGAGCTTCTAACCCAGGAATGTGCTGTGACTATCCCTCGAATCAAACCCCACCCCACATTCCCAAGATCACCCCCTCCATGTCCTCCCCGGGGAAGTAGTAGCTCTCCGCCTTCATCCCCCGCACCACCCCGATCAACGTCGCCCGCTCCGCCTGCGCCACCTCCCGGAACGCCTCCGCCCCCAACACCACCGCCAGACTCGCCGTCAACGCCGCCGTTGGACCTGCCGGTTGGCCACCGCCACCCCGCAGATCACCCGCACCGTGGTGCGGACTCGTCCAGCACGGCGAGCGCCCGTCGATGCGACACCGGGGGCCGGAGCCGGTCGACGTGCGGATCGTGTGTCGCCAGTAGCAGGTTGATCAGCCCGAGCGATTGGGTGGCTACGATGTGCGTGTCGTTGAGAAACCATTGCTGCGGGAAGAAGAGCCCCTCGGACGGTGAGGCTGGGGTGGTGTAGATGGGTGTGAAGGTGGACGGTGCGCTGGAGGCCCAGTTTTGCCGGACGGTAAGGAGACGCTCGTAGCTGGTTGATCTCTCGTCCGGCGATTGTTGGGGGTGGTGGGCAGGCGGGAAGCAATATTGGATGATGTGCGCCCCGATGACGAGCAGATGGTTGACCCAGACGTGGTCTGGAGAGGACTGCGTGGGAAGGTATTGCGCTACTGTGGTCCGAGGTATACGGAAGGGCCTTCGCTGGGAGATAGCCATATGGAATTCCTGTCGGAAGCCGACCCAAAAGGCGGAGGAGCGAAGACCGTTCGCTGTCTGCACCGCGGACGAGGCTTGCGCTTCGAGGAAGACCTGAAGACCGCGGTTGGCGGTGGAGGATGGAGGATCGATGAAAGGGCCTGTTGGATTCAGCTGGGCTGTTTTGGAGGTGCTTTCGAAAAGCATGAACGAAGAGAAGCGGAAGGCATACTGTCGAATTCTTCATAGAACCGAAGAATCACCATCGCTGCAAGCAGGTTCTCGTCCATGATCGCATTGGGTTCGTGGCTGGCAGCCCTGAGACCAGCGATAGAGCGGCTGTGATAGGCGAGCATAGACCCTCGCCAATTGCGAGACCCTCTTGCAAGCCATATTGTTGCGTGATTACGAGTTGACGTTCTTCGGGAAGAGTGCTGAAGTGTCGGGCGGATGCGGAGAGGATCGCGTCTAGGAGGGGCGGGCAGGTGCGCGCTCTTTGTGGAACAACGACAGCAAAATGTCGCTCCGGGTCACAGAGATCGAAATGACGTCGTGATCAGCGGCTGGACAGACAGACTAGCAACGACAACATACCCATAACGCCTGACTCTCGACGGAATATCGAAGGAGACACGTTTCTTCTAGGCTCAATTGTGCCTGCGTCACCTGCCTTGATGATTTCGGTGATGGCAGGCTGGCGCGGAGAGGTGTAACGCCGAATGTTTCAGGGCTACTCCATGCATGTCCTGTGCTGACAATATCTGTGGATTGAACCTGGCATGATGTACGGCTGAGCGCATTGAAGTCTGCGCCAGTCTCGGCTTCGTAGAGAGCTACCAAGGCCGGAGTCTCGTCAACATATTCGAACGCAGCGTTGTCTTGAGAGATTTAGCTGCGATTATGACCAGGAAAGACTTCATACTAATATATTGTATTTGGAGCATCATAGGAGACCCACGCATATTCTGCGCTGGTGGTATGCGAGAACTGCAACTGTGCGCTGGAGCGAACGCATTCTCTCCCGCTCATTGACATCGCTGGCATTTTGGGCGGAATCACCACCTGTTGAAGACAGAGATTGAGTTCTTGATCAAACTGAAGGGAAAAAATGATTGAGGAAGGAAGGTTTGAAGGAGATGCTTACATCGTAGGTGGTGTCCTAGAAAGGATGCGTAAGCTATTAGCAGCCCACGAAGGACGGATCTCCCGGAACATACTTCGGCAATGCTCACTGAGGTTAAGTCAGAAGCGTCCAAGACCTCGATTTACTCACCAGGGTTGACGCCTTACTGGCATGCAAGGCAGGGAATCGATGAAGTTTTGATACTAGTGGTGGAGATTGAGAAAGCAATCTCACAAACTTGGAAGGTTCGGCGACGGTTGCCGTTTAGGTTACTTAATTTACCGCCAGCCCCGCCAACGCACGGTTGGTTCAGCGAAATCAACTAAGGAACAGACCTAACTTTATAGTCCATCATTCGGGTCCCAAATCTTGAACCATCGCTTGTCCATTTCCGCTTCTCCTTTCTCATAGAAACGCAAGTCTGTGCTCAATCGAATGCGCCCCTCCACATCCTCATTGCGTCCGCTGGCATAAATGGTATACGGATAGTGGAAAACCACGTCGCCCGCCTCATAGTCAGTGGCCAGCCATCTATGAGTCTCGGAAGTCGGATGATCGGACACAAATCCTTGAGGTGACTTGGCCAGCATTCCAACAGCCATCATATTGGCGTTATAGGCGGAGAGGTGCTGCTCGTCGGTGGAATTAGCAGCGCGAGTGGTGAAATCGTCCTCGATCTCTCTTCCTAGGGCTGCGGAGTCTTCCAGATAGCACAGGCCTCCGCCATCGATTGAGATATCACCTATTAAGTCAGCAACACAAGCGAATCAAGGAGCATACAGGGGACTTGACTCACCAATTGGCACCCAGGCAGTGAGGCAATATCAATCACCCCCTCGCAGGAAAAACTTGTCATAGTGATGCCTGCTCCCAGCCCAAAGGGAACATTATGGCGCAGCATAGTCCAGTGGAACAGGACGTGCTCCTTCCAGTCCATCAACTGCCGGAAAAATTGCGTCAAAGCGGGATGCTCGACAAAGACTCGGTACTTGGGGTCAGAGTGGGCATTGGTAAGAGCGTTTGCCCCTACAGGATCAACGGGCAAGCCTTGGCCACTAATACCCTTGTGCAGATCAGGATGAGACGACTTGTTGAAGATACCATCCCGCGGGGATGACCCTGGCTGCAGTAGAGATGTGTTGGCGTATGCTTCGAAGTAGCTTGGATTTGTTAACAGAGGAAATTAACCCCGGACGTTCACATGCGGACAACACACTCACTTTTCTCTGGCATCTAAAACATCCTCGCGGGGAATAAATCCCTTTACGAAGAGGTATCCATCTTCCTGAAATCGATGGCGGAGTTCGTCCAATGGAAGTGAGGGAGAGGAAGCCCGCAGCAAGCCAACTCTGTCGCTGTTGATACGACCACCATTCTGCCCTAGACCATCTGGCAGCCGTGTTGATGCAGAGAACTGAGTCTCAAGAAACTCGGAATTAGGATTTTCAAAACAAGCCATATCGTGATCGAGTGCGCGTGTACCGTGCTGACCCCAATTACGCTACATTCGGGTTATATACCCATTTTCATGATAGATGAAACCATGGGCTCACTCGCATGACTCTCAAATGATCTCCACCACTTCTTCCCTTTTGCTTTTCTGGGTCCTGTTCTCCCTCCGTGATTGTGCTTTGCATGGGCCTGCATGTAGGTGATAGCCAGAAAGCAAGGCTCTCGCCGATGATTACTAGTTTGATACTTTGGGTGAAGTTCCCGGCGCTAACCGTTTCCGTCCCTTGGCCAGAATCCGGGGTAAGTATACACTTCCACGCAGCATCGACACATTATATCAATCGAGTCTTGCTCGATATGATTACTGAGATTCTCACAGATCAACTAAGCATATCTCAGCGTCAAAGTCATGTATGTCAAACTGCTCCTCGTTGTCTGCCATATTCTCTTCTTCTACTACGGCATTCTTCCTCTCATCAACTACTTTCGGGACCCCAAGGGCCTTCGAAAGTACCCGAAACCCTCCTTCTGGTCGGGCATCTCCAACCTTCCTCTCGTCATTGAGTCACGCAAAGGGACACGATATAAGCGACTCTTTGAAGCGCACAAAAAGCATCCTACCCTCCGCACCGGCCCAAATACACTGTCCTATGCAGACCACAAAGCCATCAAAGACATCTATGGTCACAGCACGACATGCACGAAAGACCTGTTCTATTCTATTACAAGTGGCTCCCACTTTCACCTTGCCGACGTGATTGACAGGAGCGAGCATCCCCGCAAACGCAAGGTTCTGTCCAGTGCATACGCGCTCAAGAACCTCGAATCTAGGGAATACAAAGTCGCCGATATGATTCATCGCATCATCAAGGCTTTTGACGCACGACGCACAGACCCCCTCCCCGAGGGCCATCGCCCCAACCAGAGGATTTGACCGTCGACTACCGGATGTGGACGAACTTGTTCACCATCGCGGCGATTGCGAATATCGGTCTGAGCGAGGACGTTCGGTTCTTGGATTAAGGAAACGACCTGATCACCTCGGAGTCGATGGATGGGACCGTCAAAAGAGTGAGGTTCGGAGAATGCCACTTTGCCAATGGCTCGGCCACGTCCACGCTTGTCTGGTGCTATGACTGGTACCAGACTTCCGTGAAGGCCAGCAAGCTCTTCTCCACCACGTTTCGCAGGACCTGGAAGCTCCGCAGGGACTGGGACGGGATCGTGTACAGCAGGTCCAATAATCGGCTCAAGCGGTATCTGAACGGCGAGAAGCTGGATGACTTCTTTTCCGCGATGATGGCGGACAAAAACGGAGGACCACATAATCTCGAATGGGGCGAGGTAATCGCCGAGGTGAGTATCATGATCAACGCGGGGTCCGATACCACGGCTATCGCGTTGGCCAATACGATGCTCCTTCTCTTAAGAAACCTAGATTGCTTGCAGAAGCTGCGAGAGGAGGTGGACAATGTCATGAATGAAGACGAGATCGTCGCGCCATACGACAAGGTCAAGCATCTGCCTTATCTTCGTGCCTGCCTGGACGAGTCGATGCGCCTGCATCCCCCGGTTTCCTTTGCCTTGCCTCGCCGGACACCACCCGAGGGGACCACCATACTTAGTGAGTTTGTCCCAGGAAACACCTCGGTGGGTATCTCGGCATATGTCGTGCACCGGAACGAGACCATCTTCCCAGATTCAGAGGCCTATAAGCCTGAACTCTGGCTGGGCGAGAAGGGCAAGGATTTGCAGCCATACTTCGTGGCCTTCAGCACAGGCGCGAGAGGGTGTATTGGTCGCAATATCAGTTATCTCGAACAGACAGTGCTGATAGCCTCGCTGGTGCATCGCTATGAGTTTGCGTTGCCGCATCCTACCTGGGAACCGACCCCACATGAAACTACCAACACAGGCCTTGGTGCTATCCCGATAAAGATTTGGCGATGGGGAGAGCATTAGTACTACTGCACTAAATTTGAAAGTCATCTTTTACCGGCGCTAGGTGTTCCACTCTAATGCAGAAACGAAGAGACGTTGAACCTCGTCGTTGGATTCACAAAATGCAAAAAGATACCCGGCTACGAGCCATAGACCTCAAAAATCAAGCTCCCGAATCAGTCTATTCCAAACTTCAATAATTCGCTGTGTGTGCTCTTGCGGTACTTAAGGATCGGGACCTGTCATTGCCTTAGAGAACAACTTCATAGACACCCAGCCCTCGAGCCCAAGTTCCTTTAGAAACACCTTCGCAATCCCCAAGACGGGAATATACCCACCTCTGTCCTGCTTAAACAAGAAGAGCCTCGCATTGTGGTCCCAACTTATACGACTGCTGACCAACCACATAGAATGGATAGCCCTTAATCAGCCCCTATCTCATCCTCTGTCTACCTTGGTGATGATCTAGTAGTCGGGGACATGGATTACTCTTGCCTGTTCGGGGAGAAGAGCCCTTCGGCACAATGGTCGGATTATCTACACTTGTTCTCTTAACACTTGTTTCTTCCCTCTAGTCGAAACGTCGACATCCTCAATCAAGACCTTTCGTCGTTGTGGGTATATTGAGAACAATGTAAGTCATTACAATCTGTCTCATTGCCTTGTGCGAAGGTGGTAAGGCAATATCAAGTATACTGACTGACTACCGTCCTTAAAGCCTTCGGTTCCCGCTTGGAGCCTCCAAGCCGAGTTGGACTTTCACTCATTCGACAATCGCATACCTACTCCTCGACTACGAATCTTATACCTCAACCCTTCAATTCGAGATCGTTTGTTCTCGCTTCGGCAGGGAACCATTCGGGCAATCCTGATATCTTCCCGGAAAGTTAAATGCAGATCACCCAACTATCACGCCATCGCACTATGAGTAATTTAAGTTATTCGAATCCTTGCCTCACTTGAGAGTACAGATAAGTACTCCGATAGAATTAGATTGAAGAGGCCACTTCCGATGCTTCATCGGCGTGACAGTGCTCGAGAACTGACATCAACGGACATTTGCATCGGCATAACCTAGGTAGCGAGCCTAATTAGGCTTATCGTGAATCGCTTATCATCCACAAGAATCGCAGATGACCCGGTCGGAATGACCGGTTCCGGCCCATGCACTATCCCAGTGATTTATGAATGAAGACCTTGGATGAAAACGGATGGCTTGCACGAACCCAAAGGTCGAACCGCAACGAGTAATTATTGCATCTAGCTGGTTCGGTAGGCACGTGCCATTCTAAACTCTATACCTCACCCCAGTCTGCGGATAGTCTCGGCATTACGTCGCCAAAGACCATCCATCTCATCAGTCTAGTCCCTACCAGCCCTCTGAGATTCGTCGAGCGTGCATGTACCGGTGAGGGGAGAGGTTCGCGATGAAAAGGCTAACAAGCAGCGTGGGAAATTTCCAGACTAGAACGCGCCGGGAGGAAAGGGGCGGTAGTGCCTGACTACTTCAGCATTATGCTCGGCTGCCTCGCAACGATTTAGTGTCTCATACCTCAGACACGACGCATTTCCGACTTGAAGCATCTTACAATGCTCTATGTAAGGAGACTTGATCTACAGTGTTTGTCTTGGCGCTGACTGAGCGGTGAACATCCTGCTTTTGAGCTTGGCGAGGACGATCCTGATCTTTGGGGTAGGCCACGGAGTCTTCAGTCTCTCAAACTAACGCCCGTGGTCAAGCGATGAAGATGGTAAGCATCATCCCAGTCATCTGCTCATACGTAATTTGATAGCGCGTGCCTAACCGTCATAAATCACATGGTGGTACGAGGACATTCCTGGAAACCAAACTTCCGTCCGGCACATAATTCAATTTATGCTTAGGTGCAGTGCAGCTCCAATGCACCAAGACGACAGAGGCGCAACTGGTGACCAGTCAAAACAGGCGGCAAGACTCGAGCCACATTGAGGCAAGACGTAACAAATGGGCAAGATGATGTGACTCTGCATCGTCGGACTGGCGGGAATCACCGAAGCCATCTCCAATGCGGAGTGAGTGGACTTTTGTCTCGTTCCTTCCCGGCAACAGCCCTCCACCTCCGAGGTCAAGACACTCGTACAGGTAAGATCTGGTGTAGAGATGTCCAATAAAGAAAAGGAAGCAGTGCACCTTCATCCTGCAGGCATTGACTACGATAAGCCCTGCTGTATCGACTGGGGCTGATAGGTTCGAAGGCCAGAGTGATAACCCCGGCACAACCTGCCGGAAGTTGCCTAGTGTTTGGGGTATGACCAAACGAGGTCGATCTGCAGCCCACGATTGGTTCAAGGGAAACAAAACGCAGCGGTGAGTCCCGTGACCCTACGCGTCGAACTCCCAAAATCGGAATAGTCTTGGACGTCACGGGCTGCGGAGTAGGACTTGCCCGATTGAGAATCAATGGATTATGGCTGGGTTCTGAGCGAAGGATGGCGTCGGTATAAGATGTTCCAGCCTGCCTCCCATGCATTGTCTTTCTCTCTCTCCTGTCTCCCAGTTTAACCCGGAACAGTGTCAATACCCCAATCTCACCTGCCTGGTTGTTTCTGAATAGCTTCCCATTCTCTCCCCCTCTCGCTTCTCCCTTCCCTTCTATTGTCTCGGTCTTTTCGACTCCCATCAATAGATGGCGATCTCGCTTATCCCCCTCCGCCGCCATTCTCACGCATACACCATTGCCCTCTCGCAACCCATTCGCAGACACAGTAGGAATTGAATTGAAATCCCATTGACCTACTTTCTGTTCCTTGATACCTTCATCATGGCCATCGAGATCCATCCTCTCACCAAAGCGGATATCTCCGAGGCCGTAGAATGCGTTCAGAAAGCATTTGCCGACGATCCGTATTTCCGCTGGATATTCAACAAGAGATCTGGGGTAAGTATGTCTCCATCCGGAGCTGGGGAAAGGCAGCGGACTCCATCCTCCCCTTTGCCCCATCGTTGCCTTTCCTCCTCCGGATGATGTATGATAAGAATACATGTAGAGAGAAACTCCACGCCCACTGCATTCCTCCCCCATTCCATCCAACCGGTCAATAACCGTGAGATCCAAATCTTTTTCCAGTTCAATTTGCAACGCAACGCCGCCTCGATGGCCGCGCATTTCCAATACGGGCTCTCGTGCCAAGCGCCCATCTACATCGCCAAAGCCACCCCGTCCGCCCTCCCCAGCGACAAAAGCCCCACCACCGACATCGCAGGTGTCTGCTGGTGGTTCCCACCGCAGCCGCTCTCCGAGCCCGTGTCCTGGACCGTCTGGGCGCAAGACTGGATCCTGTCGTTCCGCCAGCTGCTTTTCAACATCAAGTTCGGCGGCCGCGGCGGACTCAACATCCGGCGGTACTGGCAGTGGAAGCAGCAGCAGGAACGCACTCACCGGCAGATCTGGACCGATCCCCGCGGGTATTACTTCTGCAATGTGATCGCCGTCAACGCCGAGATGCGGGGCATGGGCGTCGGTCGTAAGTTGGTCGAGGCCGTTACACAGAAGGCCGATCTCGAGGGCATGCCCTGCTACCTGGAGAGTTCCAAGGGGTTTCCTAACTTGGTTATCTATGAGAAGTTGGGGTTTGAGTTGGTGAGTGAAATTGAGTGTGTGGATGGGAAGGATGCTTGCAAGGTATGTACATGTCTTTGTTTTGCGGGCTGAGATGCGTTTGGCTTGTGGGCCAAGCTAATTCCTCTAGCTGTATTGTATGATCCGTCAGCCGAAGAAGGCCGATTAGTGTACTACCTCCCGTGGTGGTACATACCTGGCTGTGTCGTTTGGGTTTATGGTTTATGATCTGTGAGCGTGGAGCGACTGCTTGCTTGCTAGCGTGACATCTGAGCAACAATCATCCCAGCGTATTCATCTACAAATCAAACAATGTCATCTGCTTCTCGTTGGTATTCTCCCTCTTCGCGTCACCGTACACTGCCGCCGCAGCCCGTAGCACAGTACTCTCCACCTCAAACGCAGCCAAATAATCAATCGTCTTGCTCTCCACCTCACTCGATCTCTCCCAATCCGCCATCCCCACATCCGCAACTCTCTCCCCCACATTCAACCGGAAGTAGACATCCGCCGAACCCTCAAACCTCCCCTCCATATCCTGCGCAACCGCCTCCGCCTCAAAGCTCAGCGCCTCGACCACGGAGACGATCCTCGTCGGCAAGAGCCGCTGGAAGACGCCGGGCCTGGCCAGCTGCACCGGCGGGGGCCTCCCCGCCCCAAGACTGAGCACACATCCCAGCGGCCGACGACCGTCAAACAGCCGCCGCGCCTCGTTCAGCACCATACGACAGGGGTTCTTGGTACCGAGACTCCCATCGACAAACTCCTCAATATCCACCGCCAACGGCTTAAACAATCCCGGATAAGCCGTCACCGCCCGCCCCGCCTGCCACACCGTCAGGTCGGGATAGTCTCCCGCCCGATACGTGCGATACGAGCATAACGCTCGCGCGTATTCCATGGCTTCTGCACTGCGCACGCACACGAACCTAGATTTGCCCGGCCAATCCCAGTGGAATTGCAATGTCAGCTCTGACGCTCAATCTCTGCCTCTTCTACATGAATTTCCCGCAGGGTGGGGGGGGAGTGGACATACACTTTACAACCTCCCGCAACCTCATCCGCAGCCTCCTCAGCACCCCCCTCAATTTCAACCAACAACTTCGTCTCCGGGTCCCGGGCATGAGGGTACCGGGCCACGATCTCCCGGATCGCCGCCTCCATCTTGCGGGCGCTGTATTGCCCGTTCCCGCCGCGGTGTTTCCTACGCGAGAAGACCCGTTGGACGAGCTGGCGGTATTCGGTGATGGCTTCGTCGACGGAGAGGCGCAGCCGGCCCAGCAGGAGCGCTAGGAGCCCCCCGTGCCCGCTGCCGCCGATCAGGTCGAAGAGCTCGTGCGGTTGCGGGGTCTCCGCGAGGGCGTGCTGTTGTTGGATGCTGAGCGTTAGGGATTTGAGGATTATGAGTTGGCTGATTGCTGTTATTCCGCTGCCGTCTGGAATGGAGTTCAGCTTGGGTTCTTGGGGGGTTGAGGTTTGGGGATAAGGCTGGGGGTTTACGGCGGGTGGAAGGTTGACGTAGGGCTGCTTACCGAGGGAGAGGAGTCGGAGGGGCTTTGGGGAGTCTTCGTTGGACATTGTACTTCTCGTGGGATTTTGTAATCTGTGGATGGTATGCGCTTATTTATTGAGTGCTATATAGACTATCTATACTTATGTTCATTGATAGACGGTGATGGGACAATGAGGCTGGAGTCTAAGCGCTGAGCTTGGCGCTGGTGCTGGCGTTTGCGCTTGGGGCTATTTTGGGAGGCCAATGGATTGGAAGACTACTGGATCGTATCGCGCTATTATTCCTAGCGTTCTTGCACTACGTTGAGGAGAGGGTTGTGGTTAATCTATCGGCTGGAATCATGAGCCTTGAAACTAGGAAGTCGACGCGCTGTCATGTTTAGTGCTCCGGGCATGCAAGGCATGTCTGTTCGCCTATCACCCACTAGTTGGGTGCATCTACCATTTGAAGCTTGAACACAAAGGGCCAGTAACTAAGGGACCATAGGAAGTAGTCAATAGGTGAATATAGTTCTCCCTTCGTTCAGATCTAGCATGTGAAAAGGCGAGTCTGCGGGTCGGCACGACTGCGCGGCCCGGTTAAATGAGCCTAAGCCATGTGTCATTATCTACTTATTGTTAGCATGGAAAGGGATAATTATACTTGTGCAAGCTTACTGCTCTAGTTCAGTGCTTGGATGATGATTCACGATGATCCATACCTCACACGCCGTATCACGTTCTGTACCTTACAGGCTTTAGCTGACAAGTAGATCGCCTCGAACAAGATTAACGAGTTCATTTACTTTAGCCAGGACCTTATCAGCATAAATACTCCCACAACTTTATGCTACTTACTGACTGAGAGCGTCTTCTCCTCACTCTCCATCCCCACCACCATCCCACCACTCGAGGTAACAGCAGCCTTCCACTCCATCTACCTTATCACTTTTCCCAGCAATCTCCACCAAAACAATCCCCACGCACCCCAATCTGATGGCAGCGCGACTGTCATCCTCCGCGTCGCCAGTCGCCAGCTCCCCCGCACCAAGACACCCATCGAACTTCAGTCGGCGTGATGACCTGTATCCGCCAGAACGCCGCCATCACCGTCCCCGTCATTCTCCGCTACGACGCAATAGAGAACAATTTCATCGTTTATGGAATTCAACCTCCTCCAAAATTCCCCGGCGTCAGGATCGACAAGATCTACAGCACCTTATCCGAGGAGGCTAAGACCCAACTGATCTGCCAGGTGATTGAATACCTGTTAGAACTTCGCGGCGCACCCGTGGAAAGAAGGGGACGTGGTGGGGGGGAGGGGGGAGGGTCAGAGTCGCGGTCAGAACTTCCCTGATGTCGTAAGTATGAGTTGCATAAAGCACTAGAAGTGTGGTCGTCTAATTCTTCAGTCCACTGATTGTTTTCTTTTTTTTTTCTTTTCTTTTTGGTCTCCTTTCATCGTCAAAGAAAGCCTTCTGCTTCACTAACAGGCAAGACACGATCATGTCTTCTCAAGCAGAGAGAGTTCGTGCGCGATCCCAGACAATCCGCGAAGACGCCGCCCGACTCCTTTCGATCCTGGCGGACCGGGAAGGTGACGAGTTCGCAATCGAAGAACTCCGCCAGCTCGGCATCCAAATGATACCAGTCGACCGCTCCGTCGGCGGCGACGATCTTCTCGCCTTCAACCCCTGCTTCTTCCTCCCCAAGTACCCCCCATCATTATTCACCGACAACCCCATCGGCAAAGACAATCTCGATAACGATTTTCGCCTCGATCTCGATGCTTCGAGCCTGGATGCTGAACCTATTCAGCTGGGCGGTCACTGGTGGTACCACACGCGAGAATCGAAGCCAAGGTGTGACGGGCGTGAGCGTGCTGGATTGATAGCGGATTCCGACACCCTTGCCGAGTTATCTAAACTGTAGGTGTTACCAACGCTTCTGCACTTCCACTTCAATTGGGGAGCGGTCGACGATCTATTAGCCAATGTAGTGGTTCTTTGCTGACATTCATCCTTCCTCCTTCCTGCCCTCTCACGGGGGCGGGAATGAATCGGACTTAGGAAATAGGAGATATAACGACAGCGGTTGGACAGGTAGCGTATGTTATGCGATCGCACACGCTGCCGAGAAATTCCCGCATGTGATACTGGATATGAAGGGCTGCACGACTGCCAATAACACCAGTCTCGGCCGCGATGAGGTTCTGACTGTCTTGAGAGGATATCGCGATCACCTGGTTCTGGACGGGTTTCCATCTTTCGAGACCATGCCGGTGCGTGGAAGGCCCTCCCCAGCGGAGCTACAAAGGATGTTGTAGAAAGCAACGTCTAGATCTTTTTTCTGATTCTGCCCGGCCCACAGACTCTTGTCCTCGGTAAGCTGCTGGGATACCAGGGAAGAATCCTTCAGGTGCATCATGACGGAGAGAAGTTCGTCTTTCAGTACTCGGAGCTTCTGGACTTTCGGAACAAGAATCTGGATTTGCCGGCGCTGTTTGTACGGTATAGGACTGCTCGGCCTATTGGGGCGTGCTCGAATCCGATGACCTTGTGTATGCGGTGATTGGTCGTTTGTGAGTGGTCCTCGGGATGTGCGGAGGATGGATTGGGTCGATCGTATCCTTTAGGTTTAAATGGCTTTTGTGGTTGTGATTGGGCTCAATGATGTTTCGAAGTGTGAACGCTCTCTTCGATCTTCTCGTACCCTATGACCGATTGGGAGCATAACTCGTAATAAAGGGGGAAGGCAGGTACAGTAGTACTTGAATATCGGGTTGCTTCTGCCAATTGAAAGGGGTCTCGTAGTGTGTTCCCGAGACAGAACTACAGTAAATTAGATGATAACGCCGCAAGTGTAGCCAGAAGAAGTTCCGTAGAGGATAAAGATAGCTTCCCAGCAGCTGCAGCGTATTGTTTCTGCTATACACTTGCACTGAGTTAGAGAGATAAAAAAATGATATTTATTAAGGTGTGGTAATTATGTAGACCAGGAATCACTTTTTCAAAAACAGTCTAGTGGAACAAAGAAGGGGATGTTCGAAAAACGGGTCTACTCTTGCCAATGAAAGAACCGAAGAATAAAAACCAGCAATTTCGCCCAATGATCCTTGCCCGAGGGTTGCTTTAGATGATGGAGCCCAGAGCAATGCAAGGAAGAGAGACACCCAGAAGGTCGTTGCTCTGCGATATGGTTTGTTAGTATCAAATTGTTTTCTTCTGGCGATATATCATCGCTGCAGTGGGAAGGAAGGAGGCAAAACTCACGGCCGAAGCACCGCTGTCTTGGCAGCAGGCAATGTTCTGCTTGCACTGCTGGTTCAGGATATCCTGGGCATTGATACCGATGATAGGGACTGGAGAAGATGAGCGTTAGCATCTGCTTGATGGTCAAAAGTCTAGGAGATAGCGAGACATACTCGAAAGATCGAGCTTGGAGCACTGGTCGAACAGACCAATACCCTGAGAGCCGGAGCCAGAGCCGGCAATGTTGCTGAGAAGACCAGCCAGAGCACCGGAGTCGATGGTGGTGGTGTCACCGGCGTAGGTGGCCTTGTTGCAGCAGGAGAGCTGGGCCTGGTCACCGCACTTGTCGGAACCCTGCTTGACGGTGTAGCTGTCGGGGACGGGGAACCGGGGCTTGTCGCCATGGGCCTCGCGGACTTCCAGGTTGCGGGCGGAGGGACCACCGACGGCAGCGGTGGCAGTGGCCAGAGTGGCAGCAGCGAGGATGGCGAAGAAACGCATGATGATGGTTTTCAAGAGTGAAAGTGTGGTTGTTCCTTTGGAAAAGCTTGGTAGAAAGTGTGAGAGTGAGAGTGAGAGAGAGAATGAGTGAGCTGATGATGAGAAGGAATCAAAAACCGCGGAGCAGAAGACGGTATAAATGCCTTTTCGGAAAGTCAGTATCGTTGAAGCTCATCCCCAGCCCTTCCGTAGCTTGGTAGAAAAGGTTGTTTTGGTAGACATTCCAGTTCCAGTTCTTCGTTGCATTCCTAGCAAGGGAAGCTTTCCGGTTGCGGCGCTGGGGGCCCGCGTTGCAATCGACGTTGACGGGACGGCGTTGCACGGCACCCAAAGATCTCGGACATCATGATTGCGAACCCGATGTGACGCTGTTCAGGGCCCTTTCTTCCACCTCTGACTTTGCCGTCCCTTGATCCCTGGTTCAGATGGTGAAAATGCTTAAACTTAGTTTATGAAGGGGTAATCAAGAGCAGATCCTGTCCCGGAAACAGTGGCATTGAAGTCTTCCATTCTGTGCGGCATTCCGCTCCTTATCGCGAGCCCTCATAGTTCCAACCAGGGAGGACAAGAGAACGAGTCATAGAAAACAACAACAAATATTCTAGACCCGGTATCCTGAACGTGAACGTGCAAGTTAGCGGAGAGAAAACTTTGCAGGCATGAGGAAAAATCCCTCACATGGTTATCCACATGCCCTCGCTCTGTGTCTTGCTTGTTTCCTAACCTGCAATTTGCCCCTTCGTACGCGCAAATGATTCAGACGATTTTTATGAGGATCTGCGATAAATGCAGAACTAGTGCAATTCCCCAGAAAGAGTTCATGCACCTCGGCTATCCTGCATCTGCATCACTTCACTAGCTACTGTGAAGCCTTGCTCAAAACAAAGATCGTGTTAAACTTGAAGATGGAGCTCAGTGCAGGATGCAGTGCGGGCCGAAGCATAGTCCACAACACAAACGGTAGATGCACCAGTTTAGACCCACTACACACAACGACAATCTTTAGCAGCGGGCGCAGAAGACATCTGCGCAAATGACAGCCGCCACCGATCTGATGTTCTCTTTCCGTAACCGCCGCTGCAACTCTCATTTTGCTGGATCCAGAGTCAAGAGAGTCAGAACCGTACGGACAGGCAATCCACCGTGGACGTATTATTGGATGCGCGACTGCGTTCAGTCTAGAGGATACTCCACTTCAAATGATCTATTCAATACTTTCTTCTCGTCGCAGTTGCTGTCGCTTCGCCGCTGTCGCATAGTACATTGCTGTAACCATATGTAATCACCCGCAGCCGGGAGTGCTTCTGTTCATTGAGTGATGGCTTTGCGACTCCCTCAGGCTGCAGCCTCGATTTCGTAATCAAATACGCAGGACCAGGGAACCTGGTGTAAGGTACATTTTATCTTAGTAAAACCGCATGATCTGACCAGTCAGTTGTGGCTATCAGTGACGAGGAGGAGGATGGTTGCATTCGCGTATCTGGCAGCCATCTGGCCGGCTTGATGGCAATCACAATCACAGTACATGGCCTGGCGTACCACCTTATTAGCTATATATACAAAAAGAATTTCGAATCCGTAAAGCTTGTCAGCTTACCTGTCGTTATACAACAGCCTCTGGGACTCCTCCATCATGTCGATTGTGTATACGGTTACGGCCGGAACTTTCCCGCACAGGCTTTCATAGAGAACTGCTTCTTACACTGCCTGTCATTGCGGTTTCGTGAGTATATGAAGCATCTGTCCTCTATTGTTGATATTGACATTTATGAGACCTTGTTCTCATTGTGGCCTGCGTTTGGGAGTTTCATGGGCAAGGACTGCTGTGTTGAAGCATGCTGAATAGTATTGGTTGTATGGTTGTATATATACTATCCCAGATGGGCACCTGCCACAGGACCCGGGCTCCGGCCAGTGACCAATTTACTGCCCTCAGATCGTTGCCAAGGCCAATCTAAATTATCTTTCTCAGGTCCTTGAAGAAAGTAGCTTTACAGTCGGAGGCAGCAAACTAAGTATTCAAGTCACGGAGCTCACAATATCATGCTTGATTTCTGCCCAGATATGAATGCTAAATACCGAGGACATTTCGTGATGATAACAAAGAAAGCCGCCGATGCCCCAGGCGCCAAGGCGGTGAGCAGGGCAACCTCAACCGGATCCCCGCAAGCTTTCCGCTGGTCATCGACGTCAGCCTCACAAACCTAACCCCCAGTCGTCAAAATGAAGATCGTTTACATCGGAGTGAGTGCTTTCTTATCAAGTCGTTCCCATCAACAAGTCATTTCTAACTTGTTCACCTCGTCTTAGATTCTCCAAAATGGCCAGGCTCCCGCGGTGGAGCTCTGCGCTGAGCGCGAGCTGAGCAGCTACTCGCGCTTCACCAGGGGCAGCGTCAGCGAGTTCATGACCATGTTCAGCAAAACCGTCGCCGAACGCACGAAACAAGGCCAACGGCAAGATATCCAAGAACAAGGCAAGTTTCCCTCCACTGAAGTGTATCTTCCTATTCGCTTTCTGCCTTCGCCTTTGTTACCTCTCTGCCTCCATTTCTGCCACGCCAGCCAACCCCTGACCGCCGCCGGACCGCAGACTTCACATTCCACGTTTACGCGCGCACCCAAGGTATCGCCGGTGTAATCATCAGCGATAACGAGTACCCTTCACTCGCCGCTCACCAGGTCCTCTCCAAGACCCTTGACGAATTTCTCACGCTCCACCCGAACGCCGGTGTTTCACGGGAACCGATCTCCTTCCCCTCCCTCAAGACCTACATCCAGGCCTACCAAGATCCCCACCAGGTGGATAGCATCCTCAAGATCCAGAAAGAACTGGACGAGACCAAGATCGTACTTCACAAGACTATCGAGAGCGTAAGTTGGATCTCTGGATCGCAGGGTAAGGTGACCGACTCCCGCTGACCCCCCCACTAGGTTCTCGAGCGCGGCGAGAAGATCGATGACTTGGTATCCAAGTCGGAGGGTCTGAGTGCGCAGTCGAAGATGTTCTACACCTCAGCCAAAAAGCAGAACTCCTGCTGTGTGATCATGTGAGGGCCCACTCGATTCGAGTCGCCAGTACACCCCGGCGGAACCACCTCAGCTACCGATTATCATGACTTCCTTTTGAGAGCGTTTTGTTTGCTACAGGGCATTCGTTTGCAGTGCTGGACCAGTTTGTTTGATTCGTGAATAGTGTGGGAACAACCGGGTGCGTTGAATTACGGGAGGGTAGACTAGGCATTCTTATTTGCTTTAAGGCCCAAACAGCAGCAGTCAAATGCAGTGTGGGCATCGATGACCTGACGCCGTCGCACTCAGGACAGCGTAGCGACCGTACCGCCGCCGTAGGTATTTATCTCCGCGCCCTTCTTTTTTTTTCTTTTTCTGTCCGCTTTTGCGGTCACGGCGGTGGATCGGGAAAGAGGGGCGCATCGACCATCCTTATCTATCGAAAAAGGGCGGTAGTTGCGGTGGTGATTGGTGGCAGGTTCAAGCTCATAAGTATTAGACTTGGTTATTGCAAATTAGTGGATGATTATCAGGGTTATGAACCCACTGATCCCCCAGCCGGGCCCTACCCGTGGTTCCCGCCTGGAGGCGATGGGAATGGCTACATTTCGGCCAATTTTTCTACCGTGGAGGCTGTTTTTCTTTTGTTGTGAACAAAGAAGACGAGAGAGAGACTTCTATACTGACTCTTTGTGTGCAGACTTGCTGTCAATCGGCGGTGAAGAGGAGGCAGACAAGCAGGGCAGTCTCAAATCTCATGAATGCCTCGCCCCTCGTCAGGGCACAACTCCACCCCCTGACCCCTCCCACTTTCCTCAAGTGGATCGGCACCGAGGCTGCTGGGCCTCCTAGTGCCTGCTGGCACACTTGCTGAAAGGGCAGATTCGGCCACTGGCACGCAGAGTCAGTCGTGTTCTCTTTTTTCTAGAAAGCGATCCACACACAGCCTCAGTTTCCATTATGTACTCGTACCTTACGTAGCAGCATCGGCCTGGGGCTGCCTATCGTTTTCCATGCCCGAGGCTACCCGGGTCCCGGCCCGGTTGGCTTCCATTGGCCACACCCGCCGAATATGCCCTCGCTCCGAACGGATATTGTTGTTGCGCTGTGTGGGAATTGATGTTGCCCAACCTTGGGATACGCCATCACCTTATTTTGTTCGGCTTTATTTTATTATCGCGCTGGGTCCCGGGGTGGCCCTCTCCTTTTCGCTGCCCGCCCAGGTACTCTCATTCCTTTTCATCTCCAGTCCAGCGTTGCGTTTCAGCGGTTCACATGCAATCATAGGTGGGCGCTCCCCTATATACTATACTTACCGTGCCGGGCTGACTGATTTGGATAACAGATACCCTCACTTCATTCCTTCTACGCCTCTCCTTTGTTCATAGGATCGCTTGAACATATCGTTCCGTTGGTCGGAACCCGCATTGTCACTTCCCTAGGGCAAGGAGTGCCCTTCAATTCGACAGCACAATGGACCACGATCTCGCTCTCCAACAGACCTTCCCGTGGAATATCGAGCGCAACCGGCTGGCTGAGCTCCTCACGGCAGATGTCACGGTTGCTGCTGGCTCAGCAGCCTTGGTCACTCCAGCCGTCATGATCTTGGACAGGTACAGCTGCCATCCGGAGTCTCGAAAGTGAATGCACGTATTGACCTTCTTGCTAGGCTGGTGGTGGAAAAGTCCTCACACAATCAACCTCTCCTGCCGGCATTCCGTCGACACTTGTGGCTCTCCATCACGCAGCCCGCGACCTTCCTCACCTCTCGACCGAGTCTGCTGGTCTGGTCCCTTTACACCGCAACGTTTGCAGCAGCCAATGCCACCGAGACCATCCTCGGAGAGGTTTATCCACACATCGACCATGCGATAGCCACGACATCGACCTTCCTGACCACCTTCGTGGTCAACTCCTCCGTTGGCATCTGGAAGGACGTCAAATTCGCCCAACTCTTCGGCTACAACCACAACACCAGCACTGCGGGGACAACCAGCCCTCCACCCCCAGCTGCCGCCGCCGCATCCAGCCCGGCAGCAGTAACCAAGCCAGCCGCTGCAGCCGCCGCCGCATCCCAGAGCAAAATCCTCCGCTCCGTCACCCGCTCCATTCCCTTTGCTACATACTCCGCCTTCCTTATCCGCGACGCCCTGACGATCTTCGGCTCCTTCAGCCTCCCAGCGATGGTGTCCGCCTCAATTCCCGACTCGATCGCCTCGAGCGAGTACTCCAAGATCCTCCTCGCACAGCTGGCCATCCCAGCCTCGATCCAACTCATCAGCACCCCGATCCATTTACTCGGCTTGGACCTCTACAATCGACCCATGGCGGTTCCGGCCGCGGACCGAATGTCTCGAGTGAGCCGGGATTGGATCGGAGCCTCGCTGACGCGGATGTGTCGCATTATTCCTGCCTTCGGGATCGGTGGGTTCGCCAACACCGAGGGGCGGGCCTATCTCCATGAGCAACTGCGGCAATCCGGTGAGGAGTGAAACATCTTTTTTAAAGGCACTCCGATGAACCAATATATCTCAATCGTCAATTTTCCAGAGCATTTCAATATTTTCAACAACCGAATGACTCATTCAGTGCATTGCGGTCACTGCACAAAACCTGGGTTTGTGATCAAGCCCACACAACCCAAATCCTGCAACCAAGTTCGGCGGTGGCTCGGTGAACAGAGAGCGTGTTGAGTTTCCAGCGCGAGGCGGGGCGGGGCGGGGGCGCGCGCGTGTTCAATTTTGCCCTTCTTTTCTTCTTCGGGCTAAGCGGCACGTGCTGGGTTTCGCCGGGACCTCTCACCGCCCGGCAAAGCCCCTCATTCCAAAAGTAGGTTGAGAAGCGCGTGATCCAGTGAACCCTAGCCCTCGGGATCTACCCAATCGGGCAATTATCGAGGCAGCCTCGGCGGGCGTCCGCCCCCCGCCACTGACCGGGCCGGTGCAGGGCCGGATGAAACCATCAACAAACTACCACACCGCGCCCTCCTTGCTCTTTCCCCCGGGAAACGTTGATTACCGGCATTGGGGGTGGGAATTGATGAAGGCGGGGGAGGGGCCGACCAGCACCGTGCTGCTGCTCCGAGGTCGGGTGATTCTTTATCACCTTTCTCTGTCTATCGCACTTTGTCGTCATCTCGGAGATACCAGGGCAAGGTTCGGTCTGACTGTAAATAGAAAGGTGGATCTCTTCAGGCCTGTGGCTGTGTTACGCTGCGGCGGTGCCATGTTTCTGTTTTTAGGCTACGCTGGCCATAGTCTACCAGATTGGTGACCGCCCTAACATAGTATAGTATGTATTTACTATAGTACCACTTTGGAAACGTATTCGACTGCCTGTTCCTGTTCTAGTCTGCTGGGCGTCGCTGCCTGATTCTGGACTACAGATAGAACTTCCTCCGTAGCGTATGTACTGTACTACACGCACCGCCATCAGCTGCACAATACACTACTGTACACAGACAGGATAGTACAGCAGGAAATGCCTCGGAAGGCTGCCGATCACTTGCCGGTGGCCATCTCTCCCTCGCATCTTATCATCCCCACTACCGGTTTCCCCGTATCCTCCACCGACGGGTATAGTCGGAGAGAATAGTGCAGATAAGGAGACATGGTCATCAGGAGATGGCCTCGATAGAGTACACTAGTCATGTGAGACCAATCCCGATATCATCATTGTTTCTTGTTCACCTGCCCAAATCGCAGCCAATCTACTGTATCTATACAGTTACCAGAGCAGTGGCTTCAGAGCAGCACGGGATGAGGTTTCGTTGATTTGCGGCCTCCGTCCAAGATACAAGCTTATGGGATGCGATTCGACTACGGGAAATCCAAATTTTGCTACGGGCTTCAATGAACACACATGACTTCTCCAAAGTTGGGTTGTTGATGATGGTTCAGGGATTCTACTGGAACAGGGAATCGCCCAGTATGAACTGTTCACCAACCGGCTGACGCCAGTACATACATGTTATGAGGCCTGCGATACAACAACAAGTCACAAGTTTTCTAACCAAATTCCATTCAAAGTTGAACATACAATCTGCAAGCTCCCTTCGACTAATCCCCCAACACGATAACTCAAACACCAAGGAAACAAGTCCTACTTGACTCGTCGAAGACAACACCCCAATGAGTCCCAAACTCACAACTCCCTACCATACAACCAACCTCTTTCAATCATGTCAAAGTCAACTAATCCACCGCAACAGCATCCACCTCAACCTCGACCAGCATCTCCGGATCCAACAAGGGCACAACAAGCATTGTCGCCGCCGCTCCCATGGGGACGACGTCACTGCTGCTGCTGCTGCTGCTGCTGCTGGCATTGTTACCCTTCCCCAGAACTTCCCGGAACGCCTCACCAACGGCAAGACAGTCCTCGCGCCGACTGACGAACATCTTGACGCGCACGATGTCCTCGGGGCCTCGACCACCGAGGGCTCGGACGGCTTTGATGCATTCTTGTAGCGCCACACGGGTCTGTTGTTTTGCGTCGCCGGGGAACAGGATCTGCGGGACGGCTCCGGTGGAGGGTTTGGGGTCGACTGCTGTCGTGCCGGAGACGAAGATGTGTTGGCCGTGGCGGACGGCGCGATAGTAGCCGATGATCTCTTCGTAGGGGGAGGAGGTGGCGTAGCATTGTTTTGACATGTTGGCTCACGTGGGATATGCGGTAGTTCGGTCGGATAGAGAGGCAGAGGCAGGGGGTGATGCAATGAGGAACTGAGCCACGGATGTAAAGAAGCAGCAGCTTCATTCACGGACGAAGATATTCAAGGATGTATGACTCATTACCAAGCATGGGCCCCTGTCTCGTATAGACGGAGAAACAAATTCCGCCTGGTGGATCTATCCTATCAACTCTATACTCTACCACCAACCAACCAACCAACCCTACCCCCTACATACAAACACTTAAACACTATTCTCCAAGAAACCCCCTCAATTTTTGATATCCTGATCCAGACCATAACCCGGATCCCGCATCATAAAAACCCACCTCTGAACCCCCCACCCCCCAAACTCCTCAAAATCCATCCTAAACTCCCCAAGGTCCCGCCACCCATACTTCCTATAGATGGGATACCCTTCCTCCGTCGCCTCAAGATAAACCCGCGCATTCACCGCATCGGCCCTCTCCAACCCCCAGCGTAGCAACCCGGACGCAACGCCTTTTCCTTGTTCTTCGGGCAACGTAGCCAGAAGTTCAAGCACTATCCCATAGAACCCACCAGATTAGCCTTTTTTTTCTCATCAGACCTAACCCAGGTCTAGAAACTTAACCCCGCCCAAATCCATCCCGCCCCCCCCCCAAAACCAAACCCACACCGCGAAAGGAAAGAAGAAGAAAGAAAAAGAGAGGATAGACAGACCGAAATCCCCTTCGGAAAGATACCGCTTCTTCCCGCGCTCCAACCCCTCATAGAACGAATCATACGCCGCCCGGTTCCCGCCCGAGGGGAATAACTCCGACGATCGCGAGGCCATTCGCTGGGCTTCTTCTGAGATGGCGGGGATGCGTGGATGTGTCGTTGGCACTGTCGATGAGCAGGAAGTTGAGGTTGAGGAGGAGGGGAGGGTCCAGCGCGCGTAGCCTACGATACGGCCAGTCGAAGGGTGCTCGGCGACGAGGACGTGGGTGGTTGGGTCGAGGAGTTTGGAGAGCGTGCGGGCGGTTTTTAAGGGCCGAGGATCTGTGGTTCCTTCTGGAAATAGATTCTCCCAGAAGGGGGTGCGCGCGAAGGCTTGGATGATGATTTGCGTGAGGGATGGGACGTCGTGTTCTGTTGCTGGGCGGATTGTGTACATCTTTTTTTTTTTTTTCTCTTTTATTCGGTTGCTTTCTGTTTGGATTTTTGGGATGGGGAGGTTATATGGAGGATTGGGAGTGTATACTGTATATGGTTGGGTGGTTTTTAAAAATGAGATATTAAAGGTTTGTTCAGTTTAGGAGGGAGGGGGTGCGGGTGAGTTGCGGAGGAATCACTTTTGGTATTGAGGATATGGGGATGGATGGTTCAAGCGGGGAGTCAATGCGGAAATCGGAAATAAAGGGAGGACCTCGGAATTAATGATGCCCCTTGATAGAGCTTTGAGTCATGAATAAGGCGTAAGTGGATGCAGCAACTACAAGGTCGACCGCTGGTTGGCTATCATGCCCACACTTGGATCGATCTGGCCTAGACGTCTCCATACCTAGACAAGAGGAACCGTGAGCCAGAGACTCGAACCTCCTGCACAAAAGATCATGTTCTACAATACCACTCAGGTGAAGAAGGAAAAATCTGTTGAACTCTAGCGAATGTAAAACAGGATAAAATACATCATAACATGCGGGATTGCCCCTCCCTTTGTACTAAATGAGTGACTGAGTGGAATCGAGTATGTGATACAACAAATAACAGAACTTTCGGTGAACATATTCAGTCAGAAACGTGAAATAGAGACATTAAAGAGGAGAGGGTCTGTGACAAGAAAAGTTCTAAGGGAATGAGCAGGCGGACCTTTACAGAATCAATGCCAAGAGAGCCACAAGACCATAGAAGATGGAAAAGACGCCAGCGTGAGGCGCGGGCAGAGGTGCTCCAGCCCCCGTGAAGAGAACACCAGTGGATGAGGCGGACGGCGCGGCCGGAGGAAGGTTGGAGCGGAGTGTGGGTTGGTAGGCGTCTACGCCCGTAGAGTGGGGGCTGGGGATGCTCGCGGTGCCGGTAGGAACGGCCTGCGACGAGAAAGACGTGGCAGAGGACGCGGGAACGTAAACTGGGATCACATGGAAAGTGGAGTCCTGTTGAATGGTGATACTTGAGGCGATCTGGTCCATGACAACCGGCTCCGTCGGTGCGGGAGCGGCAGTTGTCATACCACTCTGCAGGACACTGGTCGCAGATGGCTCGGAGCCCGGAACGTGGTGGGCTTCGTCCAAGTTAGGGCTGAAAGGGCTCGTCGAGGCCGCTGCCTCGTGAGTGGGGTTAGACTGCGCAGCAGGCTTAGTAGGCTCACTTGGTGCGGAGTTGGGTTGCGTGGGCGCAGGGGCTTCCGGTGTGGACACGGCGTCCACCTTCGACGCAACACCGGTCTCAGCAGCCTCAGGCAAGGTGCGCGTCACAGTGCGCACAACCTCCTGAACAGTAGGCTCGCATGAAGTCGAAGCCTTAGGCTCTGCCTGCTTAGGGGGTTCATCCACATGAGGGGACGCTTTTGGTTCCTCGGGCTTGTCCT